CAGCTCTTCTAATAGGCGCCACGTAAAAGTAAGACTCATGCTGATCCGCGTGATCGGGTCGCCTGCAGATTGTATCTAGTGACGCAGGAAGTACCTTTGGTGGTCTATCAGACTTTGTACCTGCTGGGACCTTTTCTGGATTTTTTGCTTTCCATATAATGAATGACTTATACTTTCTGCCAGGGCCTTTCTCATAGTTTCTCAGGGCCAGTTAAAATTAACTTTTTTATTCACAGCTGTGTAAAAACGGCAAAAACTTAGGATTAGCTTTGTCATTCCATTTTTTCTCTGCAGTTTTTAGGTGAACGTCCCTGAATTAAAAAATTTAAGTATTTTGCATTTTTAAAACTATAAAATATTATCTAAAATTAAAAGCTACTTGTTTATTGCAATAATTAACTATTATTATTATTTATTTTACTCACAGATATGCTAGTAGCTTTGATTTATGAGGATATATTATGTTAAATTTAGATTAATTAATATTTTTGGGCTGATTTATTTTCTTTCACAAATATTTTTTCCATTTTTCAATAGGAGGTTCTATAAATTGTTTATTATCACCAATGATCGCATCTTTCTGAATCACCTAACAAAAAAATTATTGATCTAAAAATTAACATAATTTTGTTGTTTTATATTGTTGCTATTATTAATTACTTTATTTTTGAAAATGAATTCCATAGCCAAATTTTAATTTGCAACTTAACACTCACATCTCTTCTAGCCAATTGAAACTTTAAGAAAATCAAAATTTATATCGATTTGAATTATTCATAAAGAAAATAATTTCACGTTTCTAGAACTGAGCCTTTGCAATTAAAATTTCATTTCATTGATTTTTTTTAAAAAAAAATTACATAATCTAATTTTTGTTAATTTTCTTTCAATAATTTAACGAAATTGCATTGTATTTAGCATGTTAATTCACTGACTGTGAGATTCCAAGCGATACGTTAATTCTAGATTATAAAATAATACTCTGATGTCATTTAAATCCTTATTATATTTCTCTGTTTTTCTCTAGGGTGTTATACTCTATGCACGCGCGCAGAGAGTGCGCTGGCGGGAACTAGAGAGCTTTGAACCCGTCACAAACGTTTAAAATTAAATTATATCAGTTGATAGCATGTTTTTCAAAATGATATGTTACAAAGAGTTTGCGATTATAGGGTTAAGCTATAGCTCATATACATGGGAAAATATAAAATGTGGAAATAGCGATTAATTTAAAATGTTCATTTAAATAATTCATATTATGTTAAATGAAGATAGAGCAAAAGAAATATTTAATTTAAAAATATTTAATGAAAAAATTTTAACAATTTTTCAGAATTATTTACCAATTCTTAATCGCATTCTGAAAGAAAAACAACCTATATTGCGAATCTCCATTAAGTGATGATTGATCGATTTTGTTAAATTTTATGTAATTCCAATTGATTCCTAATAGAAATATCCAACCATAAGAGGGTCCAAAAAATTAAATTATTTATTAAAACGTAAGCACGCGGAAATCCATTTCAAATTTATGCGACAAATGTGCGTAATGGACCCATCTGCCTGCGTTCGTTTTTCACAATCAAATCACGATTTCCATACAATTTTAGCAGCTGCGCAAATCGGCGAATCTCACGAAAATATCTCTTATTCCATTTGACGCAAAACTTCTCGGAAAACGGTTTTCTATGCTGAAAAGCCACTCGGCGACAGACGTGCAACAAAACCTGCAACTTCCTCGGTGTGCAGCAGCGTCGAAAATTGAATTTTTTCTTCCTTCGTGACTCTTTCTGCGTCGGAACATTACGCCGCATGAAACAGCATTATTATTACCTGGCGACGCAACCGAGAAAAGGAAACAGCGATTTCCACAAAGCCAAACCATATGGCGTCGAGAAAAAAAAATAAAGAACCCTCCTGATCGATCCCTTTTTGAAAGTGCACACAACATGTGTGCTCTGATTGCTCGTCTTCCCGTTTTTTTTCCTACCTGACGGCTGCTGCATCTGGAGATGCAGGTTTAGTAGAAGTGCATTGTGCGCCCGCTGGCCATTTATTATTTTTTTTCTGCATCCCTCTTCCCCCGCTAGACCCTCTCTCTATCCATCCATCGCTCACGTGCACAATAACAACATTTTAGCCGCCTGCATTCGTGTTGCTGGAATAAGAAAAGCTGCAGCTCTTCAACAACCTGAGAATCTTGTTATTTATTTTACTTCCTGTTCCTCGGCAAACGAGCCGAGCGAGCGAGTTCATCAGCACGCACACGCGAGGAACAGTAGTTTGCCAGGTTGGGAACAAAAGTGAATAAAGAGCAGCGACGGATGCACGAAAGATGACGAACGCACGATACGCAAATTGCCCATGAGAATTCGGCGCCCAATGTTTATTTAAATCATGGGACTCGCTTTATTTTTTGATGCTTTGTTTCTCCGCGGCCGTTTAATTGGCATGACGAGAGCCAATTTGTATTTACTTTTTCTCCACGTTTTCCTCGTTAAATTTTAGAGATAAAATCCGTAATAATTAATTGTTTTATATAAGACTTTTAAAATGCACTAATTATGTCTGCTAAAAAGAAACAAATCTTTTACATTGCATCCTGTGGGGTCGACATGTTTTTAAAAGTATGCAACCGTTGTGATTCTTGTGTCAAGAAATTGCATAACTTTGAAATTCACAATAATTGAACTTGGATTATTATTTGCATCTAGAAAAATAGAATACAATAAGATAGTTTGAAGTTATGAAAATACATCTTTTCAAATGAATTATTTTTATTTCAAATTTTGGAATCCCACGATTGTAACAAAAGTGTCAATAAAATTATAATATTTGCTATAAGATACAACTTCAATTTAAATTATCTATTTTATCGCTTGAAAAATTCTGGAATTTAAAAAAAACATTTTCCTATTTTCTTCATTCTGAATTTGAGATTTTTGGATAAAAAAAACTTATGACAAAAGTATGATAAAATTTGCCCCCCCCCCCCTAATCAATTACATAAAGCTGCTGATATTTAGCACTTAATTCATTTAATTAAAGTCCATAATTAAAGCAAAAGGTCACATATTTGGAAGGCATATTATGAAAAGAATGATCACTGTATTTTATATAGCAAAAACGGAAAAGATTAAAAAAAACTGTAAGTGATTTTTGTACAAAAATTTCGAAAGAATTTAATAATAAAAGAAGGTTTAATTTTAGGCAAAATATTATTCAGTTGAAAAGGCTCTATACTTAGGTAATTTTTTATATCAAGCTTACAAAAAATGCTGGTTGTGATTATCGTCTTAATGTAAGTTCTTTAATGAAACACTTATGTCCGCGCATCAGTGAAACTTGAGCACATTATTTAGGAGTTGTTGTACTTCTAGAAGCATCATGCGCCAACGAGCCGCGAAAAAATCGCGCTACGTGATACCCACCGCGCGGCCATGAAACCTTGTGCTAATCAAGAAATGAAAAATGCTAATGGAAGGTATATAGATAGTACAGAGACAGGTTTTTTGCATAATTTAATCAGGGGTAGCTATATTTTTGAGTTATATAAGACGATAGGAAGTGCTAATGCCGTCTTACAGAAAAGTTTAATTGTATAAATTCCCTTCCGAAAACTATTTTTATGCCTTCAATATTTCAAATTATGAAATAACGAAAATATTTCATTTTAAATATAATTGGAAAAAATGTGCTTCTGTATTTTTAGCGCAGATATATAATTTTGTTCTCTCCTCTTTTCCTTTACATCTTTGGCTCCCAACAGATTCCGCAGCCTGACTTAACCTTGAACTTATTTTCGCAACTACCGCATCTCAAATTGTTTACTCTCTTCATATATTTTACAATCAGCGGCACCTCTATTCCCTTTCGCGCTCTGCAAGTCGATCTCTCACATCACGACGTTAATATTTCAACTTTTATTTATTATACAAATCGCGCGCATGCCGCGGCTTTGGCTTTTCAAGAGTATGCAGCACGTGTAAGCGCCTCCCCACACTTTGATTTTCCCTGAAGTCGTTTCCTATAATGCGACATTAATTCACATTTTATATAAAATCTGGGTGGGTCGACCAAGGAATTCCACTATTTCCAGCCACGCAGCGCAGCGGCGGCGCCGAGGAAATTATCACTTTCCGTTTTTAAAAATAAACATCGAGTGAATAACTGTAGATGAATGTGCAAGGTGTCCGAAATAGGGTAATTAGTCATCCAAGGCTGAAGGGCACCTACGCAAATTTATCAAAGGTGGAAACTTACATCAAACAAAAGTTAATATCTTTTTTTTATTAGAAGTAAAAAAAATCTCACTCTGTTTAAAATTAAAAATTGTTTTTCAACTATTTATTTTTATTTTAATGTATTTTTTTATTTCTAATTGTTAAGTTTAACCAGTTTTGTTTTATTTTTTATTTAACTTCCAACTATGGAAATAGGTTGAGATAATTCATTGCTCTGTAGTTTCTAAATATATTAATGAAAATTTAAATGCCAAAATTTTATATTATACATCAGATAAAAAGTTTATTTTGTAAAATTGTATTTATAATTCAATTTGAACAGAATAGTTTGCTTATTGAAGGCTCATTTTTTTCAACCACCTACAAAAGGGTTTATTTTTTTCCATAGCTTTTTGTCATTCACTCTCTTACTATTTTTGCATGAAAAATTTATTAAAAGTAAAGTAAAGAAAAAATGATAAAATATTCACAATAAAGGCTGAAATTAAAAAAAAAATGATTGAAAATATATGAAGCTGAATTTATCTATAAAACATGAGAAATCGTATACAAAGATCAGTATTATGACATGAGTGAGTTCTTTATCTGTAATATTGAGTGAAAATTGTCCGAAGTAGTTCAAAAGTTTTAGATAATTTAACGAAATAAAAATCTATTCGTAATTCTAATTGAAAATGAACAATTAATTATAAAAATTCATCTCTTTGCAGTATTGAGAGAGCAACTTCTGAGATTCTCGGATTCACGTCTGATTCACCGAAATTACTGGGAAAAAGTAACGGAGCGAGCGTTCAATTAAAGCCATTTATGTAATTCATTGAGAGACAATTGGCAAAAAGCACGACTCGAGGACGGAGCGAGCGAGAAAAGTCGCGGCAACAACAATGAGCTCCACGTCTGCAGCAGCGAGCGGCCATGAAAAATCGGCGCGGCAGCCGCGATCGAGCGAGCAGAAGAAGAGAAGAAGAAGAGGCAAGTGCATTCACACGGCCGGGGCTCCTTCCAACCCATCGGAGGCCCCAACCACAGGCGAGGCAAGCGCGAGGGCCTCGCTCGATTCCATCGACCTCGGAGGCGCACGCGCGTTGCCGTCGCGCGGTCACGTGACTCCCCTGAGCGCCTGACTTTCCGTGATCTTGGCAATGGAGCCGCCGGCCAGGGGAAGCAGGCGAGGAAGGGCGACCTGGCAACGCTCGCATGCCATCGCGATCGCTTCGTTAGTTGCGCTCCGACTGGCGTTCCTGGATTACCTACTGCCTGTCGCTGCGGCGCTCCGTATTCTTGTGTTATGCCGTTGATTTGACGGACGCACCATGCCGAAGATATTCCTCATCAAGAATCGGCTGCACCAGCAGCAGCTGCGGCTGCTTGAGTCGCAGAAGCGCGACACGTCGGCCGACGCCGAATATTTGACGCCGCCCGGCTCGCCACTGTCCTCGGAATGCAAACCCGTGGCCCTGGTGGTGCCCAAGCCGCCTGCCAGCCCCAGTGCTGCGCCTACAGGTAAGAACCTTCGCTCAATTTATTACTTATTACACACACCACGCAATTTAGCCTTCAAATCACCCCTATTCAATCATAAAAGGAGGAAACAATCGCACCTGTTATATTATTATTATATCATACAAACAATTATTATTTAATCCCCCTTTTTTAAATTGTGTAATACTGAAATAAAAAATATTAACCTGGAAAGGAATGTAATTAAAAAAAACATTATTTTTATTTAAATTTTTATTTTTTTCATATCTAATTTTTTAAATTTTTGTGTACCCCCTCCACTTTTAAGCTGTAATTTAAAAAAACTGCCACTTTTTAAAGTTTTAATTTCCAATCATTTCCAATTAAAATTAACTATAATTCAAAGATAAGCATTTAAATTTTAATTATTTTTATTTTGGTCATGCATTTTTTAATTAATTTTAATTCCCCATCTCTTTTCAGTCTCAAATTTTTCTAAATACATACGAATTTGGAATATTTGTTCTTTGAGTAGATGGTAAATGTATGATGCACTTGTTACGCTTTTAAAGAGGAAGTCGACCTTTTGCGCGCACATCACGCGTGCAATCAAGCACCTGCATGGTGATTTGAACGAGCGACAATGCGGGATGCAATTTAAAATGTTGCGAAGAGATGATGCAGGTGCCCCCGAATCAAAAAATATTTTTCAATTTGCGCAGCGCCTCCCGTGAAATCTCGATTGTCCCGTTTCTTTTCACAGCATCTGGTGGGAACGGATGTTTCCAAGGCCGGCCAGCGGGGGTTGGGAAAGGGTTGGGAAAAGATGGCCGCGTCTTCTTTACAACAAACCACGCGTTCAAGTCGCCGCGATTAGCAACTTTTGGTTTCGTCACCGCGCGTTCCTTTTTCGCGTGGTCGTCGCCGCCGCTATTTGTGTTGATGACCTGCAGTCACGCGGCGCAGGTGTTGTTTTTTCGCGCAAGAATAAAATATATAAGTGGGCGCCGATGGGGAGTTATATTATTTCGCCAACTTCGAATGCGGCCAAACTCGCTTATCGCTCGCCATTATCGCGACGGTTTTTTCTTCTTTATTTCTGGCCGGCCGTAGATTATGATGTGTTTGTTATTCACCTGCTGCGATGCGTGTCAGTTCATTGAATCAAAAGCCGATCGACTTCCGCCTGTCGTACGCCGCACACATGCCCATAGTTGCACCACTGTTGCTCATTCGCGCGGTCATATTTGCCCGTTGACTCACCTCTGCAGCAGTGGGTCAAATATTTTCCTCAAACATTAAATATGGTCAGGTGCGAGGACGTCCCTTCCTCGTTCACTTTTTGGTTTCGTTTTTCACGCTGTTTCCTGATTCTTATCGCCGCACTTCCCGCCAAGGTTGCGGTTTTAAATTTTTTACTACCTATTTTATCTTTCAAACAAAAAAGGAAAAAAGAAGTTGGAATTTCTTTTTTTTTAATTTTCACTTTTCTCCTTCGATTTTCTTCGCTTCTTGTTACTTTAAAATTGGGCTCATTTCCATTTGCTGCTCACTGGATCGGTTCCGTGCCTAGTTATGCAAGACTGCCCCTGAAACGATTAGAATCAGAGTTTGCTTTATCCAGCTTTTTCCATCTGCTTTATCCGTCCGTCCGTTCGACTCGGGCGTGCATGCAGCGGCGATGCCAGCGCTGAGAAACCGACCGACCATTTTGTCATGACTCAGTCAAGCGTACCTTCCATGCACCTTTCAGGGTGTACGTTTTTCTTTCGCTGCACGCTCGCTGCGCCTCGCACGACAGACACAATCATGGCGTCCACTGCTTGTGCTTAAAAAAATAATAAGCCTACTGTTTGCTTTGTGAGCAATAAAAAAAGAACGGAAGAAAAAAAGCGAGGTCCAGTTAAGTCAACAGGAAAGTGACACGTGTCTCTCTTTCGGTTCCCATACAGTGGTGGCCTTCGGAGGAAAGTGCCGAGGGAATTTCTCTTTCCGCTTTTCACATAACTTTCCTCTTTTTATCTCTGGGGGTAAAAAATAAAATGTGTTCGGGCTTTGGGCGAAATAGTTTCGTTTTTATTGTTTTTTATTCCGTGAAAAGTGAAGGGACAACAACGGGAGGGTTGGCATTGTGAGGCGCATCTCCTTTTGTGTGTTATTCCCAGCTAAAGATAACAGAAGGTTGAGGCAGAGCGAGCGAGCGAGAAACGTTTCTTTCTTCTTTTGCGGCCCTCTGGTGGAGTGCCAGCACAGTTAGAATTTTTTATGTACCTCTGCTTCTTACGGCGACGGCGATCAATTCAAGGTTTATTGTTTCAAGGCTAAAGCAGCGCAGGTTCAACTCACTCGCTCTCTCGCGTTCACTCCCATCCATCCTTTTAGCGACTCATTTTTCTCTCATTTCCCATTGGCCGCCGTACAAAAAAAAAACCAACAACATTGGCAGGTGGCGGAATTGCGACAAATTGCGCCGACTATGCTCATTAGAGCTTCATGCATACGCCATTTTCGAGAGAGAGGAGAGAGAGAGAGAGAGAGAGAGACCAATTTATCGGCACATTGAACCGATCTTAAGCCGTTGAAGGACAACGCGATTTTTTGCCCACTAACACACAAGTGCGCGGCGGCGGACGTGCAAAAACTCACAAGATACACATCATTTATGTTTTATGACTTGGTACTTATTTAGTGCTCGATCCTATATTAATGTATATACATTTCTGCCACTTTTGGTAATTTATTCGTAAGTTTGTAAAATTATCCCCACCTAGTAAATTAAATTTTCTCAAACGTCAAGGTGTGTAACCTTGGGTTTTGGCGCGTTGCTTGCGAAAGCAAATCGCCTCCCGCTATCCACTCGCGGTTGTTGCGAACTTTTTCGCAGCCTCGGCCGCCATCGCGCTTTTTTCAGCAAATAGTGACTCTTGTCATTTCAACAAACTCAGAAACTCACTTCCTGCTCGCCAGCCGCCTCTCTTGTTAATACACCTCGCTAAAGAGAATACGCAGACTTATTAACAGCGACCTGTTATATTCCATTATGTTAAAGTTATAATTCAATGCAGTGGCGTGATTTGCATAAACCTCTCGTCTCCCTCTCTATTACAATAAATAATGCAATTATTATGTTATTGCTGTCAAGGCTGGTGAAACAAATGACAGCGCCTTCTTTGATCCGTTTTGTGCGCAAAGTTACGTGAGCATTTTTATACATTGATCGGTGCGCAGCCTGCAATTATAGTTTCAAGATTGAAACGTGCTTCACATTGTGCTTTGCTCGCAAGTCGTGCTGAAAATGCTTCAAGAAAGAGGCATCTGAAGGTGGTTCGAGATGAATGCTCCCACCCACAAAGACTTTGAAGCCGTGTTTGCCACGAAGTCTTTTAATAAAAAAAATCTTGTTGACTCTCAAGAGAGTAAAAATTTATTCAATTCAATACTCAATTCTGCTGAAAGTTCTAATTTGATTTTATATTCCACGGCGCTTTTGTACAATTTTCCCCAGAGGATTTAAAAATTTCCTTTTGAGACGAAAATTCCGTGAGTCATAAATTTTTCCCCGTGCGTGGAAAATTGAGAAAAGGTCGCAGCATCCTAACCTCCCCCACCCGGCACGGACAAAAGTGAATAGCTTTTCTCTCCGCACAGAAAAAGATCATCTGCATAAAATGCACTTCTTCTTCTCTCCCCTGCACTTTCCGAGAAGCGAGCCATAAAATTGTCCTTGCCTGCTCTCACGCTCGGGGAACAAAACCCGCATCGAAAACACGGGGCCTCTTTTCTGACAAACAAAACACCCTCCTCTGCGCGTCCATTAGCGTTGGAACGAGAAAATTGACTTGTGATGTGCGTGCCCGCGTACAGGTCTCTGTATGTGTGTGCCAAATAACGCTCCCATGCTCCTCAGCATTCTGAACACAATGCCCTCCATTTACGCCGCGAATGACAATGACGCTCCTGTATGCTTGCAGAAAACAAACCCACGGTCATCAAGGCCAAGGTGTCCAGCGCGCCGGCGACCGAGCCTTCCGAGAACGAGTGCGCGCCTCGCCGCTTCTTCTCGTCCATCCTCGGCGGCGACAAGCCCTACGCAAGACACATCACCTTCGACACGGGCGACGTCGTCGCCAAAAGGCAGCTCGACTCTGCCAAATTCCCAATCACCAAGAAGATCGCGACGGTCCTCAAGGCGCCCAAGTGCCAGCAGGTTTCCGTCATCCAGAGGGGGCCCACGCTCAGTGAGAAAATCGCCAAGGTGAGAACAAAATTAATTTATTGTAATTTTTAATTTTGTGCATATTGAGAGGAGTTCTCTTTGCTGGAAAAAACTGAATTTTCATTGCCCGTTTCTATACAATCTTTACCGAATTTATAAAGTTTTATTCACATGATTTCAAATGCAGAATTTACATACACGGTTTTCTACATAGGAAATAAATAAATAATGCAATTATTGTGTTCTTCACATTTTCTTTGATTAAATTTGGAAAAGTCAAAAACTTCGACTGGTGTTTCAATTTGCCAAAGATCTCATTAAGATAGCTCTTTTTATGACTCGGCTTATCATCAGTTTCAATTATCCATGCCATTGTTTGGTTTCACCCACCGCGGCCGAACCGGTATTTTTTCCAGCGCGCGTCGGCTCGCGATTATTTGTTATCAGATCAAACCGGATTAGTGTGAAAAATGCAAGTTCTGCAGTCTGCCTTCGCTGCTGCGTCCCGTTACTTGTGCAGTTATGTAGTTTTCGCGAGCCAAATTCACTTTTCGCCTTTTACGTAACGCGCTAGAGTCAGACAGATTCGCATCCGAGACGCATGCAACTTTCTCTATCATTATTATTTAGCTAAATAGATACGTAAAAATTGCACTCTCAATGTAAACTGTTTTTGAGAAATAATAATTCTCGGAGCTTCGGACGAGATCTTCTTTCCGCGCGCGGTTGGAATTTATAAATTTTCTCGAGTCGTTTTTGAGCCAACGAACCTTGAAGCAGTTTTCCCAAACAATTATACGCGGCCAGGCGGAGTGGCCGAAACCTGTTTCGATTTGTAATCGCCGGCCGACCGTCGGTTATAACTGAAAAACAGGTTTGTGCATATGAGAAAATGTCTGCCGAAAGTCAGGCAAGTGCGGCACGAATTATTATATTCCTTTGCCGAACTTACGTTTTTACATTGTCGTTCGCGAAAACGGAAGGGCAAAAAATAGACAATAAAAACTTTGTAGCGGAAAACAAATAAAAACATAAAAAAATCTCAGCGTCGGTTGGCGGCGCACCAGAATCTTAATTACTTTCCAGTCGAGAGAGTACTCCTCTCGTCAGCGCGCAGTCAGGCAAAGGTCAGTGACCTTGCCCTGGTAGCGAGCGAGGCTAATTGAAACGTGTTGTGCGATTGCAGCGGCACCACCTGTTGGCGGCCAACGTGATCAACACTCCGGAGCAAGAGGCTCCCATCGACTACCACGTACCAAAGAAACCCTGCGCCGACGATGACAGACCAACCACCCGGGGGCCGCTGTCCGCCTTCAGCGCCTCCGTTCGCTCCTGCTCGGACGGCGGCGCCATGTGCGGAGGCGGCGGGGGCGGCACGATGGACTCGCTCTCGTACGGGGGCGACGGCCGCGGCGGCGGCCGCATGATGGACAGCGGTGGAGACGGCGGGGGCGGCTCGCTGGGGGCCGGAGGTGGTGGAGACATGGGTGGCGGCGGACGCCCCAACTACGGCCCCAGCAGTCCGCCCACGGGCTGTCTACCTCCCTTCTACGAGTCCCTCAAAGGCAACTACGCGGCGCCCATTGAAATGGAGTGCGACACCGGACAGCACCAAACTCACACCCTGCAGCAAACCTACGACGGCTTCCGGAGTCCAAAGCAGTATCAGTTGCTACACAACGTGTGCGCATCCTACGGTCTAGTACCTGAAGACAGTAATGACGATGACTCGGATCTAAAGGTAATTTTCATGACCTTTTATTTCATAATTATATTTTATACTAGAACCTTTTTTTAAATACCAAAAACTAATAAAGTTGATAAAAATCTAATCTAATCTAATCTAATTCACAGAGATAGGCAACTTCTTTGCACTTAGGACAAGCGGGTTGCATAACTTCAATTTTGCATTCCAACTTGAATTGTATGATAAAATTTAATGCTGGAAGCCAACAAAATTTCATGATCAGCATTGAAATCGTATCCTTAAGATAGCCTGATTTTCCCAACAAATTTGTTTGAAACTTCATGGGAAAGTTCGTCATGATTCAAAGTTTGCTCATTTTTCCAATTTAATTTTTTTTTTTTTTTTACTATAGTAGAATAAGAATAAAATAATTTGTCCAAAAATTCTGCTTCTGACTCTGATTGTGAGTGTTTTTTGCTGGGAAAGTAAACCCCATTTTCATCGGAAATTCAAAATTTAATAACAAAATAAATAATTACATATTTAAATTCAGAAATGAAATAAAAATTTACCTGTGTAGGCCTGCAATTTACGATTTTTTTTTTAATTTTTCTTATAACTTCAAATTCCATTATTTCACCTTGCGATCATTTCTTCTTTTGTCCTCCTCTCAGGTGGCGTTAGATTCAAGAGATCCGTTGCCACCAGTGCATCTTCTCGGAAACAGCAACTACCTTCAGCGCTACCTGATGGAGCCCGGCCAGGGTCAGGATAGCATCATGGACCACGATCCGCTGCAGTTCACAGCAACCCTGACCTTTTCCAGTCAGGCGGAACATGCGCTCCTTGAGTCGCTGACAGACGCCGCCGAAATTTTCCTCCAGCGTTTGCCAACGTCGGATGAGCCACTTTCGAACGACTCAAGTTCCATTCCCTCCCCGCTCGAGCCCAGCGTGCAACCCTACCCTGAGAACCCCGGTCTGATGCAGAAGGAGCAGCGCCAGAACAACAACTACCCCTTCTTCCTCGGCAACAAAATGCCCCAGCAAAACCAATACAACAACAACTCGCCCCCGAAGGGCAACCTGCCCGACTCGCAACTGCAACAATTGCAAATCCAGGTGCAGCTGCAGACGCAGCAGCAGCAGATGACCTCTGACCACGTCAACATGCTGCCCAACTTCCCCAACGGCATCGACCTGACGCCCTCCTCCCTTGGCTCGCCGGGCCCCGTCTCCCTACCCTCCCCTCTCAGCCCTGAAAACCTGAGCAGCAGTTGCCTCAACACCTCCGGACCTGCCAGCGTCACCAGCAGCAGGAGGGAGTCGTCGGCCTCCGACATCTCCTCCCTGCCGGCAGCGGTCATCGCCGCGAGGGAAGACGTCCAAGGTTGCCTCACAGACAGGGTGAGTATTTCTTCCTTTCAATTTTGCTGGAATTTTGTTTTAAGCTCGTAAATTTTGATTTAATCAAGTAGATGAGAACTTTTTTTTATATATATTTATAAAAAAAAGACAGCTAAAAATCTATAGTTTAATAGAAAGTTAAATATTCTCTTTGCTTTTTTTATTACTATTTTATTTTCTTCCTTAAAAATTTGTAAAATTTTAAGCTCAAAATTCAAGATGACATAAAAAAAAAATCGCAATTAAAATTTATTACTCTGCAAAGTGGTGCAATCTCCTTCCAAAGCTATCAAATTTCTCTTCTGTTTATTTTTAATTCAAAATTTTGGAAAGAGCCAAAACTGAAATCCCGTTTATTTTGTGCCTCCTCCCCCGAGCAGACTCAGAAATTTCGCAATCTGATCCCTCAGCAGTTGGGGATTCCGAACGACATGCCCATCGAGTTCGTCAACGGCGGGCACGGCATCAAGAACCCGTTGGCCAACCACGACCGCCCCACCGGCAACCGCAGCAATGGATCTGCCGCGGCGGTCGTCAGTCCGCCCGAAGAGGACACCAAGCCACTGCCGGACGATGCCCCGAACCGCTTCTCCTGCAGGATCTGCTCGAAAACTTTCACGCTGCAGCGGCTGCTCAATAGGCACATGAAGTGCCACAGCGACATCAAAAGATACCTCTGCACCTTCTGCGGCAAGGGCTTCAACGACACCTTTGACCTCAAGCGCCACACCCGCACCCACACAGGTAGGCAAATTCATCACTTTTTTTCTTGTGAGCGAGCAAGCGCGCGCGTGTTTTACCTTGGCCGTGCCTGATATGGGCAAAAAATCTGCTCGTCTTGCGTGACTGGAATCAAGATATTATCAACTCAACTTATAACCGATCTCTTACCTTTTAATTATTGCAGATTTAATTAATGGCCTCGTTTGCGTTTAGAATCTCAATAAGCCAAACAACTTTCATTGTGCAGTGTAGCGATTTGATTGGAAATTTCTAGTTAATTAGTTATAAAAAGTAAAGATTTTATTTAAAACGCAACCCGCTCAACAAATAATTAATTTTTGTATTTTTTTTTTCAATTTTCTGTTAAATTGATTAAAAGGGGAAATAGTGGTCAACTTGTGCTTCAATCCACACAATAGTGAGAGTGAATTAAGAATTTTTCAGAAATTTATTCTTTATTTAATATAAGCCTCACACAAATTAAAAGAAGTTTCCTATTTTTTTAACCAAATTTAATAATGCACTTTTATCTTTTTAAATTTTTTTTTCAACTTAAAACTCTAAAAAAGCTGTTACTTTCTGAATACCTGATTAATACTTTCATACTTTCAGTAAAAAAATTTGAGGTGTATTTATTTTTTAGATTTTTATTTAAAGGGCAATATAAATTAAATCTTCTGTGTTCAACGAGTTGCATATTCCGACAATATCTTCTTTTTTTATAAACAAGTTAATTAACCTGATGAAAGTGATGAACTTGCTCGTCAGTTCATTCACTTGAGCTGGATGATAAACCTGAGACTCCAGCTAGCGCACAAACGACCTTGCTAACCGAAATTCAATCTGTTCCGCAGGTGTGAGGCCGTACAAGTGCAATCTCTGTGAGAAGTCATTCACGCAAAGGTGCTCCCTCGAGTCGCATTGCCTCAAGGTGCACGGCGTGCAGCACCAGTACGCCTACAAGGAAAGACGATCAAAGGTGCGTCCGAACCACTTTCTCCTCCGTCTCCTTTTCTAATGATTTTTTTTTTACTCATTCCAGATGTACGTCTGCGAAGAGTGCGGCCACACGACCGGAGAACCCGAGGTGCACTACGTCCACCTGAAGGAGAACCACCCGTTCAGTCCGGCGTTGCTGAAGTTCTACGACAAGAGGCACTTCAAGTTCACAAACAGCAACTTCGCAAACATGCTCCTGCAGGTGCGCTCGTAACAAGAGGCCGCACCGCGTTTTTGCAACGAATAGAATGAAAGGCTTCTGTACAAATTCAGGACGATGGGCACTCAAGGCATACATCTTTTTTTTAACTTTTGATTATAATTTATATAAATATATAATATGCATTTGGACTGTCTACACATACACAACAAAAAGAGGGTGGTTTTCATGCTATGGGAAAAACTAGCTCGATTTTGATTCAACGATATCGAATATCACTTTGTATTGAATATTAATTTTATATATTTTACGTATAAATGACTTGTACATACTTAGACCATACGACGAAACTTTTTATACTGAAAAACGAATATATGCAATAGGAAGGATTGATCGATTGATTGATTGATGATTCCCAGGAGTTAAGATCGAAATAGGAAATAGTGTCTGATCATTAGTTTATCAATTTTTTTTTTTAAACAGGAATTCTTGCCGAGCTGGCGTTGAATAAACGACAACGATGAGAATCATTACTTGCACAATAATTTCTTTGTACAGCAACGAACGCATTAAATCGCGCACATGTCTATATATCTGGACTCAAATTATCGTACTGGGTTGAGATGGTTCCAGGGGGTATAGTGGAGTTGTTGTTCTTCCCTTTTCCGCAAGCAATCAACGACTGCAATTGCTTTTTACATAAAAATATGATGTCAATTATTTATGAGCCGACCAGCAGGTGGAAAAGTCGTCGCGACTTCTTCAACACTGGCCGAGCGCATTTCTATTTATTTAACTATGTACTACTACTGTCTTTTAGCAGCGCTAAGGATCAATTGCAAACATAGTGAGATATTTTTTCAGCTAGCTGTGGTGCTATGAAATTTGCTCAGGCACTCAGACTTTTAATACATAGTAAAATTATTGTGAATGCGATCATTTCCTGTGCACCTATAACGTGGGTCTTTTTTCGTAACCAGAACCAAAATTTTGCATTACTCGAGACAGGTTGGACGTATTTAGTAATTTAAATAAACATGCTGGGGCTAACATGCAATAATCAGTGTTGTAAGAGTATATGCACCTGTTAATAGAGAACAATGAAGTATTATATTATATTTCTCTAAAAAACCGTGTGTCTTATTTCTTCCTTTCCCTCTCTGATATAAAAGTTCCTTGTCCATCAAAAGAGTTGACAGTGACTTCCAAATGGAGGGAAACGTGTCCTTAGAATTACATTTATCTTTGAACGTTAAAATTAATGGAATTATTATTTATCAGTTAGCGTGCATTAGACGTTTCGAAAGTGGTATTCTGAATGGAAATACAGAAGTTGTAGATAACAATTGCATTTTATTATTGCACAGGAAGTTTCCAACAAATAAGGTTGTTTTGCGCCTGTTCTCAGAAATGTCTTTTGAAGAGACACAATTACTTTCATGAAACAGTATCTAGAGAAAAACCACATTAGATGGCAACTTTAAACGGCTAATCGCTTGTTTTTTCTTCAAAATCTACTTCCTTCAGTAATTGAAAGATTGCAATATTGTGTCACTATTTACATTATTTTGACAGCAAAATTCGTTGAGTCTTCAAAATAAACTGTCAGCAGAGAGAAAAAGAAGCAACTATGAAGTGTCTTACGGATTCAAGATTAAGAAATCTTCAGGAACTAACTAAAGTCAAGAGTGTCGTAAAAAAAACTAATAAAAACACAAATTTAGTGACTAATAATTTGCGATACTGTTCATTTTGAGGTAAAGTTAAATATTAACAAAGGTGGACGATACACTTTGAACGTGCGCAGATTGTATCTAATCCCACAGTATACACTATGCAGGATGACAATATTCCTAAATACGAAGAGTATTTATCTTTTGCTGAATAATTTTCAAATAAACAAACTTCTAAATGTCAGCAAGTAAAATAATAATCGTGTATAGAAATTCGACTTCTTTTTGGCAAAATTGGAGTCTTGGTTTCAAACCAGTAACAATCACTCTTCATTTGCATCCCAAAAGAGCAACGACTGTTGACTTCTTAGCAGCAATAAATTGACTCGACCAGCTGTCTGAAGATTTTTATTGTAAAATAAATAAATGAAAAAAATGAGCAAAAATTCTAAACATGACCTAGTCGAATCTTACCTAGACTTTACTCTTCTTTGGTCCTTTTGGGCCTGAGTGCTTTTATTACGACATGTCCAAAGAGGAACCACGGCACGAATAGGATGTGGCCCATCCAGTACACTGCATTGAAGGCAATCATCCACTTATGGTAGGAAAGCAGGACGAATGGTGTCAAACAGTAACCCATGAACACAACCAAGTACAGTTTACGGATGACCCACAGCACATGCCAAACGCCCGGCCTCTCGAGGGCTTCCGACAAGTCCTTTCGAACATGTAGCAACTGTTCCACCTAGAAAATTTAAAATTTAGAATAAAAAGGAGATAAGATTTGGCATAAAAATTGTACATACCTCTTTTTCCATTTTCATAATAATGAACTCCAAAAAGAAGGACATGTAGTATCCGGAATGCAATCCGTGCCACAGAGCGAGGAAGAATAGGGTGGTGGCCTGACTGATGTAGCGATTGTTCATGAACTTGAGGCGCTTGTAGATGTACCTGAAATTTTATTTTTACCTCCAAATTTTAAATTTATTTAATTTGAAGACTTACTGCATAACCCAGTGGTTGGTATTTGTGTTGAAAGACGAAATAAGGTGGCCGAACTTGACAGCACCTTCGTAGACTCGGAGCTGGACGTTGGCACACCCATTCCATTTCACTTTGCCGTTTGCATTTTCCCCGTTGTAGGTGAGTCCTTTAATTTTTTTAATTAAATGTTGAGACAATTTATCTCTAAAATAAATAATACCTGATGAGATACAGACTCCCTCAGTGATCATCCAGCAAGAAATGTATTTGTACATTGTGATCTTGCCCCAAATTCCCATGTTTAATGCTCTTTTCCAGAAAGGCAAAGTCTGGCACAAAAAGAAAATGTAAATGAAAATGAAAACTTTTAATTTTAAAAAACTTTTGTCTTACCAGGAATGCTTCTGAGAGAAGATAGTCATCCTTGTAGTAAATATTACCAACTTGGTAAATGCCTAAGTAAATGAAGCCGCCCAGTCCGCGCAGCAAACCGGGTACCATGCACTCAGGCTTTTCTTGACCCTTTTTAAATGAAATTAAAAGTTTTGTTCTTTCAACAGCCAGATGCAAAAGCTACCTCGGGTTTCATGGTGCCGTTGATCATGGACAGGTATCTCGTCATGGGAAACTGAGGTCCAACCATGTACGAAGCTGGGAAATAGGTGTATCCTGCCACTTCAAGCAAGGACGGAGTCCTGTCCATTGCAGTGAACTTTTGATCTTTTGACAGAGCTTCCTGCAAAAAAATAAATCATTTTGTGAATGAATATTGTGTTAGTAAACATTGATTGTGAGCAACAAGTTCACAGGGTGTATCAAACTGATAAGAGGATAATTATATAATATTGTGTCTCAAACTCACTGGACTCTTGCGCCCGTCGTAAACATCAAACGCTAAACCAATCAAACGCAGGGTCAAAACACAGTGGGGCATACTCCACTTGATGTCATACGTCTCTGTGCCGGTGTAGAAATATCCTGCATAAGAAATTTTTGTTAAATAAATTTATTGACACATTAAACAATTTACCTATCACCAAATAGCCCATGTTGAAGAGGAAACAAAGAATCACAGAGGCAAGTGTTCCTCCACAAGCCTTTAAAATTGTGTATGTCACAAGCACAGCTGACACTGAATGAAAAACTCCCAATTCTGGAAAAAAAATATGAAATTATGAAATAAATAAAAAAAAATTAAAAGAACTTATTAAAAATTACTGTAATTAAAAACTCCAATGGCAAGACCACACAGCAGGAAAAACAGATGTTGCAGATTTGCATTTTTTCCGTACAGGGTGTTCCGATGGAAAAATGCAATAGGGTAGCCTGGAGAATAGAAATATCAAGTTATTTGTATTCAGATTTCATCGATTTCTCTGGTTAATATATTAAAAAAAAATCCTCACCGACAACCAGGGAAAGTAGCAGTTTCAATGCTGGAACGGAACAACTAAGAGTTGCCGCCAAAGGGGCTAAAATCGAGGGGTCGTCCGCTGTCGTCATTTTGCCAGTAAATCCTGGTCTGCTAGGGCCGAGATTATCTTATCTGCTGCTGGGCTTGTATCGCACACTTTCGCCGCCTCTGAAGGTGAGAGTCAGCAGTTCAGCATCCTACTTCTTCTTCACCTGTCAATGCGGACACGAGAAATTTATGCATGAGAAGGAAAATCACAGCAGCGGAAAGGAGAGATTTGCGGCGATGCGGGGCTCAACATCGCGGAAATGCATCTCGGGGGCTCGCGGCGTGAAGCAAAAGAAATTCTTACCGCTTCATTTTTCCAATTTCATTGATCAGCTGCCGAAAATTCGCGTTTCAAAAGTGGCCGAACCGATGTTAAGGCGAAAAAACTGACGATCACTGCAACCTCTTTGGATCGACTGATCTGCGCGCCACCGGAAACACCCGAAGCCTCCCGACGACGTGTTCGTGCTTGTCTTTTTCGTGCCCTTTCCGACGAGCGACTGGTTCTTGCTTGAACGGAGGGTGCTGCAGTGACCCAGTTTTTCGACTCGACGACCCGCTAAGGACCAAGGTTTCCTCAGGTCACCCACCGAAGCGTTTTCGACTCCCTTTGCCGCGCAGTTTGAGCCGAGAAACGAAAATGTTCACCTGCTCCAGAGTAATCACCAGCTTGTCCAGGAGTTTCAGCACCTCCTCCGTGGTAATTTTGGACACCCATAGCGATTTGTCCTGTTTTTCGCAATCTTTGCAATTTACTGCTTCCCTGGTGGCTCGGTTGAGCCTCGAAATTCCCATTTAGCAGAGTTGAGCAAATATTTTTGGAGTTTTTAATAGAAAATTTTTGGAAATTTGCCCGCCGGTGGGTCTTTGACACGTTCTCCGCAAGGTCAATGGCACCAGCGGGTCAATTTTTGGCCAGCTGATAGGTCTTACATAATATTTGGAATGTAAACTACCACGTTAGTAAACTTTAAATCCAAAATATTTTGATGGAATCTATTATTTTTGATGTCAAATACTTACACGTCAGCCTGATTTTTTCCATGGTTGGCGAAAAAGTTAATTTTAATTTTAGTTAACGTGAGACTATCACGTGTTTAGATAAATTAGTAATGGGCCTTGTTTTTGTTCCCTGAAGACATCTCTGGCATTATCTCTTGAAAACCTGTAAACAAGAAGAGCTATAATGATATAAAAATAAATAAACAAGAGGACAAGAAAGTCCTTTAATTTGATGTTAAATATTATTGAACTGTTGAACAGTATTATTTTTTTTCAATAAAAAATACAATCATTGTGAAGTTTACCCACCCTTTAAAAATAGCTATAGATTTTCTCAATTATTGGTAATTAATTAATTTTCTTTTTTAGAACAATGCCAAAGTCGCTGTTTGTGGCGCGAGTGGTGGCATTGGACAGCCTCTGTCCCTGCTTCTTAAGCAGTCACCCCTTGTCACCCAACTGTCCCTGTACGACATTGTCAACACCCCCGGCGTGGCTGCTGACCTCAGCCATATGGACACCAGGGCCTCCGTCAAAGGATACAATGGACCTGATGAGCTCAAAGTAATCTTTTGAAATATATAAAAAAAAAAAAATTAAGTTATGAATTTTTCTGCAGAACGCCCTGAAGGGTATGGATGTTGTCATCATCCCTGCTGGTGTGCCAAGGAAACCGGGCATGACTCGTGATGACCTCTTCAACACCAACGCCTCCATTGTTCGTGACCTTGCCCTGGCTATTGCAGAAGTTTGCCCAAAAGCCCTGGTAATACGATCAATGTTTTTAAGTGTGAAAATACTAATTTAAAAAAATCAGGTTGGCATCATCTCCAACCCTGTCAACAGCACTGTGCCCATTGCTTCAGAGGTCCTTCTGAAGGCTGGTGTCTACGACCCCAACAGGATCTTCGGCATTTCCACCTTGGACGTCGTTCGCGCAAACGCCTTCATTGCCGAGGCCAAGGTATATTTGATATTTTAGAAAAACTAATCTACAATAATTGGAAAAGAATTAGATATTTTAAATAATACAAATGAAACATTTAAAAAGAAAGTAACAAAAAAATGAAAATGAATAGAGTAACCCAGTAACATCCTTTTTGTTGAAATTACTTTGATCTCAAAAACAAAATAAAAATTACAATTCACTTTTCAAATTAGGAAGATCTTTTTTTTAAATTAAGCCCAAATTAATTAATTAGACCCAAACATAATTCATTCACTTTTTTATAAGTTTAATAAATCCATTTCAAAACTGCTTTTAGAACTTGGACCCTGCCCAAGTGAACATTCCAGTCATCGGTGGACACTCAGGAGTGACCATCATCCCCCTGATTTCTCAGGCCAAGCCCAGTGTGGAGTTCCCCGCAGACAAACTGAAGGCCCTCACTGAGAGAATTCAGGTCAGAAGAATATATAATTAAATGAATTATTTGAAACTGTAACTTTGGAAAACAGGAGGCTGGAACTGAAGTGGTTAAGGCCAAGGCCGGAACTGGATCGGCCACTCTCTCCATGGCCTATGCCGGAGCCCGATTTGCCCTTTCTCTGATCAAGGCCCTGAATGGCGAGCCCAACGTCATTGAGTGCACATACGTCAGGTCGAATGTCACTGAAGCCAAGTACTTTGCCACCCCAGTCCTGCTCGGAGTAAGATTACAGATCAAAAAATTAATTTGGATTTATATTATAAAAATGTATAATTTCAGCCTAACGGAATCCAAAAGAATCTTGGATTCGGCAAACTTTCCGCCTTCGAAGCTGGCCTTCTGGAAAAAGCCATCCCCGAGTTGAAGAAGAACATCCAGAAGGGAGAGGACTTCGTCAATAAGTAAAGACTCAATTGGCAAACCATCAGTATGCAAGCAGTGTTCACTCACTATTTTTGTCTGGAAACAATCCAAAGAAAGGAAAAGGCCAACGTGCTGTACATACATGTGAGATGAAAAAAAATGCATGTAACCCTGAAATTATAGATGAAGTCAGAATGTGAATGCAAAGGGACGTCTGTCATTAAACAAAATGTTACAGTCTTACACAGCGGACTTGTCATTATGAAGACATTACCATTCGTTGAACCGAGTTGACTAATATAGATTTATAAATTATGCTATTGCAGTGCAGCTGGACTTTGCATACAATTATAATAATTATGGGTGCCATTTTATCACTGTGCACTGCACCGAAACAAACGGTTAAGGTCATTTCCATTCAGCTGGTACTCTGAATGTTAATGAAATTTTATATCCAGTTTTTTAGTTGTTTGTGCAGCAGAAAATTTAATTTAATTGATAAATGATGGATATGTTTTTTTATATTTCCGTTTACATTTTACACCTGCCTGACACCTGCGAAGGTTGTATTGAGGTTGATTTATTTCATTTATTCTCGATTCATAATAAGTTACTTTTCAAGAACATAACATTATTTAACATCAAAATCAGACTAAAAAATAAAACTAAATCAATTGCACCTGGTGTAAAAGGATATTAAAAAAAAAAAATTAAAAATGAAATAATAATTATCAAAGTTTTGTATTGTTCAATCAAGTTCAGCGCAATTGGCAAGTAGGATTATTTTAACTTTGACATTGTATTATTTTTTATAAAAAAATTAATTTAAATGATTTCTTTAAAAAAAATACTGAAAATGCAAAAAATGTGTGAATGATTGCGCCGTTTTTTTTCATTTTAATTGCACCTGGTGTAAAAGGATATTAAAAAAAAAAAATTAAAAATGAAATAATAATTATCAAAGTTTTGTATTGTTCAATCAAGTTCAGCGCAATTGGCAAGTAGGATTATTTTAACTTTGACATTGTATTATTTTTTATAAAAAAATTAATTTAAATGATTTCTTTAAAAAAAATACTGAAAATGCAAAAAATGTGTGAATGATTGCGCCGTTTTTTTTCATTTTAAATTAATTAAAATCATAATATTGAAAATTTCCCTTCAATAATTTAAGTCAGTAAAAAAATCACAAAGCCTCTGCTTTATTCTGCAATGAACGAAGTGAACGAACGATATTGCGCTCAATGTACTCTGGTGCTGGGTCGAGCAGGGGTGACCTCTGTGTCTGCGCAGGCGTACCATCTGCAGCCAGTCCACGACTCGCTGCTGCTGCAACTCGCCCAGCTGAACGAAAAGCAACTCGAGGAGTCAGAAAGAAACAGCCCGAAGTCTCGAGTGGTTCGTCGACTGCGGATGTGTGTGTGATGGGCGCTGGGTGTCGAAACTGAAGCCTCTGTTGGACCCTCGCTAGATGCTCTCAGGGCAGCACACGATTCGGCCGTAGAGCACCCTTAACAAGGTATGTGTGATTAAAAAACAAACCTTTTTGCTGGAAAGAAAGGAACCGAGTGTGTTGCTCAGGGCGCTCAGGTTGCCTACCGACGAGGCGCACTCGAAAGTGAGAGTGTAGCCTTGGCACAGTAAGAAAGGTTCATTTAGTCCAGCGTTTTTTTTTCGTTCGTACCTTTTCAACCCTTGCCTGCCGAGCCGAGTAATTAAATCAGCCTTGGCCACTTTACTCGCGACAAATCGATTGATTTTTCATCCTGGTTTTCCACCTCCCTTTTTTATAAATTGAAACAATGTCAAGTTCGTCTTTCTCTGCGTTTAATTGTTACATAGGGCAGGGTCGTTTGCACACGTATTTGGTGCAGCCGATTTTTTTCCGTCAAGAGCCGTCAAATTGGTCAATAATAGCGCGACTTGTTCTCTCCGCTGGTGATCTGAAATGTGTCCTGTTTGCGGTGAGAGATTTTCTTATTTTTATTAGCAAATAAAGAAACTTGAAATTAATATAAGTATTGGCAAATATTGTAGTTGCAAAGAACTCTGGCCTTTACAAAGAGATAATTTGTTTAATTTCCGCGAAATGGAAGGAGCAGGAAGCTGCGCACTAATGACACTTTATTAAATCAGTTCAGACAAAAGTTTCTTCCGGTTCTTTCCACTCGGTAATCTGGCAGGGAAGTGCTGTAAAAATAGAGAAGGAAGTTTATTTTTACAATTAATATTTTTGACAAAAAAAAAATAAAAATAAAATAAATCAAATCTTTTTTTGTTTACTTAATTTTTGTATGCGCCATTCATTACTAAAAATTTTACATCATCAATAAAATCGATGAAGTTTGAAAATGCAATAATTTTATTATATAATTTGCTATAAATTCTCTGGAATGCTATTTAAAATATCTCAAAATGTTTAAACGCTTGGAAATTTTGTATCTTTTTGTGTCTATAAAAAATAGTCCTACTTATCTGCAACAATTAACCTTGAGTGACACAGATTTGTCTTTGCATTGTGCTTATACTGTTCTCAAACCGTGAAAACTGAACCAAAACAATGAAATCTCACCAATTTTACAGATTATTATGATGATGTGCACTTAATACTCATTATAAATTAGTGCGATTTGTATTTTTTCTAAATATTAATTGATTTTTTCTCTCTTGTTGACATAAATTTGTAAATTCTTGTGAATAAATTGTTAAAATAATCTGCTTTTCAAGAATTTTTTTTTTTATTTTGATCAATTTAGATGTTGATTCATGGGGAATTTTCATTTTAAAGCGGATTTTTTGGTGATGGATTTTGTGTTCAGTCGCTTAATTTTATAAATGTAAATATGACAGTTAAAAAAAGATTTGGACATTTATTTAAATTAAATTCGACATATTTTGAAGCTTTGTTTCAGAGTGATTTTGATGCGCTCTCAACCAACAAATTAACAAATCAAGAGCAAAACCTGTAATTATTAATCATAAAAGCGTGCGCAATCATCTCTTTTTCTTTCTTCCTTCAGCGAATAATTATAATTCCAATTTAATAATTTCTCGCGGTGCATTCGCAAAGAAGTGTGCCAGCAGCCTTTTCTCTCGGCAATAATAATTATCCACCATAGAAATCCACAATTCTTCTAATTTAAATATCCAGATCCTCCTCTCCTTTCTCATACAACCCTTTTTTTGCAATTTCAATCGACAGCGCTTTTTGTTTCGGAACTACTTTGCATTTGAATAAAATTGGTTTTGCCATTTTGCATTTTTTTTCCCTAAGTGTGTTTGTTGTTTCAGGAACACTTAAACTTGTTTAGGAAAGTTTTTTATTTGTATTGTCTTCCGCCGGCCGGTCGCTTCTTCCGACACACAAATTCAGCGACGACAATCATAACTTGACACAAAAACCGCGCGTGAAATTTCTCTCGAAAGGAAAAGGGTCTCGTCTGCACTTGCGGTCAAGTGGCCAGGACGTAACGTGTTGATCTTATCACTTGCGAATTTCGCACTTTCTGTATATTACATGTTGCAAAGCGTGTTAATCTTCGCGTGCAAGTGAAGTAATCCAGAGCACAATCTTTTCGTTCCTCTCCTCGAAAAGTTGCATTTTTATTTTTATCAAAACTTCAGATTATACACGTTGTTCTGTCGATTTCCGCTTTTTTGTCTGTGATAATGAACATTTGACTGGGTTTTCCTTTTGGTTTTGGTGTGAAGTAGAATTTTATAAAAAAAAAAAAAATAACAACACCGGAATTCAACAAAAATTATTAATGTTATTATCATTTTATTTCTGCTTTCTCTGTTTCTGTTTTCTCAAGGTTAATTTTTAATTTTTTTTTATTGTGATTTTTTTAAACTATTTTAAAGTAGATTTTGTTTATCAAAATATGAAATTTACTATTTTCAGTCTTGTTCAAAAGATTGTTACATAAAAAATAATTCAATAACTTTGTAAATTTCTTATTTCTTATGAATTTTTGAGGCTTAAATTGAGTTAAGCCCCTGCGTCAATTTTGGGCATTTTATCTTCAAGATAAATAGCCTCATTAGCATTGTCGTCACGTCATAATTGCTACACAAACCATAATAAAATGCTGCACGCAAGTCGCTAATGATGCCTGAAAGAACCGCGATTTTTATCTTTCTCAATTTGCGTCCAAGGATTTTCTTGAATTAATAAAAATTATTCCAGATTTTGGTGCATACTTTGGCTTTTCATAACAAGAAAAGCTTTGAAGGCCGCCGTAATAACAAAGGAAATATGCAAAAAATGTGGATCGCTGATTCCCAAGTTTGAAAGTCTGAAATTTTTACAAATTAATACGACCGTTAACAAATCTGTAGAAATTGTAATATAGGCGGTATGAAATTTGAGCTTATAACTACACACATTTTATCAGCTCACAAGTAAATTTAAATATAGATTTTGTTCGATGGTTTTTCCAGCCCAGTTCCAGCCTTTCCCATTACAAAAAAGCAATATCCGGCTCTACATCCTTCTTCTGCTTTACTTAGATCAGGATATAGTTTAATTCCTATGAATCAATAAACTTCTAAAAAATCCCTTCTAGGAAAAGCTGACTCAATCAGACTCGCCGTGAATAAATCCTCAATTCATTTTTATTATATTAATACAAAAGTATTTTTTAACATTTTATTTTTTATTTTTAATTGATCAATCTTCCTAATTTTTTACATTTTTTTTATTTAATTTCTTCTGTAATCCATTTTTACCTGCATAGAAATTTAGAAGAAAACAGATTAAAATCATTCAGAAAATTTTCCCACGGCAAGGAAACGATTGTATTTTATAATTTAAAAAAAATAAAAATATCTTGACAAATTTTATTTGAAGCAAACCGCTGCTGCCGGTCTGGTTAAGCGGATTTGAGAAGGCTGCTGTGGTTTTGCCTCTGAAAGCGTCGTTCAGTCTCTCTGTTTTTCTCCCGGCTCGAATTTTAAACCTCTAAAGACGAATTAGCCAGACCGATTGTCACGCGACTTTTGCTGGATCGGAAGTGGTACAAGTCACGGCGACGACACCTGTTTAGAATGGCTTCTTCCCCGCTTGGGAATCAAGCGCCGGTGACTGGACTCGGCTAACTGCTGCGCTGATCAATTTTTAAATAAATCATCTGCTACGAGCCAATGCTATACTTTCACTACTCGCCGCCGCTTGCTATGAGGTGTTGTATAAGGTTGTATAATTTTAGAAAGCAAAATGGCAAAACCCAGTGAACCAGACAATGTCAAATACACACAGCGCCGCTAATTCGCTAGGATTTGTTTGTTTCGGCTTTCGAAATAGCACAACGTGCGTAATCGATTGAAAGCAGAAAACAGATCAATTGATTCTGTTAAAGCAAAACTGAACAGTAATCAATTTAAGTCGTTTTTTATCATTAATTACATGATGTAAAAATGAGGAAAACTAATTAATTACAGTTTAATTTAATTTTTATCAGGAATTTTTATCGTTTTAGTAGATGTGATTTTGAATCAAACAAAGTGGTAGGTTAAAATTTGGATATGATTTCAACTTTTCAAAATTTTTGCAATATAGAACAATGTAATTTTGGATAAAGGATCAAGATTTCTTTCAAATTTGAGGATAGACTGGAACCATTGAATAAGATTTCATGCAAATTTAATTTTGAGTTGCAAAAAACAATATCAATATGATGATAAAAATTTCGTCGAATAAAGTTTCAATTATTAGGTTTAATATTTAATTTTAAAACGGCTGTAGAAAAGGTTTCCCTAATCGATCTCTAACTGATGTTATGATGTAAATATTTTATTGCACGTCAGCACGATTGTTTTTGACCGGCTGAGTTTGAGCAAAAAAGTGCCAAGCCAGGTGTGTGAAATTATGCAAGCGAACCGGTTTTGCACTTTTGTTTCAAACCGCGCGACTTTTTCATGCGGTCTCTTTAATTTCACTCCGTATATCTCCAATGGTTTCCTGGTAAATTATAAATTATCCCGCTCCTGTTTATATATTAATTGCGGTCGATCGTGATAATTTGTCAAGGTTCTGCCGACCGGCAGCAATTTTTAAATCATAGTGCGTGAATCGAGATTGGAAAGGAATCGTAAAATAATTTGAGCGACCGCAGTTGCTTCTATGCGAGCAAGGCCAAGTCAGTAACTTTTTTGGCTCTCGTAAAACCAGAAAAGCTGGCTGGCTGGGCTGGCGGACTCGATTGACAGCCCTTATTGCTAGCCGTGGGGATTTAAAGTACGAAAGCCTTTCTTTCTTTATTTCTTTCTTTTGCATGTCGAGATAAAAAGAGGATTTTGGCAGGGAGGATGAATAAGTTGTTAGGAAAAGGTCGCTCCGGATTTTTTTGCGCTCATTGTGCCGCAACCGGAAGGCTTGTGACAAGGCCAACACAGAGTGAAATTGCACTTGGAGCTAGGAATGAAAATGTATACCTGCAATTTAGCATCATTATCATTATGTTGTCTCGCAGTGTCTTTGTTATCATATAGAAAAAAAGGTCACGAGAGAGTATTGTATAATTTTTTTGCACTCTTCGCAAATAGTGAACAGCAGGAATCGCGATGATATATAAAAGGTCTCGCAGCAATAATATCATTTTTTTGAAATTATAAAATAAATGTTGTCAGATTCAGAGGATTTCCAAGGATTAGTAAACTTTATGGCAGGATTTACAAATTGTAAAGCAAGATAAGATAAAAATGATCCAAGTAACATTTTTAATAATTCGGTCCAAAAGGGTTACTAAGATAATTTAAGAAAGAAGAAAACTGACTTTTGAAGTCAACAGCATTGATATTTTTGTAATAATTTCAAATTATGAAAATTGACTAAAATTTTAATTAAATTGTATGGTGGTTAATCAATATTTTTAGTCATTATAATTTATTTTTTTTAAGTAATAATATTAAATTCCATTTTTTTTTTGGAATTTTATATTTTGAAACAGATGAAATATATTGAATTTTTGATAAAATTATAAAATATTAAACAATATTGAATGTTTTCAATTGCAATACAAGTCATAACTGACAGACGAACTATTTATATTATGCAAATTGACATTAATTCCCAGTTGTGCATTGTCATTATTAGCAATGCTAATGACCGTCGATTGTGCGATTTAATTCTGTGTAATAGCTAATTTACAATTATTATTATTGCCGTTCGATTAAGACACTCGTCGCAAACAAGCGTAATAACAAAATTGTTTTATTCAACGCGATCGGTTTCGCTCTTTAAAGCAAGTCGGCGGCGCACGAACAATGACGGGAAATCGAAGTCGGAGGGACTTTCATTTGTTTGTCCACGTTGGATGAATTCAAATTGCACACCGTTTCTTTGCAAATAATGACGCCCTCATATCCCGGCAACCCGCACCTTCAGAAATAAAAATCCGGCCGCCTTTTATCAGAAAACAATCGCGCCGAATTTAGCTCTGCTGAAATAGAACGTTTCTGCGCGCAATTTTAGTCCCAATCGCCGATATATAAATAGAAAGTTTATGTATAAATTGTGTGCGTTCGATTAATTTCACTTTGCGCCTAGGAATGTTTAATTGACCGCTGCACTTCTTTTCGAATTATGAACTTGCTTTTATCACAAAGCTGCGAACAACAAATCGCGCACTCTTGAAATTTCCTGCCGGTTGAAAACTTTCGCTTTCAACGCTTGTTCTTCCTTTCTCGACGCTCTCGCCAGCTTTGCCACTATCATGCATGCTGAATTGAAACGTTTTTCGTCTTTTTGCAGCGATGGCGTGCTTACGGGAGGCGAAAATTATGCTGGTCACCGCGCTGGCTTGCGTGGTGCTTGTCAACCACGTGTCGGCCGAAGCTCCGAAAATCTTCATGAACCAGTACGCCGTGCAGATCCCGAACGGCCATGAAAGTGCCAGTGCCATAGCCCAGACCCACGGTTTCACCAACATGGGACAGGTACGCCAAAAATTCTTGGTCATTCATTTACTTACTTTTTTTATCAACTATAATACAAGAGGAAACGATTGAAAGTAAATGACTTGCAATTATCGTTAATATACTTCAGGCCTCTTTTATTTCCATTCATAACATTCTATTTACTTTAAAAAGCATTGATAAGATATAATTTATGATTTAAAACTGCTTATTTTTATGGAAAATGAATTTGAAGGAAATTAATTATTGTCAGATCACAGTGTTTAAATTTATTTGTAAATGAAAGAAAACTATTTGAAAAAAGGTATTGGTTAAAACCTGAATAATAATTTTTGTATTTATCTTCAAATGAATTCCCTTTCTAATTTTGTTCCAGATTGGTGAGCTGAAGGGTTTTTACCTTTTTGAACATTCACGCATCCACAAGCGGTCCGCCCTGCCAAATAACACATACCACTCGAATCTCATCAACGAACCCGAGGTGCGTGTTTATTTTATTCTCTCTCTCATAGCTTTTTACTGCATTTTCTCGTCTTCTCAAATCGATGCCAAAGTCGTGATCTCTGCGAAAGGCGTTTGTTTGCATGAAATTTATATAAAACATTCGCGCGCGCGAGAATGAAAAGATTTCATGCGATTGCTGACCCAATTGCAGGTGCTCTGGGTGCAACAGCAGCATGTCAAGCGGCGAGTGAAACGAGACTACCTCTCCGACTTCAGCCCGTACGGCACCTTCGACTCTCTATTTTCCGGCGGTGTTCAGCACTCGAGGGTGGCGCCGCGTGACCAGGGTTCTTACCTCGGCGCCAGGCCCTTCTTCCCTGACCCTCTCTTCAAGGAGCAGTGGTACATGGTAGGAATTTTCATTTTATTTTTTATTTTTTTTCCAATTTAATTTAGAATGAAATTGTAAAATGAATTGTTCTAATCGAAAGTGTGATGGGAGTGAAAGGTCATGTATACTGAACTTGCATTTTGAACCTTTCAGTTTATGTTTTAAGTCAATAAAATCTGTTTGTAAACGTGACCTGCACGCTATGAGTTTATGTCAAGGGTCACAGTAACGTCTGAGAGTTTAAGACACGTGTATTAAAAAGCTAAAAAGCCTTGACCTTTTTTCAAGCACATTTTATATCAAACTTATTTTTATTTATTTCCTCAGTTTCTTTCTATACAAGTTCGCAAATATTTTTAATATAATATATGTATTGTGCAGTAAAAAATGTTTATGGTAACAGTCATTTGCCAAAAAATGTAGACAATTCAGTGTGGCTTTCCTTGTGCCTTGTTCAATGTGTTAGCATGATTTTTGTTTATTTTCGTAGACCGGCGGTGCGAAAGACGGTTTCGACATGAACGTCTGGCCGGCGTGGCAAAAGGGCTACACAGGCAAGGGTGTTGTGATTTCCATCCTCGACGACGGAATCCAAGTCAATCATCCCGACTTGGCGCAAAACTACGTAAATAAATTTTTCCCTTGAAGATTTGAACTGGTAAAGTAAAATGCACTTTTCCCTCTTCAGGACCCTTTAGCCAGTACAGACATCAATGACAACGACCCCGACCCGATGCCCCGGGACAACGGGGACAACAAACACGGCACCCGGTGCGCCGGGGAGGTCGCAGGTGTGGCCTTCAACAGTATATGTGGAGTCGGCATCGCTTACAACGCCAGTATTGGAGGTACATGAATGATTCAAAATCTAATTACCCAAAAAATGACGTCAATGGTTATTTTGGAAGGAAAAACAATATGAATAAAATATGATGAACGTCCTGTGTCATGATTAGAATTTCTAATGGGAAATCTTTTCAGGTGTTCGTATGCTCGACGGCGTGGTGAATGACGCGGTGGAGGCAAAAGCCTTAGGCCTCAATCCCGCCCACATTGACATTTATAGCGCCTCTTGGGGACCAGAGGATGACGGCAAGACCGTTGATGGACCGGGCCCTCTGGCGCGCCGAGCCTTTATTTACGGAGTCACTGCGGTGAGACAAAATTTATTTCACATATGAGTCAATTAATTCCCTTATCCATTGACGCACGCTTGCAAGTATTGCTCAACCCATTAGTCCATCCAATTACCCGCTCCTTATTTACAACACCCTGATGATGATAATTTTGCCGATAGGGTCGCAATGGCAAAGGATCGATTTTTGTGTGGGCGTCTGGCAACGGCGGCCGCCACACAGACTCTTGCAACTGTGATGGATACACCAATAGTATTTTCACCCTCTCAATCAGCAGTGCCACTCAAGGAGGGTGAGTAACGAGCTTGTTTGCTCTGTATAATATATTTTTTTTATTTTGACTCGAAGGGTCGCAACTTGCAATATAATGCCTTAAAGTATTATATATATGTTAGAAAATAAGCTACTGGAAATTATTAAAAAACAATATCGATGACTTGCAGCTAAATGGCTTTATTAGGTATGAGTGGATACTTCAGCTCATTTACTTGTCATTAATTATTTAAATTTTTGCTAAATAAACATTATATTTTCAGCTTTGTATTAAAAGCAATTTATTTTTCTTCTAAAATGCACAGAATTCCCGTTTGTTTCACTATGGTTAAAATAAAAATACCTGACATTCCACTTTATGGAAGAATGTGGGCTCCATCAACTCGCAGTCATTTAGAATTAAAAAATATTGTATATTTTATTATGCTAATTAGAAATTTGTCACTTGTCTGTAAAAATCCAACAATAAACCATTATTTAACCGCAAACTTCCTAATTGCAGGTATAAACCGTGGTATTTGGAAGAATGTTCATCAACTCTTGCCACAACATACAGTTCAGGGACACCTGGCCATGACAAGAGCGTCGTGACCGTGGACATGGATGGTCGATTGAGACCTGACCATATTTGCACTGTTGAGCACACTGGTAAGTAGATCTTGCAGAAATTAAAAAAGCGGTGTTAATGTTCTTCACAGGCACTTCGGCCTCGGCGCCGATCGCTGCTGGCATTTGTGCTCTGGCCTTAGAGGCCAACCCTACTCTGACCTGGAGAGACATGCAGTACTTGGTGGTTCTCACATCCAGGTCACAGCCACTTGAGAAAGAGCGCGGCTGGGTCACAAACGGCGTACAAAGAAAAGGTATAAAAATATTTCATACTCAATTCCGCACTTACAATTATAATTTTATTGCCATTTATTTCAGTGAGCCACAAATTTGGCTACGGTCTGATGGACGCCGGGGCCATGGTTCAGCTCGCTGAGCAGTGGATTACAGTGCCTTCACAGCACATTTGCAAATCGCCAGAATTGAACGAGGAAAAGTAATTTTTTAATGCTCTGTCCTGGAGGTTGAAAAATTAATATATATTTTTATCAACAAAGGTCAATTTCGCCAGTTCTGGGTCAAGTTATGCAATCGCAAGTGGAAGTGGATGGTTGCATCAACACCTACAACGAGATCCAATATTTGGAGCATGTGCAGTGCAAATTGACCCTCCGATTCTTCCCCAGAGGAAATCTGCGTATTTTGCTCACCTCGCCTATGGGCACAACCTCCACATTATTGTTCGAGCGTCCCAGGGATGTTGCCAGCAGCAATTTTGACGACTGGCCCTTCCTCAGTGTGCACTTCTGGGGCGAGAGACCTGAAGGCAGGTGGACTCTGCAAATCGTCAACGCCGGTAACAGACAAATCAACACACCGGGTAATTTTCAAATTTTTCATATCATATCATGCAAGTTAATTTTGCATTTTTATTCAGGCATCCTAAAAAAATGGCAGCTCATTTTCTACGGAACAAAGGAAAACCCCATTCGGTTGAGAACCAATTATCCGTCAGCAAATGCTGCAAGCCGATCCTTTTCAGGCAACCAATACACAAACGGGTACTTTGATTTTCAGCAACCAAATCAGCAGCCGGTAGATAACTTAGTCTAAAAAATTTTAGTTATATCTTTATCAAATAAAAACTCTGTAGCGTCTCGGTGATATGCTGACGGCTGGAAGCGAGAAGTTTGAGACTGTCGTTGCTCCTCCAAACAGCACTTCTTCAGATGCATCGTCTGAAAATTTGGAGCGAATCTCTAAAAACTGCCACCCTGAGTGCAGTAACTTTGGGTGCTACGGAGAATCATCAACAGACTGTGTTACTTGCAAAAATTTCAAATTAAATAGGTAAACTTGTGGGTAATTTAATATTTTGATCGTCAAAATTTTATTTTTGCAGCACTTGTGTCGAAGAATGCCCTCAACGTAGTTTTCCAAGCTCGCAGGGCATTTGCCTCCTTTGTCACGACTCTTGTCAGGGCTGCAAAGGACCTAAAAAGAATGACTGCTTGACTTGCAAGCGTGAGGCCAAACTGAGCGACGATGGCCTCTGCCTGGCCAAGTGTCTCAATCAGAATAATGGAGGTATGAATATTATTTATTTTTGTTGTGTCGAGAAAAACTTAAATTACATTTATTTCACTCCAGATGTCCCATGTGAAAATACATCCTCAACGGTGCGAAGAGCCGTCGAAACTCCAGGCATAATTGTGGTCAGCCACACCATCAAGTCCAATTATTTAGATGCAGTAGCAATCCTAGGGGCAGCCGTTGTGGTGGTTGCAGTGATTTTTGTTACCATAAGAAAGGTATTGAATTGCATTTCCAATCAAGCATTACATTTTACGCTCTTATTCTTTCAGCTGAATAAGGTTACTAACGCCAAGAAATGGTATGCTGACTACCATGCGGTGCCAACGAGGCAAGGTGATTTCGATGAGAGCTGATACAAAGAGTGATTTCCCATTCAATCTGTGTTAAAAGAATCTTTATATATAAAATGTTGTATTTTTTGTAAATAAAATTACGTTGATTTCAAAATCGCCGCGACAATTTCCATTTGGTTTTATTTTGTTCAACAATGAAACTAGTGCGACTTTCATTCATACACTTTATTAAAATTACAGATTTTAAAAACATACAGTGAATTTCACACTTCTTGCACACTAATATAAGAGTATTGTTAGTAAATAATTTAGATTTACACCTGCACATAACCCCATGTCAATCATTAAATACAAACCATTAGATTCTCGCACACGACTGTCACGCCACAAGCATGCGGACACTTTTTTCCTCTGTTGTGTTTGCTTCCATGTGCTCGTTTAAATCAACAAATACATTTGAATATATACTATATTTATATAATCCAGGGTCAAACATTGATGCGTCAAACTTAATCAAAATGAAAAATTCAGGCAACCCCCACCCGTTGAAACAACTTTGATAATGAAGGAATCGCAATAGTAAACAAACAAGTATGAATATAATTTTTTCCCTCCCCAACTCCTTTCCTTCTATGAAATACCAATAATCAGCTTCAAAGGTGTTTTGCGTCTTCTTTAAATATTTAATTCATCGTTTTTTGTTTAAAGACTAAATTTTGTTTAACTATGCGCCTCGTTGATCAGGTCGCTCAGTAAAAATTCGATGCTGGATTCGATAGCATTTTAAACAGCGCTTTCGCAGGCGAAATCAAAAACATTTTGTGAAAGAGAGAGACTGAGTTTAACTTAGAGATGGAAAACTCGGTGGCGTGATATCTTGCGGGAAACTCGTGTGAGTGTGTCAGGTGTATTTCTTTCTTGTCTCTCTGAGAAAAACGAACTGCACGAGAACCGACCGAACGGAAACTGGAGACGCCACGGTAGCGAAAAGGGGGTGGTCTGCGGGGGTGAGCGCTCGACTCACTCAAACAACACTCGAAAAACCATAAACCTTTCAGAGGGATACATATATTTTGCTTTCGCCAGGGAGAAAACAGCGGACAGAGAGTTCTTTTGTTTTTTAGAAAAGGCATTTTAAAGGCTTTCACCACACCCCGTACACTTCTCTGCAGGCAGTTCATAATTATTATATAATTTATTTATGTATTCAACTAAACTGGATCCAGACTGAACCAACTGTTTAAAGCTAAAGCAAAAATCACAGTCCAAAAGTAATAAAGACTCAAGCAAGATTGGGAACTAGACGACATCGTATTAATTAGATAATTATCTTTTCATTTTATCTGATAACAAACGACTCTACATCAAGGAAAGAAATCGTAATTACTCCAAGTGCAGCATAAAAATAACAGTGAGATTTGTCATCAACTTCCGTATAATATACAACATTATTTGCTCTCTTAGGTTCTTATGCGTGTGTGTGTGTGTTTAGTGTAAGTGTGAGAATGCTTGATAGTGTATGTATGTGTGTGTGTGTTAATTATTATGAATACGCTCATGCCCTAAAATGCACTGCAACTTCCACAAAGTCATACGAATGAAAAACAACGCAAGAAATCAATCCATAATAAATAATAGAGTTACTTTCTCTAACCGTATGCAAAGACAAACGTAAAAAAAATCCTCAAGCTCCCCGCAACCAACGCTCAATGCTTCAGATATATTCGTAGTTTTAACTTACAATTGATAGATATATTCACCTTGCACAAACTTGTCAATGCATAAAACAAATGTAAAAAAGTCAGCCCACCCGTCCAAGAATACTTCCCGAATCATGCCTTTTCCTGAGAGCGTGCGGGCGTTTTGAAAGCCTTTATCGACCCCACTTGCTGGTTCTTTGAAGTCTACACGTCGTACTTGAGATAACTCCCTCCCTTGTCCCGCTGCGGCCACGAAGCTCCGCCTGGACCCTGGTTGCTTGTGTTGGGCCCACCGGGGTTTTCGGCGCCGCCACCACCCTGATTCATCCAGCCGAGGAAGCTGGAGCCGCCCGCCCCCTGGTTAGGGGTCCCGGCGTTTCCACTTTGTCCAGGGGGGACGTTGGTCGGTTGCACCGCCTGATTGCCCCCCTGGGCACTGGCACCCCCGGCAAATTGCTGCGGGTTGCCAAACCCTTGCGTCGGACCGTTGTCCTGGCCGCCCTGGGCGCTCTGGAGGTTGCCGATGATGCCCCAGCCGGCGGCTGCCTGGTTGAGCGCAGCGGCCACAATGGCAGGGTTCATGGGCAGGGTGCCCAGGTTCAGGGCACCCATTCCCATAGGGTTGTTCATACCTTGTGTGGCTCCAGGCGGACCTTGACCTCCGCCAGTGGCCCCGATGCCTCCAGTTATACCCAAAGCCTAAAAGATAATACAAAAATTAATTGATGAAATTAAGAGAATTTTTTTTAATAAATTCATTATTATTTTGATCTCAACTTGGGGAACGGAACCAGTTTGAATATTTTAAATAATTTAAATTAACTTAAGTAATATCAATTTAAATATAAAATTAGAGTGTCTTGAGTTTGCTAAATGCTGAATTTTCTCTTTAATAGTAATAATAATTCAACTAACCTGCAAGTTTGGCATGTCTAGATTGGCTCTGCTTCCAGGCAGCGCTTGTCCCCAACCGCCTCCAGCAGTGCCGCCGACGCCGATGGTGGCCACGGAGCCTCCGTATGGTCCCTGTCCGTACGGCCCACCAGGTCCGGGGAGCGCTTTGTGTTCGGTGCCTCTGCCGCCCCCACCGCCACCGCCTCCACCCATGTTGCCTCCGTAGGGGCCGCCTATCCGGTCAACAGGCGCCCGGCCGCTGGCGCCAACCCTGGAGGGATCAGTTTTGGGGGCGGCATTGCTCACGTGGACAGAGACCCCTTTAATAATGTGGTCCTCGCCGCACAGGCTCTGGGCCACCTCAGGGTCAAGGAAGGTGACGAAGGCGAACGCCCTAAAGGGCTTGGGGATGAAGACGTCTGTGACTTCGCCAAATTTGGAGAAGTACTCGCGCAGGTCGTCACCCTGCATGTCTTCAGTGCAGCGCCCGACAAAAACCTTGCACGGCACTTGCTGAACTTGGCCCTCCTAGAAAGCAAATAGTAAAATAAAAAATAATTTTCCAAAAGTTAAAAGCTTATATAATGTATTGAACTTTCAGAAGTTTCATATACAAAATTTCTGGATCAATTTGCAACATGAATAGGAGATTTTATTATGTTTCTGTTTGTCTTTCCAATTTACCTTTGAATTTGGGATTTTGACATCACACCAGCGTCCATCAATCATGTGTCGTTGAGCTAGCACTCTCATTTGTGATTCGTAACTGCCAAAACGGATGAAACCAAAACCTTTTGACTGGCCCGTTTTTGAGTCCTTTTTTACCTGTGGCACCAACATAAGAATATTATAAACAGTTTTTGCAAATTAATATGTCCCGTACCTGAGCCATAAGGACCTCGCCGTAGGCTTCAAAATACTCTCTCAACTGCTGCTCTGTCGTTTTCCACGGCAGACCCAAAACTATCAAGTCTGAGCATTTTTGCTTTGATTCCATGCGTTTCGTCTTGGCTGTGGAATTTTCCAAGTGGTCATCTGACTTTCTTTTGTTCTCTGCTGCAATTTAAAAGGTAAAATTAACAAATTAAAATCCATCCTGTCTACCAAATCAAGAGTGGGTGTGGTTGACGTAGGTTTACGAGAAGTACAAAACGGTATGAATGGTAATAATTCAAGACTTTATAGTGTGCCGAAGGCCCAGACTGTCATTTAAAAGGGCCAGCGTAGTTGTTCAACTGTGTTTACATGAATTGTTTACATTTGAATGGCCGTGAAAACTGGATAAAATGCCCGTAACAATATCGCCCATAAGAGTGGGAGGGTCGCAAACAAACAAGGATTTGAGGGACATTCCGGACAAATTTTGACCTGCCACTTATCAAAGGTTGGCGGCAGGCATTGGGGATGATAAGAAACAGGTGATTTTCCGTGCTCAAGGTCTCGTTTTTCCGAATTGGCGCCGTGTTTTCGTAGAGGCGCAATAACAATATGGGCCTAGTGGGGCGTGGCAGAGGTTGGTGTCGACTGCCGAAAACACGGCCATTGTCGGCCAAAACGAACCTTTGGGGAAGACGCAGAAATATATCGAGTTGCCCCAGCCGTTCTCGGGTGCGTGTAGCCTGCCGTCGACAAGGCGAATGCCTCGCATGGCACGGGAATCTGGATTGCGATACTTGAGACCGCAAGTGCCAGGGTAGGCAGCGGCCAGAGTGGACAGCAGCAGAGTGCCATCGTCCTCGGTGGGCAGCTCAATCGGCTCCTCGCCGTCTTCCTCGGCCACTTGTAAATACGAAGTCATTTCTTCCGAGCTCAACCGAACCACACGCACTCAAAATTCTTTCCTCATTCAGCGTCCATTTACTCCAAGCCAAACATTCCCATCTGAACCAAGTTCACGTTTCGCGTCCCATATGAGTTTGGAATGGGCACGCCGTCATCGGACCATCGCCCGTTCCGAATCGGTACAAATTCTTTCAATGATTTTTACATTCCTCCAATTTACGCTTAAATTCTCCAAATAACGGCATTTTTTAATTTGTAAAAAATATTTTTGAAGTGATTTCTAGCTTTTAAAAGCAGGCTACGACCATATTTAGGTAATTTTTTGTTGAATCATCGGAGAGTGGGTTGTTCGATAATGGGCTTGAGAACAAAGTTCCGTTCTCAGTTCCGCCATTCATGTAGTCGTCGACTGCTTTGGAATGGCGGAATGTTGAAATCGGACCAGTTTTGGGCCAATCGCAGCGTGGGAAGCGCCAAGGAGGATGAAGACGAGACATTTTCTGGCCAGTTTGTTTTCGTTGAGATAATCCTGCAACACAGGGCCAATCCATCTTGGATGTTTCTTTCGGCATTGGTGCCGATTTTCCAGGCGCTTGGTTGAATCCTCCTCCTCAATGTCGACGTTAACATCTTGAGAGGTGACCGGACGAGCTGAAAGCGGCGCAGGTACACCCCCTTTGCCGAATTCGGCTTGTTTACCCATCCCTTTTTCTCATGCTCTGCGGCCGATTGGCCCGAATTCGGCCTTTTTCATAGCCCGGGGCCGAATACTTCGGCGCATTTTTTTCTTCAGAACGAAATTTATTAATTTGTTCAGCGATTCCAGTTATTTTTGGATGCTGGAAGCCAGGGGAAATGCTAGCAGACGGGCAGACCCGCACAGTCCCGTTAGCTTTTTTTACCTCGGCAGGCACGAGAGACGTGAAGCGAGATTTTGATCGCGCTCGCCGAAACATTACATTTTCCAAAAGCGTCGTCAGGAGCTTCCTTATTCCTCAAAAAACACTGTTATAATTCTGAAATTTTAAAATTTTCATAAAGATTGTTGACGTTCTTATGATATCTATTTTGGGACGTTCTGTTTAGATGCTGCATTAAATTAATGGATAATTTGCAAATTTTGACGTTTGCAGAATTTTATAAATTTCCACTTCAGTAAAAAAAATTAAAATGTCTTCTATTCATAAGGATAAACAATGAAAACACTAATAGATTGCACTATTTTATCATTCGAAGGCATAATTATCTTGCAAGATAACCTCTCTTGTTGTTTCTCTTTGAAATTGCGCGTTTCGCACACTTTTTACACACCAATTGTCAATCATGCAGTCCAATTCGAGAAGATTATTTGAACCGTCTCCTCTGAACTTTGTTTAAAAGAAAAGAAAAGCAACAAAAATTAAATGTATGCTTTCAAAAACATTATAGTTCATTTTTTTTTTATTATTATTCTTTGCGTCAGTTACGTTTTCAACACGAAAGTTAAAAATTTTCTATTTTTGAACCCGCGTAAGGGCCAATTACACATCGATCGGTTCTTATCTCCGGAAAAAAAACTCAATGCAAGCCTTGCACAAACAAATTCGGTAATCTCAGCTATCTGCCCCGAAAGGTCACGCCTGGCTTCCTGTATATTTCTTTTTTTTTTCTCACCCGGCGGCCTCTTTCTTTACAATTTGTTCTCCGCAGGTTGAAGGTTGAGAAACCTGCCGCCGCATGTGACCAATGCCTTCGAAACTGGAAGCAAACCAGTCCCCGTCACCATCTTCCTCGGTCCAGCCAGTTTTGTCGAGAAACCACGCTAGCATGAGGCACCCGGACAGGACGCAGCACGCGGGTCAGAACCCGCCAGGTGCCCCCGCCTACTCGTACCCCACGTCGCAACCCTACCTTGCCTCTGGCATCCCTCCGCAGTCGTCCTACAGGAGCAGTCAGCTGCTCAACCGCGGCGGAAACGCGACCATTCAGGCCACATCGTTGACCCAAGTGAGTCAATGCAAATTTATAAATTGACATTATTGAATATATATTTTTTTTAATTTCATTTTTATTTATTGTTCTTCTTCAAATAGAGCTGAAAATATTGAAATAACCTCTTGTTGATAACAGATAAGATAAGAATTTTAATTTTATCAGCAAACTCAAAAGGGAAATGATTTTCATAAAATTATATGTTACTGAACTATTTATTACTTGTTCTTTCTTTTTTAATTTTTCACAGTAATATTTTTTGTTCATCTGTTAATTGAAATAAGTTTAGTATCTCACAAAAACTAATTCCCCTTTTTTATGACAATTTTAATTTTGTGTCAAAACTTTGACATCCCGTAATGAGTGAAAACAATGATATTGATTTACTTTCTCTCGTTTCCTTGTGCAGAGTGATCACCCTAGCATAAACCATGGGCAAGGACCCTTCCCCCTGCGGCATCGAGTTTCATTACTCCATTCAGCTGAAAACATGCTCCCAAGGCCTAGATTACACAAGTAAGTTGATTGAAAGAGAAATAATTTGGTCATCATTTGTCAAATTTCTGCCAGCAGCATTGACGAACCTCAGCCCATGGACTCGCAAGACAACGACGTTGGGCCCATGTATAAAAAGATCCGTCTGGGAAACGCCGAGGCCAACAAACCTCAGCAGATGAAAGCTGAAACTCAGCCGTTAAAGCTTGACATCTCTGTGAGTTGACACCTGTTCATATTACTAGAGACTTTCATTTTTTTAAATATGATTTTTTTGTAACCTTCCTATACAAAAAAGATAATTTCCGTGCTCAAGCCTGAACGTTGCAGTAGGCTGGGAAACCCAGAGGCTTGTGGCTTTTTATAATTGTTTGGTAATGCAGCTTGCCATGAGAAATCTGGCACCCAGCTGAGCGCCTTTTGTGCCCACACTAGAGGGAGCGGTTGATTTGCCTGTGTGTGGTTGCAATTTTGACAAAGAGGAACAGTTGCAATTAGCTAAATAACTCAATAAGGGTTTGATAGAATAAACTTGGTTATTTCTAAAATTTTACAAAGAAAATAAATTTTCCTATTTTTCATTCATTATTTAATTTTATTGCTCAAAGCTTACAAAAAATATTTGTATTGATTGATACAGCTTGATAGAAATTATTTGTCGTAAATGAACTATATATTAAATATAATTTCCAGGAGCCTGCGTACAACCCTCAAGTTGAGGCAATCTCCCCCACACTGCCAGTGGAAAATGTGCAAGAAGATATTACGTTTAGGGCAACAAAGGATAGCTTGCTTCAGCAGATCGCTCAAGTAGATAGGGAAATAGCAAAAGCAGAATCGCAAATCACCAAGTTGAAGAAAAAACAGGTTTGTGTAATTATTTTGCGCCATTATTCGTTTTTGTCAAGCTCTTTTCTGTGCACTTACAGAAAGAACTCGAAGAGGCAGCTAGTGGGAGTTCAGCAATTCACGAGGAGTTGGAAATTCCTGTGAAGCACCAAAGTCTTGCTCAGAAAATCTATGCAGAGAATAGGGTTAGTTTTTTTTGTGCAATTATATAATTTCCTAGATATTAATTGAGAATTTGTAGAAAAAAGCAACAATATCTCATGACATGTTGGATAAGTTGGGCCCCAAAGTTGATCTGGTAAAATTGCATTAAAAAAATTAATTTATCACTTGCTAAATTTTTTAATTGCAGCCGTTATATAACCAGCCGTCTGATATGACCATCATCCATGAGAACAAAAAGAGGTTTGTTAGAAGGAAATACTTGGTGGCTCAAATTTAAATGAGATTTTGTTTTCACAGGCATCAAATATTCAGGAAGAGCTTAATAGAGCACTTAAGACAAGAGTACAATGATAGGCGGACGAGGGAAAACTACCTGGGCCAGCATTACGCTTGCCAGCAAGCAGGTTGGGCGAAAAAGGTCGAGCGGATAGAAAATTCTGCCAAGAAGAGAGCAAAAGACGCCAAGAGTAGAGAGACTTTTGAAAAGGTGAGCAAGCTTCAAACGCTTCTTTACAATACGCTTTATGAAATTTTATCTGAAAGGTTTTCCCTGAGCTGAGAAAACAACGAGAAGACAAAGAGCGATTTAACCGAGTCGGTTCTCGGATAAAAAGCGACGCTGACATGGAGGAGATAATGGATGGCCTTCAGGAGCAAGAGGTAAATAACACAAATTTGGAATTTGGCGACAAATAATGTGGTTTGTACAGCTCGAGGATAAGAAAATGCGGTCGTATGCTGTGGTTCCCCCTATCCTTCTTGACAGCAAGCAGCGAAAACACGTGTTCATCAACACGAACGGTCTCATCGAAGACTATGAGGGAGAGTACAAGGAGAGAACGCATTTAAATATTTGGACGCAAGAGGAGCGTGAGATTTTCAGAGAAAAATATTTCACTGTTCACAAAGAGGTATGCCATGTTTGTACATTTTAACTTGAAAGCTATTCATTTTTTTTTTTATCACAGCTTTCCAAAAACTTCTCTAACATTGCGCAAGCATTGGAGAGGAAGAGCACTTGTGAATGCGTACAGTATTATTATTTGACCAAGAAGAGTGAGAACTACAAACAGATGTGCAAACGGCCGAGGGCAAGACCGAGGAATAAAACCAATGCGGCCAACAAGCCTGTTGCCTCTGCGGGTGAGTTTGAATTGAAAGCTTGTTTTAACTCATTTCTTCATCTAAATATTGTGAGCAGGAAGTGGACAGTGTATGCCTCTGAATATTGATATTTCCTCTGGAGTGACGACCAGACAGTCGGTCGCATCAGCCATGAGAGAGCAGCTGAAGCCCGAAATGATGCAGAACAATAACTCAAATCAAAATAGAAACAACTCGACGCCTGTGAACACAGTCGAGGAGCAGTCAACCAACAATGTGCAACAGCAACAGACTCCCATCAAGGAAGAAAAGAACTGGTTAATATTTTATTGGATTTATTTCCAACAAATTTTTCATTACAATTTCAATCATAGCAGTGAACCTTCAACGGTCAGATCCCCTAAAGCGACACTCAAAGGCAGCGGCCCCAAGAAAGTGGAAACTGACAGTAGTGATGACGATGCTGCAGAGGGTGAGTACAACCTCTTGATTAAATTATTATTATTTTTCTTCTCTAATTATATAAAAAAAATGGTCCAGGAGGGATATTATCAATATAGGAAAAATTCTTAAGATCAATGGAAAAATATATTGCTTCCCTCTTGATTCATAAAATATAGATTTTTATAAACAAATTTTAAACTCTTTATTTTGATCAAGAAATTAATAATTGATGTATCTGAAAATGATTTATAATTTTTGTAGTTCCAATGTTGTTTTTTCAACTTTTATTAGAACTTTTATAAAGATTTAATTAATCTTTTGCAAATGAATCAATATGTTTTGCGAATTTCAGTTGAAAAGACAAGTTTATTGCGAAGTAATGGGAAATGTACAATATTCGATATCAATGCTAAAATTGATTTAGTTTGATTTAAACGTCTTCTTTGGTGCCTCCACTGGCGCTTCGGCCAGCTTGGCAATGTTTTCGGTGACCTCGCCGTGGCAAATTTTGCGGTGCTTGTGCACAAAGTAGTAGCTGGGGAACTTGCAGCCGCAGCTCTTGCACGGGTAGTACTGGACGTTCATGTCGAGTAACTTGTTGCGAGGCGCGTCTTCCTTCAGGTTGGTCGTCAGCTTGAGCACGTCGTAGGTGACGGGGTTGATGTGGCGCCGCGTGTGCTTCTGGTAGCAGTACTGGCTCTTGAATGTGTGGTTGCAGTACACGCACTTGTACACCGCGTCGCCGCCCTCCTTGCCGCTGCCGTGCCTCTTCCTCCCCTGGAAAAGAATTTCCGCGGTCAGAAAGAACAAACAATTTTTAAAGGTCTCCAATTCTGGCTGTTTTTCGGGAGTTAAACTAACCATGCTTTCTGTTGAATTCTCATCAGCGTGTTCCATAGTATTTGTCTAAAAATCAAGAAGGTTTCAATCGAGGCAGGGTAGTGGCTCTAGAAGGTTTGAAGATTCTGGATAACTTAAAGTTAAGAGACGTTCTCCAACTTAAAATAATTTGAAAGAAACCATTTTTAGTAAAAATTAAATTATCTTTGGGATTTTTGAAAATAATAATAATTTTTTTGAAGTAATTAAAAATTAATGTTAATTGAATCTTCATCTCTTATTTTTCAAAATTATTTCTTGACTGACCTCATCATCTTCGGTGGTGTCGCCCTCCGATTCTATCTTCTCTGGGCAGGCGACGTTCTCCGAGCCGTACTTGTCGTTGAGAACCCTGTGGAATCGGACAGGTCCGTCGCAGCAGGCCACGTCCAGGATGACCCTGCCGGCCTTGCTGTCGTCGTCCTTGATGGTCTCGACCGAGATTTGCAACGTCTTGGGCGACTTGCGTTGTTTTTCGGCGGCGGCGACCGCGGCCGGCTTGTTGACCGATTTGAACAGGGACTCGCTGGAGCGCAGGATGACGTTGCGTCCGAGGCGGATCGAGTCGTTCTTCTTCAGCATGCAGGGCAGCGGCTTGTGCGTGGCCACAGGCTTGAAGACAAATGTCAGAGCCGCGGTTCGTTTGCACGCCAACTCGTACTGCTCCATCTTGACTAGGAATTCGCGACACACTTCCAGCGCCTGCGGCATCTGCAGTATGTGTGCTGTGGAAAGGACGCTGCAAAAGAAAGTTTTGGCTATTATAAGTATTCTTAAATGGTTGACTAAGATTAGTTTTAATTAAATGTTGGCAGATTTTGTATGCTATATACTTAAAAAAATGTAGAATTAGAGTGGCAAATTAGTTTTTTTAATTATTCAAACAATAACAATGATCCCAACTAAACTAAATCTTCGAGCAAATTTAAAAATTTAAATTCTATCCCAAGTAAAGTAAAAATTCTAGTAGTAGATCTATATTAATTTCTACTAATTTTATAAAATAACTTAAAAGTTATCTTCTGAAAGCAAGGAATAACTCCAAGATATTTTTTTAATTTTGTAATTTCTCACTTCACATTTTGACCTGCGGCTTTCCTAAATTTTGAATAGTAATTTCACCGAAAAGGCTTGATTAACATTAAATTTAAAATAGAAAAGATGTGTTTTTTGAAAAGAAAAAAAATTCTTTTCGACATTTTCAATTTGAATCTACGTGAAACAACCTTCATATTATGTTATTTTTTTATTCAAAATTTTGACAACAATTTCATAACCCGTCATAAAATTTTCCTATTGTAAACAAAGTTAGTTTGATAATTTAATTTACTACAAGAAATATAAAATTATTTATATTCTCCTAAAATAAATTAAATTTAAATTAAATTTCCCGAAATTTCCAAAACAAACCTATTTTCAACCTTGCATAAATTTTTTAACTCGCCTCAATATCAAAAATGATTTTATTGTACAAATTATGAATTCGGTTCTTGCCTGTAAATGTTGTGCTGGTGCACATTGAGGTATCCGGAGTAGATGAAAGTGAGAAGCACGTCAAAACACTCAGCCGGAATGTTGGGCAGCATGAGGGTGTGCGTGTCCGGCAACATGTTGGCCAGCAGGTTCTTCAGGTAGCCGCTGTTGTTGGCGAGAAGGGCGCGGTGGGCGGCAAAGTGCCGCTCCTCAGGGCCAACGACCAACACCGTGTCGGCTGCGGGGAACACTTTTTGCACCCCACTCAGCCACTGCTGCACGCTGTAGTCCATCCTCAGGGCTGCAAATGAAATTTGCGGTTTGTTAGTTCCAGGAATGCAAAGATTTCAATAGGGGAAAGCTTTGATTTTAAATCGCAAAAAGAGTGAAAGTATTTTGACTTTGAATCAGATAATTTTGAAGAGGTTTAAACTTATTTCAATTCTTTTTCTCGAGCTTAATACTTGATTTTTGAAGAAATGTGTTGCAAAATTCTACGAATATAAACATAATAAATAATAAAAACAAAAACCCTTCCAGCAGAAGAAGTGCCAAGCGTGTTGCACACTCACTGTTCTTAAAATGATATCTTATTTTCAAGAACCATCAAGAATATAATCCAAAGTTTTTTTGCTCAAATGGTGCGTATAGAATTTCTATGCTTCTGTCTTTTTTTAATAATTTTGAATAGGAATTTAAAATTTCACCCGAGGAAACGCTAATTATCGGTTGTTAATTGATCGCAAATAGTTTATCACCAGAGTCTCGATTTGATCGACAGAACACACACGCGATGTTTGACTTTTGACAACTTCGCACCACACACGAGCAAACTCTTCACACGCAAGTTTCAAGACGTGTTTGCAAAATTTTGTGGTTGAGAAAGCGACTTTCCGAGACGGAAAAGTGGCGCGAGAGCAACATGGAGGATTACCTTTTGCGGACGAGGCTGATCTGCAAGTGATTAGCAAATTGGCGTAATTCGCAACTCGCGTCGGGAAAAAGGAAAAGGTGGGAAGGCGCGGCTTGAGCCGAGGGTCGGCGCCGCGATTGGCGGGCCGAGGTGTGGCCGACTCGCGCACACGCGGCGCCAGCAGCAGATAGGTCCGGGGGTGGCACGGGGGTGGATCCGCCGCCTCGCAGCAATTCCCTCGCGAATTCTTTCTCTTTGAAGCAAAAATTTCGTGTGGAATAACTGATCAAATATTTTTAATGAAAAACAAGCAAAATTCGAGGCAGCCACGCATAATATACGCGCGCCTTTGTAATCAAATCCGAAGCAGTCGAGCGTGCCTTTCTTCCTCGCCGGCCCCTTTCCAAATGCGCACTGCTTTTAATTTTTCTTGGGCAATTAAATAAATTGATTCATGCAAATGTGCGAGAAAATAGTTTAGATTCCAATATACCTACCGACTGGTACCAAAAATTCATTTCTTGAAAGCAGATTATGTTTTTTGGATAGAGTTTCAAATAAAAAATCAAACTTTTGCATAAAATTTTTTTGCAAGATTTATTTATTCTTCCAGTTAATATTCATAAATATTTTAAGAAACGTGATAGAAATAATTGTGAATTGAAACCAAAAAGAAGGTGAAATATTTCTGCCCAGAAATTTCCTCCCTACTACTTGTAATAACATCCTGTGGCAGAAATTTCAGAGATTTTTGTAGAATTGCGACATTCAATCTCTGCTTGAACCTCTCTCGAGACCCCCGCGTTTTAGCATCTTGTTTGCTGGAGGTTATTCCCAGTTTTGCTATTTCTTTTCAACTCTTATACTCTTTGACTTAAATTGTTAAACAATAATCATTAATGGTAGATCAAACAACTTTTCTTATCATATGGGAGCCAGAAATATAAGAATTCAGATTCTGCCCTTATTAATTTATTAATTAAAAGTTTCTTTTTCATCATTAAACCATTGTTGTGGTTTAAAATTCAATGGATTTCAGTCAAGAATTTGTCCATAATTAAATTTACAAAGCGAAATCGTCATTGTAAAGATAATTCATTTTTTATAATTTTAATTTTAAAATTGTTTCATATAAATAGTCAGGGGCTTTGCGTAAAAATGATATTTTCCATAAATTACATATTTAATTGCATATATCACAAGTTTAAAGTTCTTTTGATAATTTGGTGCGCTGGTGAAAAAGCTTTTGTTAAAAACATGCAACGATCCAGTCAATTGGGCTGAAAGCGTTGCGAGCTAATTGTAAAAACGTGGAAACACACGCGGACGAGTGTTATATTTTTGATGAGGCTCGTGGAGAGCAGAGGCGCGAATTGTCAAAAATCATTTGTCATCGTCACAGTGCACGGAGCGCGCGATTGCTAATGCTATTTGCTCGCGTTGAATAATTAAGCGAAATTCCTCGGCCTGTAAAAAAGCTCCGGACGCAGATATGCGTTGGGCCGTCAGCTGCTTATTCAATATAATTGGCCGTCCGTCCATCCGTCCGTGTTTGAGCTGCACCATCGGCTGCTGCGTGAATAATGAATTAAAAATCGCGCTGTGTATTAGCATCACAAACGCGCGGCGCCACCGCTCCCCCTCTTGGAGTAATTGTATGAAAAAACAAACAATCCACGCGGCCGCCCTTGGGAGCTCGAATTTGTGGAGGGATGCTTTTGTGCGCCTCTGACCAAATAATAAATACCGTGAAACGCAGTTAATCTAAATAAGAGCTGCTCCTCTCGCAAAATTGAGAGAGAGCGCGTTTCTCTTTATTCACTTTTCCGCCTGGCATGAGAAGAGAGGAAAAGGAAAAGTGCTGAAAAGGCAAATTTCATCCGAGTGTTTTGTTACCAAATCGTCCGGCAACCGCTTTGACTTCTTATCTTCCGCTATTCCACAAACCAAATTTTTTATTTAAAAAAAAGGATTAGAGATTATATGATATAAAAAGTTTGTTTTATAAAAAATTTAATTATTGTTCGTTATTTTTCCGAATTATTTTAAATTGAAATAAAAAATATTTACTAGAAATTATCACAACTGGCAAAAATTCCAAAATCGTTAAGACCCCATCCGCGGCAGAGGTGAGAAAATAATTTAATTTTTTATTTTATTTCATTATTTTTTAAATTATAAGCATCTGAGCATAAAGAATTGCTTAAAATTTCTTCTAATCAATTTTTTTTTTTTAAATATCTAAGGAAAGGTGTTTTCAATATCATTGAGTTTCATTTAGTTTATGACGACAAAAAATGAGATAAGTTGGTTAAAAATGGTGTATAAAAAATAATAATTTAATAATTTGCTAAAAATAGTAGAAAACAATGTTGATCCACAATACTGGGACAGAGTTATTCCTCTGTTTATTACCATTAATTAACTAAAATTCGGCGTGCTTGCCAAAATTATGTGGCAAAAAATTAATACGTCTGCCCTTTTTTTGCGCATCTCTGCCGCCGACTCACCACCACTTTTTTCCTCCTTCAATTTGAGTTAATTAAGCGGCGCGGACCCTCGGTTGATTTTTCAAGTCTGCTCAGCGTGCGCGCAGCCAGAGCAGATCAAACTTGCGGGCCGAAAGAATGGAGGTCCCTCGGGAGCGCGCGCGGCGAAATGAAGTGCTTTATGATGTGATGACGCAGCTCGCCGCCGACCGGCTCTTCAACTCTCCTCGCCTATATTTCCTTTTCTCCAGATGCAGTCTCGGCCGGGTTTGGAAAAAAGCGAAAAAAATCAGGCTTTTCGGTTTCGCATCTCGCGGGTGTATCGATTTTCAAGTGCGCTCTCTCGCTCGCTCGCCTCCACTCGCTCAACGGGCTATTTAATCTGCAGGGCTCATTGAAAATTCATGAATTATGCTGTTGTTTGAGCAGAATCATTTGTAATTCTGTAACATCATCACTGCAGGGAGGTCGTGCGCGCCGGGGAGAAGAAAATGTAATTGAAACACCGCCCTCGCCGCCTCCGCGTGTCAAATTAGCTCTTATCAATTAATCAGCCTGTTTGCCGGTGCGCTCAAATTATTAACCGACCATAATTTCGCCATTATTTGCTTTTCATCGATGATTTGCTGCGAATTTAGTGCGAATTTGGCATTGTTTCCAATTTTGGATGCGATATTTGGGATCATTTGGAATACTTAGTGGCTGGGGCTAATTTGAAATGTTCTGAAGTAAAAGTTATTCCTTCTTCTAGCAATTTAAATTGAATGAAAATTTATTAAATAATTATAATGTTCTTATATTAACAGTGAAAATTATATTTGGAGGCAAGTTTGAAAGTTGAATTGAAAAAAAATTAAATTACCTTTTCCTCAAAAATTGACATAAATTTCCTTACAAGTCGTTCATTTTAATTAAGCGAATCTACCATTCACGTCACGCAGAGTTGCAATAAAAAACATGGCAGTTTCGCTCTGCCTGCGATGAAATATGTCGGCGGATTAATTAATTAATTAACTGATATAAATTCAGCAGATTTGGAGCACGCGGCTCGGAAGAGCCCTGGCCCCAGTGCAAACACGCGCCGTTTCAGTTTGATCAAGCTTGTTAAACTGAGTGCCGGTTGAGGCTGCACGGTTGGATTGATTGAGAGGGGGTTGATCCTGTTTCCATGCAGAATCTGCCAGCACACTCACCTACATCATAAATGCGCATGTTTAATTGACTCGAACAAAGCCAACTCAATTATTCCGGTCACCCTTACGTCCGCTCTTGCTTTCACCTAAACGCCGAGAATGTTTTGATTATTTTTTCTATAGTAAAATTTTCATCTGACAGAAAAAAATATTAAAATTTTTTTAATTATTTGTTGCAGAGGGGCCAGCCATGAAAGGTCCGCATCACTGTTTTTTATGCAAAAGCTTGGTGGAGAACAGTCGGCCGCTGATTAAGGCCAAAGCGGCGCAGTACGGTTTGCAGGAGGACCAGGTGGTGCCTGGCGCGCGGATCTGCTCCAACTGCAGGTGCAAAGCCGTCCGAACCCTCACTGTCCAGTACGCCAAAATCCTCAGCTTCATAAACACTCGGATTGATAATTCAATTTCTTCCAGGTGCCCCATCCCAAATTGTGCAGCTGTGAAAAGCAGAGTGAAGAGGCTGAGACCGTTGCCCTCGAAACTCAACAACGTTCCCCCTGAGTTGCGAGACTCAATTTTCAATGAGTTTCGTAAGTTTCAGATTCTAATTTTGTTTTATTTTTGTTGGAAAAAAATAATTAAAAAAAAAATGAAAATTTTGCAGAAATTCCTGCAGGCGTGACTGGCAGTTGTCCCGGGTGCCACAGTCGCATCCTGAGGCGGCTGAATTTAAAGAGCAGCAACACAGACGGCGACGACTGGACGGACAAGGAGGTGGAAGTTTTCTGCAACGCCATCCAGGAGCACGGCTCGCAGTGGAACAAGGTGGCAACCGTGCTGTCCACGTCGGACGGCTGCTCCGCCAAGACCCACTACCAGTGCAAGGCCTTTTTCCAAAAGAACCAGAAAAAGCTGGGGCTCAACGCGCTCATGAATGAGTATAGGAAGGTTGGTTGACTGGAAATTTTATTTAAAATTTGATCAAAATGCTAAAATTATTTCCTTAGAATAATAACCCTGAGCATAAACCTACCGTCACTGACGAGGAGGAATCAGGGTCAAGTACGTCCTCCTGTGAAGAAGAAACTGGAAACGTTCCTGGGGCTGCCAGTGACACTGACAGTGCCGCCTCTCCACCAACAGCCGAGATGAACGTCTCCCTTAATCAACCAAAGCAGTTTGTTGGTAAGTGTTTTTTTTTTATCTGTTTGTTTTTTTTTTCTAGATATTTCATTTTTAATTTTATTCCAGAACTGCCGCGAGTTCTAGGAGGTAAGATAGAAAGCTCTGTGATTTCCCCTCGGATCAGCCAGGAAGGCTCTGCTAACGTGACCCACAGAGACGAGTACGACAGCTCGGCAACGGTGAGTGTTTGAATTAGATGGACCATTGCTGCCTGCACTCATTGCATTCTGATTAATCAACACACGTCAGCTGCTCGAAAAACGTCTCTGCTTAACTAACCAACAGCCAGTAGCGCTTTTTTATCTCACGCTCGCTTTTGTTTTCCTCTTTACCATTTGCATCACATCACGAAGAGGCTCTTCTCCATTCATACTTTGGGAATTGATGAAATCGAATACTATTAATAATTACACCTCGAAAAGCCTTAGTGATCACAAACAAAAAGTCAAGCTTGGTTTTCTGGACTTATTTTTTGTAACACGCTTGGCTGTTGTAGGAGACTGCTGACGAAGGCCAAGGAGCGGTCGAGTCCGAGCACAATTTTGCTGGCAAACTGCCAAACAAAAGTGTCTTAAATCAAACTTCTAGTGTGTCAGTTGATGTGAGTTGACTTAGTTTTTCTCCCTCCAGGGTTTCGGCTCTAATAAATTCACATCTCTCCTAACTCGATCAAATGCCTCTCGATAAAACCAGCAAATTACGTTGGCAGCTGATTGAACCACTTTTATTTTCCTTTTATTTTATTGCAATGTAATAAATAATTACAAAAATGCAAAATCGACAACCGAACCCTGTGAAATGCTGCTACAAATTTGAAACTGGACGAGTAGCATTATTTTGTATCATCGGACTCAAAGCCAAGTTACCTTTTTTGCAGATGAAAGACCTGATGCTGAACGTGATTGAGCGCTCGCTGAACAAGCCGATGGGTCAGTCGTCCATCTCAACCAGCGTGTCTCAGCAAACGCCCACCATTTCATCGATCCTGCACTCGGACAAGCCTCTCGTCTTTCCCTCCAGAGAGTACCGAGGCAGTCCATCGGCGCCGCCCATGTCCTCAGGCTCTTCATCTGAACTGCCCAAGGAGGGCCTTGTGGTGATGCAGGTGCAGCAGGCGTTGAAGGAGACCTCTTCGGAAGGCGTGACCCTCGATCTTAGCACCAGGAAAAGAGGCCCCAGCCCCCTGACCAAACATCCGCAGCAACTGCTCCCACCGAAAGTGGCCCCTCCCGTCCCTCCAAGACCATACGCCATGGTTGACCCCATGGTCTACCGCGAAGGACCGCCAGGACAACCAATGTACCAAGCGCAGGTACTAAAAAGCCCTTCCATATTAAATTTCATTATTGATATGTTCTTATTTACAAGGTTTAACAATTTTTCTTTATTTTAGCCCTATCCTTCAGCTAAAGGCTCCATAACTCAAGGCACACCCATGCCAGGAAGCCACCTGTCATCTCAGCATCTTCCAACTTCTGGAGCAAGGTTAGAACTTTTTAAATAATCTATAATTTACGCTAAATTTACAAAAAGAAACTTTATTCAAAATCTAATTAAAAAAATTATTTTTAGATATGAATTGCCTACCAGGGGCCAGCTTAAAGAAAGTGGCGGATCAATAACTCAAGGGACGTCTCTTTTGTTAGAAACAAAGAAAGGTATGTTTTTTATTCAATAAGACTTAAGAAATTAAATTCCTTCTTTTTTAATCAACAGACCAGAGCGATATTATCCTGAGCGACTTCATCACCTCGCAGCAGATGCACGGCCGAGCTCCTGAGCCGCCGATGCACCACTACTACCCCATGTACACGCCCGGCGGTGCCCAGTTGGTGCCGAACCAGCAGCGGCAGGGTGTGATTCAGCGTGGCGCGGCCAAGCCGCTGCCTCAAAGGCCACCTCCTCGTTCCTCTCCGCCCATCAAGAAGTCTGTCTACCCTCCAGGCCACGAGGCTCTCAATAGCCTGGTGGACATAGCGTCGCAGCAACCCCGGCTGCCTGAGCCCAAGGACAAAATGCACCCTGGCGGGCCGCCCAGCATGATGAACGAGGGGCTCGGCAAAGGCTTGGCCGACAGCCACCTGGCCGAGCAGAGGAAACCACCCATGCAGATGTACCCTGATTTCGGAGCAGCTGAAAGGTAATATAATTTTTTTTTTAAGAATACCATTACTCCTGGGAGTAAATAAGTTTTTGTTGAAAGCAAAATAAATTTAAAAACATTTTTTCCTACAAAAATTTATTCAAATAATTTTTTTAATTTTTTATTTTAGGAAAGACTATTATGGACGTCGTCCTGATGACGATTCACCAAGGCCGAGTCAGCAAAGCCTGAGGCAACTGCCGACCGATCCAGACAGGCAAAAGCAGAGTCCAGCCCCTTATATGTCACGGGCGCCCCCTGTGCCCAAAGGACCAGTGTCTGGAGAGCAGCAGCTGACGGCCGCGAGTTTGATCCACGCCATCATCACTCACCAGATCAACCAGTCTTCGGACGTTGAAATGTCCAACTCGCACACCCGACCTGGCGACAAACTTTTCCAAGTATGGAAAAATCCTTGAATTGGAAGTTTTGAAGTTAATATTTATTTATTTTTTTTTTTTTTTTGCAGAGTTTCCAGCGAGACTTACCTCCAAAATGCCACCCCAATGACAACACAGAGGCGGAATCGAGTCGCCTCAGCAAACCGTCTGACGACTCGACAGACTCAAAGTCATCCGACGGACAGAAAACGTTAGGAGAACACATTGATCGGATCATTGCGAAGGACTTGCAAACCAAGCGATCCGACGAACCCAGGCCTGGAAAGCGTTGTGAAGAACCACTGGAGGTATAAATTTGTTCTAATTTCAAGCAATAAATTTTGAAATATAATACAATAAAATATATTTTCAATTTTTTGGATTTTAATTTTCTAAACAGGATTATACAAATTAAAATTGAAATCATGTTTATTTTTTGACAAATTTGCTTATTTATATCTATTCTTAAATTGTGTATATTTTTAATGCATTTCACATAGTTTTAATTCTAACTTAATGTTCCTCCCCACTAGTTCTACATTTGATCATCTTTTTTTCTCAAATTTTAGGTTGATACGATGAAGAACCGCAATTCATCTTACGAGCAAATTTCACCGCCTCCGCCGCCCCCCAGACCCGACGTGGTGTCCAACTTTGAAGAGAAGTCGCACCTGTCGCCGCTGGATTATGTGAAAAACCGAATCGTCCAAGTGATGCGCATTTCCGAGGAGGAGGAGGACGCCTCGGAGGCCAAGGCCAAGGAGGCGGCCGCCTCCGCACCGCAGGAGCAGCAGCGGCCGGACGAGGAGCGGCCGCCCACCGACACAGCCTACCCGACGTACCCGCCCCCGCTGGAGGCAGCAGCTGCCCCGCAAGCGCCCCCAAAGCCGCCGGAGAGTCAGTACGAGCCTCTCTCCGAGCCCGAGGACTAAAGTTGAGGTGGCGGGACGCAATTTGTATTTTCTCTCTCTATCTCTCAAAACACTCTTCTCTCTATCGATAGGTTTATTATCAATCAAGTGCGAATGTGTCGAAGGAATAATTAAAATTGTGGACTTTTGTAATAATTGCGTTGTTAGACTTCTTGTTGATCGATGGAAAAATGTAGTCGTTGGTGCGTGTCTGCGTGAAACGAGTGCGTGTATCGGAACGGTGTGCTGCTGCTTTTTCTCATGCTTATTGGTAAATTTATGGCGCGAATATTTGTTGGATGGATGAGCGGAAAATAAAATTAAGAAGCAAAAGGGAACGTTTGGTTTTTATTTAATGAAAAATCAAATCGAAATAATAATAAATTTTTTTATTTACAAGCAAAATTTGATAATATTGTTTTAATAAAAAGTGACAAAGACAATTTTTGCATTTTATTTTTCTCGTTTTACGTAATAAATGAATAATTTATTTCTCCGCCGTGATATTGGGCTCGGTGGGATGTCACGGATTTGCATTTAATTTACAACAGGGATTCGCCATTTGGGAACAATGCAAGGTGTGGTGCGAGCGTGATGTAAGCGCCTGAGAAAATTCTTGCCAAACTTCCCACCAAAGAAAACGAACGTGAAATTCGACCAAATTGCGGCAACTTGACACCTTGCATCCGCGATAAAGAAAATAATAATGATGGCAAAGAGAATGAAAGAAATAATTTCGCCCGGCCAGCAAATTGTGCAGACGAACGAGCGTGAAATAACTGGATTGGCCGACCGACCGACTCGCTTGCATTACGCCGCCTGCATATTACGCAGACAACAATAAAACGCGTGCTACCTTCTGCGGTGTATTATTATTATTTTATGCATGCCTCGCTGCTTCTTTGCCCGCAGGTAATGCACCGTGCGCGCTCTTCGCTTTGCTCAAGTCAGCAACAAACAGGATGGAGTAAAGTGTAAATTGAGAAGAAAAATAATAGAAATATATAGAAAAAAAAATACATTTTTACACATCAGGGCTAACCTTGAAGGAAAATAAAAATTTTCAAGACAAACATAAATATGACTTCAAAATTACAATTCTGATTTGAAAGAGTTTTTCTTCTTCTTATTTTAAAAAAAGTGGGAAATGTCTGGAAAAATCTGAATATTATACTTTCTTTTGATAAAAACTTTTAAACGATGCTGAATACTCTGACTGAATATTAAATGAATGTTTGAAATTTTGAAAAAAAAAAATGTTTTAAAAATCACTTCAAACATTTGTAAAAAAAAAAAAAAATAGAAAAAATTAAGTCAAAATTAGGCAAGAAAGGTAAGAGTCTTAATTTAATTGGCCAAAGAATGTTTTCAATGGCCGAATTTTGCTAAAAATTACATAGTTTGTGCTTGAATTGATTTTAAGTAATAAAAATGTTTTAAAAGTTGAACTTTTTGCAAGCTCTAGTTCACATGAAAGATGTTTTCAGCCTGAAATAAAGAAGAAAACACTAAAAAAATTGCAAAATATATGTATTTAAAATCAAATAATTTTTTTAATTTTAAGTTGAATAAAAATTTTAGCATTTTCACAATAATAAATTTATTTTCTTTTCATACAAAAATTCATTAGTACAAAAATTTGCCAAAAGAAAGACCTGAAATTTGATTTAATTTTTTTTCCACGATATTAATTCAACAGAAAATTGGCATGTCTTTTTGTCTCAATTTCCTTTCGTTTGTTGGTTGTTTTTCGACAAATGTCACGTCACGGCCGTTAATACGCCGTGCTAATTGCGCCCAATAATCGAATCGTGCTGACCTGAAGTGACCTGGCCCAAGGTGGAGAAGCCCAATGAGCAGCACCAAAATCTGGAGGGGCGACCGAGTGCATCTTAGCGAGCGATGGCATAGCGGTACTCCTAGAACGGGCACGCCTGCCTGCCGCACTTAAAATTCTCCATCGTCGGACGCGAGAGGAGGCGATTCGTGAGCTCTGGGAACACTATGGACCGGCCCGACAATTTCCTCGGCTAAACACTTCATCGTCGTTTATTTTATTTATCAATTTTTCGGTAAGTGAAATCAACAATTAGTGATTTTCCTCCGGGGTGTTTTTGTGAGACTGGTTTTCTTTTAGAGAGTTGATTGGTGTGTGTATTGATAGGTCTGTGGGTCACCGATGGCACTTTGAAGCTATGCATACCAAATTAGTGACATCCGTCGTACTTTCTTCAAAATCGCTTTTGAAAGTCGGTCGATGCTTTTTAATTGTTGATTGAATTCTCAGTACAACAGAAAAAACTGTCATTAAAAATTTATACGGCAGTTTTTATTGCTAAATTTTTGCGGTTGAATCTGCTGCTAGTTTTCTACAAAGTTGCTTAAAACCGCAAAAATATAACTTTCTGAAAAAATTATGGAAGGTTGCTGTGAGATTTTTTGAAAATTTCATACTTTTTTATTCGCGTCTCCAATTTAAAAATTATAATAATAATAATTTGAAAAATTGGTCTAAATCTAAATAATTACTAAAATATTATATTATTTATTATTTTTATCAGGTGAAGTTGACATGATTTTTTTGTTAAATCTTAATTTTTTATAAGAAATTTTCACTGATTGATTTTTATTTGAAGATTTATTATTTAGCAGCTGTTTGGCAAATTGTAATCAAATCAATTTAATCATTTTTTTTAAGCAAAATTTTTAATTTCGCTTTGACTGATTCCCCACCTTCTTTACAATTTTAAATAAATACGAGATTAAATAATTAAAGTTCAAATGAACTCTTTGAAAATTAACTCTGTTAACTTCTTGAACGGTTCTACTTGCCAAAATATGAGGAATGCTGGCCGGCCAATATATTTGCACCCATTTTTAACACTTTTTCTCGCGCGGAGGCTTCTTTACAGTTAAACAGCGCAAGTGGACCATAAAAGAGAAGCACTCATAAGCACAAGAGATGACGCAAAATGCATTTTTTTCATGCACCTGCTTCCACTAATGTTGTATTTTGAAGTCGTGTAGTTTGTCATTAATACGGCTCGTGATCACAAATTACCAGAATTACTACCTGGATCTGTGCAAATTAGTAAACGAGCTCCGAGCTTTTTCTTTGCAGGGGGATTGAGAAATTCGATAAAATTGGAGATCAGTTTTTTTATTTTGGAAATTAAACTTTTCGAAGTTTTAACCATCATAAAACTTATTTAAAAAAAATAAAAAATTTCTAATTTGCGTTTTCAATATTTTTGTTGAAATTTAGATGAAAGTCGGTTGATCAAGTGCAATGATTTCGACGGTGGCTCGAAATTTGAAGGCGGGCAAGGCCGCAGATTATGAGGACTTGGACGCTAACTACAACAATCGCGGCCCGCCGGACATCATCGAAATGCAGTCCTCAGTGACTGTGGTTCCAGATGGTAAAAATTTATTATCAATTTTACATGATAATTAGTTTTTTACTAATAATATTTTTTAAATTTACAAATTAGAAAATGCAAATAAAAAGAATAAAAAGGAAAAAATTATGCTAAAAATATAATTTAAAATTGCTTTAAATGGTATTAGAGAAAAAATTAGCAGTATAATCTAAATTCCTATAATTTAAATAGATTATAAATTAAATTACGATAATACTGAACAAAGTTTTTAGCATTAAAATATTTTGGTTTTGGTGGAGCCATTTTGACCAAAAATTCCTTTTTTCAAATACTACTATTTCAAAACTTGAATATGCGAACAATGTAAATAATAAAAAATAAAATTCCAGAATCATATACGGTTGGGGCGGCGGTGAACGCGTTTGGCTTTGGCAAATTCCAGGTCAAGTTGTCTCTGTTCACCGGCCTGTGCTGGATGGCCGACAGCATGGAGATGACCATTCTCAGCATCCTCTCGCCGGCCCTGCACTGCGATTGGAAGATTACGCAGTACCAACAAGCGCTCACTACAACGGTTAGTTTTGCTACAAAAAGAAAATAATTATCACTAGCTTATAGGCAGCACGTTTAACGCTAAAGCACCACTGGTTGCATATTTTATCGTTTCTAGTAAAATTAGATTTTTGATCTTGCACTTTCTTGCGAGGAAATATTTAATGAACATCTGAAATTTTGTTTTAATATTTAAACTTGTATGTGGTGTTTAAATGTTTTTTTAATTTCGAAAAAAAAAAATCATATTCAATTTCAATTCAAAAATTATATCAAATATACTTGGGATTTTGACATTTTGAGTAACTTTTACTAAAAAAGCTTTCAAGAAATATCATAGTTTTTAATTACTTGGAGTGCCAAACATTTTTGTCATATCCTCCTCCAAAATGTTATCCTTCTATTTTTTGTTTAAACTCTTAATTTGATTTTTTTTAGTAATAATTTAAATTCGCAGGTGGTGTTTCTGGGCATGATGGTGAGTTCCACGTTCTGGGGCGTGCTGAGCGACCGGTACGGCCGCAAACAGGCGCTCACCCTGTGCTCGGTGTTGCTTTTCTACTTTGCCCTGATGAGTTCGTTCGCGCCCACCTTTGGCTGGATCCTGCTGCTGCGAGGCCTCGTCGGCTTCGCCATCGGCTGCGTCCCTCAATCGTGAGCTTAAAACCAAAAACTTCCCTTTTCAAATAATAAAAATTTATTTGCAGAGTGACCTTGTACGCCGAGTTTCTGCCCACCAAGCAGCGCGCAAAGTGCGTCGTTCTGCTCGACGTGAGTTGAATAATTAATGTAAAAAAATTCTTAAATTTAAAAAAAATTTATTTCAGTGTTTCTGGGCACTGGGCGCGTGTTTCGAGGTGTTGCTGGCGTTGTTCGTGATGCCCACGCTGGGTTGGAAGTGGCTGCTCGGACTTTCCACGATTCCGCTGTTTGCCTTCGCTTGTGCTTGTCCCGTGAGTTGATTTATTTTTTATACAGCGAATGCGAATTTTCCAGCGTCCGAATATTTCCATTCGCAAAATTCAAAAACTTTCCTCATAATTCATTAGAATCCATTTTGGGTTTGGACTTTCCGCGATTCTAATTCTCTACATCTGCCCAATGAAGAAACAAAGATTAATATAACTTTTCTTGATGCAAGCAAAAGAAGAGGTGACAGTTTTGTCGTCTTTTCCTAATTTCCATTTGCATGATAAAATCTCCTTACAAAGAAAAATTAACTGAATAAATAATCTTCCCTATATCCTAATCTAAAATTGAAAATATTCACCAATAAAATATGAAAGTCTGTATATTGGGATTTTAAAAATTTTGATCACTTTTCAGTGGTTGCCTGAGAGCGCGAGGTACCACGTGGCCAGCGGGCAGACGGAGCAGGCTGAAGCCACCCTGCGGAAAATCGCGCGAGACAATGGAAAACCGATGTTGATGGGCCGACTGGTGCTCGAGGACGGCCAGATGTCCATGAGGGGTCGGGTCAAGGACCTTCTCAGTCCCGAGTTCAGAAAGACGTCGTTGCTCCTCTGGACGATATGGTTTGAATGAAATAAAAATAAAATTAAAAATAATTAAAATTTTAATTAGGATTGCGACGGCGTTTTGCTACTACGGGGTGGTGTTGATGACAACGGAGCTGTTCGAAGACAAGGCGCCGTGTCACGGGCCCGGTCCGTGCGCCTCCGAGTGCAAACGACTCTCGGCCTCGGATTACATGGACCTTCTGTGGACCACCCTGGCCGAGTTTCCCGGCATATTCGCCACCATTTTTGTGATAGAGCGGTTCGGACGCAAAAAGACGATCGCCGCCCAGTTTCTAGTTTACACAGTCTCCATGGTTCTTCTTCAACTCAGCATGGATAAGTGCGTCATAAATTATATGCAGAGGAATTAATAATAAAAATTGGGTTCGACCCTAATTTTGTATAAATTAATTTAAATTTCAAGTAAAAAAAAAATAGATGTTTTTACTTGAAATTTAAATAAATTAACAAAAAAATTAGCATCAAAACCAATTTTTATCTCTAATTATTAAGATGCTATTGAAGAATATTTTTTATCAAAATTTAAATAGGACTGACCTAAAATTTAAATTAATTTAATTGGAAGGAAAATCCAATAATTTTGTATATTCTTTGCTTTTATATTTTAATTGAACCAAACAATTTTTCTCTTATTTCAGCCGCGCTTATTTGACCGGAATGTTGTTTGTTTCACGCGGCATTGTTGCCGGAATCTTCCAAGCTGCCTACGTTTACACTCCTGAGGTAAAATTATCATTTTTTTAGCAGCTTATTAATTTTATTTTTCCCTAATGCCAAAAATTATCGCACAATTTTTAGGACCTTCACTTGCAATTGAAAATTTTAAAAACTCTGAATCAAAATTGAAAGCAGCACTTCCTATATTAATATTGATTTTTGCAGGTGTACCCGACTCCTTTGAGGGCCGTCGGGGTCGGAACGTGCAGTGCGATGGCGCGCCTGGGGGCCATGGTGACGCCGTATGTGGCGCAGGTGCTGCTGAAAACGTCCACCTCGTGGGCCATCACCGTGTACGCGGCGGCCGCAATTCTCGCGGCGACGGCGGCACTTTTCCTGCCCTACGAGACCAAGGGCGTCGAAATGAAAGAAACCATGAACTCGCAACGCAAGTGAGCAAATCAGTGATTGACACTTAAGACTTTCGCACAAGTGCAAAACACGAAAATGATAATATTGTGAATATTTTTTAATAATGTATCAAGCAATCGAAATTGCTGAGGACACGCTTTATTGTAAATTTTAATAAAAAAAAGTAATATTATCCGAGGAAAAAAAACTATTGATTCCTATCAAAATATAAAACAGGGAGAAAATTCATTATCAGAGGAAGTGGGTCGCCAGCATGTTGCTGCAGGATCGTTTCCCCGATTTCAGTTATATCAGAGCAACAGACCGTCATGGAACAGGAACACGCACGCAGCTGCAAAAATGGCACGACTCTTCCACATATCATTCAAGTGCTGTGATTACCCGTCTAGAATAATTTCGCCTAGTAGGTTACAAAAAAATCAACTTTTCGTGAAACATGAACATTTTGAATAAATACAATTATGTATTTTTTAATAATTAATTTTTTTTTATGTTAAAATTATTAGAGAAGATGAAGCAGTGCATTATTTTAACGGCGTCCTGGTTGTTTCTGTTTGCATTTCTGATGTACGTGACGGGACCGTTTGTTCGAGTGCCAATCGCGCAGAACGAAAAACTGGAGCAAAATCTACGTGTCCTGTCCCGTCGGCTGTCGCTCGCCTTTCGAGAGCTCGACCGACTCAAAAAGCAGAACGAGGGACTCAAAATGGTGATCAAGTATGGAGTTTAAAATTGATTGTTGGGCTGCAATAATTGTGGGAGGACAGACTGGGCCTGGCGAAGAACAACGAGACCATCAAGTCGCTACTTCAGAAAGAGGAGATCGCCTTGAGCAACGCAAATAATGCACTCAAAAATTGCAAATCAAGTAATTATGTAATGAAAGTATAATAAGGTGATTATTTTTTAAATCGCAACATTAAAAAATAAAAATTATATAATGAATTTTTTTCTCTTCAGAAGGTTTTAAATTTTTCTTAATTTTGTGGATGACAATTAATCTCTTTGATTGTTGCCAAAAGTTTCACCGCCAGTTGAATATGAGCAAACGAGAAGAATGACGGACTACGCAGTGCAAAATATGTGGCTCTATTTGCAGCACAAATTTTCAAAACTGCAGTCCTTGGTTGCACAGGATTCAGATTCCACGACTAAGAATGAGCTGACAAGTCTCGTTATCAACACGGCAGGCAGAATTCAGTAAATTGATCGCAGAAGGGATCAACCTTTTTTTGAAAAATTGGTTCCAGGTTTATTTTATCAAAATTACTGATGCTCCCGAAAGTCGACGGACACGCCAAGTGGCGCCAGTGGGAAGCGGATTATTTGAAAAAAATTGTCCAAAATCGAATCATGCTTGTGCAGAATCCACCAGCGTGCAGCGCAGCGAAAGTTCTCCAGTGCGAATTAAATGCAGTAAAATTCTATGATTTCCAAAAGATAAAAAAAATAACAATTTTTTTACTAAAGAGTTGCGTCAGTTTTGACTGTAAACTTGAGCGCACGTCAGCGTGCCTTTCAGAGGCCTATCGTCTTCATCGGACTCTGGTGTTGAACGATCACGCTTGGAATTCAAATTTTCAGCCTCTCAGCATTATGTGCAGCGACATTGGAACGAACGAAGACTACCCTAGCGCGCCGTGGCCTGGTTTGAAATAAATTTAATTCATATAAATATTTTTAAATTATTCTTCAGGAACGTCGAATGATTTGAGAATCATTCTGGGCCCAGAAGTTAAAGTTCAGAGTTACGCGGAGGTGCCTTTTGACCTTTCGACCCGTTTAAACCGCCTGAGTGGTGACCCCTTGCTTTGGTGGCGAGGGCAGTTGTTTGCATTCCTGCTAAGCCCACTGCCTAACCTAAGTCGCTTGATCCAACGCGTGAAGGATAAAATTAAATTTGTCCGCAGTCCAATAATTGGGTATAAAAAAACAAGAATTTTAAATAAATTTAAATTAAAAAAATCATTTGTTTTATCTTTTTAATGAAATATCTTTTCATTTTTAGAATTTGCGTGGACAAGGAAGAGTATCTAGATGAAGTGATCAGTGCCGTTGACCACTTCTATCAACAGTTTGAAATGACCTCCATATCAATGAGGAGACGCATTTTTGTCTCTAGCAGGAGTCCAGACATTCCACTCATCATTAAGAAAACGTTTGTTTTTAATAAAAACTTCATTTAAATAGAAATTTAACATTAAATTTTGTAACTGATTAATATCAGATACCAACATATTGATGTTTTGCACATATCTGAGGAAATTTTGATCGAAGTGGGAGCTCAAGAATTTTCCGAGGATGAGTCTGAATTTCCAAGAGATGTCTTAGACACCCATTTCTTAAGCAAAACTGACTTCTTGGTCTCTGCTGACTCTCGAAAAGTGCCAAAATGCATGGAACGAATTTTCAAAAAATAATTCCAAAATTTCAGTTGTGCCAAATCGCATTTTCTCTTCAAATGAGCAGAACGGACGCTCACAACAAACTGATCTCGATCGGCAGCAGTGCTGCTTTTGATCACAAAAAACAGTTTGACCATTTGGCCATAGTCAAGCACGTTGCTCAATCTGACGAGGAAATTGATTTGGGCCTTGGTGACATTGTTATAGGCGTGGAGAACTTGGCCAATGGATACTCAAAAGTGAGATCGCATAAGTTTTATCAAAATTTTGTATAAATTTGAATTGCAATTAGGGGAAGAATAAAATAACAAAGAGAAAAGGAATCTTCCCTTCATATAAAGTCACCTGCTTGACCAGATATAAACACTTTTCCGACTTCCTGGACGAAATTTCTGCAAAAGGCAGATTCCAGGACACAAAGCCAAAGTCAACTACTAAAGAAGAGGAAGTTTACGAGTATGAAGACTAGCATAGTCATGCATTGAATGAAGTTTTATTTTAAGTGAAGTTTGAGTGTTCCTAAAAATAAAATTGTTTATTTGCCTAATGGATGGATATATTTAATTAAAAATAAGTATGAATTTGTTAAATATTTCAGCTGTTATTATTTATCAACAATTCATTAACTCTTAAATTTAGTTTCCACTTCAACACTGAACGCGCACTTCTCAAGTTTTAGTTTTAACTTAAATCACTCCCCAAGTTTCTTCAAACGCGGAGCACAATTTAGTGCATGTCAGCGCAGCCGACAACGGGTAGTTGCTGATCGAGATATCTTCCTCGGTGTAGCTTGTGGTTACCTGAACAGGCAGCAAAATCGCTCATTTAGTTTAAATCAAGATTCGTCTGGGCAGGGACAGGAAAGGTCTACTAATAGAGCTAGGAAGTTAGCAAGAGTGGTGCCCTACCTTTCCGTTGGCCATGGCACCGACGACAATGGCGATCGGCTCCTCAGTAGGCACCAATTCTCGAGGGTGTTTGATTTGGTTGGCCGAAAAGGACATGAGCAGTTTTCTGCAGCCCACTGGTAAGTGGCTCTCGACCGGATTTTTGATCACTTTCAGCAGCTTGACTGGACCGTCACTCGCTCTTACACTGAACCGGTGCAAAAGTTGGACTGGGAATTGCATAGAATTAATATGAAACATATTCAAATTAAATAAGTTTGTTTTACGTACCCATTAGTCCAGCAAAACGCTTGAAAGTTCTAGGAATTCTTGTCTGCGGATTTACTTCAATCAGGACGTTTCTCTCTGTGTGAATGTAAATCTGAAAGTTTATAAAATTAAATTTAATGTTGCATATAAAAAGAAAAAAAATAAATGAAAAAAAAAAAACATGCCAGGAGCGTGTAACAAGACAAACATTTTAATTATTTTGTAATTTTGTACCTTTAAATTTAAAAAAAGCATACAAGAAACCAGACTACAAATATTTCTTAGTTCTTAACAAATTTTTAATACATTGATAATTTTATTTACCTGCAACAGGCCGGCACGATTTAAAGGACTGTCGAGCAGCATGAGCAGACACTGGTGGGTGATGTCCGGTCTGCAGGAACCCGAGTCTCGGTTCTGCTTTTTCAGAACGTGGGCGTGATCATCGCAATTGAGCAGCTCGAACGCATTTCCCACCTGAAAAAAATTGATAAGAATGAAAAAGAAAATGGGAAAACGGACCAAACCTTGACAGATTCAAGTTGGGCTCTTTCGAGAATGACGATGAGGCGTTTTTCCTGGTTCGTGATGTGTTTGGCCAGGGACAGGTGCTTCGGCGGCAAAACCATTTCCTCCGCCTCCTCGGCATTTCCTCCGATCTTCCTCTTCTTGCCCATTTTCAAAAGAATCTACCGAAAAACTATTTCAAAAACACTGATGAGTCGAAAACCACGTGTGCTGCTCTGTTTTGAATGCAAGAGGGGTGTTCAGAGAGAAGTTAAAAATAGTTCTTAAAAGAATCACGATGATTGGCCCATATGATTGTAATGTTCAAATCCTCTGTGTACGCCCCTCTTGTTATGTAAACATTATCCAAAAAGACTGATTTCACTGATTCATTGACCTTTGACCATTTATATCTCGATTGTTCAAAAACTACAGCTGTTTTATGTCTGTTTTTCTGCCTTTCTGTTGAGTGATTCGATTTATTTAGACTGCATAAATTTAGGAAACTGCCCTATTATTTTATTCTTTAATTTTCCTCAATAATAATCATGTCATTGGCCATACGAAACCTGATTCTGAGGAAGAGCTCGGGTATATTTTTTTAATTAAATAAGCGAAAATTTATAAATATCTTGAATTAATTTAGGATGTCTCCTGCCATCAAGGAAAATGTCTTTAACGGCTCTGCCGTCAACGCACGAAATGCTTCGAAAGACCTGCAGAGATTTCGCTGAAGGTGAATTAAAACCAATTGCGGCCAAATTGGATCGAGAACATCTGTTCCCAAAGGAGCAGGTGATTATATAATTTTATTAAAATCTGTACGGCCCTGTAAACGAACAAAAAATCAAATTTTGACAGATTGACAAAATGGGTAAGTTGGGTTTGATGGCCATAGATGTGCCCGAGGAATTGGGTGGATCCGGTCTGGACTACTTGGCCTACGCTGTAGCCATGGAGGAAATTTCCAGGTGAATTCTCAGGAATAATGAATGTATTAAGGGACGCTAATGACGGGAATGTTTGCGCAGAGGGTGTGCCTCGGCTGGGGTCATTATGAGTGTCAACAACTCACTCTACCTCGGACCTGTCAACAAGTTCGGCAACAAAAAGCAAAAGGAGCAGTTTGTCACCCCGTTCACTGATGGCAGCAGAGTTGGTTGCTTTGCTCTTAGCGAACCAGGTACGGAAATTATTTTGAAACAATTTACTATTGAAACTTATTGTAAGTGAGAAATAAAAAATTATTTTTAAGGCAACGGAAGTGATGCGGGAGCTGCTTCGACTACCTCCAAAGATGGTGGCGACCACTGGCTCCTGAACGGAACCAAATCGTGGATCACCAATGGCTACGAGTCAGAGGCCACTGTTGTTTTTGCCACCACTGACAAGGCAAAGAAGCACAAAGGCATCAGCGCCTTTTTAGTTCCAAAACCCATTGAAGGTATTGAACTATTTATTTTGAATTAAATTTTATATTAATTTTTTATTAATGAAAATTAGGTTTAAATCAAATATTTTGGTTGAATATTGTTAATTTATAATAAAATTGATAGTCATTTTAATTTTAAAGGACTTGCTTTGGGAAAGAAGGAAGACAAATTGGGCATAAGAGCGTCATCAACTTGCAACCTGGTTTTCGAAGACTGCAAAATCCCAAAGGAAAATATTCTGGGAGAGCCAGGAATGGGATTTAAAATTGCTATGATGACCCTAGGTAAAATATTCATACGGGATTGTGATTAAAAAATAAATAATCTCTGTATAGACGCTGGCAGGATTGGAATTGCGTCTCAAGCTTTGGGAATCGCCCAGGCCTCTCTTGATTGTGCAGTCGATTATGCGTCCAAAAGAATTGCCTTTGGAGCACCAATTACAAAGCTGCAGAGCATCCAGGTTAGTAAATTCAAAATAACATTTACACAACTCTAAATTTATTCAATTGTAAAAGATCCAAGATTTTTAATAGTATTAAACTAAAATTATTAACTGGATAAAAATATCAACAGATAAATTGTAAAGACATTAAGGCTGATGAAAAATGACAATTATTTCCATTAGAATTAAATTTTTTCAATTGAAAAATTTGACATCAAATCCATAGTTAACAAATTAAAACAAGTTTTAATTGAGATAAATTTTTAATTAAAAATTTTTAGAATAAATTGGCCGAGATGGCAATGAGACTCGAGGCAGCGAGACTTCTGACCTGGCGTGCGGCCGCCCTGAAGGACGAGGGCAAGAACTACACCAAGGCGGCCGCCATGGGCAAACTGGCCGCCTCGGAAGCGGCCACGTACGTTTCCCACCAGTGCATCCAGATCCTGGGCGGCATGGGCTACGTTTCGGACATGCCTGCTGAGAGGCACTACAGAGATGCCAGAATCACTGAAATCTATGAGGGCACCTCCGAGATCCAAAGACTTGTCATAGCAGGCAATTTGCTCAAGGAGTACGGAGTCTAATTTTTTTATTGCGTTCAATATGCTTGGTTCGGTGCTGCACTGATTGATTTTGAAAGGAATTATTATTGGATAATTACGGTGTTTGGTCCTAAAATAAAATTTTCCATTACAGAAACTAATTTGTTTTTCACAAATTGTCTTGAATAAAAGAAAATTTCATACGATTTTCCTAAAAACTTCAAGATAATAAATAATTACTACCATTTATTTGAAAATTAAAAATGGAACTATAGAAAATCAATTTTTTTTTTTCAATATAGGATATTTAAAGAAAATACAAAAATGATTTGATCATGAATTTTAATTATGATTTTAATTGAGAACACAACAACTACCATTATTTATAGTCCTTAAATCTGTGATTAAGAAAAAAAATCAAATGTAAATTAGCAGATTATATAACAAAATTTTTATTAATTAATGGTAAAAATTTCAATTAAATTCTTTGATTCTCTATACAATTTTATTAAAAATTTTTGTTGTTAACTTTTAAACCCCTTGACAAAATCAAGGTTTCATTCAAATCGAAACAAAACTTCAACTAGGACAACCCATTGTTATATTCATGAATTTTCCCTTCTAGTATTTCAATTGTTTATTTTAAAGTTTTATCTGTATCCCGATAAATTTGTACTTATAAATTTATAATTTTTATAGCAAATAGTAAGCATTATTATTATTTAAAGTTCCATTTTTAGCACAATAGACACATTATTAGATCAAAGAAAATAATTCTATACCTGCCATTAAGAGAACAAGGAAACGGCGTTCTGCCTTTTTATGCAGCCGCAAGTTGTTTTTAATAGAGCCTTCTAAGATTACGCCGCCCCCGCGTGCGACCAGCGAAAGGGCCGGCCGGGGGTGGGTTGGCGCGCTGACAAGGGTCGGGTGCGCAGTGCAGGAGCGCCCTATTTAAGGGCGTGCGGGCGCCGAGCGCCACAAGTGCGCCCCGATGTCTCCGCGTGGCCAACTCGTCCTGTGCGTGCCGCTGGCGATGGTGTGGCTGGTGCTGGGGGGACACTTGGCGGTGCTCGCCGAGCAGGACCACCAGCAAATGTCCACCATGAGCGACGCCCTCAAGTACCTTCACCAGCTCGACAAATACTACTCGCAGGTCGCTAGACCCAGGTGAGGGAGCGAAAAATATTAAAAATTTTATTTATCAAAATTTATAAGATTCTTTCGTGGTTAATTTTAAATTTCCCAAATTTTTATTCATGAAAAAAAATTACTTTAGAGCTACAAATTTGATAAGTCAAACTTGGAGTTTAGTTGGTTTTTCAGCTAAGTCTGCTTTAGTATTAATTTTTTCAAAATAAAAAATAATAATAATAATTTAGTCGGTTTTAATACACAAGTTTGAAAAAAAAATGCTGAAAATAAATTTTGAGGAAAATAGAAAATACCACTGAAGATTCAAGAGTACTGCAGAATAATATGGCGACACAATTGATATTAAAGATTTCATTTTTTATTCTCAGTAATTTTCAGAATTTAGAGTTTTTTCTCCAGAGATTTAGTCGAAAGATTTATGTTTACTTGGGAAGCCAAAATATCAACATTTTCTATATTAAATGCACAATATTTTAAACAATCTCAAAAATCCAAAATGCGCCAGAGACATTTTCATTGTTTTTCTTCAAAGTGAAAACAGGCATGTTTAGATTTAGGATGTTTTTATTTTGCTGCAATTTTTAAAAAGAATTGTTTCACTGTGCTCAGCGAGGAAAAAATATTTGATCGACTAAAACGCCTATTAATAACTAAATTGCATAAAACTGAAACGTAATAGTGGCCAAAAAAATAGCAGTGCGTAGAAATTTTAGTGAATATTTTTCTAAATTACAAATTATACAAGTTTGGGAAAAATTAAATCTTGTTTGAAATTAAGCTCTTTGATCCAAGTAATAAGAAATGAGAAATAAGCCCTCGATTATTTTAAACACCTGCACAATAATAGTTTTCAACCTTCTACTGCCTAATTTTGTGATATAAAACCATGCGATCGTTAATGGTTAATTGAAGATATCAATTCTAGGACTTAAGGAAAAGCTTCATATCTCATGGTCATGAGCTAAAATTTTAGAGTTCCGCTTTTTAGTATGGAATGAAGGAAATTCTCACATTTAAATGACTTATAAATGAAAATATGGAAATTTGACACTGAATTGATAACATCGTTAAGAACTTTCACAACTTCTGAAATAAATTTATTTTGAATACGTGCAGAGAAAATATTAATATGGCCTTAAGCTAAATTTGTGTGTCTTTCTCATTTCAATTAATAATAAAATTAAAATGATTGAAACCCAAAAATCATTAGCAATTTTCTTAAAATTCAATGCATTTATTGTTTCCAAGAAGTTGTCATTTGGTGTTTTTATGACGTGGACTAATCACCACTTAATTAGCATGACATCGAGAGTGAAATAAGAGCGACAAAGGGCGTCATAGAGTCCGAACGTCACAATGCGTTAGCGGGTTTTTAATCTACTGCGCCTTAATTTAATTAGGGAAATTCGCGTTGGCGGCGGACAGCAAAATGTTGCGAAGCGGTTGGCTCCGGTTCTCGTAAATTATGCAACCATTTGAACATAAAATCCCAGCGGAATGCACAACCTATCATGGCAACAGGCGTTCATAAAAAATAAACAAATATATACCGCAGGTATTCACAAACGGACTTTTTATAAGCGATTTATAAATGGAAAATACTTTGGAAGAACACTAATGATTAGTTTTAGATTTAGAAAAGCTAAATAATTGAAAATTTTTAATTAAGGAAGTCAGAGTTTTAGGCTGTATAATTTTATAAACAGGCCGTTTTTCTGAAAAATGTAATTTTAGACAAAAATTCGTATTTAGTAGTAGGTGACAGAAGTTGAAAAAATCAATAACTTGGTTAGTTTTTTTTTTACTCAAATCGGTGATTTTAAAACATCAATTATGATAATAAATGGCATAATCTGGACTTTCTTTGTACATTTCCGTTGCTTTCTGACAAATAGTTTAAAAGGTTCCATGTTCCTATCCCTAAATTGGCATTCTGCTCACAAACAAACAAAAGTAATTCGCTAATAAGGCTAATGTGACAGGACAAGAAATGTGGCCGCTAATTTATTCTCATTTGTCGTGCGGTGAGCGCGCCTAGCCCCAACGGCATCCTTCACTTCACGAATAATTGGCCATTTGCGCTAAAAAAAAGCTGTCGTCATCAATCAATAGGGCCACTCCATCGAGTGTTTGTCAATGTGTGTGTGTGCATCTCTAGTGTGAGGACAATAGCTTCGGCCTTATTCAAATTCATCAAGCGCGAACACCCGGTCGCACCGCACCGACCGCCAACACGCCAAAGTCGCACTTTATTCCTGATTTGGCGCTCAAATTGACGAAATCGATCCTACACCATTGGAAATTTTGAAAAACTTCATTGTTGTACTTTCCACAACCTTTTAGTTCAATAAAAGATTAAAACCTATAAAATTATCTTCATAAATTTGATTTTAAATAAATTTCAATAACTAAATTTAAGGGTTGAAAAAAATTTGAGAACTGTAAATAAAGGTCTGGTGTAATTTTTAGAGCCTAACGGATGCAAAATTGAAGCACAACATTAGATAAACCAATATAAAATGAATGATCGATTTTATCCACGCACATTCGCTGCAAAACGTCACTTCTAAGTTCAAAGCACGTCTGTAAAAAAAGGTCCTGAATGTTCCACAGCAATTTGCGAAAACGCAAATATTTCCCGAGCAGGGTTGACTATAAAACATGTCACAGTTGAATTATGTCCGCGATATCCAAACTGATAAATAGCAACTGGCGAATTCCAGGTGCCATTGGAATATTATTATTTCATTTTCGTTCTCTTCTTCCATCAATTAATCATTTTTCAAAACTGATTAATTACTTGGGCGTTTTTACTCCACTATTTTCCTTAGTTTAAAATGGATGGACGTAATAAATGATCATTTTTTGTTACGGAAATTGCAGTTCCGCTTTTTTAATAGCTTATTTAAAATGTCTCATAAAAACGTCTGAATTGCATTTGATGGTGAAAATGATGGATTAAATTTTTCTGTATTTTAGAATTGAAAAAGATATTGCTAAGTATGAAACTCATGACTCTTTTTAAGGACTCCTTAAGTCAATTCAAGTCTTTCCAACAATGGTGATTACAATTTCCAATTGTCTTCAAAAAATCACAAAAATCTGTTTTTACTGTTGCGAGGACTTAATTCAGCCATATCAATAAGGAGTCATAAATTATTATATAAAAGCAATTATTGCTATTTATTTTTTCACATTGTTTCTATTTGGATCAAGAAAAATTTGTATCATTATTAATTTCAATACACTTAAATGATTAAATTTGTTTGAAATTACTATTATTTCAATCAAATAATGCTGCAAATTGTTAAAAATAAAAAATAAATTTATTGCTCGCTTTCAACAAGTTTGCAGGTAACAGTTTATTTATTCACCATTCATCAAATCAAACAATTTTTCCATATTTCCTTCTCAAGCAAACATCTTTACTTACTGCATTAAAAATTAAAATCGATTTGACGTCAAGCAAAAGGGAGGAATGGAATAAAATCGCTGCAATTTCACGTCCGTCCGGCCGATGCAGATAAACGACGCGCTTTGAGTTCGTGTTTATCTGCGCGTGTCTCCCGCGGGACAAAGAGATAACATTTTTTCCGTTTGGCCAGGCCGTGTCCGAGACGAACAAAGAGGCACTGCATATTAAAATTTGTTGACGTCAGCAAGCTTAGGGTTAAGGCTCGACCGTCGTTCTCTCCCGCTCGGCCACAAATTCGAACAAATTACTCAAATGTATTCCCATAAAGAGGTAGCTCCGCTTAATGAGATACGTGTCGCCGCTCTCTCGCGCATTTTTATGCAATCTGAATACAAACGAAGCGGCGCGGCGTCTTTTCTCCTCCAGACGTACAGACGATGGCGTCACACAACGCACGCACCCAACCCGGCTACATGCAAAGTACTAAGTTTGTTGCGGAATAAAGCATTACTTTACTCACAGAGATCTAATTATCAAATAGGGAATTATTTGTTCACTTTTCCAATAATTTTTATAATCTTTTATTTATTCAAAATAAATATTAAATTCTTATATTTCACCAATTTTAAACAACTAACTTAAGCCACTTGACAAAAAACACCACAAACAAGCAATTATATTTTTCAGTTTTCCAAAATACAAATATCAATTTCAAAAAGGGAATATTATGCAATGAAATATAATAACATACTTCTGTCATCGTTTTAGAAGTTTTGATTTCAATTTGTGAAGTTCGTAATAAAAGCTTGCCAGTTTTTAGTTTCACAAGGTTGACAAAGTCAAAATTAATTAAATTTTGTCTGCTTTTGCCGTTACTCTTTGAGAAAAAAAATTAACTTTTAAGTAAATTGTTCTCAATAAAGTGCTTATTATTATTATTTTACAATTATTTAAACGAGAATTCTTTACATTTTTTTTTAATAAATCTGCATATTAATAAGTAAATGATACGCTATGTCAGTGAAATGGTCACACGTCGTGGCTTTGCTATGAAGAAAGAAACTAATTTTATTTGATAGAAAGACAGTTAAGTTGAATTTTTTGGCTATAATTTTTTGTATACTTATTCTCGATAGATATTTTTTTTTAATTTACGTTAATAAAAAACATAAGTATCTCAACAATTATGTATTGGAAATTTAAATTACATTGAAAAAACATTCAATCAATTACAGAAGTATTTGCAAATCAATTCGTGTGCTAATTCGATGACGAAATTGAATTGAATTTTCCACGGTAGTTTTTTGCTGTTATCAATTAACGTGCATAATTGAACTGAGGATAAATAAATATCTGGTTTACATAAATGGAAGCAAATTGTTATTCCTATAATTGAAGTCATTATGATTATTTACATATAGAGATATTGATACAAATAAATAATAGACAGGTAATTTGTTCTGTTTATTATCCCCATTTTATGTAACGTATTGTTGCTTTTCCACCACATTCAAGGACCATTACTGTGATTGGCAACCGATGAAATGAACTCGAGCTCTCGTTAAAAGCAGAGGAAGTGCAACAAATTGCTCAAAGAAAAAGTGCACACGGCTCTCATTGCGCAATTTGCTTGCAAGCGGAGTGCACTTTTCTTTCTTTTTTTAATCATATATTCTTTCTTTCTGCAAGTTCAAAAGCTGAGAGTGTGTGTTGACGTGAAGTGTCATTGAAGCCCCATCGCGCGTGAGGGCCGCTTTTTATTCACTTATTTTCCCCATCCGGCTGTTTTTCCGCTTGCAAATAATGAGCCGAACCGCGCGCGACGAAATTTCTCGAGCGTGCGAAAATTATTTGCAAAGTTCGGTCTCGGCGCCGCGCAACTTTCTCGTCTGTAATTAAAAGCGCAGGGTGATTCGATTACGAATTCGCTAATTTCCTGTGCGCGGAGGCCCATTACGCGGAGAAAATTGCTTTTCTTTTCTGCCACCGCCGCTTTGCTCAAAATCAAGCTTTTCCAAACCATTTTCTTGTTATTTCAAGCACGCTTCTTTTTTTGTTGGCAGCACGCGGAGCGACACCTCCATGACCTACGGAGGCGACGTTGACATTTTCAGGGCAAAACAGGCCCTGAAAATGCTCAAGCTGCAGGAACTGGACAAACTCTATACGCAACGATCTAGGCCAAGGTAACTAATTGTCTGCAAAATTCAAAACAACACGATAATAAAAACAATACAATTCATTTCGTGAAATATTTTCACGATCAATGGTTGATTCGTAGTTTTATTTGATGAAATTCGGGTTTTCCTCGATGTGATACTTGAGTCGTTTATTGTCTCACGGAAAAACAATATCCTGGGCAACAGGATATTGTTTTTTCCATGACACATTCAACAACTTCGAAGAAAAGCCGAATATCATTCAACCACCAAGAATAGATTCTTCGTTGACCGGAAACAAAACAAAAAATAAAAATCTGGGTAAAAATTTCATTTTATATTCGTTAAATTGCTATTTATAAAAAGTTAAAATGCATTTTTTTATTGCATGTTCACAGATTTGGAAAACGGACGGAAGTACATTTGCAAACTGAAGAACGTGATGTGAGTGAAAACAATTTTTATTAACTCTTCCACTATTTATGTTTTATACAAAACACATAAATATAAATGATAAATTAAAGCCTCGAATGACTTGAAAATAATTAAAAAAAAAAAAAACTTAATTTGTCTCATTTGCAATATTGCCGGGAAGTTTATATATTGCCTCTTCTGCTTAACACAAATTTTCTTTCAAAAACATTAACTTGACTTAGAGAAATAAATTATACAAATATTTCAATTGATTTCAATACATTGTTATGAAAAAGGAATTGGATAAATTTTTCAAAATTAAATTAAAACTATTACAAATTAAATTCAAGTTTTTCATCTCTTTCTTTTTATGGTTAGGAGCAGACGAAATTTAGTTGTAATCCAGGAATTCTGTGAAGTTTCGTTATTTTATTGTACTATTTGCCTGTATCTATTTTTTGACTAAATTATTTATATTTTCAGGAAAACAGGACTGTTGATCTCAACAAGACGAATTAATATAATATCCTTGCAAAAAAATCCATAAAAATACTTAATGTTCTAAAATTGGCAAAGTGATCCAAATTTAATTTTTTTTTAAAGCAGATTAGAATTTGAAAGGAAAATAAATTCATCCTTATTTTTCCCATTTAAAAAACATTTCCTAATTTCAATGATATATCATAATTGTATTATTAGATTGTGTGAATACAATTATTTGATTCTTCGGCGTTTTGTTTCAGATAGCTGGTGTTTGGGGAGACAACGGAGTAAACGGGGACTACGAAACGAGATGATTTATTTGCCAATTATAGTTAATGTCTTTTTCTTTCCGCGTCTTTCCAATTTGCGTTGCAACTTTCCGTCGATCTCATTTAACATGTTTTGTCACCAAACACGCAACTTCCACTCGTCTGTTGAGAAAAAAAAAACAATATATCTTTTGAAACAATAATAACGCATGCGTGAATTATTATATATAAGAAGCTGGAAAATAATAAACTTCGTCTTTGTGTGCCGCAAAAATGGTGTGTGTCTCTTTGCCAAAGTCATTCCCGGAAAACCTCTCATTGTCAAGTGTGTGCACTGCTGCGTGCACGGGTTATTACGGAAATTGAGCGGTGGCTCATCGTCCGACCAACAGGTATAGACGGACGGGTCTCTTTATGTGGAAGCCAATAAACCTTCAATCCTGTCCACTCTTCTGCAGATAGACTCTTGATCGCTTGCGTAAACACACGCGCTGCACGCGAAGAGAAAATTGAAAGGAAAAAGTGCTCAAAAGAAAAAGAAGCTTGGGTAATTCAATATCGCTGCCGGCCGCTCTCTCCACGCACCAAAGGCACGTCACTTTTTTAATAACATTTCACGTGATGATTTCCGCCGTCTTGGTTTACCCTGTTTGTAAGGCAACACCTACTTTTATTGAGCCATTTTCCTTGTCCCCGTGTTTACAAATAAGCTTCATTTCGCTGGTGTTTGATCAAAATCTGTGCGAACGGAGCATGTTACTGCGTACGGCTCGAAGAGGAAAGTACCTTTGAAAACCAAACACCTATAATGGCAGTGCGAAAATTGCATTGGCTCGTTACGTATCTCCTTTCATCTCAATTCTGTCTTGGAAAGAATCTGCTGAAATCTTATTTCAATTAGCAATGTTTATGTGTGATTTAGTTAAGCATCACTATTTGCTTTCATAAGAAAATCAACTTATTTATTAAAATAATTCACAAAAATGTGCAATTTCAAATTGGAATTGCAGCTGAGGGTAAAAAAAAGTTAGAAATAATTAATTAATTTAATAATTAACCACTACGCTAGTAATTTTTTTGTGTTGTTTATAACTATTTTTTCTTTCAAAAGAAATAACTTGGTTTATTGGCAAAAATGTGCAACTCGATTAAGTCAACACAGAGAAGATCAATTTTTTTTCAATTTCTCCTCCTTCCATTCATGATTTATCTATAATATTTTCCTAAAGAATGTACTTCTTCACATTTAAAATATGATTATTTTCATATAAAAAATTTACATTAAATGCTGAAAATACGACAATTTCACACATGCCAACTCTTTCTCATAATAAACAGGTAAAATGTGAAAAACCTAAAACTCAATAATCTTCAAAAAAATAAAAAAAGGATTAAAAATTTGAAGATTAAAATGTCAAAAAAAATATATATATATATATATATATATATATATATTTCATCCCTTTTTCTCGGGGATTGTTGAAATTTTGAACAAAAAGAAAGTATTAAAGTGAATATTTTAATATTATGAATAGTATAAAGGAAATTTTTTAAATGTAAGTAGCATTGAAAAAAAATTAAATTCTGTGATTAAAGCCATATTATTATCCCTTTAGGCCAGAATTGGTAATGCCGCGGCTTGGCCGTGAGGTTATAAATCCGCGCACACCACGGCTGCTCTCACCTTGCGCCGGGGATAACCCGTTTGGGTGTGTGTTTGCACCCTTGTGTCTGTCAATGGCGGAATTTACGTAAGCAGAGAGGGTAATGAGTGAGCAGCGAGCGACCACTTTTTAGCTGCGAGCTAACGTATTTAGCTTAATTGGATTATTGGAGGGTAAGTGGAGCATAGACGAGTGAGTCGCCGCCACCACGCCGCCACTTCTTTTCAAAACACACAACCTCAGTGTCCGGGTGGATTTCTCCGAATGGACTCGCCGCCCGTCCCGAACGTCCTGGTCAGAGGTAACGCCGCGCGGCAACAGGTCGCTCCCTCCTTCCCTCATCACTTCGCAATTATCAGATCTCCCAAGTGGAAATTTCGTCCCCTTTGCTCTTAAAATACATTGTCGGATCGATGCTTTGCCACTATTTTTGAGAGTCCAAAGCTAAAAATATAAACACAGGGTCACTCTCTTCGAGCAGATTCGATAATATACTTGATTAATTGAAAACGCAGAATTTTTTTTAAAATGCGGTGGAAAATCACATGGAAATAACAATTGTGATCAAAATTAATGATTATTTCATAGTAATTTTAAATTAAATTTTGTTACAAGTCAACGTTGCCGATGTTCAATAAAAATTTAATGTGATTCAAAAAAGGAACAATGGTTGGGGTTTTATTAAATTCCAACTTTTTTATTTAGTTGAAGCTTATCAAATACCTAAAATTTATGCAACTCCAATATGCAAAGTAAATGATTTGGAATTCGATCAACGTAACTAAAAACTATAAGTTGACTTTTTTTAAATTAAATAAAATGTGGCCAATAACAAAGTTATTATGTACTTTGATCTAATTTGAATTTCCTATTTTATAAAAGATTTAAAAATACAAACGAACAATTAATTTTGATACACATTTGCTTTAGAATAAAATAACTTTTGAGTCTTTCAATAATTAATAGAAAAAAGAAAAAAAATATGAATAATGATATCAAAATATTTTCAGAAATTGTTTCAGAAGTTTCAAGATCACCTTGTAATTTAAAATTAACTTTAAACCACTTCTTTAATCAAAGGGCAAAAGCTTTCAGAATGAATAAAATTTTCCTTGTTTAAAAAATCTCTCTCCGCCATAATAGACTAAAATCAGTTACAAAAATTTTAATGCAAAGTAAAAAAGTTAAATTACATATAATTTTATTTTATTTTTTTATTTTTTTTGAATTTTACTTAGGTTCCTTTATTTTAGCGAAAACAGCTATGTCGAGAGAGCCAAAAACAATCAAAATGGTTTCTGCGTCCTGTTTGTCTCTCTTTCCCTTTAATCTGTCGTTTTGTTTGGCAAGCGCAAAGGCTTAACTCCATTTCTAGCAAAATCAATCACAGTGTGAGTTTGGGTCAGCAGGTATTTTGCAGCAGGACCGATGGGATCTCTGAGGAGGGACTCGTCACGACCGCTCGCAAACGCCAGCGTCTCTTTGGAGAGCCGCACGCTTTTCTGGCTGCTGCTCGGCCAGATCGGATCAGCGATCTGCGACTCTATTTACCAACTGCGGCCCTCCAATCTGTGCTCCGTAATCGGTTCGACCGTGCGAGGAGCGATAGACTCGATTTTTTCAAGTAATTTAACGGTTTTATTATTTTTTTTTTTTCATTTCTCAACTTTTTACAATTAATTTTATTGTGGAAAAAACAGTTTTCAATCCGAGCCAACGACTGGTGCACAAGTGGGTCAGGAAAGAGGTGCCCTTCAGGGACATCCCGAACATAACCACCGTCTGGGCCGACGGCACCATTCTCTGCGTGATCGTGGAGAACGCGATCGCGCCCAATCCTGACACCAAGTTCCACCAGGAAAAGTATCACAATCTAGGGCATGTGACCCTGCCGAATATAAGACTTGGACAGAAATTGGCTCAACAGTATCTGTTCGTAGATCCAGTAAGGAACAATCAAATTAATTTGTAGAAATTTAATTTAAATTAAATATGAGCAGAGACGAATTGATGAAAGATAGAATTCATTATTTCACGATTATTTTGGATAAATTCAAAAGATATTTTAATGTTAAAAACTGAAAATAAACCTACATAGTTGTGCAAGAATCCTTCAACCTCAACCAAATCCAATCAAATTCAAATCAAAGTAACAAATTACAATTAAATTAGAATATTTCTGCTGTTCTAAAAAAAAAAGAATTTTCCAATATCCTCAAGCCATGTGGAATAAACTCCTTGTCGTTGTTAAATAAGTTCATAAGTTTTGAATAATTCCACACATATATAAAAGAAAAAATAAATTGTTGCTGATCAACAACTCTAAATTTTATTATTCTTTTTTTAATTTGGCTGTATTTCTAAAATTCATTAGATATTTTAATTGCAAGTCAAAAACTGTAAATTTAACATGAAATTTTGTAGGAATTTTCAAACGCCGAAATGCAACGAGAGGCTGATGCAGAAATAATCCACAGACTCGTCAAATACTTGCAGAATGTGAAAAGGGCCTCAAAATTGGCCAAGAACAAGCAACCATTTGAAATCGGTACAATATAAACGTCCTTGATATTATAATTTCTTACATAAATTTCCCTTGGAATCAGAACGAAGACCCACATACAAGGAAATAATGGATGAAGCGCAAAAAGTCAAAAACCAAAAGTCAAAACGAAAAATCAAGCGGCGGAAGCGGCGCTCAAAGACGCCGGAGAAGACGGCGCTCAACTACAGTCTGGTCAGCTCAACGGTGATTCCGGAGGCCAAAGACGACCAGGAGCAGGTGGCCCAAGTGCAGCACCTGCTGAACCACGACCTGTTCAACGACAAGTGCGAGGAGATCGAGTCCGTGTGCGAAATGCTGATGGTGCGCAGCAACAAACGCAAGTCGCTGCAGATTTTCAACACGGCCACGCAGATTCTGTCAACGAGGAAGAGCTCAGTGGATGACGAAAAGGCCAAACTCATCGACGACGGAGAAGGAAAAAACGACACCGACGATAATTGCAAAAAGACTGATAGTCCTTTGGGAGAGCAGACGAGACAACGCAGGATTAGCCTTAATGTCGAAACAATGAGGCGGACAAGCGTGGACGACAAGGGAAGAAACTCGCGACGCAACAGTTCTTCACTGCAGAAGCAAGAGAGTGTGAAAGAAGAGCGCAAAAAACCGCCCAAGACCAAAGCCAAGCCGAAACTGGACTTCAGCAAGACGGACTTCAGTCTGCTCGGCAAAATGGACCAGATGTTGGAGACGAGGCGCCAGTCGGTTGAAAGCGTCGCCCAGCAAATTGAAAACCTCGCCTCGGACATTGCAAACATGAATGTCACTGAAGGTAAAATGTGGAGAGAAATTTCAAATTTATGCGGAAAGTGATGTGGAATTTGATTTTTTTGACAGATGCGATCAGTGACGGAGTTTTCTTTGCGAGACGACTATCGCAGAGTAGTTTGATTAATAATGAAATCAAGCAAAATGCTAATGACTCCTACCTAAAACAAAAGGTGAAGAGAAAGAGCCCCAGAAATGCTAACATTGTGCGCCCAGGTGAGATATTTATTCACTTTTTTATTTAAAAACTGATTAAATAATTTTTGTCATTCTTCATTTTACCAATATGATAATTTTATAGATCAATTTAATCAAAAATTAAAATAAAATAGAATATTGTTAGTTAGAAAGCTGGCAGAATCAGCTTGATTAAAAAATATGATTTTATTTTGTATAAAATCAATTGGAAATATATATTGGATGATATAGAGTCAAGCGCATACAAAACATTTAAGTGATAACGTTTGGAAAAACTCGTATTGCAAGTCATTAAATTAGAAAAAAATCTAGGCCTATTTTTTCTAATAAAAGCGATAATATTTTTTATAAAAATTGGCTTATGTTTATATTTAAGATTTGGTTCCTTTAACTTAAAATTGCACGATCTTTATTATGATTAACCTGTTGAATTTATTTCTATGAACAATTCAATATTATTATAGACATTTTTTTTTCTTTTTATCTTGAGAGCAAGTATTTCAATTCTGATCTTTTATTGATACCTAGATAAAATAATTTTTAAAATGCAAAGTTATATCAATGAAATTAATAATCTTCGTTAATAAGAAAAATAGAATAATCTAAAATCAATTTCTTAAAGTAGATTATTAAGTTTCAAAAGTACTCAAATTTACAATTTTCATTTTCAATGAGAGTAAAATATTTTTTATGTCGAAACTCACAAACGAATCAAATAATCGGAACCTTTCCTTTCAAGTTTTAAGGGCCAATTTAAAAAACAAAAATGCAGATATCCTTCATTGATATCGAAACTTGAAGCATATACGCTTGAGAGTTCTCAGAGAGCATTATTTTTCTGAATTTCTTTTTACGCAACAAGCAGATTTGATTCTATCCACTTGAGTGTGAAAAGAAATCCGAGTATTTCGGCGGGAAAATTGCGCTCTATGCGAAAAGAAATGCCAAGAATTCTGTAGCGTGTGTTACTTTGTACACAAATCGGGTTTATCAACAAGCAGGGCCAGAGGCAGGGTTGACACAAAAATATGCGCGGCGACGAGAGTAACTGGCAATAAACGTTTCGCAGAATTCAACAGCAACGTCTTCCAGGCGCGACGTGACGCATTCCAGGCGACGACGCCCGAGAGCCGCTCCTCGGAGGAAAGCAGGGTGTCGTCCGAAAGAAGGAAAAAGTCGCTCGGCGCCCACGTGGAGGAGACCAAGCGGCGCTACGAGTCGGCCAAGAACTTTTTCAAAACGATGGAGCAGCAAGTGGGCTTCGTGGGGCGCCGCGGCTCCGACACGCAGACCCTGCCGACGGCGCCGCCGCCCGAAACCCGCAAGTTCAGCAGCTGCAGGTCGACGCGTCCGCCCGGCCGACTGCACGTGGCCGACGTGTTTTGCCGCGACGAAAACAGCATGTACGAGGTGAGTTTTATAAAAATGGGTGGAAAAGGCATTTTTAAAATAATATAGCGAATTTTAACATTTATAAAACATGTAGAATTTAATAATATTATTTTTTTTCACTATTCAAAAGAGAAAGATTAATTACAAAGTTTTTAAAGGGAATTATTAAATCTTCTGAATAGTTTTTTCTGCACTGTTACAAATTCATTTATTTTCTACATTTAAGAATTGTAAAAAAAATTCGTCGTGAGAAACAAATTCCTGGACAAAACGGCACTAATACTTCTGAGACCGAGAAGATCCCATAATATAAATAAAAAATGAAAAGCAGCATAAAAGGTTTTTTTTTATCTAATTTAATTTCAAATTTAAGTTTAACCATTACAGTTTGCAGATTATATTAAACCAAATTTAATTTTCGGTCTTTGAAAACTAAATATGAGATGAAATCTTTGTGTTCCCTGATTTTAGACAAAATATTTTTTAAATAAAATATTTTTAACTTATTATTCGGAGAATTGAAGAGAGGAAATTAAAAAAGTTGGGAAAAATATTGTAGGACCCTTATTTTCATACAAAAACTTCTTGGAACTTTTAGGGGAAATCAAATTGGGCAACAGGGGGTGATAAGGGGTGCTAAAAATATAGTCACTTTTTCATGAAAATTTGTGTCAATTTCAAACAACAATTCTTTCCTTTGATTCAATAGAAAAGCAATTAATGTTATGATAATAAGCTAATTTAATCGATTAAGCGCTGCCGATTTTTTTTAATTTTGAATAAACTACAGTTTATAAGTTCTGATAAGTTTGATTAAAATTAGAACAATTAAAAAATAAATTTTTTCTATGCGGAATAACGCTGAAATAACGCTGAATTACGACAAAATTAAAATCATATAAATCTTTAAATAAGTTCATACGAGATCGATTAAAAATTAAATTATTTACAGTGTTGCGCAAGTAAATACGACAAATCGTTTTTTTTTTTTTAGAACAATTAGTACATAGTCAATTATTTTCCAAGAACAGACTATTTTTAATTTCATTTAAAAATGGCTATTATCTTTTATTTAAATCGATTTGATTTGCGAATAATGCTTATAAAATTTACATTTTAGTCGGCGTGGAAAATAGTCAATTCTGATTAATGCCAATCCCTTCTACTGACGACATACTTTGCCTTCCTTAGGAAGGTCGCGAAATGAATCAAACGAAATAAATAATAAGGTTTCTTCATTTCCGCGAGTGTCTGACAATGAGTTGATTTGATTATTGTTTCCTAATTAGCTCGCACGTGACTAGAGACTCTCGTGACAATATGCTTTGTCAATGGAGAAGCGCATGCAAATTCAATTATGTAAATAATTGCTTGAATATAGTTAATTGGTAAATTATAGATAAAAAGAAAAATTCCTCTTTAGTCGTTAATATTATAAATCAACAATAAACGTGACACAATTCGCAATTGCAGCTATGAATAAAAATGCCACCGAGTAACTTTTATTTATTTCTTATAATTTTTGGTTTCTTAATATTTTAATTTCAATAGTTTTAAAGACTTTTGAATCCTTATTTCTATTTCAAGTCCTGCGTTTTATTCCATAGAAACTTGATTCTATTATCAAATCAAACTCCAAAACATAATATTGCAAATTAATTAGGAAAATTTTCTGACGAAATACAAAATTAATTTACCATCAATGATTGGAAAAGCAACGGTTTGTGTTTAAATTCTAGATAATACAGGATTTCAAAAATATATATTTTTTTCAGAACCTAGAAATAAGTATTTTTAAATTTTGTTGAATTCCAGAGTGTGAAGACAATCAAAGGACCGGACATGTCCGCGTTGGTGGCGTCGCTGAATTCGGCATACAACGAGAACGAGACGCGTCCGTGCTCCCCGTACGCGCTGGTGCGCGAGGGGAACGAGGAGGACGACTCGGAGCCGCCTAGTCCCGAACGACAGGCGATGGACTTCAGTCGTCGTCGGGTCTCCTACTCGCAACTCAACCAGGAAGGCGACGCCGGAATTTTCTGACACAGCCAAACTAATCACGAGAGCATACGTGGGTTATTACTTGTAGAAAAATTAACAATACTAATTATCGTGAGGAGCGAATTAATAAAATCACAAATTATATTATAATTATGCACGCTACTAGTGAATTAACCTCTCAGTTTATGCGAATTAAAACCTGTGCTTTTATTTAACCACCACCCAATTAAATCAAAAATTTCATAATTTATGCAAATCAATTGATTATAAAAGGAACTACGGAGCAAACTTCAATACTGCAGATTTTCCTCTAAATGGATTAGTTTATACCATTAATACGGATTACCTGAAACAACTAAATATTTAGGGGCTTTATTGAGCCAGTTTTTTATATAAAAATTTCAATCTAGCTGCCTCTGATTTGAAAGGTCATTAATAGCTCCTATAAAAAATAAGCGCTGAGGGATAATTAATTGTAAAAAATACATGGATATATTTAAGCCTCTCACTTCTGGCATGGAATCAATTTTTTTAGTTATCAGAATAATTTATCTATGGACATGTATTGACATTTTTTTTAATTAAAAAACGTGGCTTTTGAACTTTGTAAAGCCCTAAATTGATTTGCAAGGTCAGAAGCACCGCACCAGCCTACACTCAATGCAAACAGTTCGACCCACCTGCCGCTCGCTTTTAACCTCCGAAAGCCAACAATGTTCCATTGTTTGTCCAACAATCACAAAATTAATCAAAATGAGCACAAAGCGAGGAAACTGGGGTGAATTTACATGTAGATTTAAAATTTATTGAGGAAACAGGTTGATTGAATGAGTTCTCTTGGGGAAAACTGTTTTAAGAATATAATCTATATTTTTTTTTTACTAAAATCTTAATTTTCTCTCAGATTCCAGAGAAAATTTCAGTATAATTGCAGATATTTTTATTCCTAATAAAACTGGGAAATCACTTTCCATTAGACGGCACCGATTTTCAAAAACGGTAAGTCTTGTACAATCAAAGTGTCTTCAGTGAAAAATTTAATGAAGAATTATAATTTTCATAATTAAATGTGTAGCAACATATTTTTATTAAAAAATAGGAAGACGATCAAAATTAGTTAAACAGTCTCATTATTGTCAATATATTTAATTATTCATGATTTTTGCTTGAGGAGTGAGAAAATCAATTTATATTAAATATTACATACTTTTAAATGGCACAATTAACAAATTCATGCTGTAATCAATTAGCATTAATTAATTAATGATTTTTATTTTTTCAAGCAATTTTTTTTTTTTAAATCTCTGAAATGCATCGGTTGTATGGAATAGTAAAAATTAATAATAATTTAGAAACAACAGATTCAAAAATATATTTTAGTCATACCAATATTTTAATTTCTATCTGGATGACACTTTAATACTTTTGATATTAAAACGTCCAGCAAATTCCATTGCTCAAAATAAAAATGGAATTGCGGCGCCTGCTGCGGAGGCACTTTCAGCAAACAATTTTATTATTTTGATACGCGGCGTGTGATTATTTTCTCACGTCAAAGGCGCGGAGGCGCGACGCGCTGGAAATAGAAAAGTGCATTTGGCGGATGGTGCAGCCAATTAGCTGCACGGCCGCAGCGGGCGACGAAAGGCGGAAGTTTTTGTTTTGGGCGCTTGCTAGAGGACGCTATTTACGCGTATCCATCCCATTCATAATATCTTGCGTGTGTGTTTGAAGGAGCTGCTGGTTGGTTTTTGTTGTCGCCCTGTTTGGACGAAGGAGGCAGATGTGTGGAGATTAAACAGGCCCCCGCCTGCCCCGTCGCCGCCGCGTCTTCGCGCCCCCCGATTTCAATTCGCCGCCGACCGCCGCAGCCTCATCATAATTCCCTCGGCGGCCCTCAAATTCCGCAGGCCGAGCTACACAATGCCCGGCGGCAACACGGTGCACGAGGCCAAGCGGAAAAAACGCAGCCACAGCGTGGCCAGTCAGTGCTCCATCGGCACCACCGGACAAAACACCCCCGGCAGCCGAAGACAGAGCAGACACGTCCTCCAGGAGCAACACAGTCGCAACGATGACAGGTAAAATTTTTTCATCCACCCTAAATTACGATTCCTTTGACAGAGAAAAATCCATGCTTTCGTGAAGTTTGAGCAAAATGAACGCGCGGGAGTTTAATTAGCGCTCGCAGAACAAAAAATGTACGAGTCAAAAAGCGTTTTTCACATTTTCAAAGCTGCGCTGTTTTGAAACGAAATGTCAAAGTGTTCCAAAATGACTATAATATTTCCATCTCGTTAATTTTTTAATTCCAGCAAACATCTCAGCAACGTAATCGTTTGGGCAAGCAAAAATAATGGCATATTTTTTTTATTACAGAAAATCGTTTTCCATAAGTTGAATGCAAATTATGAGGATTACACATTTTATTAAGTTAATGAAGGTGATATTTATTAATTTGTTCATTCTACTTTCAATATATCAAACACAATATCTTACATCAAGTCAATACACTGGGTTTGATAAATTCTACTATCAATTTGGTCCAGCCTATTTAAAAAAATAAAATTATTCACAAAAATAAGATGCAATAAACTTCAATATTTCTATAAAAACTTGAAAGCAAAAACTTTTGAGCTTACATTATTTATGTTAGGAAATAATTTTACTTGAAAAAATATTTTCAACTGCAAAAATCCGTCCCATTTTTAATTATAATCTTAAACTTTTTAATACTCATTTTGTCAACTTCAAATATTTTAAATCTTTTGAACTCGCTATCATTTTATTTCCTACGAGGATAGTCTTTTAGGGGGAAGTAAAAATTGATGAACGGCGCTATTTTTTATTTTTGGAGAATTTTATATGTGATCATCAACCATAAAAAATATTATGCTGTAAAACGTGTTTCATCTACAGGGGCGATTTTTACGTCACATATAATAGCTAGTCCATGCTGACCGAGCAATCTTTGAAGCAAAAGGTGGACTCTTTTATTATAAGTTATTATAAACAACGCCGATGTAGCAATTTTTAGTGGATCGGACCTACGTCAACTTGAATTGCATAGAGCCTACAATATTTATTCCACTCCTGTATAATAAATTTTGTATCTGTTGAATTCTAAATTATTCAAACAATATTTCATTCAACTTAGTTAAAAAAGAACTATTGCATCAACACATTCTGTTGTTGGTCATGTTGAAAGATCTATACAAAATAATTTAAATTGAATGCTGGAAAATTTATTGAAATATTTTAATTATTTTTCCCCTTTTCCGGATGAGATTTGAATTTAAAACAAATCAATCTCTTTCAACAGTTTTTTCCCTCAAATTTACCGTTTAAATTGGAAATTTGCTGGCTTTTGATTTGGTTTTGTGTGTATGATTGGCAGTGAAATGGACTACAAGCAGCGGCGGATGGTTCTGGTAATAAGCCTTTTCGCGGCCGGCCTGTTCTTGTCCGCCGTGCTTCTGATTGTCGTCACCCTTCTGCTGACTCCGTCCATAGACGAGCGCAGTGAGTAGCCCTCTCTTTTTGATTGCAACATACTTTTGCGCCGCAAATACCAGCGTCAATTTCGCTTCTTCTCGGGATAAGAAAGACGCACGCTCAATCTCTCATATATTCAGTGAAATTTACTGCCCAGCTCGGACGCATTCCAGCTGCCGCGGCGGCGGCAAAAGGCAATAAACAAAATTAACAAACATTCCGTGCAGCGGCAGCCTTTTGACGGAAATAGTTTGATTAGTTGGCAATTGTGCGCCGACGGTTTTGTCCGCTGGATTCGTTTCAAAATAACGAGAGAGAGAGAAATGGCCGGCTCGAAATAATACTTGGACATTCATTCATGTCTCGCGGCGAAATAAAACACACGTCTGATCGTCCAGATGGTCACGTGAGAGACCAGAACTTCTTGGCTCTCTTTCTCTCTCTTATTTCGCGCCGGAAGCCTCGCAATTAAGCCACACTTTTTTTCCTTTGCTAACTCGCGTGACTTTTGAACTTGTTTGTTTCTTTTATTTTTTTTCGCCCGGCGAATTCGATACTTGACCTGTTACACTTCGTCTTTTATTTAGGAAAATAAAGTTTTTGCTAACGTTGACAGAAAAAGGTCTTGCGCTTGGTATACTTTTATCGCTCGGATAGAAGTGGGCCATTAAAATTATTTCGAGGAACACGTTGGAGTGGAAATTTATTTGCGATTCTACTTGGAGCGCGATGCTCTTTTTAAAATCCGCATGCGTCATCGCTCTTCGCTCTCGCGCGAGAGAAAAATTTCGCTCTCCAACTTGGGCTTCACTCAAAGAAAAGTAGTAAATTTAAATATCAATTTGCTCTCTTTGTACTTTAAGAAGAGGCAGAGAGACTTTGAGCGTAATGCAGACTCGAGTCGTTGTTTGAGAAAACGCCAAGTCATGCGCGAAAACGATCCTTTTTTGCTCAACAACTTTTTTCAAACAACCCTCCGCGTCTTAAACAAAGTTGGAGTTATTAATTCACTGTGAGCACATCCCAACGCTGGTGAGATAAAAAAGAGAATACATGTTCGATCTGCCAGTTCTAAACAAATGCTTTCATTAAAGTCAACGTGCTATGATGGGAAAAAAGTAGATGGGCAAAAATAGCTCACTTATTAGGCTGAAAGTGAAAAATGACACTTACAATTAATAAAACATTAAATACATGATTAACCCCAATTTAAAAAAAAAATGTTATTCCGTTTAAAACTGTTACAAGGATCAAATAATAAGGAATAAAGGATTTATGCTTTTGAACTAAAATTAAAAAAAAAAATTAAGTGGGTTAATAACTTTTCAAGTTTTTTTTTTCAGTTCCTAATTTTTTTCAATTTTAATTAACCAAATATATAAATCCATACTTAATAATAAAATATTCAAATTCGTCTATGATTTATAGATAAAATTTTGAACTGACAAATTTTTACGTTAATCTCAACATTGACTTTATTAAAACAGATTAATATAGAAAAACAGTAAATTTCTACAATTGACATTAATTTTAATTATATTCGTTTTCCTCAAATAAGTGGACCTTTTTAAAGTGATCTATTTTGAAAATTTCCTCCTAAAATCACCAAATAAAATCCTTTAATTAGGTTCAGAATAATATTTACTGTCTAATTAACCTTTTCAGTGTTTACATTCAAATACTTAATTTGATCAGGGCATTTTTTTGATAGAATTAACCACTTTTGTTACGATACAAAGATGAAAGAATGCCATTCTGATTTTTTAGTATGTTGTTGGGGTCAACAAGAGCTTCGTCTCCCTAAATTTTCAATATAAAATTTTGAGTACTTTTCCGGAAAAACGAGTTTTCCCAAATTCACAAAATATTGAATATCTTTGCTCCTATTGAGAAAATAAGTATGTTCTTTTCACCTCCATATGCAACTTTTTATGCCCGACAACTTTGCTGTTAAAAGTTTTTGTGTAGGTCAAAGGTTAAGGTCACTAATTTTCAAATTTCACTTTTAAACGCAATTTTCGAAAAGATGCCCCCCTCCGATTTTTTTGGGGGTATAGGAAAAAATGTAGCCCTGAGTGTGTAGAACAAAATACTTGATTTTTAGAATGGCAAAATTTTTAGTTTTCAAGATAAATTTAAATGAATATTAAAAAACAGCGAAAAATCGCTTTTCCGCAATAGGAATTAATTTTCAAACGGCAATAACTCGGTTTCTGTGAGAGATACGTAAAAATTTGTAATGACAAGAAATGTTTCAAATTGATTTTTCTATCGAACAATGTATTGGTCATCTAGTTCAGGTCACTTAAGGTCATTGACCCCCGTGACCCTTGACCTTAAAAATGGTCTAGCAATAATTGATGTAAATGATATAATAAGTTTTTGAATTTCTTTCAATATTTGTGATGAATGTTATGTTCAACATTTTTTAAGGTCAAGGGTCACGGGGGTCAATGACCTTAAGTGACCTGAACTAGATGACCAATACATTGTTCGATAGAAAAATCAATTTGAAACATTTCTTGTCATTACAAATTTTTACGTATCTCTCACAGAAACCGAGTTATTGCCGTTTGAAAATTAATTCCTATTGCGGAAAAGCGATTTTTCGCTGTTTTTTAATATTCATTTAAATTTATCTTGAAAACTAAAAATTTTGCCATTCTAAAAATCAAGTATTTTGTTCTACACACTCAGGGCTACATTTTTTCCTATACCCCCAAAAAAATCGGAGGGGGGCATCTTTTCGAAAATTGCGTTTAAAAGTGAAATTTGAAAATTAGTGACCTTAACCTTTGACCTACACAAAAACTTTTAACAGCAAAGTTGTCGGGCATAAAAAGTTGCATATGGAGGTGAAAAGAACATACTTATTTTCTCAATAGGAGCAAAGATATTCAATATTTTGTGAATTTGGGAAAACTCGTTTTTCCGGAAAAGTACTCAAAATTTTATATTGAAAATTTAGGGAGACGAAGCTCTTGTTGACCCCAACAACATACTAAAAAATCAGAATGGCATTCTTTCATCTTTGTATCGTAACAAAAGTGGTTAATTCTATCAAAAAAATGCCCATCAGTATAATTGAAAAATCACCCTGAATTTGCAAAACAAAATCATTTTCCCCAACCCAATTAGACAAAGATGCTAATGCCAACTCCATTTTGCATATTTTTTGCAACTTCAAAAGATCACCAAAAACTAGAAAAAAATTGTATAGAACTATATTGATTTTACTATTGACAAATTAATATTTTGTAATAATGCAGTCGAAATAAACAAAACTCGTGTCTATGGAAACAAACCGCATTTTCCTTTCATCCGCCCTTTTAAAGTAAGCGCAGTTCTCAAAAAGTGACAGAGGGAAAGATACATCTGGGACGTGTTTCCAATTTCAACGAGATCAGTGTGTTATTCGTGTAAAATCAAGTAGAAGATTTCACCCTCGTTAAGAAAGAAGAGTTGTAAAAATGGCAATCGCGCGGGAAAGCGGGTGGCTTTAAAAGCGACAGGGCGGCGAAATGCTTGGGCGGCGCAGCGGCTGGTGGCGCCCGGGCCGCGGAAAAGCAGTGGGAAAAGCCACCACTTGGAGCTGCGAGCGGCTGCAAGAGGGAGAGAGGGTAAACAGCAGCACAGGGTTTCTATAGCTACTGGCACAGATCTGCGCGAGAGAAAGAGAGAGAGCGAGACAATCGCAATCTGTGGCGCCGCATTGATCGACGCTGCAGCAGCCCTCCGACCCCAGACCACCCCTCCGACTGACAACATACGAGCAACAGATATGCCCGGCCGCCGCGACGGGGCCCCGCGGGCCTGACCGGCCCCGCCAACCGGCCCTCGCTGCACCCGGACGCGAGCGCGAGGGATGCGACCCTCCATCCGCTGGCAAGTTCATCTTGGCTGTCGCAAGGGGTAGCGGCATGTGCGCTTCCCAGAGGTGAGCGACAAAGACACCCCACGACGCACAGCCCCCCACGACCCCCGGCCCGGGACCCCCTGATATTTGCCTCTCCGAAGAAGCCCCCGGGCCACCTCCGAGGGCCTTACGGGGGGAGCGTCGGACGCAGTGCCGCCCGCCCGCACCCCCTTTTAATTAACAATGCAGCAGACCACAATTACACGCCGGGGGAATTAATTTGATGCAATTTGCGCCTCGTCGTCTGCATTATTTACTTTAATTTTCTCGCGCGCGCCTTCTCTAATTGGATTTGCTTCGGCACCCTTTCACTCTCTGGGGTGAGATGTTCTCGCCCTCTTTCGCCGAATTCACCTCCCTCCGTCAAAACAACAACAATCTCCTTTCCTTCCTTTCTTTTTTATTTTTAAAGTGGACTCGAGGTGCAGATTTCGCTCGGTGCAGTATGTAGGGCATTACTTGTTGCATTGCTCTCCGATTGCATGCAGCGTCTCCTTTTATTTTTAAATTACCATTTGTGCTCTGGGCAAGGAATGTGCCCGCCGAGATTGCTTCCCCTGCTTGTCCAGTGCTGATTGATTTTGGCGATTAACTATTCAAAATGCAATCGGTAAAAAAACGCATCGGTCCCTGCTTCGGTATGCAACCTGCGCCACACTTGCAACGCGGGTGTTGCATATTTTAGAAATCCGCAGGCGCTGAAAAAAGCTTTTCAAACGAAATATATATATATATATATGTATGAGGAATTGCAATACAAATAATTACAATTATTGCAATATTTGTTTAGTTACGAGTTAATTTTTACTTCATTTCTGTAAACTGTTTTTCTTAAAATTTTATTTTGTTACAAAATTATTGATTTTATTATATTAAATAAGAAATTTCTCCGGCAATTTTAAAGAGCGAATGGAGAAGTTCACAACTGTGCATCTTCCAAACCGATAGCTTTCATACATTTTTTGGTGTTTTTAACACAATTAATCTAATGAATTTAATTCAGCCAGTCGCAGCCAGTTGTAAATAATATGAAACTTGTTAAAAATTAAAATCAATTGCATAAAAATTTGGGAAGTAAACAGCGTTTTAAATTGCAAATTTACAGAAAAAAGCGTTTCCAAGAAAAAAGCACTTCTTGATCCTATTTGGAAAACTGTTATGAATGTAAAGTTGATTTTGTGTTTTAGAAACGGCTTACGGCTTTATTCTCAAATAAATTCTGATATAGATAAATTTAAAATTATTTTTTCACAATAATTTGCAGTGCTCTACAGTCATCATTTTGCTCTACAAAAAGTTTCAAGTTTATGAATGATCAAATTTAAAAGAAATCATTTTTTTGCCCATTATATAGTTGAACAGCAGAGCAATAAAATTTTATCTTTCAAACGGTCATAAAATGGGAGCTTCCGTGAGACGATTGGCACTGCTCAGTTTGATCAATGTGAAAGGCTTCTTTCAATAGAACGCTAATGAGGTCAACAGTTGGAAAGGTGTGGAAAAATGTGCCAATTTTCTCTTTTATAGGGGGGTTGTTTGTAAGTAGGACGCACTGCTTCAAAAGTCACTGCCCATTATTTGACAGTGAGAAATGAACATGCATGCAAGTTGATCCTGCCTAATAAAATAATATTATAATATTGAGAATAGATAAAAACAATAAGAATGATAAAAATAGAAATAAAATATAAAAATAGAGATATGGTTAATAATAAATTGATGAATTTTTGGAAATGAAGAGATCGGGCTTTTCCTCGTTGCAGAAAAATTGTTTTTATTAAAAAAAAAATGGCTCTACCAGTTTCGGTCACGGTCTGCGACCCTATTTCATGAGCAAGAAAAAATACAAAAAATCAGCAAATTGAAAAAACACCACATTTTAAATAGGAAGTTGAACTGAGCGCGGATGCGAACAGTTTTTTGGCAGGTTTGCTCATGAAATAGGGTCGCAGACCGTGACCGAAACTGGTAGAGCCATTTGTTTTTGAATAAAAACAATTTTTCTGCAATGATGAATTTTTCTACACTATATAAGACAGTTTCAAAATTGTTTCTGCCGCAAAAGTTCGATGTAAGAAAAAAATTAATGGAAATAGGAAATGTGACGGTCACGCTATCCCCGTCTAACTTATAAGATCGATTCACTTAATTTTTTTTATCCACATAATAAAAATCAAGGTTGGCCCCAAACAAACAAAATCAATCAGCACCGAGCATTCGGATTTGTCAGAGTTTCAAATTGGTAAAGGGTCGAGGGTGTTCTTTCAGGTGAGGAGGCGGCAGCGCGAGGATGCCCCACGGCAGCACCTGCTGAAGGGGCTGCGATGACTCTGCAGGCCGCGTCCACCTCGCAAGAGACCTGCAGGTCGCTCGGTGCCAAGAGTTTCGCAGACAAGGCCGTCTCGACGGAGGACCTGAGGATGGCGTCGCCGCCGCCGCCGCAACCGCCCCAGCCGCCGCTCGTCAACTCGGTGGTGGCCAACGAGTTGCTGCGCCTCGAGACGGCCATCAGCGCCATGATGGCCGCCACCGAGAACGACTTCGAGGACTTCCAGCCGCGAAGGCCGCGCAGCCATTCGCACCACTGTTTCTTCCAAGACCCCGCCGCCGTCCATCCAAGAAGGTACATTTTATCATAAATTTTCGCCTTGCTTAAAATTTGCTGGAACAACAATGAAAAAAGCTAAATGAACTTTAAGTAAAATTTATACTAAAGAAGAGTGATACTTATTTTTAGACTGGAAAACAGGTTCCCGCCAAATTTTCGCATACCCTTAGGATAATCCATGTAAACTTCAAAATAGTTTTTTGAGTAATCTATTTTTTTAGTATAATCGGTACTGAATTTTAAAGTTTAACCGCTTCTAGGGGAGAAAAATGTATACACTCTTGTCTCTATTTAAAAGTTAAATATTTTGATATTGATTTTGATGTGGGTCATGAAATTCGCAGGTAAAATATTAAAAAATTCAAAAAATAAAAAATTTATAACAGGGGGCTTTTTGTAGATTGCCTTTCATCTTTGGCGATCAAAATAAAACCGGGGTTGGTTTCTTTGGCCTTGATTTATATTTATAAATTCTCTTCTAAATATAGAATTACAGTTTTTGGCACTGGATTGACCTTTGATGTCGTTCTATAAATAGCTCCCCAAGTTTTTTTTGCATTTACAAATGATTATTTGTAAACCGATCAAAATATATGCATATTTATTATTAATTTCAATGAAATACCAAAGGTTGACTTCAAGTCTTGTCAACATTTGCCCTTGCTTGGGTCGCTGCTGTGAATGGGCGGTTTTTGCATCAACGCGGAGTCTTTCATCGTTGATGATGATGAATCTTTTCCAGCACCCTCTCTTTTTCTCGAAAAATTAATTGCAAGCCGCGATGTTTTCCACTTGAAAAAAAACTCTTTGAAAAAAACCAGAGAGCGGGTTGGTTATATAACGTGTGCGGCAACTCATTCCACCACGAGGTCGCGGGTTATTAGTCGGCTTTAGTTGTGACGTGGGACTTCCCATTTTTTTCTCCACATTATTTTTGTACAGATCCGCATATATATGAAAAGCACCCTTCATTTCAGTCACGAAGCAAAATTGTTAAAGGTTTAGAGAGAGCAAAGTAGAATTTTGTTATGGATTTAATGAGACTGTAAATCAAAGTTTGGGTTTGAACATAAATTAGTAACTTTGTGCGGTTTACTCTGGATGAAAATTGTTTAAAATTTTGTGATAATTTTGAGGGTCAATATTATTAAAATTATAAGAAATTATTATTAGAATTTGAAAAATGAAACTTAAAAAAAGCATGAAAACAGTTCATTTTCAATTATATATTTGTTCATCCATATTCTGTAGGAAAAAAAAGTAAATAGAAATTAGGTTATTGAAGTTTTTGAGAAAATTTAAATCAAAATTAAAAAATGCGGATCTTCAACATTAATAATTTTTGTTTAAATATATATTTTAAAATGTACACTAATTTAAAAATCGTTATAATTTGGCTAATTTACTTTAATATCAAATTATTACTGTTTTGAAATTAAAATGAACTTGGTTAGTGTTTAGTGTTTGTGTCAACTCTCTTCTGTAATATCATAATAAAATGTAATAAACGCGTGAATTTGCAGATGCCGGCGGTCAGCGAGCGCGATGATCATCCTGCAGCCCAAGTACGGGGGCCGCGGGACACCACACGTGCCGCACCCTGGCTGCTGTCTCAGCCCGTGCTCCGTGGAAGTGGCCGAGGAGGGCGCGGCCGGGCCGTCGAGTTCGCGGGGCAGCAGCCACAAAACGCGCAAGAAGCGGCGGAAAGTGATCGCCGAGCAGGTGGGGGGCGCGCGGCCCCGCAAGAGGCCGCCCGTCGACCCGGACGAACTGTCCAAACGGGCGCGCTGGACAATCGTGGCCACCGCCTGCCTCTTGTTTTTCATGTGCTTTTTGCTTGTTGGCATTACCCTGAGAATGACTCCAATCATTGACGAAATGGGTGAGTGTGCAGAAAAGATAAGTGAACAAGTGCCCCTCCGAAATTGTGCTGCGTTTTCGCTTGTTTTGTGTATTTTTATTTTCGCGTTGGCTCGGCAAATTGCACCGTGTTTTTCTGCCCGTTAGTGCTATCAAGCGACTCGGTTTATCGCCGATTGCAGCAAAAGCCTGATTTTTGCCGCACAGCGACAAGATTTTCAAATGCAATTGTGGGGTGGGTCGATTTTTGCTTACGGCATCAATTATGTGCAGAAAAACGTGTCGTCATTAAATGCGATATAAGTGATTTTCAATAATCAAAAAATTAATTAACCTGGACCAGACCTGGACTAACAACAAATATTTATCAGATTAAATCTTTCGACAAACCCAAATAATTCAGAACTAGGCTAAATCTGATAGATTAAAATTGTGATTTGAGCATTTTTTTTTTAATTTTTTTTCTTTTTTATTAAATATTGCCCAAGATAAAAAAAATGAAATAGAGAGGCCAAAAATAAGAATGAAAGATGATTTAGTGATCTTTAAAATTTACTAAAATAATTTTCAAGAGCGATTCAACTCGCATTTTTACTTATAGAATTTTGCAATGAATAGGTGATTTTGCGATTTCTAAAAAAAACTGGAAAAACCACCTCGTCTCAAAAATCCCAACATCTTTGCCCTATTTTTTAATCATTTCTACACCATATAACGAGGTTGAAAAATCCTCCGTTTTTTTTCACCAAGAAAGTTTTCGTTGAAACGGGTATGGTGAGGTGAAAATTTATCGTGATCGGATATTTAGCTGCCGTTGGGTTGATTCATTTGGTGCACTTCTAGGATAGCCGTTTTCCATTTCCCGACCCATGCCGTCCGTGACTCTATATTCGCCGCCAGCTGTGCATAAGACGGGGAGTGAGGCAACGCGAGTGTTTGCCTTTGTGCTTGTGGCGAGAATTATACTTTGTGCATGTCCGTCGCGAACGAGCGAGCACTCGTGGCGGAAGAGCCAGATTGAGGCTGCTCCGTTTTGCGTCGGAGGAAAAGGCGGGCTTGAATACGAACGCAATGAAAAGAGGCAAAACAATGGCAGGCGAACGGTGAACGGACGCAGAATCGTTGATATTGAAAATGTGTACTAGTAGCTTATTGTTCTGGTTCTCCACCGATCCAAATAATGCTCACGAGAAAAAATCGCAACGATACAAAAGAATGCACAATATACAAAAGCATTAAATATTTCCTATAAACGATACAATGAAAAAAAGCTACTTAAATAATTTCACAAGCTGAATTGTTTGGGAAGAAATATTTTGATCGTCGTGATATTTAAAGAGCGCTATTTAGTTTTGATAACATAATTTCGAGATAATAAATATTTAAATAATTAAATTAACAAAAGGTTACAAATGATCAGAAAGTAGTTTTGAATGCTTTTGATGTATAGGCGGTGATTTAATTAAGAAAGTAGTATAAATTACAAGTTAATTTAAAGTTAATCTATAGTCGGACCAAATTCAGGAGATTCAGGAAAAATCAGATTTTCTTTAATAAAATTAATATTAATTTCAAATTTTACAATAAAAGAATTTCAAATATTCTTTTGGACGATCTGACATTCCTAAATTACTTGAAAAAGTTGCTAAGATACTTCACCTATAAAAATATTAAATCTCATTCATTTCGAATGCAAATAGCTTAATATTAAGATCTCTCCAAAATTATCCTTCATCATTAAATTTGGGTCAGTTAAAAAACAATAGTAATAGCAATTATTTTAGAATCATTCTTAATGCTTGCAGTATTAATCAAGCAAAAAATGAAAACAAAACAAAAAACATACTTATCGCTTAATTTTATAAAAATTTCTACCATAACAATTAACAACAAACTTATTTTTATATTTGTATGCCAGTTTAAAGCTGACACGTCGTTGGCTAAATGCATTTACTTCAAGCTCTACTTCTGCTAAAGAAAAATTGACTTTCAGATGCTTCTTCGTTGTGATTATTTAAACTCGTATTACGTCAACGAATTTCGAAAACTTCGTTTGCATCGCCGTCGCATGTTCAACGAAGATAAACTCGGCAGCGCAGACCACTGAATTTAATGGTCCGAATTAATGTTATATTTATATATTCAGCCGCACCGGTTGGTAGGTAGGGACGAGCTGCAGGATGCACTGCACGAACTGACAAATAAATAGACCGCCTAGTTAGCCGCTTTTTACGACAGTCCGCATCGATCTGCGAGTGAAATATCGCCAAGAGAGAGAGATGCAAACATACAAATTTTTTTACTGCTGCCGGCAATAACGCACCCCACGACAAACTCGCCAACGCCGGTGTCGGATAGAAATAACTTCTAATTCCAAATGCGGGCCAATTTCCAGTTCGACGCCTGCTAGCCAATGCGCTTCGTTATGAATATTTTCGTGTGCGCGCGTGACGCAAAATTTGGCGCATTAAAACGGAGCCCGGCTATAATGACAAAAAGCTGAAAAAAAACCATCCCCGTTGAAAGTTGAAACGTGACGCGCGATCGCTTTTTGTTCACCTTTATGAATACATTAGTCAATCGTGTGATGAAACTGAGCAGGCAGGCGTTTAATTTCAACGCCGAAAAAAGTATTAGCAAAAAAATCAACTGTAATTTCGGAACCTTGGTCTGGCGTGGATGAAAATGATTTCCAGCCGAAATCAGGCCGCGCGCGCGGAGCATAATTTTTATTTTTAGTTTTGCGTGAAATCTGTTCCCTCTTCAAAAGAGAGAGTGTGTGCTAAATTTGACGCCGGGTGCGATTTTTAATCCTCTCGATATCACGCGACCAGACGCTGCTTGGAACTAATTTGTCCGCGCGTGTTGCAGTTCGCAAAGAGAACGAGCAGCTGATGAACTCGTTGAATCGCGCCGAGCTTGAATCGGACGTAGCAGCAGCCGTGGCCAACGACGCTTGGAACTCGACAATCGCCGTTGACCCCGAGTCGAGTCCGGCCCCGCTGGACCTTCAAGACTCGAAGAACGTCTCGCACCCATCCACAGGCAAGTCAAAATTTAAAATATTTAATTGAGATACAAAAAAAATTGAAAAATTTCAATTGCTAAGAAAAAACTGCATCACAAATTTTAGTATTTTTTTAAACAATTTTTATTTTTAATAAACAAAAGAAATTTTTAGAATTGAAGTTAATAAAATAAATCCATAAGATTCATAACTGATGATTGGTTATTTATTTTATTGTCTATTAAATATAATTGTGAAAATCTTCACGATCATTTGATGTCATAAAAGTAGGTCGCCGCCAGGACTGACTCGTAGGTTCTCTAAAGCATGAATGAATTAAAGCGGCCAATGCAAAAAAATTCCCATTCAAGTGCCCGAGGAACCACTTTTATGCAGTCATTAATGAAACAGCACTAGCAAACCGAGTTGCTTCCCTTTTTTTCAATCTCTTAATACAAAAAATAGCGTCCAAATGACGATTGAAAAACTTTTGTTGAGCAATTTCAGCCAGTTCTAACAAATTAATATTCTATTTAAAATTAAATCAATTTTTAAATGGGCTTTCGATGCTTTTTTTAAAGTAAATAAATTTTACATTTTCTTTAAGTCTCATTGTTAGTTTAAAATATTAAAACATTTAATAAGTATAGAAAAATAATTGAATAAAATTAATTCTCTACTTCATGGAAACGACGCGAATAATTTTGCACAATTGACTTTTTAGCAATATATCTAATAGTAATTTATTTTCTGGCAAAAAATTTATCGAGTTGAAAGACTTCATAAAATAGAAATATTATCTGAAACCTTGCCGGTTAAAAAGTGGGTCAGAAGATGTCCGCAAAGCGTAAGTATTAGCGATCTTCAGCTACTTGAATGAGAAAAAAATCCAATGGCAGGAGACTAAACTGCTTAAAATTGATGAAGGTCAAACAAGGGATATTACAGCAAGAACAGACAAATTTCCATAAAAAATCTCTTTTGCTTTTTAAAATAAAATCTTTGATTGCATTAAAATTAAAATGGCTTGAATTTTTAATTATATTTGAAATTTCATGTAAATTAATTTGAAAAATAAATTTCTGTATCATAATTTGATTAATAATTTTGAATGTTTCAGGTGACTGACGAGAATTGCGCAGCCCTTTTTAAAAAAAGTGATGATAATAAGTGCGTTTTCTAACGAATTGCGCTGCAATTGTGTCTCAAAAGGTTGTTGCCATGCCTCTGTATTTGCCCTTGTCCATTATATAGCATTTTAACGCATTTTTACGGTTGTTCTCGAGGTTGGAGCGTCGCCGCTTGAAGAGCGCCACTTTGCCCAAAACACTCTAAAAAGTGGTTTCCACTCGCGCAGAGTTGCATCTAAACACACGTTGAGAGTCCGTAAACGCAAAACCGCGTCGGAATTTGTTGCAAAATTAAAAAACAAAAAAGGAGGAAAATGCAAAATCAAAAGAATTGTTGACTTAAGAAAGAAATTTTGAGTCTAAAAAATTATAAGCTTGGATAGAATTTCCTTTCTTGGAATATTAAATTATTGTAGCTCTATAGCGCGCGCTTTTTGAAAAACTCGTTTCATGTCGTAAAAATTACTAGTGTGTCAATTTTTGTGCTAAAAAAGTAGAGTTTGTGTAACTACGTGTTTCAAACAAGTTCAGTGTAATATATTAATTCGATTGCTGTAGATTCCGCTTTGTCACGCAAACAAACACTTTTCATGATTATAAAGACTGATGTTTAACCGACACACATACATGTATAACAAAAATTTAAATGGACATTCACCTTTAAATGAAGAAATACCGAGTAATTAGAAGCGCAGCAAAGAGACGGGTTGGTTGAGGGTGATTTATATAAAACGTTTAAACACACGAGAATCAAAACGCTAAAAATCCTGGTCGTCGAACGGCGCCCAGGGGACTTTAAAACTCTTCCACTGAAAAAAAACTGCTGTCATTAAATTTTAAGAGCAACAGAGAGTTAAAAACCAGAGTTCATACTACATGCATAGAGTACTTTAATAAGTAAAAATAAAATTGTTCTTGTTATTTGCCTATCGAGTATAATCGTTACGAAATTATTTTGCAGCAAATACATTTGTAGTCATTGTAAGTACGTCGTTACAAGTATATTTTTGCATTTTATACAGATAAATAGCGGCTGCGGGTTGTACGGGGAAATTTATCACGAATATTTGTTACTTTCCGAATTCGCTGGGAATTAAATGTACATATATGCGACGAGTCCCGCGCAACGGGAGCTAAAATCGAAAGAGCCTTTTACTGTAATTGTATAGGAGGAATCGAATGTGGTGCTGATCAAGCTGGCGACGCGTGTACACACTCGGATAATAAGAAAGTTTTAAAAGAATTTGAGAGAGAGAGAGAAAATCGTAAATGAAAATTATTATATTGAGCTGAGAAATCAGATTTTGGCAGAAGAGGATATGTAAAAAAAATAGCTGCGCCTACACGACAGAGCGATAAGTGCTGTGCTATCGTCTAATTAATTGATTTTTGCCTCAAAGTTTCGCTCTGCAAAAATTCGTATGAAAATGTTGATACAAAAATTATATTGAGATGGAGCGAAACTTACGAAAAAGTACAATTTTTCGCATGCTAATCAACTTAATTAATTACAATAAAACACTTTTTCTCCGAGGGTCCATCTCTTATATTGGTTATCCCTCGAATTTTGAAGGCCTATAGAGTAATTTAATTAAAAATACACTTACAATCGATGAAATACTACTTTTTAAAAGAGAGAGCGCGTGTATGTAGCCTTTTCTCCTATGTAACGACTTGTAATGGATTAATTGAGGTTATATACCGTGTTATATAAAACAAACGTATGTTTCTCACAGTGCAGCTCAAAGTTACATTGAATCGTCTGTAGCCTTTTGTCTAAAGTTAAGTGAGAGAGATTGAAAGTTGATATTATATAAAAAAAAAAAAGAAGAGATCACTCTTTCAGATTATGTAATGAAATGCATCACGAATATGCAAGCAATAATTTTGGAATCGGGCAGGGCAAAAATGTAATGCTTTTAATTGTACAAGAAAAGTGACAGGAAAAACAACTGAAACGCATTTCTCCAGGAGATATTAATACGAAACTGTTTGGTTATTGAATAAATTGAGTTTATACAAAAATTGTTTCAATCAAAACCCAAATCTCGCAAGAAATAATTTATAAATAGATTGCATAATTGTACTCCATTATGAGTTTGAACTTAAAATAATTGATTATTATTGTGCAGAATTTGACAAAGAATGCAAAGTAAAACTCATTTCACTGTTCAGAAAATTTTTTTGCAATCCAAAGCCGCTCTGAAAAGTCTAAAACAGAGACTGCGCAAACTTTGATTCGACTAAAAATATCAAGAACTTCACATAATGAATGGAATGGCCAGTGAGAATTTTTTAGTCTTATGCAGTCCTCATGCAATATTTTTGATTTTTTCCAATTTTAATTCTGTAGCCGATATGCAAGTATGTAAAAAAGAAGCAGCATATGGTCATAAAAAAATAAATATAACCGCATCGGCAAAAATAACATCAAGATAAAAATTCATTTTATAATTGTGGAATATTTCAGAATTGCAGTAGAAAAAATTATAAATTCATATACTCACCGATTTATTGTTGAGCAGGTCAGAATGTAATCTTGGTCAAAGTTCCCAAAGTTCCTCTGCGTTGAAATTCTGAAAATATAATTTTGTTAAATTAATTGCTTTTTAAACATTTAATATTTAATTTTGCGCATATTTCCATACATTTTTTATAATTATTAAGAAAAACTTACTTTTTTTAATATTGTTTTGCAGGAAATGAAATACTTTGCAAACAGCGGCTACAATCACTTTTCTTAAAAAAATTTCTTCTAACTTTTATGGAGCACACCATAGTCAAGTTTTTCTGCTTCGCACAATATCCATTGATGTTACAATCCAAATTAAATAACATAATACACACGACGAGGCGCAATCCGCACAATTGCCAAGCGGTGACCAGGAAAGAGTTCACGAAATGCAATTATTGCCACAAAGTTTGCGAAAATGTAGAACTTGAAAAATGGGGAGAAGAGGCTAATTACGAGAGACTCATTTCTGAACTTATCCGTGACATTCATGTATACACCCCACACAAAAAGTAGCCATCCAGTCAGAAATATCATAAAGTACTTCAAGAGTGTCCAGATGATTCTTTTAAATCTTTCCATTTTTTGTCCTGTTGAAATAAACGTTCCTCATCTGCGGGTGGAATTAAACCGTTTGTTTGTGAAAATGCGAAGGATTCCTGGCAGTTGGCAGTTTTGTAGCTGTGGAATGTCTCTGACGATCGTGACCGACCTGCGACCAGAAATTTTCATACTTTTGCAAGCACATTCACGTTCCTGGATATGAAAAGTGGAATTCACTGTTTTATTATGTCTGTGTGTGTCAGAGTCTGCGGTGCTGCAAAAGGCACTCGCATCCCCCACCCCCCTCCGCTTTAGCGCCTTTTTGTCGACGCATGAAACCTCTTTGACCCCCACCACTCGCGGCGCTTTCGTTTCTCGTGAGCTCCTCTCCTCGCTCTGTGCCGAAAAACAAAAAACAAAACTTCGCCGGTGTTGATGTTGATTCAAAACTACTCTTTCGTTGCAAATTTTCCGCCTTTTACTGATTAAATTGCAACTTACTGGTTCTTCGCTAAGGCTTCAGGTATTCCGTTATCAATTTATCCATTTGAATTCGTGCTTCATGTTTGAAATCCGCGTAGAAATGTCGGAGACCAGCGGACTGAACAACGCCGTGAACTCAGACCTGAGGAAAATAATCGCAGATTCCAACATTCTGGTTGTCGGTGCCGGAGGAATTGGTTGTGAACTCCTGAAGAATCTTGTTCTTGCAGGATTTTCAAAGATAGATTTGGTAATTTTAAAATCAGTGCAAAACTTACATGTTATTAAACAGAAATTCTCCGCGCATGGGTTATGTATAATAATTGTCTTTTTAATCAAATTTAATTAGATTGACTTGGATACGATTGATGTGAGCAACCTGAACCGCCAGTTCCTCTTCCAAAGGTGCCACGTTGGGAAATCAAAATCGTTGGCAGCCAAAGAGAGCGCCCTTCGCTTCAATCCTCGAGCCACAATCAACGCTTACCATGACAGTATCACAGGGTAAACTTTTTTTAGATAATTAAAAATTTAATTTAAAATTAAAATGAAGGAGCAAATTTGGCGTGAGCTACTTCAAGCAGTTCGACCTTGTGCTGAACGCACTGGACAATCGAGCTGCTAGATCACATGTGAACCGAATGTGCTTGGCTGCTGGAATTCCGTTGATTGAAAGTGGAACTGCTGGTTACAATGGTCAAGTTGAGGTAAAGATTAATATTATAGAGATGAAAACACTTAACTTCATATGAGTTATCTTAGGTAATTATGAAAGGCATGACTGAGTGCTACGAATGCCAGCCGAAGCAAGCCACCAAATCCTACCCAGGCTGTACAATCAGAAACACTCCCTCAGAGCCAATCCACTGCATTGTTTGGGCCAAGCATCTTTTCAAGTAAGACCTCAGAGTATTTTCAAATGAATTTTCTCATAGATTTTGCAAAATTTCAGTCAGCTTTTTGGAGTCGAAGACCCTGATGAGGATGTCTCACCCGACACTGCAGATCCAGAGGCAGTTGGTTGGTGTTAAATATATGTTGATAGACATTAATTTATAGAATATTCTGCACAAAAGGTGACGCTGGAAGCAGTGCTTTGAGTGGTGAAACAGCCAACAATGGCAATGTTGAAAGAGTTTCCACCAGGCAGTGGGCAAAGACCAACAACTACAATCCTGAAAAGCTATTTCAAAAGTTGTTCAACGATGACATCCAGTATTTGCTCAGCATGTCCAAGCTGTGGGAAAAGAGGAAAGCCCCTGTCCCTCTCAAGTGGGACGACCTTCCCAGTGAAGGTAATTTAAGATGGTAATTTTTTATTTAATTTTATAATTTTTTTTCTTAGTTGCCGGAAGCAGCAAAGAGGACACAAGCCGCAGTTTGAAGGACCAGATTGTCTGGAGCATCGCCCAGTGTGGCAATGCATTTGCCCAGAGTGTGGAGGAGCTGCGAAAGAGGGTCGAAACGTCTCACGAAGATTTGGTGTGGGACAAAGATGACGAGGAATGTCTCAATTTTGTCGTCGCTTGCGCCAATATCAGATCATACATTTTTGGAATCTCTTGCCACAGCAAATTTGATATCAAAGGTAAGTTATGCAAAAGTGAATTTAGCACTACTTTGTTAAAATAATAATGTGTGAATTACTTTAGTTATAATTCAAATAATAATGCAAAAAATAAAAATTGTAAGTTTAACATTTTTTATCTAATTTTCTTACATTGGCTTGAAAAAAATTTATGTAATATTTAATAATTTAAATTTCAGCCATGGCTGGCAACATCATTCCTGCCATTGCTACCACAAATGCCGTCATTGCTGGGCTCATTGTGCTGCGAGCCTTCCAGGTGCTGCAGAAGCAGTTTGAAAAGTGCAAAACAGTCTACTTGCAGAACACAGTGAACCCCAGAGGCTTGAACATTGTCCCTGAAGCCCACCTGATTCCTCCTCACAAATCCTGCTATGTCTGTTCTGAAAAGCCGCAGGTTGTCCTCTACATTAACACAGAGACGAGCAAAATCTGCAATCTGGAGGAAATTCTCAAGTCCAGCCTGCACATGGTGGCCCCAGATGCAATGCACGATAGCAATGTCGTCATCTCCAGCGAGGAGGGGGAACTTGATAATGGGCAGATGACGTTGAAAGAGGCGGGAATTTTAGATGGAGCTCTGCTCAAGTGTGATGATTACCTGCAGAACTACGAACTTACCCTCATCATCTATCACTGGTAAATAATTTTATTTTAAATTGTATTGTTCAATGTAATTTATTTCTCATTCAAAGTGAACCCAAGAAAGATGAGCCACCTTTCAAGATTGTTGCCAATCCAGATGAGCTCAAACCCAAGGAGGATGAAAACCAAGGTAACTTTGAACGTTTATAGTGGAAAATCCCATTTTGAAAATTGTTTACAGATGCAGCAATGGAGTCAGATGATGTGGGAATTTTGGAGGTCGAGCCAACAGAGGTGGAAACTCCAACTGCTCCCCGCAAAAGAAAGCTTTCTGGAGAGGCTGCTGAAAGTGTTGGCAGCAGCACCAAGAAGAGGCGTCACAGTGACCTTGATGGGGACGTCATCATTCTGTAAGTTCACCACAAACATCTCCTTCCATCTCGCATTTCTACATTAAGATTTCCTTCAACGGATCGGCGTTTATTGAAAATTTATACGCGTTATTTTCATTAAAGAATCATTCAAAGAGAAATAAATTAAATTCTTTGTTCTGTTTACCTTTCTAATAATTAATCTGTAGGGGTTTAATTAAATTATTAATATTCAATTAGCTTCAGCAGGGTTTACATCTATATATACAAACAAAATATGCATAGAACCATATAGTATATTAAGAGTGCACAATCAATTAGAACAAGTCTGTCTGTTTTTGTAATAAATTCACTCGCAATTGCCCGACGCGTGCCAATTCAGCCCAGCTCGGACAAGATGGTGTTCAGTTCTTGCTGCACATCCAGCGTTTTGTTCTGCTGCTTGTCCAGACTCTCCTTGAGTTTGTCCACGGTGGCCTTGAGCATGTAGTTGCCCTTCTTGATCATGGCCAGTCTGTTTTCGTGTCCCTTGTTCTTCTTAATCAAAGCCTCTGTGCGGAACTGGACCGGGTCAGAATTGTCCTCAGGCTCGCTTTCGGCCTCGCTCTCGGTTTCAGTTTCTGACTCGGACTCGCTGCTCTCCTCTTCCTCCTCCTCTTCGTCCGACTCGGCCTCCTCCTTGGTCATCTTGCTCACCTCCCGCTGCAGGGCCGAGTACCGCTTCTGCTCCATCCGCAGCGCCTTCTGCAAATTGTTCACCTGAAACCTGAGTGCCCGTTTCTCGTCCAGTGCGTTGAACTGCTTCTCCTTCAGGCTGCGCATCTTGGCCTGCTGCATCCGGAACTCGCGCATTTCCTGCGTCTGCTTGGCCGCGTCCTCGTCGTCTTCCTCTTCCTCCGTTTCCTCCTCGGTCTCCTCCTCGGTTTCTTCCTCTTCCTCTTCTTCCTCTGGACTTTCCTCTTCCGCAGGTTCCTCCTTCCTTGACTCTGTTCTCTGTAGTTCGATCGTCTGCGTCCCTGAATGAACCGTTTCCGGCACTGTCCCTCCGGTGCGCTTTTCCAGCAACAGGCACCGGTGCTGCGCATCCTCCAGCTGGGCCTGCGTCATCCCCAGCTGGCGACTGACCTCTAAGGCCATGCCCGCCTGTTTGGCCGCCTCGGCCTTGGCGGCCTCCGCCTCTCTTCGGAGCTGCGCCACCACAGGGTCCTCGCCCGCCGAGGAGGGCGCGCGCACCATCCCGGCCATCTGCTCCTTCAGCTTGGCCAACTCCTCCATGAGCAGCGCGTTCTCCGTTTTCAGTCTATCTTTCTCGGCCAGTTCTGTCTGCAACATCTGCTTTGTCGACTGCAGGTCGTCGCGCACTCTGTCTATGTCGTCCAGCTCATCTTCCGAACTGGTCGGCTCGACCACTTTTTGCTGTTTCTCTTCAATTGTCAGTTGCCGTCGGAATTTGCGCAAACCTGAAACGGCAATAACAATAATTACTTTTTATTATTTTGGTTCCTTCCGCATTTTAATTTATATAAAGAATATTTGCCAAACTACTAATATGACCTTAAGGTTCAGTATGCCAGTTTTTATTATTATTTTTTTCTATTTTTTTAATCAGGTTTGTCCATCAGATTTACTATTGGTGGAACGGAGTTTGATCAAATTAATTTTACGTTTGATACAATTTTACAAATTTCCACCCTCTTAATTGAAACTTTTTATCTCTTTTCAATTCACGGCTTACAATTTTTTTATAATAAAATGTATGCTTACCTTGCAAACACGGTCTACTCCTGTCGTTGCATTTGACTTGTTTTAAATTGACTCCTCTCTGAATTTGATTCAACAGCATCACATGAACGTTGCTGTGGCTTCTTTCCGACTCGTAAATGAACTGTGTTTTTTTAACAACAAAAATTAGTTTCCATTTCATTAAATTAACGAAAGAGACTTTTACCTTTCCTTTGGCCTTGGTTTTGGGAATTAAAGGCATACTGCGATCGTTGGTTTCAACATGGTTAAGTCTAACGCCACTTTCAACCTCCTTCATCATATCACTCCAGTCGGGCCGACGACGAGGTCGACTCCTCAGGGACTCCAACTTCACTTTTTTAACCTCCGAGACTGGCTTTTGACCTCCGCCTAACAAAAGAATCAATAATTTTTGATTGAATATATTATTTATTAGCTTGGAAACTAATACATGTACATTTCAAAATTAATGTGTCAATTTTTCAGTAAACTCAACTAAAAATAAATAAATTTGTCTAACCTGGCATGGTAGGAGGTGGAGGCGGCGCTGGGGGCATGGATGGAGGAGGCGGTGGTGGAGGTGCAGCTTTTGGCGCCTCCACCTTTGGAGCGGGGGCTTCTGGCTCCTTTTGGGGAGGTTTGGGGGGCCTCTCTGTTTCCTTGGGAGGCGCGACTTTTACGGGTGGTTTTTCGGGTTCTTTAGGGGGTGCAGGTTTTGCCGCTGGTTTTTCCGGGGCGCTTTTTGCTGGAGGAGGTGCTGCTTCCTTAGAAGCATGGTTCTCCTATAAATTGAAATTAATTAATTTAAACTCAATTAACAAAAAAATCAGTCAATAGAATTATATTAATTTCTTTTTTAAAACGGATTTTCAATTAATGAAGACCAAATTTTTCCATTTTTAGAAAATGAAATCCTTAATTATTGTAAATTACCTGCACAGTTGACTGCCTTTTGACGGGTGGCGCTTTTTGCGGCGTCTTGCCCTCATTCAGTTCACTTTTCCGCGCACTCTCCTTATTCTCAACTGTCTTTTTGCTTTTCTCCTCATTCAGCGCGTTCTTTTTTTGCACTCCGTTCTCCTCGGCCTGCTTCGGTTTGGTCACCTTGCGGCTCGACACCTGGATTTGCTGCTCCCCTTTCTTGGGGGTGGCCAACGTGGGGTCGCGCGGTGGCGCCGGCAACGAGGGCGGCACCGCCAACACCGAGTTGCTCCTGTTGTTGTTGGTCGGCAGCGAAGGGATGATTTCGATTTTGCTCTGCTTGCGGGGCTGTTGGGGCGAAGGCTCGGGCTTCTTCTCTTCGGCCGGTGGACTGTCCTTGTCAACGGTCTGCTGTCTTCGCCACGGCGGCACGCTGCTGTTGACCTGCGGGATGCTGTCCTGCCGCACCCATGGTGGCCGGAACGGTCCCGTTTGGTTGATTGCGTTGTTGTTTACTTTGAAAACCGGCATCTGTGAATTTAATTGAGATTTTATCATTTTTTTTTTTAATTTTTAACATTTTTTTAAATATGCTTTTATTTCATATTTAATTTTTTTACTGCTTACTTAAGATTTTTAGCAACTTCGTTGTTTTAATTACTTTGCACTTAAGATTTTATTCTTGGCTAGGAGCCACTTAAATTGATCGCAAATTGAATTTGGGCACGCCACAATGTGGTGTTTATTTATCAAACTCTTATTTTTAATTAATATGTACCAATACAATTCTCATGCGAAGAGTTAGTTTATATTTATTTCTTCCAAAGTAAAAAATTTTCAACAAAATTCATTTTTTCTTTCACAACTCTAACCAATACTTATTCAAAAACACAAATCGATTTATTTATTTTAATTAATAATTAATTTATTATTTATTTATATGTACGATTAAAAGCTAATGACTAATTTTACCACTTTTACTTAATCTCTTTGTTGACCTTTGAGATAGACAGTAAACTTTTTGATTGAATCTTGTATCAAGCTGTTTGTACTGAGGTATAAAAAATCTGTTAAGTGCAGCCCGCTTGGCACCGATTCAGGCAAAGCGACACGTAAGACACAAATATAGGCAACCTGAACTACAATCGTGTCAAGCACTGTGTAATTTATAAATGTTGCCCAGTTTGAAGATTTAAACTCATTTTAAAATAATCCAGTCCTGATCCAGTCTATTAATTAAAAAAAAATGTTTTGCAGATTTCTTCTTACAATTAAAATTGTTTTCTATTAAAATATCTCTTTCATTTTTCAGTTATTTGTCTCTATTTTATTGTAGATCAAAAGTATTTCTTTGGCCTTTTGAAATTATCACAGCCAAAAATAAGGATGTCATTTGTGGATTGAAATTATGGGCGAACAGCGCGCGCGGGGTCCAGAATACCTTGCTCTCAAAACATAACGAATTATTACGATTTGCTCTCGGGAAGAGGATTTTAAGGACGCCTCGGCTTGTTTATTAATAAACGACCGTGGAACTCGCTCGTGACGTTCCACTCTCCGCATATTTATAATTTTCGACTTGGCCGAGTGCCCGTCCCTCGGGCTGGATATCCAGAATGTTCTGTCGCAACCCTTTTCCTCTTTTGAAAGAATTCCGAAAAACTGAAAATTTTCAACCCTTTCTTCCGATCAGAGGAGGCGTTCGAATGCAATAGCAAGCGCAGTGCACCTGCGGCGATTCGATGCGTCATCCGGCGTGAATCAGAGTGACAAGTCGACGTGTCCCCAAAAGAAAGGGGCTTGTTATTTTTTGCGCTAATTGCTAATTACCTCGGTGGGCTGAGTTTGCTGCTGTTTTTCTTCCCGTCGACGATTTCCGCTGGAAGTTTTCCTCCTACAAGAAGCACAGCATCTTTCTCTCAGAATGAGCGGCGACGTAATCTGCAGCAGGTTCCCCTTCGACTGAACGTCGTCCACGTCTAGCTAGCAACATAAACAGATGAGCAGCGGCCGGCTATTTTGGGACGCCGCTTGACGCAATTACATCTGACTCAGCAGCTTTCCCAACATTCATTTTGATTTGATGATTTTTTCACGGCGAGTACAAGTGGCGAATGTGTGTTTGCCAACCGAAATTAGCGTCTGCCCCGCTAATTTTAACTCTTATCGCGGATCCAAGTTCAGCCCTCGGGCGGTGCGGAGGTGGACGCGCATTCCTCGCGCTGACGCACCCCTTCGATTCCGAGAGGAATTCCGGACTTTCTTTCTGTCTTTGTTGGCCGGAAGGGGGTGCCGAGCCGAGTGCTCAGCGATTTTCGCATTTTTCGCGCTCCGATTAATTTGTCTTCTGCGAATTGCAAGGAATTGGAGCGGCCGCTTTTATTGCTCGCGCCACTTCACGCTCTTTGTCTTCCTCTAAGCTTTTGACTTTAACGCGGCGTCGTAATTAACTCTTTCCACGGAATAATCGGCCACCTTTGTTCGCGAAAATAGAAGAGGAGTTTGAAATGGGTCAGTGGGAAAATGCCTTTTGTTCTTGAACTGACAACGAAGGAGATTAATAAACTTTGATAAGATTGGCTGAGAAAATTAAAACTGAAACAAGATTATTGGAAATACGAGTTAATTTTCAACTGTATATATTGATTTGAATTTAAATCTATATTTAAATAAATTTGGGTTTTTTACTAGTATTGACGAGGAGAAAAATATTAAAAATTAAAATTATCAATTATAGATTATTAAAATTCGGTTTTATTTAAATATTTCAAATTTTCAGGGTAGAAGAATAGTGAGTTGAGAATTCCTCAATAAATTTATAGTTTTCTTCTTTTAAATTAAATAGGGTGAATCATATAAGTGAAACGAAATTGCTTTCTGTAGGTGATGTTAATAGTTTTTATTGCCTCTATCACATAGATATTCAACGTCAAAATAACTTAAGTTTGATTTTTTTTATTTGCAATTTATACCGACTGAGAGTGATGCTATTTTTATAAAACACAACAATCAACATCCGGTCGTAAATTTGTGCTCGGAAGTCTCTCAAATAATAACATCAACAAGCCGCGACCGACGGCGTTTAGAAAGGTCAAGCAATAAAAGTCGGTGTGAACAACCCGCGTTGTCGAGCAGCTCTCTTCTTGTAATTGATTAATTAAATGCATCAAGTCGCGCGGCCGGCTTATTTCTCAAGAGCTGTCAGCGGGGCGGAATAACTCGGAGGTGACGAGCGCAGCTAAGTCGGTCCTGCGCCGCCCAGTTACAAATAAAAATTCTCGCACCTGCACTTTTGGCTCGCGGGTGAGAGGTCATTATTCTGCACCCCGAGTTTAAAACTGAATTTGTTTCACCGCACCTTAAATTGGAGCTACAAAATTGTGCCAAATCTTACACTCTTGAGAGCTTCTACATTTTCGCGTGGGTTTGTTTTTGAAAAACTACCGCGAGCAAAATTCGTCACGTCTCAAATGAGCCAAATCTTTGTTTGGCATTTGAATCAAGCGCGCTTAATCTGCCCTGTCTAAAGACGCTTTTATTTTAAGTGCACTTTTTCTTCTTTAAAGGGGTGGACGCTTTCAGAAAATCAAAATATTTTAATCAAAAGTTTGTGTTGCAATTCTTAAAATTATTAACTTCTAACTTTTGCAGGTTGTAGCCAACATTGGTTTTAAAAGAGTTTTATTAATTTTTATGTTAAATGCAAATAAGATATATTTAGAAATTTTTATTTCCTGAAAGTTTTAACCCTTTTCAGTGGCTATTTTAAAATTGGTGAATTTTTTACAATTTCTACTGGCGTTGCGTGGATTTGCTACAAGCTAGAAGATCGTTGTGTCTTTGTTTTAAAATTGAACTTGAAATGGGTGCCAAAAACAATTAATATCTTTCACACGACGACCTTCCTGGCCGCGCTCTCTTCTTTTATCGGCATTTTTTAAATACCAGCTTTGCATCAAGTGCTTCTTAGAATTACAAAACACTCACCGCCGTTCATGAATTTAAAGCACCCGTGAGCAGTAGACGATAATATACATTTTTGCGATTAGTGTGCGCTAACTTTTTGTGCGACTCTAAAAGTTTGTATATCCCCCGTTTTGATTCTCATTACTTAATCCTACCACGTGGTAGCCTCTTGGAATCCTCTTCGCTTTGATACGCATGCTGAACCTCTGGGTGGTAATTCTGAGTGCTTTCCACGTGTCTTGTTTGATATTCCTAAGTAAAAATAAAATTTATACATTATTTAATTTTCATTTTAAGTCTTGTGGATTGAAAAACTTTATTTTAATCTTGGTAAGATCAGAAAAATTCAAAAAATTATTATAGATTGAAGATCCTTAGATAGCAATTCAAATAGTTTTTAGACAAATATTTTTTTGGTCAAAAATGAGGGGTTATTCCAAATTTTCCCGAAATCTCAAGGAACGCAAGAATTGTCTAGAAAAACATTTAAATCGTTTTTTGCAAAGATCTATCAAGATTTTAATCATGGAAAATCGATGTTATATTATTCTATACATTCATAGCAATTTAAATCAGGAATTGTTTTAGAAAAATAGATACAACAATACACTACACTTTTGCGAATTCTAGCAAGCGCATGATTTATTTTGATAAGAAATTGAAATAAGTACCCTGGTCTCTGGTCTGTAGTCATTTGAAGCAGGATTTCTGTGTTCAGTTGGCGGTTGAACCTTTTTTTCCTCTGGTCGTCTGTAGCAGTCCACCCTGCTCTTCGCATTCCACTGCAGTTTTGATCCAACGACCTGTGAAATTTTTAAGTAATTTATCAACTGATTAATTAATTGATATATCTTCTCACTTTTTTCACTCCCCCGGTGGGTTGATAGTGGTCATTGAAAGTAGAGACGCGAGGGGTGACGTTGCTGTAGTCATTAGACCTGGTTGGTGTTTCAGGTTTCGGTCTCCTGAGCGAACTTCTCGTACTTGCAGATCGTACTAAATTGCCTGAATTTTATATATTTTGTTAAATGGTATTTTAATATTCTTTTGCAACTCGAGTATTTTTATCAGACCTTGTTTTTCCTCCTCCGCTTCGTAATTCTCAATAGATCTGGCAAAGTCACGCCCGTCCCCTCCTAAAAGTTACCACTTTGAAAAATATTATATAAATCAGTTGGAAAGTTATACTTGGCGTCATCGCGTTTCTCTGCGCGATTCCCTCGGTGCTTTTGGCCCTCCTCACTCTAGCCGGGTCTCGCGGCGTGGAAATGACGCTGCCAAACGCCATCGGCGGCTTCGCTACCTTCTTTTCCTTCTTCGCGTACCTTACAAATCAATACACCATCAGCAATAAAAAAGTTGCAGTTTGCTTGAATCCGCAAGATCGACCGCAAAATTTATTGCACGAATTTCCCTTTCGTGAAAAAAATTGTATGTCATAAATTCATGCGAGTATAATATCATTTTGGTGATTTCTAGACTATTTTTTAATGCTTGGAAAAATGTTGAGATTTTAAATTCATCAAACAAAAATTATAATCGCATATTTAGAGCTAGAAAAAAATAGTCGCTTAAAACCGCAAAAGAAGAAAAACGTTGGAAGTAGTTATTAATAGAATTATATTTTAAGTTTCAAGGAGAAAATATCAAAATTGAATTCCTTGTATATTAGACTTATGGAAAATTACTTTTATTGAAAATAATCAAATTAAAGCAATTTAAGTGCTAGCAACTCAATATTTGGAAAGTCACACAAAAATGAACTTAATTTACAGTTAACTAATTTTTGACACTATTCTCCAGTCTTGTGGATTGAAAAACTGTGTATTTTAAACTTGGCGAGATCAGAAAAATTCCAAAAATTAACATTATAGATTGAAGATCCTGGACAAAATTGACAAAAATGATTTAACTTTAAATTGAGCTAATTTTTGCGTGACTTTCAAAATATTTAGTTGCTAGCACTTCATGTTTTATTTGATTATTTTCAATAAAAGTAAATTTCCATAAGTCCAAGGAATAAATTTTGATAGAAAATTTTGATACGTAATAAAATTTAAAACGAAATTTAAAAAAAAAAAAATACAAGAATTGAGTTTGCAATTTTAGTGATTTAGCTACCTGGGTGTCTCACTCTCGATCTCAGCAAACTTGACCCTGAACTCATCTCCCCGGGGGGTCATCGCCCTCCTCTGGACGTCGCCCTGCGCCGGAATGTACCTGCCCGTCCGAGGACAGTACATGCCCTTGGGCTTCCTGGGGGTGGGCGTCATTACCTCCGGGGGCGGTTGCCGCTGAATGATCTCCGCTCGCGGGTCCGGCGGGTCGGGGATGAAGCGGCCCGTTTTGGGACACCAAGAGCCCCCAGCGGGAGTGCGCGAGGGGGCCGCCCTTGACGAGGGACGTTCCTGCTGCAGCGTGAGATCGGTGGGTCGCGGCTTTTGGGGTACGGGGGTGGCAGGAAGGGGCTCTCGTGGGGGCTGCTGTATGACCTGCTGGGGCTGCACCGCTGGCCTCTCAAACTGACGCTGTTGAGGCGGCTCCTAATTATTTATGAAATTAATATTCAATTGCATTTAGCAGTTGATTTGATGATTAATATTTTTGCTTAAAAATATATCTCTTGTTATTATTTACAATTAGATCGAGTAGAACTTAGGAAATAATTTTTTCAACGAGTTATATGCAATATATTAGCTTAAGCTGGCTCGCTTAATTTTTTTAAAGATAAACTTTTGTATACTTGAATTCAAAAGTTCACAAATGCTTATGGAAATATTTGAAATCTCAATAGAAAAATTATTCGCGCCAAAAGTATTTCAACCTCGGAGATGAGTCCTGAGTATTTCACCAATATGACAGAATTAAGTGATTCAGGATTCAGAAACACTTCCCCAAAAGGTTTAAATTCTGTTGGCTAAAAACTAAAAAAAGCATTTGGAATCGAAATTGAATAGTTTATCGGAGCGGTATTTAATATTTTTTTCTTTATTAAACAAAAAATAAGTTACCCTATAATCTTGCGGCTGTGGCTGACGAGGGACCTGCCTATTCAGAAGTTCCTCACCCTCTTTTGCAGCATCTACGATCGGTTTGCTCACTTCCAGAGGGGCAGCCGGCACTGAGGGTAGTTTCCCCGAGAGGGTGATGGTGACCTCTTTGGTCACCGGTTTGCCACTGGGCAACACCGGCGACGGTGCCGGGTCGACGGGCGTCTGCAGTTGACGCACAGACGGCGTCCTTGTGACCCCTGAAATGACTCTTTCAGGTCTTTCCTGCTGCGGAGGTGGTTGCTGCGAGGGTGGGGGTTGATACGGGGTCGCTGGAGGTTGGTACTGAGCCGGTGGCGGTTGATACTGGGTGGTCGGAGCCGCCTGGTAGGTTTGGTTTTGGCTCGGTGGTGTTTGGTATTGAGTGCTAGGCGTTTGAAACTGAGCTGCTGGTTGGTTTTGAGAGGAGAGAGATTGGTATGGGGTGGTTGGGGGTTGGTATGGGGTTGCTGGTGGTTGGTAAGCAGTAGTTGGGCCGGTTGCGGGTTGGTATTGAGAAGTGAGAGGTGGTTCTCGGGTGGTAGCAGAGGTTTGGTACTGGCTCGAGGATAAGGGCTGGTAATTCGCGGTGGCTGAAGATGGTTGGTATGAAGGGGTGGTGGTGGTCGGGGGTTGGTATTGGTTTGCTGAAGGCGTTTGATATTGAGACTGAGACGCAGGTCTTTGAGAAGAAGGGACGGGTGAGGTGTAGGTGTCAGGAATTGGTTGGGACACCCTGTTCCTCAGGACGTCTGTCTTGATCGAAGTCATTTCACTTGCAGAATTCAGGCCGCTCATCGTGTGATTTGAATCCGACATTTTAATTTGTCGGTAGGAACCTGAAATATTCAAGAACTTTATTTATTGATCATTTCATTTGTTTCCATTTTGTTTTTACTTTGCCAAATTAAATAGAAAATCGCTATTATTTCTTTTGTTAAAACATTTGCAAAAATTTGCAACAAAAACAAGTTTTTTTTTTAAATTCTCATCAAATTTGTTTAATTGTATTTATCATCAAATTACTGTTATTCCTTTTTTTCAGTCAAATATTCTAGATAATTTTCAAATAAATAGAGAAATTAAATGTAATTTAATTAAATATTTATCCAAAAAAGGGGTTTAGACTTTTTACTCTTTAATTAGGAAGAAACTTTTGTTAATTGCATTCCCGGTGCTTAATGTAGTGTGAATTTCTCAATTGCCAGCGTGTTGTTAAAAAGCGGTTTTCGCCAACACAGCTGCTCGCTCACTCAATGAGAGAGCACTACTTAATCACCACTGCGCATTTAATTAAACCAACAAAAGCGACGGGCATAATTAAGTTAGCTAATTGCCAGCCGTAAAATTAATCGCACGACGGGAAACTCGACACTGCGCGCGGAAATTAACTTGATTCGCGCGCGCCACTTGAGAGCAAGCAGCTCATTCCCTGCTCGCGGACGTGAGTTGCGAGTTCGCGGCACGTTATGCGGTGCCGCAGCACACGGAAGCACACTCGGCTGCCTAAACACCCATATACGCTGTACTGAAATCAATTTTGCTCTCTAATCATCCGAAAGCTGGATTTCTCTGTGAAAAGTTTAGAAAAATTTGGGATTTGAATTATTTGAATGCACTTCGGAATGAATTTTTTGTAATTGACTATCTTATAAAAAGTGTCCTAAATAATTCAAATGAATAAAAAATTATGCGGCTTTTACTGCATAGTCTATTAATTTGATTAAATTATCTTTTTTATCATATCATAAAATAAAAATGAAACTTTTGGTATCTTTCCCATCTTCCCATGAATAGTAAATTTAATCGCAAAAGTTTTCAGAAAACCAACTTTTTCAAATTCCCAATTCAATTTGCGTACGAAAGGAAATTCATCATCTTGGCGGAAAGTTATTTCTTCTGTGCCGGGGTGTGTGGGAACGAGAAAAGTGAGCGCCTGCGGAATTTTCTGGTTATGCAGCACGCGTGGCGTTCGTGTCGTGACGGTTGCCGAGTTCTCGCCGCGCCCGCCCGCCGTAATAAATAAAAATGTGCCGCGATGTGCGAACATTTAATTCTCGCGAAGCGCAAATTGCAACACTTGACTGATTAATCGACTGGAGAGCATTAATTCTGCCGAAAGAACAACGACAAAAAAATTTAAAGAAGGGATGCGTGTCTATCTCGGACGTCACGCGCGCAGATAAATTATGGGAAATGTTTTGTTTATTTGTCGCACGAGAGAGAGAGACTCCTTCCGGTGCCTGTCTGTGCCGTCGAGACAAAAAATGCACGGATATTATTTATGTCGAATACCCACACACTCGCATAATTCCTTTCCTGGGAATCAATATGGCCGTACGTGACCCACCATTGACACATTGTCATGGAAACTGTACGACTTTTACTACAACTCCTGAGGCTATAAAAAATTATTGCCATTGTGATCTACTTTTTGATTTGCAGATGTGCCTAAAAAAAATCTGACGTTAGGCATTTATACAATTTAAATTCCTTTCTTTTCCTAAAGATAAAAAATGGAAATGCAATGACACATACATCAATTTTTGTAGGAGTACTTAATTTTATTTTAATTTTAGCGTCATTAAATACATTAAAGATATATTATAAAATTTTATTTACTTTTCAATACTATTTTTAATATGAAAAATCCAAAAATTAAGTTTTGTCATAAAAATATAAAGATTACTGTAAAAATTATTCCACAGACAAATCTTAAGCACTCTTTTACAACTTAATATTTCATTAAATATATAAAAATTCCTATTGAATATTTTAAATTTTTATAATGATAAATCTAATAAATTAATAAGATTTTATTTTCATTGCCTATATATATTGTAGGTTCATAAAAAATATTTACCACTAGTGCTACTTAAAATTTTTTTTCTCAATATTTATTTCCTTAATTTTCCTTCTCAATTTAAAATTGAAATATTATTCTTTTAAATATTAGTTAATTAGTCAATGCAACAAAATTTATATAAAATGAGTGTTTTGTTTACAAAATCCTAAAATTACTTGTATGTGCCGTACGGAAAAAGTTCTGATTGCATTTCACTCGGCATTACAAAAAAAAGTTGGAATGAAACAATTAGAGGGGTGCGTCGTTGAGCACGGATGGTGCAATAAAAGGAACGTGAGAACTCACCTGGGCCAGAGAGAGGCAAGTTGGCCGTGCACGGTGGCCCGAGCGACTGATTGCGCGCCCATTCGTGTATTGCCTATATATAATGGGATGTTGAGAGCAAAAGAGGGCAATAATAATATCAAAACATGTATTCCATAACAGAGAGAGCACGAGAGGCAGCGCCTGGTACACAGATAGTCCGCCTGGTTCGCTTTATTTCCACTCGGATTAATATTGGACGACCTCGACCAATGGCGGGTGTCCCTCCGAATGTCATGTGAAAAAGAAGGCACGAGCAAATAGTCGGTAACGTGCAAAAAACAATCAATTAATATATCAGACTGCAGATCGAATTTTCATTTAACTTCGAAGGCTTTAATTACAACCCTTGCCGTCGATGCAATCAATGTGCATGTGTTGCAGTTTGTTTTGCTGCGATGCAGAAATAGAATCGAACTTTCTAATTTGTTCAGGTGGTGATTGCCAATCACTGCTAATTGCTAAGTAATTTAATTTTAATTATTTTTAACGCCCTTTCAAATTCATGACCAGCTGTATGTGTGAGCGATCCAGATTTTGTAATAATTTAATTACAGTCCTGTTAAATTAAAAACTATTATAACAATTTTTACTATTGCAATCATAATGTTTTTCTCTACTTTGGTTTAAAAAATTTAATTTGTTTGTGATTAATTTTGACGGTTCAATAACTGTTATATGGTGGTGAAAGTTGCTTACCAATTTCGCCAAAAATAGTGGCAACAAATTAGAAAACACCTTAGCCAGATAAATCCAATGAGCTTTTAGATTTTATCGCACCGGCGAAATATTTCCAGCGAGTATAAATAGAAGTTTTGCATTAACCCTTTTGCACGAAAGCAAATAATGAATTTTTGTCGTGCGCGCAGTCAAAATATTGCGAGACTGCTTTGCTGATGTATAAAAATTTTACTTTGAAATAACAAGCGTACGTAAAATAAAAATCAGCGGCTTCCCTTTTTCAGGTTGTCAGTCACAGGCTATAAAATTAAGTTGTTTTTATTTGGTTTTATTAAATATGTTTACACATGAAACATTATTATTATCGTCGTCATCATTTATTATATTTTGCATTCCTAAGAAGCGGCAGCTTCAAAAAAGAAAATAAACGGCGAGTCAGCTGCGCATTCTCTTTTTTTGTGTGTGCAGTGTTCTTGTTATCGAATGCAAATCAATTGTTGATGTAGAAGGTGTAAATTTGGCCGTTGTTGTAAAAGAAAGTTGCGGCTGGTGGGCCATCTTGGAAATGAAAAATGAAATTGCTCAAGAGAGGATTTTGTTTATTCAGTGGATACTCCCGCAGCGCACACGTTCTTGAGGAAGGCTGCAAAATGACAAAACGAGCATTAGAACCATTTCAAAATGCATTTTTTGGGAAAACACGAAAATTTTTGTAAGCGAGATAAACGGACAAAGGCGACAAATAATAAAGAAAAGATGACAGAAAATATGAATTCACAATAAAGAAATCATCAGGGTTCGGAATATTCAAAACACGTGATTTGTCAATGAAATACTTAAAGCTTAATTAAGTGTAAATCAATTAAATTTCATTAATTAAACTTGATTGCCGAACCCTGATAGAAATCTGCCTGTAAAAGCGAAGTTTAATGACTGTCCCGCGGTCACTGCTTGGAAGAAGGTGAAATTGTTTTGTAAAAAAGTAAGGAAAAACCTTAGGAAAAAAGATAAGCAAAAACAATTAGTGGTTAGGAAAAAATAGACGACGTGACGATAAGCTTTGTTTAGAGAGCCTCAAATTCAGACTTTTGCTGGTTTGTCGAGGCCATCCGGTTTTTAGTATTGCCGCAACAAGACAATATTTATGAGAAGCCAATGAAAACGAATCGCGCTTTCTGACGCGACCAATTTATAATACCGTCTCTCCTTACAATTATTCACTTCTTGGTGTCAGGGGGACCAGCAACAACTTTCTTCAGGAAGGCTGTAATGTGGTGCATTGGGTTTAATGGCTACGCTATACCTTGGTATTTATTTTTTCTCGCTGAGGGTGCGGGGGTTGGTGAAACTATGGCGAAGTTTAAAGGGATTCCAGGGTGGATGTTTACAAAGTGCGACGACGTGGTTTGATACTTACGCACATAATCGATGAAACCGTCATCGTCCTCAGGTCCACAGCAATCGGCGATGATGACGTCGACTTCGGAATTCTCCATCTTGTCACCTGAGGGAAAAACCAAATTGTTAAATTATTTCCTCCAGCTTCTGTAATTTGCAGAAAATTAAAGGATCACAATGGAAAATTTTCCATTTTAATTGCACGAAATTAGGCATTGAAATTGTGTTTAAAAATTCGCACGCCTTCAAACGAGGGACCAGATTTCTATTTCCGCCGAATGAATTTGAACCTCCAGAAAAGCTACTTGTCATGGCTAAATCACTAAGAATTAAATTTCTTTAGCGAGGAAAAGCAAATAATCAAAAGTTTTCAACGGAGACGGGACCAAATTTTTTAAGCATGATTTCAATATTATCCATAAAAGCACATTTATTTTGCGAATTACAAAATTCAAATGTGGGTCTTGGAGAAAAAATAATTTAATCTTTTTTTTTATAAAAAGATGAAATTGGGCAAGTTTTAATTTTCTGGTACTTTTGAGGTAAGTGTTTTTAGTAAAAAAAATTTCATAACGGCAGAAATTTTAAGTATTAAAAGAAAAAAATTTTTGAAGTGTAATGAAAAAAAATCTGAAGTGATTCCAACGTATTTAAGATTGATTTCCTTGTTTGAAGAAAATAAAATGAGTTGAAAAATGTTTACAAAAGTTGATGTTATCATCAGATCTCAAATATTACTAATCAGAAACTATATTTTTAGTATTGAAGAAATCTTTATAAATTCTAAATCAGTATTAATTCAAAATTGATTTTCATGAAGGATTTATCACTTATCGTTCTTATACTAATGGAATATTCTTTTCAATTTTTCACACTTGTAAAGGACCAATTTACATTTTCCGTTATAAAGGATGAAAAAATTTTATGCTTAAAAGTTTTGTCTTTAAAATATATTTGACGTATTATATAATTTATAAATGTAAAATATTACTTTGGAATTTTGTTCGTTTGTTTATAGTTTTGGATAAACGGGCTGTCATATTTACCAAGGGACAAAAGCATGTGTGTAAGCTCAGCCAAAAGCATCTTTCCATTCTCTTCCTTGTCGTACAGCTTCAAGCACTCGTTGAAGTCCTCAAAGCAGCCCTGGTCCTTGTCCTTTTTACATTGGGAGAAAATGGGGAGGAACTCGTCAAACTTGATCTTCTTCTCGTCTGCAAATTTTGTCCACGTTAAATTTTGCTCAAAAAATTCGGCGTCATTCTCTCACTCTTCTTCTTGGTGCCGCCCAACTTCTCGATGGTGGTGCCGGTGGGGTTCAGGTTGAGGGCGCGCAGAAGGTTACCCAGGTCGACGGCGTCGATGCCATTGCCCTCATTGTCGTAGATGGAGAAAGCGAACTCGGCGCCTGCAATAATAAAAAGAAAATAACAAAATGATTTTGTTTTTCGCCGCGTGTGTCAGTTTCGATTTCGTTTATTTCGCGATTAATCGGACGGAGGTTGGGTGCGCGCGAGAGCCAGAGTTGGGCGCCTGCCAAGCATCTCGATGGCCCAAGCCGAGGCTAAACTTAGCCCAGCTCCTTTTATGATGAGGCGGCCCGTCGTCAGGCTATTTACAGACCGACCACGGGCCGCCACCGCCGCTGCTCTCTCACGCACACGCGCACGCAAACTGCAATTTCTTTTCGCCAAAACTTTTATATTCGCGTGCAGGTAGATGCAACTCTTCAATTGTTTCCCAAACTATTTTGTTGTTTTTGAATAAATTTAATTCCTCCGAGGTCTTCGAAAACGACAAGGTCGTGCGAATTTCGATTTTCGCCAACACTTACGTTCAACTTCGTGCTTGGCGAGGTCAGCCTGGAACACAAAGGAAAAAATTTTTGTTTGAAAAAATAAAACTTTGTATAAGAATTTCAGCTCAAAATGTGAACATTTTCAGTCCTTGCATCAAGTGGGCAAAAATAATAGTATCGATTTTTAATTGTTTTCCTTCTCCTCAAATACAAAGGGAAGTCTTGACTTTTTTTTCATCTATTTTTTTTTTTAAAGTTAATTTAAAGTGATTAAAATCGCGAGTTGTGAAACATTTGGGACGTTTGATGAATTTGCAAAATCAAAGTGACAAAGGGTTAATTGGTGATTGGATCTCTTTCCGGGTACTCACCATGTCTGCAGCCGCGGGGGTGCCTCTGTTGCCTCAAAGACTTCTTGGCGAGAAGTGAGAGCGAGCTGCCTGGTCACCCAGCCCCTTCTGGTCTATTTGCATGGACGAGCGGCGCGCTTGCGTGTCCACACCGTCCGTCCGACCGATCGCACTCCCACAAGACCGCGTTTCACAAATTCAGGTCAACAGGATTTCTTTCTTTCTTTCGATCTGTCTCGCTGCCCAAGGTTTCGCATTCCTTTGCCAGCACCTGGAGCAGCAGTTTTTTATCTAGTCTAAAACAATCGTCATTTATTTTTAATTAACATTCGGATTGATTGTTTGAGATAATATTTCATCACTCTGCTTGGATTGGGTTTCGCTATTTCGGGAACATATTGTGTTTCTAAATTTAGACGTCATTGAATTCAGAAATAACGAAAGAGAGGAACCGATCGGGCGGCAATCAGGCCAGGAGGAATTGCTTGGAGCGTCTTCAAAGATATTTCCTTTGTCTTTCGAGTATTTTGCAACATCGCGTGTTTTGCAAGTGGTGTGTGATTTACTCAGGTTCGTCGATGCCAACAGTTCAATGAGACAATTGCCGCCGACGCGAATTAACTTCTTCTATTTTAAACTTTTACTTTTCGTGTCTACGTACTCGGATGCATTACGACTGTGCTCTTTTATTTAAAAAAAAAAAAAGAAAAAAAATGATGTGAATCTTTAAGCTAAGCCTGAATTTCATTTCAAATGGATTAAATTGCAAATTAAATAGAAGTATATTAAATATTTTTTTTAGTTAGAACTCGCCTGCAGAAATTGACACCTGCAACCTGCTTGACATACAAGGAGTGCGGGATGCGTTCTTTTAAAAATAAATTCTTCTTTTGCAAACTATTTCACGTTTCTTTGGGCTATTAAAAATCGATGAGTTACAATTTTTTCTTTATTTCTTTAAATTATAATTAAAAAACCTTTTGCATTGCCCGCATTGGTATTTTATATTTTTAGTTCCAAAAAGTTATGAATCTTGACATTAATTGCATTAAAGGTCATTAACGCCGGTCTATAGTCTGTTGGATCTATGCTCGAAACAGCCATCGCAGTGTTCTACTCTTTGTCAGTGAGATAATCTTCTCGGGAGAATCTCGGCCGAAGATATTTCAAGAAGAAAATTCGTCGAGAAGCGAATGGTAAAATAGGAGGCGAGAGCGGCTCGAGATGCGCCCGCTGGCTGACTAACTAACTAGACATTCGTGACGTCGCGTGGCGCACAATAAAACTTGAGACAACGCGAGTCTGAATTAGTAGAGGCTCAGATCTCACACACGCAATATACGCCTGCACTTGCCAAGCCTTTTGGTTTCACTCGCAACGCAGCTAAATTTATCAAATAAATCATAAAATTACAAAAGTTATTTAAAAGTTTAATTATGCGTTCATTGGTAAGATAGGGATTTTATTTCATCGGAGGATTGAAAATTTAAAATGAATACTTTTTTCAGCTTTGCCAAGAGTTTAGTGAATTTTCGTCACTCAAATTTTATGTATTTTAGCTTAATTTAATTAATTACTTTTCTTTTTGATAAAATTCTCAGCTTATCATGCTTTTTTGTTTTAAAGAAATAAAAAACCAGAACCTTTGAAATGTGATTAAATAACATTGTATTCATATATATAACAGCTCACAGCTCCAATCAACGTTATGTTCAATTTCATTCACTCCAATTTAACTAATTTTAAGCAGTCAATTATTTTCATTGATAAAGTGGCTGGTCACATGCATGTGAAAATCGTCGATGGACATCAAGTGTTTTGAGAAGGTCGTCCCACACATCGGACAAATCCAGGTCTGGATCGACATCTGAATGGACTCATCAATTGCAGTGCTGTTCAGCTGACTGGTCGCCGACTCCAAACCACTCCTGAGCGCTTGCTGCTGCTGTCTCAACATGTCTCGAATCTACAAAAATGAAATTTGATCGAATTTGGTCCCAATTAATAGTTCATAAAAAGCAACCTTAGTTAGCTGGTCATAGTGAATAGCCAGCGTTTCCGGCTCATCTGCAAAGTCAAGAGGTGGCTGCGGGTCAGGGGACAGACTGTCCTTGAGATCAGAAACCTGAAATATTTTTAGTAAATAACAAAAAAATTATATTATCAAAGCTTCATTACTTGTGATTGCTGTTGTTCCAATGCCAATTTTTCCAGTGCTATTGTATGAGCTAGTTTCAAAGATATTTCCTCCAAGCAGTTACCATCTGAAAATTTTATGAATAAATTCTTATTTTAAATTTTTACTAACAACCGTCATTGGCGATCAAAGAAGGAAACCCTGAATGTTGCTTCAGGGTGTCAGACATTTGGGAAAGAGACACTTCCAATGTTTGTCTGGCTTGGTTTAGCTTTGCCAGCCGCCTCCAGAGCTGCTTGTTTTCCGACACAACCAACTGCAGTCGTTGCGAAAGCTGGTTCCTCTGATGAAGCAACACAGCAATCTACAAAAATTTTATTTATTGATTAATAAATTTTTTAAATTTCAATTACCTGTTCTTGAACATTGGAACCGTCGTTACTGGCCATCGACTTGTCCCCACCTATCCTAGCCAGCTGCTTCTTCAAGGAAATATTTTCGTCCTCGAGCAAAGTCGATGCTCTTTGCAACTGTTGGCATCTTTTCTTCATCGTTTGCAATGCAACCTGGACCATAAATTTTTTAATTTATTAAGGATATTTTATTAAGTGATTTATTTCCTCGTCACAGTATTTTATGTAAAAAGAATACGACTACAAAACGCAATAATTAAAATAATTAATAATACGGAATAATTAATGCATACCTGAAGTGCGTAGTGGGCTCCTTTTGATACTGGAGTAACTTCAGACTGTGAAAAAGTCTTGGTTCGGTCCATCTACGGCAACAGAATATTTTTATTTAAGCCAATTTTATTGGAAAAATTGTTTAAAATAGAAAATCAAACATAAAACGAGAAAGAAATAATAAATAATTACGTAAACATAAAAATCCTTAAAAGGACATTTCAAAGACAAATTTTAGAATAAAATCTTTACCTTCTAAGGCAAATATTGGCGAATCTGGTTCAGAAAAGAAATTACATAAATTTCATTGGTTAATTATAAAAATTGCGATGCTAATCTGCGGTCTCAAACAAAAGAGAAAAGGAGAAAATCTGTTAATCGTGCTGAAATGTCATTCTCCATTATTTACTTGATCCAGCTGCTTGAACACGGGTGTGCAGAAAGGAGATAGCATTTGTTACAAAATCTTGTCTTAGACACTAAACTTAAATAACGAAAACCATATTTTTTACATCACTTTTCCAGTTAATTAAAAATTTTATAAAATCACTAAATGATATTTCTATTCGAAAATCGTATTAAACTGATTCAATATTCAAATATCTTGTACTCCTTACTGCACATCAGTCACGGTTGAGGGCACCACATGACCTCCTTGGAGCACGGAATTGCTCGATCAGCGGATCCGACGTGAGCCGAACACCTCGCGAAAAGCACAAATAATTACAATTGTGACAGGAAAAGTTGAGCAATGGCTGAATAGGTGAGTTATTCGCGTCCCGCGCCGTTCAACCCCGAGGTCTAGGCACCTCTGAGGACTGTCTGCGCCGCGTCTTCCGGCGACCGAGCTGACCACTTTCCTTTTTCCACAGAGTTCGCTCAGGAGAAGAAGAACAACATCCTGCGGACGGACGGTGTTTTGCATGGTCCCTGCTGCTGGTCGGACGAGCAAAAATGAGGCGTCCGACCTGTGCTTGCCTGCTGTGGCTGACCCTGCTGCTGGTCGGATCAAACGCAGGTACATAGTGTCCTGCGGGGCTGTTTTTTCGTCCCCCACCCCGCTTGTTTGTGATGTTTTGCCCTTGCGGTTTGGGGGGTTGCTACGCGGAATTTCCGTGACAAAATCGGTGGGTATTTTCTTTTGCGGTCGGGAACTTCCTCAGTCGCGTTTAAAAGTTTTTAATTCTCTATAATTTTTAAAGCGGGTTTTCCTCTTTTTCCCAATTATTTTATCTTTCCAAGCATGGGAAAGTTTCGTATTTAATTGTGCTTTTTAAAAGTAACCTACACAAATCCCACCAACAGCTACTAGGACATTCAACTTTCGGCCGTGAGATGCACGGGGATGAACTAACGACGTACGGTTTCGCAATATAATCCAAGCTTTTCCAGTCTAGACGGAAAATTGATCGCAATTCTCTGGTTTTTTAGTTTTAAAATAATTTCAAAAATAATTTCTCAAGGACTTTGAGATTTAAAAAAAAAAATACATAATAATAACAATTTCATTATTTGTATTTTTTGAACTGATTTATTTTCCTCGAACAATAACTGATTTGAAGTCATTTCAAACCAGCGCACGAATTTAGAGAGCTGCGATGAATCATACGTGTTATGTCTGCGTAATGTGTGCAGTTGAAATATCAAGCTTAAGCGGGTGTTAATTTCATACGTTGGTGTAATATTTACAGACGGAAAGTCTATTTGAATAAATTCATGAACCCTCTTATGACGTCATTTTTTGCAATTAAAAAAAATCCACCGTAAGCTAATCCAAGGGTAATAAAACCACCATTTCCAAACTTACAATTAGAAGATTTTTCTAATATTTTGCTGTACATTAATAGATTCTTTAAAATTAAAAATCAACAAACATTTCAAATGCAACGTAAAATTATAAAAAAAAATACCATTCTTTCAAGAAGAAAGAAAAATCAATGATTATTTAAACCGAGGAGAATAAAAATAAATTGTCTGATAGGACTTTGAATTTCTATTTGATTGATGTCCAGACTTAATAGATCTGACCAACTCATCCACTTCATTTAAATCGAAATAAAATAATTTTTTTTGTCATATTCCCTTTGCAGTTCCAAGGCGGCTGAATGACTGGGTGTCACATTACGAGCCGCTCACCTACGACACAGACCCTGTGCACCGATCTCACCAACGAGCCAAACGCTCCGTCTCCGAAGACTCGGCTGTGCAACTCCACTTCCGAGCGCACAACCGGGCCTTCAGTTTGCGCCTCAAGAGGGACCTGGAGACGTTCTCGGACAGACTCGAGGTTGTGACCCATGAAGGAGACCCTCTTGACGTCGACACCTCTCACATTTACAAAGGACACATTTTGGGCAAGTGAAATAATTAAATACAAAAATCAAGAAAAAATTTAACTCAACATTTCAAAATAGGAGAGCCTGAGAGTTACGTCTTTGGCTCGATCATCAACGGTGTTTTTGAGGGGAAGATCCACTCTCCGCACACAGGGGGCTACTTCATAGAAAAGGCCAACAAGTATTTCCCCAACCAGACATTCCACTCACTCATCTACCACGAAAATGACGTTGAAGACCCACATGCCTCCAAACGAAATGGTAATAAAATATCAGAAAGAATTTTTTTGAAAAATACTTATCGTAAGTTCACTCAGGATACTTGGGAGGATGTGGCCACACTGAGGAAATCAGTCAGTGGATGGAAAGGGTGCAAAACTCGGCCGTCGAAGAAGAAGACCTTCCTCCTTTTGTCCCCAAGAAGGAGGATTCGAAGCCGGAGAAAAAGGCTGCAAAAACTGAAAAGGTAGTTTTCTGTTGAAAAGTGAGAAAATTTACTGAAACTTGGAATTTTTAGGTGCATTTTCATGACGAGGATCCTCGTCGGCGGTACACGAGGGAGGCCAACGAAGGCGTCCATCAGCGCTCGAAGAGGGCTGCTCGACCGCGAGAGGAGAATCGAAACACATGCTCTCTTTTCATCCAGACTGACCCACTCATCTGGAAGCACATTTCTGAACAGGTGATGAAATTAAAACTTCTTATTATTTGGATAAATCACTAATAAATATTCCTTCCACTTATAGCAAGTGACTCAGGATCCTGAAAAAATCCGAGAGGAGATTCTGTCACTGATTGCTCAACACGTTCACGCCGTCAACTACATTTACCGTGATACAAAGTTTGACGGCCGAATTGAGCATCGCAATATCAAGTTTGAGGTGCAACGAATCAAGGTCAGCATTAAGCCACATCAATTCAAACTGAAAATTGACAAAATCACTCTTTTTCAGATTGACGATGACATTCCATGCAAAACAAATGGCGGTGATTCAAACCAGTTCTGCATGGAAAATATTGACGTCAGCAACTTTTTGAACCTGCATTCTCTGGGCAACCACGAAGACTTTTGTTTAGCTTATGTTTTCACCTATAGGGATTTTACTGGTGGGACTCTAGGTCTTGCTTGGGTTGCCTCTGCATCAGGTTTGATTTACAGAAATTTATTTTTTGAAAACATAAAATTCTTCTTTACAAACAGGGGCTTCTGGAGGGATTTGTGAGAAGTATAAGACTTATACTGAGACGGTTGGTGGCATTTATCAGTCAACAAAGAGGAGTTTGAACACAGGCATAATCACTTTTGTTAACTACAACAGCAGAGTTCCCTTGAAAGTTTCTCAGCTTACACTTGCACACGAAATCGGGCACAACTTTGGATCACCCGTAATTATTTTAAATTATAAATTTTCTTCCTCAATTTGAATTTTTCAATTTTAGCATGATTATCCGTCTGAATGTCGGCCTGGAGGAGACAAGGGCAATTTCATTATGTTTGCTTCGGCCACAAGTGGAGACCGGCCAAACAACAGCAAGTTCTCTGCCTGCAGTGTTGGCAATATTAGCAATGTGCTAGACGCAATTGAGGATAGCAAGAAAAGGAACTGCTTTACCAGTAATTTATTTTAAATTTTTAGAGAAAAGATATTAACCATATTAACTAATTCAAAATTAGCTTCTGCTGGTGCTTTCTGTGGCAACAAGATAGTCGAGCAAGGCGAGGAATGTGACTGTGGGTTCAATGACGAGGAGTGCAAGGATAAATGCTGTTATCCCAGGATTGTGTCCGAGGTGGACAAGATGAGGAACAACTCGGCTGCTGGCTGTCACAGGAGAGCAAGAACGCAATGCTCACCCAGCCAAGGTAATACCAAAATTCATAATAATTGTTAACAAAACAATTTTTAATTCAATAGGAAATTCTAAAAATTGTTTGTTTACATCCCTTTTCTTATTGATTGGGAAATACTAATTAAATTTCAAAACTGTATTACCTTTACAAAGTAATTATATGAAAAATACATCCGTAGAGTAGAAAAGAAAACCTTATGTTGACAAAATTTTGAATTTGCTTTTCATTTCTAGATTTGAATTTTAAATAGCTATTCATCTGACAATTGCTTTTAAATCTGTAATTATAAGAGTATTAAAGTAAATCTTGAAATTAACCCAATAAATTTAATATCAAATCTTTTTAATTTTGAATGTAATTCCTTAAACATCTAACCATGATATTTGTTTCTCTTTTTCTAGGTCCGTGCTGTGACGGGCACACTTGCACTTTTGTCAAAGTCGAACGTCAGTTGCAGTGCCGCGGCGAGAGTGAATGCTCGTTCAAGTCGTACTGCAACGGCGGGGAACCCGAATGTCCGGTTTCGAAACCCAAATCAGACAAAACGCGGTGCAACGAGGAGACGCAGTTGTGCATCAAGGGTGAGTGCACCGGTTCCATTTGCCTCGAGTGGAACATGCAAGAGTGCTTCCTCACCTCGGGCCACGCCTCTGTCGTGGACAAGCGGCGCTTGTGCGAGTTGGCGTGCAAGAATGGCTCGGAGGAAACTTGTCGCTCGACCAGCGAGTTCTCCAGGCAGGTTGGCCTGCCCGAGGGTGGCATCAGTTTGAGGCCAGGCTCGCCATGTGACAACTACCAGGGCTATTGCGACGTCTTCCTCAAGTGCAGGGCCGTCGACGCCGAAGGACCTTTGGCGCGTCTTAAAAACTTGCTTTTCAATAGGGTAAGTTAATAATTATTATTGGCATGCCTTATACTTTATTTAGAGAATTATAATATTTGTTAAGTTATCATTGAATTTATTTACATGGTGGTTGATGTAGTATTTTAAATTAAAATTGGAACAACCAGGATCAATAAGAGGAGATTCATGAATAAACTAAATCATTATAATTGATAATAATCTTACCTCACATACAAGTTTTATCTTATCCAGAAATTAATTATTTTAAATTAAAAACCCTCTGAACAGGTAAATTAATCTTTAAAACAAAAACATTTGACATTAATTGTGAATTTTGCAAATTATTTTTGAATTTTCTTTTTGTGAACTAAAAACTAAATTAAAACTTGTCTTTGTGTTAGTATATATTCAATGTTTTTATTTATGATTTTTTTTAAGTTTTGAAATGGAAAATAGGCTCGATTTTTAAACATCAATCATAAAAGTTTAAAATAAACAACAATAATTAACTTCAATTTAAATTTTACACAGGAAACGTTGCAAACAGTAGCTCAGTGGGTCACTGAGTACTGGTGGGCCGTGCTGCTGATGGGCATCGCGTTTGTTGTGGTCATGGGGTGCTTCATCAAGTGCTGCGCCGTGCACACGCCGTCGTCCAACCCGAAGAAGCAGCCGGCGCGGCGCCTCAGCGAAACCCTGCGCCATCCGATGCACACCCTGCGTCGAATGCGCGGTCCAGGCGGCGCCTCAAGGGCTCCCCCGCGCGGAAGCAACCCTCCCAGAGGCCCCGCCCGTGGCTACGGCGAAGGTCGCGGCCAGTACTACGTGCCCAAGGGGTCAGCCGGGGAGGGTGGCGGCCGCTCGTCCGGAGGCCACGAGCCGTATGCTGGTGCCTACGGCGGCCGCTCCTCAGGCAACCACATGGGACGCAACTCATTTGAGATGCACAACCACAAGGTGTGAGAAAGAATGCAGGACGCTGATCTCTCCATGGATTTTTTAACGAACCTTTCAAACCTGAAACCAAAAATCACGGAATATTTACGCGATAATTATTTTATTAAACAAGACGAGAAACTCACTCACTAGTACCTAATATATTACCCATCACGATGTCTTTAATCAACCAGGGGCTGGTGAATTTCGAACTTATGCCGGGGGAGAGAAAGTATTTTGAAAGATTTCGGGTGTAACAAAGGCAGACTCTTATTTTAAATTCATTTTAGCCTCTGAACTAGCGGTTGAATTCTAGAATTACCCATCAAATCTGCCAAAGTTCAAAAATTTTGCCGAAAATTTATATTTTTAGACTATGAGCAAATCCATTAGTAGACAAGTGAGACAATAAAAGTGCAAAATTACCATATTAGCCAAATTTTAGTTTTTTCGAAAGTTGCCAGCCCTGGAATTGCAGTATATCGGTCCGACATAGAAATCTCGAGTGATTTGTGGCAAGTTGAATGACTCTGAAGATGGAGTGAATGTATATAGACTATTGTGATCGCGGGGTCTTTGAGCCCCTGAAAGTGGTGCATCATTCATTGAGTCGGTAGTGCTGAACTTTTTAAATTTCTGAATTTGCATCTCTCATTGGTTGGGACCAATGCTTCCACGCGAGTGATTACGTTGTTCTCTTCTAGTGTAAAATGTTAATTGATCAATTTTTCTTGTTTCTTGGGACTCGGACTTGAAACTGGTCGACATTTGACCGCAATATATGTTACCGGACAAAACACATAATTTTTGGAAGAAAAAAGATCATTCCAAAAAAAGGCATTTCTTGAATTTTTACTCAACTATGACCTTCATTAAATAAAAACTGTTTCGTTTTACGTATGAATAAATTAAAATCCTTTTTAGGTGCCAAAGTTTCACAGCTCAGGTCAAGAGAATTCAAATATTTGAGTTTTCATTCCCACGTGTGAATGACACTTATTTTATTTTACCAAAGTTCGAGTCCCAAATGATAAAATTGTGCAGCATTTCAGTCGCATTTATTGAGAAACTTTGTTCCAAAGTCGACTGGTGCTGCGTGCTATGTTGAAAGAGTTGAACTGTGCGGATTCCGATTCCACCACTCCATTATATGATACAGATATAGCGAGATGTACATTTCTATAAATACAATTATATGCAACACAGAATTATCATGGATGTGCGTGTTTCGATTCCAAATAAAACTTTTCCATGTCAAAAACTTGTTTGAATGAGTGACACCAGAGAGTGGCGATTTGATGGCAACTCGATTGGATCAGTCGAGCGGAAAAATTATTTTGCCCAATCAACCTTTTTGCGACTCTCGTTTTAAATTCGGTTGAATTTGGGCGATTTGATTTATTAGTTTGGATCGACCGAAAACAACAATAAAAGAGTGCGAGCAACGACAATTGAAATCCACAGAAAGTGGAAAGGGTGGTAATTCAATTTTGAACGGGGATGGTTTTCCAGGATATTTTTTTCACCCCTGCGCCGCGCATGTCAACCTTGGAAGTGCTCTTATAAAAGGCGAACAGGGAAGAGCTCACCCCCTCACTGATAATCGCCGTCTCAACCTGGTCCACATCGCCTGCAGGTAGGCAACAAATTGAGTTTTAGGTCTACATTAATTAATCATAATTTAGATACATTAGCATTTAGATCAAATTAATTTTAGATGCATGAAAACAAAAATTTCTAGATTAATTTTTTTCTAAAGTTTATTGCAAAATTTACTAATTTCTTTAGCAACAAAATAAAGGGAGAACAAAAAATTATTGCTAATTTCATTTATCCTGTTCTTTTTACAATCAAGTTGCAATTTGGGCTAAACATTGAGTGTGAACTGTAATCAACGGCTAATCCATTTCCACTTTGATCTTTTTGTTCTTCCAATTGTGTCCCCCCAATCTGTGTTTGTCTTGCGTGTGACGCTGTTGACACATAATTATTATTAAAAAAGAGATTTCTCGCAAGCGCTCATTCATAAACTATCTTCTGCCCGCGAACGAGCAGATTATAGATAAGTGGCACTTAATTAATTTAGCAATTAACGGATGATAAGCGACCAAGTGTGTGGGGGGAAATCGGTTTTATTAATATTAGCATCCCACGCGGCGTTTCCTTTTGTTCGGCAAATATGTTGCATATTGAGACAAAACTCCACCTGTATGAAGAAAAAAATTTGCATCGATCTACGTTTTAATTAATTTATTAAATGTTTACCGACGTGTACGCGAAAGAAGAGAAAGGGGCGAAGAGGGATTTGTAAAATCTCTGCTTTCATGGGGCAGCTCTGTATTTACTCGCGGCACTAATGGCAATTTGATACTGACACCAACCTGCACGCTGGGGAGTTTCTGCGACTGCAACTCCAATAGCGGTGTATAAATAAAAACGAATGAATAACAAATGTGTTGTGCAATTTGTAAAATAATATGTATCGCAGCACCGAAGGGGACGATAATGCATAATATGCACTATAATCTGCCACAGACGTTTATAGAGGGATGCAACATCATTGACAATTATGAAACATTACTTGCGAAATTTATATTTGGGTCATAAAATGAACATTTTAAAACATTTAAATCATTTTTTTTTTTTTAAATCCAGCCGTAACATTCGAATTTATTTTGGAATAATTTCGTTCTTTATTTCTCATTTATAACAATTCCTTTTTCAAATAATTTGTTTTCAACAATTGAAAATGTCAACAATTTGGACAAGTAAACAACAACAGTTATAAGAAAGTCGAAAATGTAACCATTTGTAATCTGTACGGAAAATTTCACTCTATTTTATTATGAAAGCTACGCTGTTTAAGCTGTTTCGTTATATTTAATTTAAAAAAATTGTCCAATTAAGAACCAAGCGCTGTTTATCTTCCCAGCGCACTTACAAAATTAAAAGGCAAGTGTCAAGTTTTTTGTTCTCCTCGCAGAATTTAATAAAACACAGAGTAAATATGGAGTTGTTTAACCCAAAATGAATATATGAATAAATAGACGCTACAATCAGATTTTTACACTTTTTGAGTCCCCGAGATTTTGGGAACTTATTTATCAATTACGAGTTTATTTATTATTTATTTATTATTTTTTATGAATATTAAATGAAACGAAATATATGCACATACTTAAAAAAAGGAAAACCAACTTTAGAAGAAAATGCTATTGACATAAGCACTTAAAATGATTATTGCTTATTCATTATGTCTCTTCAAGAAATCAAGACCCTGATTTGATAACAGAGGATTTAAAAGAAATTTAACTTTTTAATAAATTATAAACTAAAAATCTGTTCCCAGATATATAATTTCAAAATAATCTAAAAACAATTGAAATAAATAAAACGACGAGAATGAGAATGTCCAAAAGACACAAAAAGGTGGAAAATTTTTTGTTAAAAATTTAATTAGAAATAAAATTATTTCGGATTAGAAATAATTTAAAAAAGTTTTAGTTTCAGATCACAGAATGACAGAGTTTCCGTGGCAATTCCCGAAGAACGTGGTTCTGCTGATATGTCTATTGGTCGCAGCGATTTGCGGCACCGCGCAAGCCAAGGCAGTCAACACCAACAACAACTCGCCGACTCTCATCGACTACGACAGTAAGTCTCAATATATAAACCCTAAAACGCTCTTATCCAATAAGAAGGAATAAAAATAAGATGAAAAATTTCAAATTTAAAAAAAAAATAAATAAATTTTCTTATATCACCTTAATTTAAAATATTTAATTTGCGTACAAAAATAAGAGTGCAACGAGCTGAAATTCGAACAATCCCTTTTTTGATTAAAACATCTAGCTCAGAAATCAAGGGTACCTTTGACCTTTGCGTGGGCCAGTGAAAATACATAATAATTCATAATTCATCTTGGTTTTTTTTCGCGTGTCATTCGCGAATGGAACTGCGTGTGTGTCCTATGGGAAAATACGACGCGAAGCTTTTAAAGTGCCCTCGCTCAATCATGTTTTCCACCACGGACGAGTCGAATTCGCAGCTAGCTCTGCGAAATTAAATAACGTCTTCTCCTCTTGTACACACCTTAATTTTCGCGTCATTCAGTCAGTTACACTCGCGTGGGCCACAAAAGATTTATGCTTTGCATATACGCGTGATTTTATTATTGCGCCGCACACACGAACGAGGAGCGACAAACTCTCGGCGAAAGCCTTATTAAATTTGGCCGAAATGTGCGCGCGACAAAAGAAAGCGTACAATAAGACCGCAGCCTTGTACATCGTCGGCTGCATTTTATTAAATTGTGTACAAGCAACTCGTTCTCTGCGCCCCCGTAAAGTTGCACTCGCATAAAGTAGCAGGAAAAAACGAGGAGCTGGAAGTCTGAAAGCGGCCCGTTTGTTATTTCCCGGCAAAAATGAATGGACTAATATTGTGCGTTGCGTGCGCGCGGAATTTATATTTATAAACAAGTCGTCATTTTCAACGGGCGTGTGCCGACGAAAGCAAGAGATGCATCTCAATTTCGCGGCGGATTGAGTTTTTTCAAATTTAATGCTATCTCTCTCACTTTTGACGTGGGCGAGAATTTGCATTTATGAAAATAAGAGAGTGCTCTTTGATCCTTGAAAGTAGCAAATGAAATGAAAGAGACTCAACGTGCTTTCCTATGAATATTAAAATTAAATAAAAAAATCTAGAACTAAAAAATGAAATAATTTAAAATTTAAAAAATAAAATTCTAATAGAATTTTCTAATACATAGAAAAAAAGTCTACACTGTTTATTTATTTCAATTCACTCTTAAGTTCTGTTCTTGACAAATTATATATCATTGTGATTAATTTTTTTCCTGTTTTGACCTTTTATTTATTTTCCTTTCAAATACACGGAGCTACTATTTGAAGTTTGTTAAATTTCTTGAATGTTTTTAATTTATTTTCACTTTTTTTCAATTTTTTACAATTTTCAGAAATTTAAGCAAATGAAGTCATTTCATTTTTTTTTAATGACCATTTCCCTGGAAATTAGTAATTTTCTTTATAAAAAAATTTCAAATATTCCTCTATTTTGTTTTATACTCTATGAATAAAGTCACAAATTAAACTTTTTTCAATGACTTTGAGAAAACTCGCATGTATACATAACTACCTCCGCATATGAAATTATACTTATAAAACTTTTTCTTAAATTGTCTCATTATTTAAAGTTACTTTGACAGGAACATTTTTCAACTTAATTTGATAAAATAAAAAAACTCATTTTTAGATGAAAAAAGTTTTACCAGATTAATTAATTGACAATTTTTAACGTTTTCAGCAATTCTGAAGTTGCAAAAACTTCTGATCGAACCGATGAGCGTTGAGGAAGAACCGAAGGACAGGGCGACCCTTCTGAACTCGGAGTTGCTCATCAACCACGAGCTGGTGAGGAAGTCAGCGCCAAACCGCACGCCGTCGCTGCGTCTACGTTTCGGCCGACGTTCCGAGTCACCGATGGTGAGCGGCAGAGCGCCTTTTTCGGCACCTAATCAATTCGCGGCACGTCCGTCTGTCGTTGCAGGGAGTGACCATCAACGAGCAGCTCGAAATGCCAGTGGGTCACTTCAACTGACCGGCAGCGAGACAGACCAAATGAAACGCAGCCCTGTGACCTAGAGACGTTAGACCCCCGAATAAAAATTCCATGTCACCACGCAAAACACTTTCATTTCTTCCTTGACAAAAAATTAATAGAAATAAAAAATAATTGTATTGTTTCGCTTGAATTGCTTGGGACAGTAATTTTGAATTTGAAAGAAATGGAAATAAAAACGACAAATTAGCAATCTGGTTTGCATTTTTGAAATAAAACCCCTCATTTCAAATCATCATTGTTAATATCTCATTTCTCTTTTTAAATTTATTAATAACGTAGGGCGCAATAAATTATCAACATGCAAATGGTTTGATTACAAAAATGAGAACAGCCTAAATTAGTTAAAGCACTATTCGTAAGAGCAATCGAGTGACAAGTAGTAGTGGTGTGTGAGTGGTTGTCGATGTTGGCTCACTTCTTGGAGAGATCTGCGGGGGAGCACTGCGTCTCTCCACCTTTCGCCAGGTGCAGGGGAATGGCAAGATGCGACTTGTGTCCCGAATTTGGACCTGCCGATAAAATAGAAAAATTGGTCAAAACGCGCCATTGGCCAATCGGAACAAGCGAAAGGAAGGGATTGATTCGCGCACGGTGACTCACCTTCGGTTTTGACTGCGAAGAGCATTCCGCTGGGCAACCCTGCGTGAGGCGCCGTGTACATCACTGAAGACGACGGCGGCTGGTAGACTAAGTTTCCATTATGAAAACCGACTGCAAAATAAAATAATTTTTTTTATATATAAACAAAATTGGAGATAATTTTACAAAATATGAAAATAAAGACTCTCATTAAATAAGATTAAAAACATTAATATATATTTTTTTAATTTTAATTCAGAATTAGAAAATTATATTGAATTAAAAATAATATATTTTCCTAATTAAAAAGTCCTATAAATCAAAATATTTTCAGTTAATTGTAAATTCAAATTTTCAAAATTATAACACAAGTTAAGTTTAATTTATATCTTTTCATTTATATCTTCATGTAAAAAAAATTCGTGTAAAAAATATTTTTTAATAACGTAAAACCAATTTCATTTTTTTTTTTAAATATAATTTTAATTTAATTTTCAGTCAAAAGTTAAGAAACTGACCTAAAGGAGCGACTGAACACAGATTTTCAGGCATGTCCTGCTTGCTTGAATGTTTGGCATCCAATTTGCCGAACTTTTCTTCGGCAAGGCGATTGTCAAAGGACTCGGAGTCGCTGTCGGCCGACGAGTCCGAGCCGCTGGCGCATGATTTTGGCGAGTCGAGCTGCAAGCAGAAAAAGCGAGAAATCGATCAGCAATTAAAATCGAAAATGGATCGAGCACGTGCTGCATTAATTAAGCGTGCCGAGAAAAGCAGTTTTGCCCAAACAAGATTTTAGGGCCCAGTTTGGCGAGCGGACGGCCGAGCGCGCCTAAAAAGGCCACCTTCTTCAGCGGCAAGTGGTCTTTCGGGCCCCCTCTCTGACTTGGACTCGCATTCTCGCCTTAAAAGGAAGGCGACCAAGTCCACTGGGAGGGAAACGGCTACGGAGCGGCAGTCGCGATGTGGGCACCGAAGGCGCGACTTCGCACCAGGCACCCCAGGTGAGCCATCTGACACGCAATTGACCCGTTTTCGCCTCAGCCGTCGCGAATTGCGGCCCAAAATTTTCAGATTCATTTCCTTTGTGGAAAAACTCAGGTCCCAATCGGTTTCTGATTTTCAAATTTCTCATATTTGAAATTAAATCATTTCAATTTTTAATTTATTTGCTTTCAATTAAAAATCATTTTTCATTTAACATTGACAAAAAATTAATTGTGCTTTGTTTGGTAGCAAATTGAATTAAATCATCTCTAAAATCGAAAAATTATTTATATTTGATAAAGATATAATATAAAATAATTTTTCTTTATAGTTTTTTAATTGATTTTTATTTTTAAGTAATATCTGAAATTAACAAAATCAGGGAAAACTTTAGAATTTTTTAATTAATGTAAATAATTTTTTGACACCTAGAGATGGTGTAATTCAATTTGCATATTTATCAAAGCACCGGTTGACATGGAAATTCAAATTCAAATTTCCACCTGGCAGAGAAATTTCGGTTGGAAATTCGAATAACGGCAGTCGGTGCGCGTTTCAGTAACAAAGAAAGTTTCCAAGAGCGATTTGGAACAAAAAACATAATAACATGTGCGTTCGCCGGCCGCGCGCAGATGGTCACACTAAGGGTCCGACAAACCGCCCCCGGTTGAGGGTGGCGCCGCCGTTCGCCGCCCCCGGCTCATTTTTGTCGCGACTGAGGCCAATGCGTGCGGAAAATGGAAAATTTCGCAAATCGCGTTCGCAGAAAAACTAAAAGTGTAGCATTTGTTGCGACAGGTGGTCAATAGCCCTGGAGGAGATCTCGGGAGGAGAGGAGGAGGCGGAGGGGAAGAGGATCCCAATGTGACTCACGCGCCGATCTTACAAGCACGTCGAACGCCACCGAGAGCGAACAGGTGAGTTTCTTAATTTAATCCAGCTGTGTTTTTGATTCAAATTTTGACCGATTTGATTTGTGTTTCAGGCAAGAGACGTGGGCGCGTTGCAGAGACTGACCGGCGAGAGAAGACTGATTTTTGTTGTAATCGAGAGAAACTTGTTTTGAAAAGCGCTGTGTTGTTATTTTTGAACAAAACCCAGAATTAAAAAAAAGAAATGAAAAAAAATATATACATTTATAAAAGAAAATGAGATGAAAGAACTGATAATAATCTCGCATCTTAAAATTTTATCCACACAATAAATAAAGTTTATTACTTCTCAATTAAGTCTTAATCTTTTCATCTGGAGGGCATTGCAAAAATCCAGGCACATTTCACACGTTTAAAAGACAGAGAGAGATTTGCATCGGCCGCCTGATTAATATTAAAATGTGTATCGCACAGGAAAAGGGAAGTTCCCGGACGTGTGCGGCGCATCCGAGATTTTCGCCACCCGTTTTGCATTTCCTATCGCAGCCTACGTGCAGGATGTCAATCAAACTTGGTCAGGTTCTTTGACACTGACAATAAAGCAATTAATTGGCGGAGGTGGAGGCGGCGGCCTTTCCATCCGACCGCCGCGCACAGGTGAATTAAAATCCGGCGACTTTCAACGAAAGGATTTCTTTGCAATTTATTTCTCTCTTTTCAGCGACAGCGATCACATGAGCCATCTGCGTTTGTTGTTATTATTATAATAATAATAAAAAAAAATCATTTCTTTCTCTGTCTCTCAAAAGTGTTAATTTCAAGGGTGATTACATATTCTGTTGCGTCTCTTTGGAAGTAAATTTTTATTTACATGCGATAAATCTAATATAATAACTCAAGAAATTATGTATTAAAACAAAAATAATCTGCCTGGCCAGTTCTCTTGCTTGCTAATATTAAAAAGTGTAGTGTTTGCGGTCGGTCGTCTGATTTGAGCACTTCGTATAAAATAATTATTATAATTCAACGGGAAGGAGAGTTCTCATGTATATTAAAATTAATATTGTATCATACAACACAGCGAAGCAGCACATTTAACTATGAACACATTGGTTGAGATTGTAGCAATCGTGGTGTAGAAAAAATAGGGAGATTGGAAGTTCTTTTTTGAACAGAAAACAGCTGGGCGAATAATATTGGTACTTTTTTTCGAATAATTGTGTGGTGATTTAAGCATATCTTAAGGCGTTGCGTGCGAATAAATAATAAAAATAAATAACAAAAACAATGGCCAGATCATAGCCGTGGATCACACGATTACAGAAGAAATTTCAGGGTTTCGGCCCCTCACAAATTATTGCACATCAGCAGACGGACGTCTGTCTTTTTCATTATCCAAGGAATGTGTGTGTGTTTTTTGAGTAAGTTAAAATTAAGTGTATAAAAGAGCTTAAGTTAGAGAGCGGACCTCGCGAGAGCAGACCGCGACTGGACGCGCGCGCCCAACTTGATTCCGAGAAGGCCCTATTTACAATCAAACGAGCGCAAAGGAGCCACTGTGTACAACTCTCAACTAGCTACCGTGGTGCGCGACCATTAAGCGGCACCCTTGACCGGGCGGCCGAGACGTGAAATACGGGACCCACATTTTTGAGCGTGCATAATTTCGCTCACTTCGCAGAGAATCGTTTCGAAAATTAGAAACAAGAAGAAGCAACTGTCACAAGCATGAAAATAATTCACCAGTCTTAAAATGTCTCGTAAAATTATAAGAGTAGAAGTATAAAAAGAAACGTCCGAATAAAAACCAAGGATTTTTTCTACTGCTTCGTATTAATTAAAGTTGCAAAAAACGGGTCAACATTCCGTAGTTGCATTGGACGCAAAAATTTAATTAAAAAAGTTATTAAGTGATTAAGTTGTGAATTATTTTTGTGCCAAATATTCAAGAATAAAATGCTACGTGCAGAAAAGCATGATTTTATGATACATTAAATAGGTGAAATTTGCTTTTACATTTCATTCAAATATCAAAGGAAAAGATTCAAATTCATTCTTTAATAATTAATATCAATGGTTTGTAGTTTCAAATATCAAATCCAGTTAAAATCAACACAAAATTGATTATCAAAGATGAATATGCATGGCTATTATTTAAAATCGTGAAAAATGCTTGCGAAGAAAGAAAAAGAATAATGATTATTGAATTACTTGTTCAAAAAAATTTATAAGCAAAAATTTGCAAGATCATTAAATTAATTAATTTCATGTTTTTAACAAACAAGCATAAAGAGCAAAATTAGAGAATTATTTTTCATTAATTAGATACTTAATATCATAATTATTTAACTTTGCTTGGATTGGCAATCAGTCTTTACGATCATCATAAATGTCCTCAAACAAAAACAAAGGTCAATGCAAATTTCAACATTTTCCGAACCGATTCTCTATAAAGTAAATCCAAACCAAAATCAAACACCGCATGCAAACGCAATCAAAAAAGGGCAACCGAAGTTCACAGCGGCCGCCAGGGTGGGATTCAAGCGTTACTGGGGCCCTCCCAGGTTGTACTGGTGGTGGCCCGAGTGGCCCTGCTGTGGACTTTGGTGTGACATGTGATGGTGGTACTGACTCGCGCCGCTCTGCATGCTCTGCAGCTGCAGTTGCGAGTCGAGCAGCAGCTGCTGCGCGTGCGAGTGGCTCTGGTACTGCGACTCGTGCAACTGGTAATTGCTAAGTAACTGCTGCTGCCTTACTTTTTCCCCGTCCTCGATGTGGTAGCTCAGCTCGGTCTCCTCGAAGCCGGTGGCTGACATGCGTTGGTCGCCACCAGTGGTGGCCGCCGCCTGAGGAACTGGCTGAGACGCGTCCGGCGAGTTAAGGCACGTCTGAATCAGCGCTTTGCCAGCCTCAGAAGTGATCATCGGCTGCAGCTTACGCGTTGCGAACGTGTACACATGACCCGTTTCGCTCGCCACCAGCAACATCACCTGTGTGCCCGTCAGAGTGGACAACTCGTAGGCCTGCAAATTTAGAATATTTGTTTGAAAAATTTATTTAATTTGAAGTTATGTTCAAATGGATGGAGTTATTTATTGAAGTTTTCATTTAATTTCAGTTAATTTTTGAAAAATATTATGAACTAGCAATCAAAAATTAAATTGATCAAAAAAAGGCTCCATTCAAGGTTGAATTTATTTAAAACAAATAAATCATCTGGGATTTCCAATCTTCAAATCATTTGAGGATCTAATTAGAATCAGGATCAGAAAATATTCAGAAAAATCCAGACAAATTAAAGTTCACTGTCTAATTAACAGAAGACAAATTGAATATTAAAGATATTTTAAGCAATATAGAAGACGGTTGATGGAAATTGAAAGCAATAAAAATAAATTGAGTTGAATTTTTAAAGTGACGTTTACTTCCGATCAATGCTTTATTTGTTTATTCTTTGGAGATTTTTTTTCCTATAAGTAAATTTCTAAAATGTTTCAGGGGAAAGAAAAAAAACTAATAAAACATAGAATCTACAAACCTTTTTCATGATGCCGGTTTTTCTTTTAGAAAACGTTGTGTACCGCCGCAGCTTATTGTCAATGTACTCCATCTTAATCTTGACCCTGCCCTTGGTCTTCTTTCCATTTGGGGGTGGCCCAGAACTGCTGGACAATGCTCGGGGCGTCGAGGTTGATGGCTGCGTGTACGTGGCCGGCTCCTCCAACGAGTCCGACTCGGACGCCTCGAAACCTTCGTATTGAGAGGCTGTGGTGAGTGATTGGAGAATTTTACAAATTCTTTGGTTAATATCGGACGGGGAGTCATACCTTCGAGGTGGCGTTTCCTGCTGCCCATTTGCTGGGACTCGTGGTAAATGTCCGAGGTGCCGCTGGGCAACATGTTGCATTGGCTGTAGTTGAGAAAACTGCGAGGACTAGTGCTGCTACTTTCAGAATGATTCATGGTCTAATCTAATCGCGTGCAAATCACCAGTCTTGCTCATGTTGCTTGCAATCCTGCGGAAAAGAGAGATGCGTCGTGGTTATTGGGCGAAAACGCTGGAAATTGACAAAAGTGCGTGAAATTTTAAGAACGACGGTGTATCATTAAATAGAAAAATCGTGAGAGGCCGAAAGAGAAATGGCCCATTAGAGAGCGCCGTTCCCTGTTATTATCTAATCACCATGCATTGCTCCAAGGTTACACCCCCCTGGTGCTCTCAAACAAAAGCCGTTTGGCTGCGATTCGGCCCTAATTTCGGCATGACCTCGGGCGAAAGGCCGGTTTCGCGCGCCTAGGGTGTCCCGGCGTTTGAATCTGGCAGAAAAACGGCGTGATGAGTGCGAGGTCAACGTTGGAAAATCCACGTGTAGGCAGGCAGGGGACATTCGCATCCGAGCTAGAGAGTTGCACTTACTGGAGATTATGTATGATGCAGGTCGCAGGCGGGCAGTCTTTTCTTGTTATCAGCCTCGGGGTCACTGCCGGAGAACACTGGTGGCGGCTGCGTGCATACTTAACGATCAAACTGGTCGCTTGTCAACACCGTACCACATTGGAAACGGCGGCGATTGCTGACTAATTTGCTTAGCCTAATGGTGCGCCTGGCAGCAGCCGCGGCGGAGGTAAGCGATCGCCAATCCTTCCTCCGTCCTCCGCGCACGCCAAGTAGTTCCGTGCCGCGCGCCGCGATTCTGACTGAAAGTGCGCCCGCCGAATTTTCCCGGCAAACTTTCCCGAACCGAGACCCTGTTTCCAGCCCTACGATTTTTGAATCTTGACGCGTTACCCCGCACCCGGTGACCGCGCACTTTACTATTTTTAAGCCGCGTAGTAATTGTAAAAGAGATCGACATGTCCATATTTAGCTCTCCCTCCCTAAAAGGTATCCATATCTTTATATGGGCATGCAAGAAGACCCCTCTCCAGAAATATATTTTATATTATGTATACACACACGCATTGTTCAAATTTGAGTCGAGGCGGTCCTTTGATTCGCACTTTATCTGGACAAAATGCCGTAAATACTTGTTTTTGTCTTTTTGCTCCGCAGAAAACACAAACAAACCACTCCGAGAAACCCTTCGTCTGCTACTCTACTTTTTGCACGTGCTTGTTTATATGTTTCTCTCTTCACAGTGACTTGAATACATTTTTATCATTGTATTCAAATTCGATTAGATTTGAACAAAAATAGTTTGTTTATGAAGGAAAATTGGCAGCACTTGGTGTTGTTAAAAATAACGAGCCATGTTTCTTCGAAAAAAGGCGAAATGTAGAAATTTCTGCTAATTGAGAGAAAAATATTTTGCGGATTTTATAATTCCTATGAAGTAATGAAGCATTAAAAGCTCTAAAAATGATGATAATTTTGCTTCGTGCCAGTTATCTTAAATCGCACATTATAACTATTTTTTTGCATACATTTTTCCCCTCATATTTCATAAAACACGGAGCTCATGAATTTTTACGACTCTCGTTGCGTGTACAGACACAAAGTTCAACTAGCTGTCGAAAGAGGCGAATTAAAGCTAATGGTCAAACGAAAAACATCCGACGGATTAATTACACCCCGCTTGCATTTATTATGCGCGCGGCTGCGGCGAGTTTAATTTAATGCGTGCGGCGGCTATTTCGTACAAATATATAATGCGCGCCGAAAAAGGCAAAAGTCAGAGAAGGAATAATTAATTTGTATTCCGTAAAGTCGAAAGTTGTCACTCAATGTAACAGTGCCCAAATTAAGTATGGTCATTGCGTCAAAAAAGCAAGCGTACAAACAGTACGTGCAAGAATTCTCTCGCGGGGTCAGTATAGCGCGCGCGGCGGTGGTCACTTTCTAGACAAACTTCTTTAATCTCCGACGCATGATTTGTATTCTTAATCCACGCGGGATCTCTGTTCTAGTTACTCTCCGCTAATTAATTCAAATTAAGCAAAAAATCGCTGGCTGACCTGCACGTTTTAGAAAACACACAATCGAGATCTGCTGGAGAGAAATTAAAAGAGGCTGCCGCTCTTGATCTACAATGCTCACCTCGCCACGACTATACTGTCCACCACTCGACTACAATGGAAATTATTTTCGTCTCATTAAAATGCATTCTCTCGATTACGACAGCAAATTAATTGCCCGTTTGATTCTGGCCGCCGCACCTGACCGGCCGGGCCGGCCTAGGCGTTTTCCAAGTTTATTCATTCATAACTACATTTCGCGCATTTCCATGTATGAGAAGTGGCGGAGGTTCCGAAGTGTCCCAATATGGTCCTTCCGAATGCATGCCTGAGCAACAAGTACCTGTTTCGCGCGCGCGGCCGCCTCGAATATAAAGATTGGCGAACACAAACTTGCTCGCGCTCCAGACCTATTAATTGACCGAGTGCCGCCTTGTGTAAATTCGCCAAATTTGTTCAATCTTTGTTTACGGTTGGGTCTGGTTGAAAAAAAAAGTTTTTAGATCTAATCAGAGGCTATAAGAGGGGAAAAAAATCAAGAAAGTAAGCTATATAAAAAAGCTGTTTTCTGTTAGAATAAAAAAAAAACACTCTTTAACCAATATTTTTTCTAACTTGAATTTTCGCTTTCAAGATGGAAAATATTTATTAAAAAAAAACCTAATTTATAATTTATTTTTAATTTTAATAGTTATCTGGAAAATCAATAAATCTATATTCTCTCACAATAAGTCATACAATAAAAGAAATTGAAAATAGTTAAAGATCAGATAAGATTTTTTTATGAAATAAAATAATTGGGTTTGTCCCCAATAATTTTTTTTTAAAATATACAAAAATTTAAATCAATGAAGGTTGTTCACATGCTGAATTTGCACCAGAAAATTCATAAGCACGTGAATGTATCCCATTTTTCTCTAACAAAGACCTAGATCATCTTCTATCAATTCCACACTTTTTCTTAATTTTTTACATACTTCTTTTGTTCAGCTAAAATAATCTTAAAAGAAAATATCAATTTAATAATTATTCTATTATTTTCACACTTGACTTTTGATACTGCTAAAAAAGTAAAAAGATCTCACAGGAATATAAAAATTGGAAAATATTGACCTTGCGATTGTTTTTTTCGATAGTGACGGACCTCTTTTTGATGTTGGACGTTTTAGCAGACCTCTGCTAGTAGTGATACCATTTCTGCTCAATTTTTTCCAATTCAATTTTTTTCATGTACGACTTGAGTAGAATAAACAATAATAATCAGTGATCTATTAATTACTCTAACAAATGTAATCTTGCCATTAATTTTGAAGTGTTCATGTGTTATATTTTAAGAGTAAAAAATAATAACTTCTTTTTTCCTTTTTTATCAATTCACACGTAGATTGCATTTCCTTCCAATTAGTGGTGTTTGCAGACGGTTAGGACTCTTGTGTTTGAAGCTGTTGTAAAAGGGAGGTGTCAAGAACATCGCGTACAATTTATGCAACCGACGAAAGAGCAACCACCTTCCGGTCTCCTTACATTATACAGTAATCTGCGGATAGAATCGCCAAGTCTACGACCTGTGTCGTCTGCGAACATTTTTTTTCTATTCATGGCATTAACTTTAAAAATATCAAGGAGTTTTCAATAAAAGTTTCATTTTTATTTTTTAAATTGAGGGTTATGCTATTTATTCTTCGTTTACCTTAAAAAAAGTTACAATTTTTATACTCAGCCTGTCATTGATAGTATTTAAAAATAGCTCATTCAAGCTTTTGTAATTTTACCACTAACGTAAACAAATGCGAACTCAACATTGCTCTCATATTCTTTCATAATGGAGCTCCACTGGGTGTGTGTATGCGTGTCTATCGTACAGTAATTTTCTCCTGAAACACTTTTTTAAAGTTAAGCCTCGCAAAATTTTGAAACACTCAACTGAGTCGGAACTGACAAGTAGTGTGATTTTTAACATTACTTTTCTTTACACTTACGCCAAAGTAAAATTAAATGTATAATGGGGAGTGGACTATGTATTTAAATCGCGCGATTGTTAGTCAAATTCTTTATAATATTTAACATGTTTCACGAAAGTAGGATTCAAGGGTGGAGGGTCACTCTTGCGCACTGGCAAGGGCCCTCGAGTCTCTTTTTTATGATTTTGCTTTAAAGTTTACAAACACAACGACTAATAACAGGGGATTGGTATGACCTTATCTGTACAAAATTCAACTTGATGCACAATTTTACAAGTAACCCTTTATCTATAGACGTTTTTTTATGTAAATTTGTGGGCTTGGTTTGCTACATCAATGTCTTTAGTCAAGTACTTGCCTTGTTTCAAGAGCTACTAAAACTCATGCTTTGAGACAACAAAAGTCGCAAATCTACAAATAATCCGATGAAATCTGCTGCCTTGTAAACACTCCACCGATCTTGTTCGATTCTCATCGGCAAACCAATTGGAAAATGCGCCGTTCATTGACATTTAAGGCACATTGCGCTCGCGGGTGGGAAATTTAGAAAATAGATAGCAACCAGTCTGTGGCCCCAGAAATCCAGACAAAAACCCAGCTACATTAACGCGTTGAAAGAGATAAACTGATTTGGTGCAGCAACTGCTGGCCGTTCAGATAATACAAGCATTGTTTGTCTGTGATGGCTGAAAAACGTGGACCTTGCAAAATCTGTGTGCATCTGCTTGTGAGAATTTTCAAATTAACTTTTGTACCAAGTTGTGTCCAACAGAGCCAAGTTTATGTCTATGCATGGGAATGAAGTTGTACTTAAATATAATTCTAGAGTTGATGCAAAACGATCTGATTTATGAAGAGTCCTCCAACTTTCTTTTCTTTCCCCGACCTGAAACAAAACCAAAATTATCACCAATTGCAGTTTAGTGCTAATTTGAGCTGAAATTACCCTCACTGTCGGGAAGGGCTCCGTTGCTGGTGTCCTGAGTTGAATCCCCTTTGCCTTTGCTGGCTTTCTCCTCTTCGTCATCCTCACTTGATTCAATATCATCGTCAACATCAGCACTGCTCTCCAACTTGCTGTCCCCATTCCACTCTTCATCATTGCTCTCTTCCTCCTAAATAAAGATATTAGAAAAAACTTGCACAATTCCTAATTACAATCATACATCAAGGTTTGATTTGTAAAGGTCGGCAAGCTTAGCGCCTTCCTCCTCCTCATCATCGACGTCTTCATCTTCGTCGTCCAAGTCATCCAGCGAGTCATCCTCATCTGCACCTCCCGAGCCAGAGACATCATCGTCCTGATCGGAATCATCATCCTCTGCAGATTTTTGATCTATTAAAGCACATGCGTTGAAGAAGGAAATATGCAATGACTACCATCTTCGGCATCAACGTCAGAGTCTGATTCGTCCTTCTTGCCATTGATCCCGTCATCATCGTCAGCCTCACTCTCCTCAGCCTCGCGGTCATCCAAGTCGAAGCCATCAAGGTACTTCAGGTTGGGCAACAGATTGAAAACCTTCTCTTTGTAGTTCTCAATTGTGGTCGCCTCATTGTTGAACAAATCCAAACTTCTCAGGTTCAAGAAGGCCTTCTGCAATATGACAGGTTATTAAATTTTTTTTTCTAAAAATCAAAGAGAATAGAAGATAAGACTTTACATTACATCACTAATACTGATAGTAATTAATAATAATTAAATTGTGATTCGTACCAAGGCATCAAGTGCCTCCAGATCTTTGATTTTGTTCCCACTGAGGTTGAGATGAGTAAGGCTGGGGCACCCCTGCAAGAAGTTGAGACCACCAGATATTCTGTTGTCGCTCAGCTCCAGCTAAAATAGAAACAAGCTCTCATTAAAAATTAATAATTAAACATATTTTGAAAATTTGTAGTAAAATAAAATAAATCTTAGAAGAACGAGATTATCATAGATGAAAACTATTACTCTAGACAAAAAAGTGATTGAGATTTATTTATTCAAACAAATTTAAGGTCAAAAGCAATCAGCTAATGGACGATGCGAAGATAAGAAGGCAGGCAGGGAAAAGTAGAAAAATGACGCAAGCAAGTCGTCTCACCCTCTTGAGTTTGGCAAGCTTGGGGAAGCCTTTGAGGCTAGTTAGCCCGACATTGATGAGGCTGAGCTTCTCGAGCGTGCAGAACTCGTCAGTGAGACCCTCGATGCTGGTGCTCCTGCAGTTGTCCAGGTTCAACTCGGTGATCTGGGAAACGGCACGGGGTGCAGGGTGAAAAATATGTATTGGCACACCACAATCAGCGTTGTGGCGAGTAATAGCGCGCGCTTTGTTACCTGGTCTGCGGACCTTCCACGTTTCTCGAGATCTATCCTCTTTTCCATCTTAGCGCCCGGCCCAAATCACTTTCCTAACGCACCGACTGCTGCAGCGAATTCGCAATCCACGAACAAAACAAAAAGCAACGCACTTTTTAACTGGGGCTACATGGAAACATGCGACACCGCGAGCGAGTCTCTTCTTCTTTTTCACGAAGCGCCGACTTGCTGGTTGCTTTCAATGGTTGTTGTAGGGAAATGGGTTTGGCCCAGCGCGAGGCGCGACTCCTCTCCTCGTACCTGGCGGCAACCCGCCACTTTCCATTGTTGCAACAATCAGGCGGCCTCCCCACTTCCGGCCTGGCCGAGCGCTGACGTTATCCTCTGATTGACTCGCGTCCTCGACGCAAGGAGGTTTTTTGTTTTTTTCGCTGAAAATCTTATTGACGTATAAGCCATGAAAGCCAAATGCGCCACCCGCTTTTAAGCCACCTTTTCAGCCGAACCGCGCTATTTCCGCCGATGGATTCGCCACCGCGACTCGGGTAAGACAATGGCCTGTCACACTGCATGTCATTTCGGCGCCGACCGGCTGCCGTTGGTCATTTATCGCGCTTTTTCCAGCGTTTGCGGGCATGTAATTACGGTTGGTGTGTGTGTGTTTACATCAGGAGCTGCAAGGAGGTTGCAAGCGGCGGGTTGTCTTCGTGGGTTCGGCTTTCCCCGTAGAAATAAGCACACAACTGGACAGGAAAGGGAATCAACAAGTATAACATTTAGTTTGGCAATTATTATGTGTGCTGTGTGCTATGTTGCGTTTAGAAACGGTGAAAGTTACTTTTAAATTTTCCAATTTTCTTATTATCTATTAATTTCATGAAATTATTTTCAAAATACAAAATTAGGTTGATTTGCCAAAATTATTTTGATTATTTTTTCACGTGCAATATGGAATTTTTAAGTTTGCGAATATTAAAATCTTATCATATATTTTGCTTTTTCTTTGCAGTTTCGAGGAAGGACACTCGCGTGAGGAGCGATGTCTGGTGACTCGTCAGTGCATTTAGTTCGACTGAAGGACACAAAAAGGAGGCAAGTAAAATTAATTTCCATTGTAATCAAATTTTGAATTGGTCAATTCTTCCTTTGTTCGCCAGGACGGCTGCTATGTACAGGGACGTGAGGTACTCGCAGCTGGCCGATGACGACGACAGCGACGAACAAGAAATTTTGACACATAGCAGGAAGCAGCCGCAAGAGGAAAATGTTTTTATCAGAACCATCCAGCCCGATGACACTTTGCAGTCAATTGCCCTCCAGTATTACGTCCCAGTACGTTTGGCAAAACAAAGATCAAAATTTATTCAGAAGACATAGCAGTGCTAACAGCTTATGCAAATAAGTTAGGCAGTGACACATTTTCTTCATTGACATTCTGGTTAAATTTCAGGTATCCGAGCTCAAGAGAATAAACAACATTATCCGAGACAATGAAATTCACGCCCGAACCACCCTGAAAATTCCTCGTCGACCTATCACCAGTCTCGTCGATCTGACACCCGAAACTCCCAGTCCAGCCCCTCAACCTGAGTCTGAGCTGGTCAAGCTTAGAATCGGCTCTGGCTGCAACCCGACTGATTTTTTGGCGGCCATGGACCGTGACCTGGCCAAAATTCGCGCGGCCGTGCCCCAAGTTGAGTCAGCAGCGCCTCCATCTGAGATTATGTTCAATGCAACACCACCAAGTAACTTGATTAATTCGTGCAGCGGTTCAGACTGGGGTCTACGGTGGCAGCACATTTTAATGTTCTCACTTGTGTTCACCCTTTCGCTGCCACTCTTCATCTGGTACAACCAGCACCATTCCGCCGCTGGGGCGAGTAAAGCTTCCTGACAGTGCCTTTTAAACTGTGTGCTGTTGTTTCTCAATTACAAACTTCAAATGTGATACAAAAAACTTGTTACTGATTTTTATACTGAGCGAGATTGATTACTGACATGATAGTTTGCTTGAATAGTTTAAAAATAATAATCAGCATTTGACACTGCGAATAAATTGTTTTATTTCACAAAAAGCGACATGATCCTATGTTCAAACATCAAATAAATGGTAAAGTATAGTTTTAAAAATTATGCTGGAAGTGAACAAGAAAATCGAATTGTTCCAAACGCTGGGAAGAAGTTAATTGTCGGGTTACAGCTTGTAGATGGCCACGGTTTAGAACTTGCGGTCGGAATTTTCCCGAACACTGAAAGCAAAATCCTAAATTAGACAAATTCCTCTCAGTTTTAAATTCTGTAAACATGTATGACATTATATTTTAGAAAATTCTTGAGCAAGAGTCAAGTCGTTGGAAGGTCCTGAGACAACATGCCGGAAGCCGAGAAGCAAGCAAGTTATGCAGTGGGAAGATCAATGATTTTTTGTTTCTAGAAAATCAGAACAACAAAATCACTAGTCTTCCACACCGGCAAAACTCTGGTTAGTTTGTCAGTCGGTCGAGTGAGTGAGCAAGCGCGGTGAACTCACCAGGCCTGAAGCAGCACTTGGCATGCCAAGAGAAAGTGAGGCTGTCGTCAGTTGCAGAAAGATTATAATTCGTATTATTATGCACAAGCACCCCAAGAGCATTTTTTTTCCTCACAAGTTAGTTCAAGCATCACTTTTTTCCACAGAAATTCATCACAACCAACAATTTTTCATTTACAGTAAATTATATATTTTTTTTTGTACAAACATTTTTCCACGAGTATTTCACAAATTTCCAACAAGAATGTTAATTTTGTTAAAACCAGAAAAGCAAGCAATTCAAAGCGTGCAAGTTACCTTTGCTGTAGCAAATATTGTGCCATCTGAATCTGGGCATCGCTGCCAGTGATGGTGATGACTCGGTCATTAGAGTTGGCCAGCGGCTCATCTATGGTGATGCCAGCACCGGACTCGGATCGTATCTTGCGAATGCGAGCACCGCCTTTTCCAATAATGGCTCCAGCCAACTAAAATAAAGAAATAATCTTCAAGAATTGTAACAAAATTGGAGAAATAATATCAATATTTTAGTTCTGAAAATGATTTTTATAATTAAAGTAAGAAATTATCACTTTTAGTTGAACTAGCAACTATTGCCATATTATTTGATATTTAATTTTTCCCCAGAAACCTACATCTTTAGGAATGGTGACTTGAGTTTGGGTCTTTGGGCCCTGCTGGGGTCCACCTGAGTTCATGGTATCTTCAGTCCAGTCGTTCTGGACATTTCCACCACCGCCGCCGCCTCCACCACCACCGCCGCCTCCTCCAAAGTTGCGCGCACCTCCGCCGCCACCACCTCCGTAGCCACCCCTATTCGGGGGCATGTTGCGACCCGGAGGACCTCCGTAGCCAAATCCATCAGGACTGTGCGGAACCTGATGTTAGAAAAGACATGAGGATTTTTTTGTTCAAGCACTCACGGCATTCCTCTCATGGCACTGCGTCCGATGGGAGGACCTACCATATTTGGTCCGAAGCGGGCACCACCTCTGCCCAAGGGCGGGGGTCCGGCCATGCCTCCAGGACCCCCACGCATGTTGGGAGCGCCTCGCATGCCACCAGGCTTGGCGCTCGGGTCACCGAAGCCGCCATACTCTCCAGCGTAGAACTCATCAAAGTTATGGGGATCGTAAGGGTTGTTCAACCCTTTGACTGGAGACTGAAACAATGGAAATGGAAGCAAAGAAATTAGACAAGTTATGTCAAATTTGATGAAAAGCTAGATTTGCAAATTACTTAAAATAAAAGGATTAAATTAAATGATTCTTTGGTTCTTTTATTAAATTCACTAAAAGCCACTTTAAAAAGCAGGTCAGTATTTAAAAAGCTTTTGCTTCAACTCACCGTGCGCACCAGAGCAATGATTTCCTTCAGACACTCAAGACACACTTGAGGTCTGCCTTGGATTTGAACAATGCGATCTGAGCTCTGAGGACAGCAGTCGCTGTAAATGCGGATTCTGGCACCAGATCTCTCACGGAGTTCTTTGATTTTCAAGCCTGACTTGCCGATGATGCAGCCTGCCTGGCTTTGGTGCACCAAAATACGAATGTCTACATCCTCGGAACGGGCACCTCCCTGGTTACGTGGTTGCTGAAAAAACAGCAATGATTTTAACTCTTTGAACAATTATCCTATACACAAAGCAATGAAAAAGATGCAAAATTAAAAGTTTGTTCAGTTGGAACGTGGTGTTTATCATCAAGAAGCAGAGTGAGCTAGGGTATGGGTTCATCATGACAAACTAATCACAAAAGAACTAAGAACACAATAAATATTACCTCTTCAAGACATGGAATCACCTCCTTAATTATTTCAAGGGCAGTGTCGGGATTTGCGACAACGGTCAGAATCCTGTTGGAGAACAACACATGTTACTAAAAGGCAAGAGCAAGGCGTTCAGGTTTGGAGTCGGCCTCAAAATAACAGATATATTTCAAAGTGGATAAACCTTTCACAAAAATGGCGTAGTTTTGCGCAAAATAGTCAGCATCGTGATTCGTAATCGTCGTTGAAATGGAATGAAACAGGGCGTTTTGTAAAAGGTCTATGTCAAAAGCAGTCATTTGCCGGAATGATTTTTGTTACCAATTTAGAGGGCATTCGGGCCAAATATGTTGATGATTAATTTAATTAAATAAAAATAAAAAGGGGAACAACTGAATCATAAAGTAATTATAATTTTTTGTTCTAATAGAGGGGCTAAATAACCACAATAGAGTATTAAAAAAAAATTGAAGTCGACCACTGCGTGTATACTGTGTGTGGCAAAATTACAATAATTTCCAAACGGTGCTGCAACGGAATTTTCAAACCATATCACAAAGACTGATCTTTGATCAAAAAGCCACGGCAAACAAACGTGAGCGTGTGTTAGTGAGTGAATAAGAGGCAGCTGTTGCACATTTGGAGTCAGGTGTTCCCCCCGGAAAAAGTAAAAAAAAAAGTAGTAAGGTCTGGCGCGGCACCCCAGGTAAAATAGGGGGCAACAGCTGTCGCTTCGACCGCACACATGGGCAGCTTGGCGAGAGCTCGAGCCTCCAGCAGGGGTGGGTGGGGTGCTCCGAGAAGGAAACACGCCACTCGCCAAGGAGGAGGGAGGACAGTCGACAGAAAGAGAGGAAAAAATAATAAAATAATGAGGAGAAATTACGTAACAGTGTCCAGACACGAAAGGAAAAAATAAGGGAGGACGCACGGAATCAAGAGGAAAAAAGAGCATCATCAACACATATGTATAAAAAATGGAATGTAATAGAGATTGCTTGACTTGAACGAGACAAATAGAGAGAGATAACCAATCAATCAATCAAATAGTCTAAGTAGAATGTTTCCTTTGATGAATTACCGTTCTGGGCCGGGACAATCTGGGACTGTAACCGAGGCTTTGTACTGTTGGAGGTCGTCATGGGCCAGCACAGGTGGGCACGGGGCGTTTCGAGGCCGATCAGGTCACATACAGGGGTGGTCAGGAGGGTCAGCACCATTCGTTGTTGAGGCGGGGCACAGGCAAATGTAAAGGGGGGCAAAAACATGTTAACACAAAAACCCATCTTTCTCTTCTGCTTACTTTTTACTTTTTAAGCACACGTGTTTCACTGAATATTTTTGAAGAAATTCAACTAAATCTGATTGCACGTGATTTCATAAGATACTACTGAGAGATGCATAATCAAGAGAGTGACTTTCCGATGGCGGGCAGTCAAATTTTGAACAGGAGGATTTGGGTTCGCACCCCACGACAGAGCGCGTATTTACACGATAGAGAGATAGAGCATGAAAAAAATTTGTTTCGCAAACTCATCGTCTTACCTCAGTGCGCAGCTTAGTTATGTTATGACCACCTTTGCCGATCACAGAGCCTGCAGCCTGCAACAAACGTCTCAAAAGTGTGAACCCTTTCTTTGGTGAGCTCTTACCTTGCTGGGGATGAGAAGACGGACGTCAATGTCATCTCCGGAGCGGGTCCTTTTCGTCGACGGGCCCATTTCTGCATCCGCCTCGCGCTTCATGCCTGCGAACAAAACGAGTCAGAATTTTATAAAAAAAACCGTTTGGAAATTTGGGGAGATTTACTCGAAATCCGAAGAGAGGAGTTGCTCGCGCCGACCGACCGCCTGACTAGAGCGAGAAGGGCTGCGAGCGGAACGCCATGTTCTGTCAAAGGGGCGCGGGGCGTGTGCGCTGGCGCCAAAAATATTGATCGGACGGCGCGAGCGAGTGCCACCTCCCTGCCTTCGGCCGTAATAGCATCTTGATTGTGCCACTGACACGACTGACTGACTGACGAACTTTCTTTCTTTCCGTCTAGTTAGAAAATAATTCAGAAACAACGAGCGGCGGGGCCGCCTCCACCCCCCTCTGTAAAAATAGCTCCGGCTGCAAAATGGCCAGGTGCGGCAAAACCGTCACTAATTTGTTTGCTTCCACGCAACGAAATTGTGTTAGGAAAAAGACGCAGGAGTCTTCCCGAGTTTTTATTTTCTTGACCGCAGGGATTCAAATTTTTTTTGCTCCCTATCTTTCTCCTTTTCTCCACCTTGGGTCTTATTGAGCCAAATATAAATGTCTGGCCAGACAGGCCGTTCTTGTGGCGGAAGACATTCGTAATAATTAATTATTCGTGCAGAGTGAAACGAAAACTGACACGAGTGCCGGCGCGAACTTCAAAAGCGGCAGAGATGTTTTTTTTCCGGAACACGAGTTAGAGTTAAAATAACATTAAACAGAAATATAAGCGTCCCAATTTGATATGATGACTCGGAAAGCGAGCTTTTTAGAGGCGAAAAACGACGACTTTTGGAAGGGTCGAGTTTCATGAGATAAAAAAACTCATATTATCTACAAATTACACAAAGTTATCATCAAAGCAACTATTTAATAATAATATTTTTTAAAAGAGGTAATTTAATGTGACAGTAGAAAGAAAAAATATTTAAAATTACTGAATTAATAGCATTGTAATGTTATATGAATTAAAAAGAGAAAAATTAAATCATGATACAATGAAATATATAATTATTAAATCCCACAAAATTAATAGTTAAGATAATAAGAAAATCTAACCTGTTAAAAAAATTACTAGAAACTAACTAGGCTTAAAAAAACCAATACAATCCTTTTTGATATTGAATTATAATAAACGTAGAAACGTTTCAAATGTATCATCAGAACTTGAGCTAACTTTTGTCTAACTTATATAGGAGTTTTGAGTCGGAGGAACAGACCTGAGCGTGGCTGCTGCGGTGGCGACCTGCCTGCGAGAGAGACGTTTGCCTCGCGGCTCGGGTCTCGCCTCACGAATGTTTACACCGGCGTTGCCTGGCAGCGGGGTCTGCACGACACCCCCGTCCGAGTGGGGTGCTGGGTTGCACAAGTCACGAATACCCTTTGCGTTCCACCCCACGCGCCTTTATGGCACCGGTGCCGCCGTGCGCGTTCAAGGAAACTACACGTACGTGTGCACTTACATTATAAAAAAGAACAAAATAAAAACGATAGAACCAACTTCTGTGAAATAAACAAGTGAGGGTTGGTGGGCGGCGAGGCGAGGCAAACGTCGGCAGCAGCAAAGAACACTGGCACCGATAATTAAATATTGCCACCCTCTCGCTAGCTCCGTTGCCCTACAGTCCTGCATAATTGACAGCTGCGAGTTGAGCGTCTGTTCAACGGCAAACACGACGATGAAAGCGAAAAGGGAAGCCAATATTTATTGCTAGACAAAAGATGAAATTACAGAAAAATCAATTAAATCAAAAGTTTTTTTAAGCTTTTACTGAAAAAAGTTTTTGCTATTTATTTTGTCATTAAAGTTTTCATGTTAGTTAATTATTCTTAATGGAATGGCAATTTCTTTTATGAAGATGTTATCTTAAAAAAATTTGTAACAAAACATTCATTTTTTCGTAAAAAGATAATGTTACCAGGTAAAAAAACTAGTTTTACCTTAATTTGCAATAAAGTAAAAACGGAGGAAAAATAATTTAATTTTTTCACATTTTAATGAATTAAAAGGATTATTCATTTAAATTGTTGTAAATTTTAAAATTTTGATGCCAAATAACTCAATTTAATTAGATATTTTCGTAAAGTTCTCTTTTTTAAATTGCTGAATTTTTTTTAATCATTCTCCCAGAATTTTGTTGAAAGATGAAATTGAAACGTGATTAGATACGGCGCGTGCATCCAAAACTGTCAACCGCTCGTCATATTCCATTATACCCTCCGCTGGTTGGTTAAACAACTGCAATTATCTTAATTATAAATTCACCTCTTTTTAACAATCCGTCAAAAAGGAATAACTTTCGATTATTTTTATGCTCTTTAAGATTAAAAAAGGGGCCAATTCGTCCGTCGACAGGCAAATGAGACACGGAAGGCGTTTCCAAAGAAAAAGGACGCGTGTCACGAACGTCGAATTGAGAGGAAGAGGCCGCGAATCGATGCGAGCGCGACACACAAATGTCAAGAGTTGGTTATCAAATTTTGATCCAAAGTTCAATCAGTCGGCAAAATCTACTTTTCTGACATTTGCGGGGCCGTTTGCCTTGGGGTCGTGTGGCGAGCGGGGGCGTAAATAGCACGCACGGTATATATGTCACATCCGCTTCTGTCGCGAAATTTCCAATTAAAATTAAGTTTTTCAGCAACACGAGAGAGCGGAAATTGACACTAAAACAATAGGAACAACTGACAAGCGAATGAAAAGTTGCTTGCAAAGCATAAAATTAAAAAAATAAGCGCCATATGATAAATACACCGAGTTGAAATAATCAGCAGCTTATCAAGATGTCTTGTTTTTGACTTGCTGATATCTGCAATAAATTATAATATTAACTGAATATTTACAGATATGTATGAAAATAATAGACTTTGGAATCTAGTACTTTGAAATAATTCAGCTAAATTAAAAGTATATTTTACAACATATTATTCTTAAGCTCTTTTCAAGTAAAGTTGTTTTTAAAATTTGCTTAAAATTAATAAAGGTTTTTAAACGAAAAATACAGGAAATTTATGGAAGTCAAGAGATCAGAAAAATTGGATAATATATTAAAAAACAAACGTCTCTGTCAGTTAGAAAATAAGCAAATTTAGAAATAATATTTTAACTATTTCTAGTCAAATTCTTAAATTCACTTTAAAAAATCATTTTTAAGAGCCAATAGTAAAATTTTGGTGAAAAATGAAGAGCAACATGCGCTAGAATGAATTGAAAATATGTATATTTGATCATTTCTTAGCTTATGAGTTCACATATTTTGGAAATTTAGTTTGCTTTGTTTCAAAAATATTGTCTGTTATAATAAGGCTTACGTTTCTCTAATGGTTTTAATTTCTCATAGAAGTATCAAGACGTGCTTAAATGATAATTTGGAACGTTTTTAAGTTAATTTTCCATTTATACTTGTCTTGTTGCATTTTAATTTAAAATCAATAGCATAATTGGAAACAATGTTGTGGATTTTAATAATTTTATTCTTGCACTGTTCTATCTTTGAGCCACGAAATGTTAGTTTCGCTCTAATTTCCCGCTGAAATTGATTAGAACGCAGGCTGCCAAGCGTGGGGGTCATGAAAGGGAGAACTGTGGCGCCGGAAAAGTGGAAAAGTGGCTCCGGCGTGTCTCGTTGGTTTGGCCTGCCGGTTGTGTGTGCGTCACTTTTGTTCGGCGGCTTCTCGGAAGTAGTGTTGTTGGGCCGCGAGGTGCCAGCGACTATTTCGCCTTTGTGATTGGAAACGGTCGCCTAGGCAACACATGTCATGCATAGCTGAAATTACACGATTGCACCAAGCAAAACGCGCGGCTAAAATCAATCGACATTAAGAATGAACTATTCGTGTCCCTCGCCCCTGATAAAAAGCAGCAGCTGCGATCAATTTCCATTTTTCCTCCTCCGAATATTTAATGCGTTTTCGGATATTCCACGTGGCACGCCTGCTGGCACGCGCGCTGAACGAAAATTTAACGTGCCCAGAGAGATAAAAATTATTCTACGTAATGAGTGCGTAACGACGAGTCTTATCTCACGCCGATGCAAATAGCCTGACAAATATTGATCTTTTTCCACCATTTTCTTTTTTATTTTATTATTTAGTTTCAAATTTGCCTTCGTGCACGCGCGACCCTTTGATAAAAAGTGGTCGGGTCGGCCTTTATCTGTTCTGTGTGGAACGGGTGAGGAAAAGAAGTACGAGGAAAACTGCACGCCCGGCGCGATAAGCCAGTTGTTGCGTGCAGAATTCAAGACTTGGCACAGATCATGCTTCCAATTTGCTTCTCAACGCGATTCAACAAATTTTCGTTTACGAAGCAACTCTGGAATATTAATTAAAAAAAGAATAAATCAAATTAAGTTTACAATCAAAGGATTATTGATGGGGTTGAAGAATTTTTTAATCAGTTTTAACCGGATTAGAAATGAGAATAATATGGATGAGTTGAATTTAAATTGCTTCAAACTTTAAATATTTTAGTACTTTGTAGCAAGAATTAAAATAAACTGCGAATCTTTGGCAAAGTTTCAAGTTTTTTCCCTCAAATAGGTTTAAAATAAACGCATGTAAATTTAATTATTCAAGGTTCATCTTCTCAAATAAAGTTTTTAAATATTTCTAACTTGGTTGTTCGTGCTACGGACACAACGGGAACTTTTAAAATTTAATAATAGAGGAGGCTTTGAAATTATTGCTATTACAAAAATTAAAAATTCCTAAAGGAAGTGCAAATTTAATCTTTTTGAAAACAGTTTTTCTCTTAGAGAATTTTATTTAAAAAAAAAGTGAATTACGCAAAATATTATAAATTTCATTCAGCAAGTTTTAACCAGTTTAGTTACTTTGGATAGCAACGATTATAAAAACAAACAAAGGTTTGAAGGGGGAAAAAGATGAATTTTTAGAGATTAATCATTTTACGTAGCTCATCATTTTGGCCAGCGTGATGTGAGAAAATGAGAAAAAAAAAACATCAATTACCAAAAACAACCAGGAGAAATAAAACAAGATCTCAAGGTTCCAAAGGTGTTTGCCGAAAAAGCGCCAAATGGTCACGTGCACAGTCAGAGGTGACCTCTAAAGTAGCGTCTGCCAGCTGATAACCAATAATTATAAAAAAATATTGTGATCCTTGGAGTCGCATCGGAATTCCCATAGGTCAATATTCTAAACGCTCAAGACGGATTAATCACAAAGAAAGGGTCAAAAGGTCATTGAGCTGTGAATGATTAAAAGGGATAAAACTTTGAGTTACTCAAATTTTTCTAAATTTATCTTCAAGTCAAAGTCAAAAGTAATGAAAATTAAAATAAAATCAAATGACAAATTATTATAATAACAAGGATTCCAACTAGTTTAAATCTAAAAAAAAATTGAAGGAATTGATTTAAAATTTGTAGTACCTAATAAAAAAAATGTACCCATCAAGTATTGCACACTAATTATATATTTTTTTTTTATTCACCAGAGGAAAAAATAATATTTTGGAATTTTAAATAATTTAAAACGAATTTAGAAGCAATAGCACTCGAGATAATACGATGCGTCTCGTAACTGCTGCCGGACGTGAATAATTTTCTTCTTTTCCCCTGATGATTATGCCACCCTGAGTATTTACATAAATCGAACGTGATTGGGAAAATGCGTGTTGGTTCAGTTGGTCTGGAAAAATGAAATACGGGGCGCGATGATGAATCATGCGTTCGATTTTCAAGCGGACGTCAATCGACCGGACGGGGAAAAGTGGAGGAAGCAAGCCCCAGAGCGACACGAAAAATGGAAGGCCGAAAAAATGCCGGTGAGCGACGAGAGCCGCCCTCGGCTGAACGCGATTCCTCGCGTGCTCGATTTAATTCGGCCGGGCAAACGGCGATTTGGTCGCGCGGCCGCGTTACAAAGTAGTGAGAAAATAAATTCACGCGTGTGCTCGGCTCGCTTAGAGACAAATTTATTGATTCGCCCCGTAATAAAAAAAAAGCGGTGGCGTTATTTCCTTTCCAAGCACGTGAAGGCGCGGCGCCGACCGGCAATGCAGACAGCGACGGCGCCGCCCGTTGCGTTCTAAACTCACCTCTCTACGCCTGGCAAGGAGATGACTGACGCTGCGTCACCCGGCTTCGAACGTTGAGAGCCCGATTTCGGTGCGAATTAGGCGAATATCAGGGCGCGGCGCGTTGTGCCGACTCGTATTTTTGTAATGGCGAAGAAGCGTGACAAAGCGAGCGAAAATGACGAGGACGCGCCAACCAATCAAAGCGCAAGGCCGCCCCAGCGTTCCTAGGAGGTTCAGCGATCGTCACGCCAGCGCGCCAAAAACAGCACTTCCAGAACTAAACTAGATATATGCTATTTTTCTTCCAAAAACTAAAATTTAATTGTTTATTTTTCCACGTTGTTATAAATACATTGTTTACATGTAACTGTTCAAAACAGTAAATTTATAAAAAGGAATTTTTGGACAAAACGGCACCACCACTTGCAAAATCTTTGCTAAAACTACTTCCGAGATCAAAAAGACTCCATCCGCCGCAGTGAGCCATTTTGTTTTAATTGTATCTGTTATTGTTTCATTATTAAAACTGAAACAGTTTTTCATGGAATAAACAAAATATTTTATTGTTTGTAATGAATTCAGTTCTTATACACAGCTCACTCAATCACTTTCATTGTTGAATTTACTTACAATTAGATCAAATTTATATTTTCCATATTTAAAAAAAATTTACAAACTCAGAAAATCAAATGGGGATTTAAATGATGAAAAGATGAAAAAATACAAAAAAATGAAAAATAAATAAAGATAATGAAAATTACTCTAAACGACATCATTTGCAAACCACCCGTGCAAACATTTGGGTACAGGCCCACCTGTTTCAAAAGTACACCGGGCCAACTCTGTCATATTTTTCGCGTCCAACACCAACAACGCTACTTGACATTCACGTCCTTCACCACCCCAAACCAGTGCTGACAAGATTACGCCATCATCTTCACTCTAAATTAATATAATACAAAATAAATAGGGATTTAATAAATTATTTTATTTTTTTATTTTTTTTTGTTACCTGAGGATCAGGGGCAGGAACAAAAATCGGCTCACTGGGGTACACAAGATTTTCACACCATGTTAATGCAGATTTTGTCTGAATATCAACCTTGATAATCTGAAAGAAAGCAAATTTTAAATTTATAAAAACTTGGAAAGATAATTTATATTTACAGTTCCGGGGTTGTCCATGTCAACGTCAGAGGAAATGGCGTAAAAGTAGCGATAAGGTTTCCCTAAATATCGTTCCATGTGTACTCGTGGAGTTTCGCAGCCAAAGTTGCTCAGAATTTCTGGTTCGATGTTCATCCTTTCGCTTTTGTTCAAGGAGTCCAGTGGGAGTGAAAACCTCATTGGCTTCCCTCGGAATAATGCCGCATAGTCGGGATTTGTTTGAGCGCCCTTTAATAAAAATAAATTTTTTAAACTGAATTTTTCAAGATAATTGTAAATTTTACCTGCATAGAATCCACATACATGCAGTCGATCATTGCTGGATCTTGGTAGGCGCAAATGTCAACAATGCAGGTGTCCCTTAACTCGAAAGTGTTGATTGTGTGCAAATAGAAAAAAGCCTTGGTCGCAAAAGTGTGCTTCAATTGCCCCGTTTCTCTTGACACCAAATAGAAATACGTCTAAGAATACAAGTGTAAATTTAATCTTATTATTTATATAAATATAAATATATTTATTTTTAAATTTCTCGCGTACCTGTTCATTTGGATACCATCTCATATTGGCCATCATAGGTTCACCGAGGATTGCGTTTTTCACCAGAGCAGGAACAGAAACCGTCAGAGGCTGCTCGATTATGACAAAATAATTGTCTGTTATTCCAAACGTGTGCATGTAGGACGGGTTAAAGCCCCATCGGGCGGACACGCTGCCGACATGCCGCGCCGCTTCAAACATTTTTCCAACACCTTGAAATCATGTAATAAAAATTCATTAAAAATATTAACAAAATCTATTTCAATTTAAGGTTTCAATGAATGAACTTGAATGAAAATTTTCCAAAAGTCAAATACCAATTTCACTTAATATATTTTTTTAATCAGGCATACCTTTGCTATCTGAAGGTGGGAATTCAACGATTTGGTATCGCGGCCCAGTGGCGGTGACTCGCAGACCTATATTGTAAACAGTCTGGTCCTGCATCACCAGCGGGTGGGACGTGTGGTTGACAATGCTTACGAAGTCCGACAGATTTATTCTGTCCTTGGTTTCAAGGGTGCGCGGATCAATACGGTGAACAATTGGCGACTCGGTGAATGCGTAATACTCGTCACCGAAGGGGTAAATAGAAATCATCGCGTTGTCCGACAGCGACTCGCCAGGAACGAAAATCGCAGCGACGCTATACAATTTTGTTTTTATAGTTAAAAAAATAAAATATTAATTTAAATTACTGACGTTTGAAAAATTGATTGGCACGGGTCTGGAACTGCTTTCGTTCCGAATTCTGTGACCACGATTCGCTGCGCAGCATGGTTTCTTTTGAACGCCTTTGTTTGGAGAAGACGTCTCTGGTAAGTGACGTTTCCGTTGCTGATGCAAAACCTACGGCGGAGAAGAAATAAAATCAATGACTCAACTCGCACGACACCGACGTGCTGCCGGCTGCCTAACTCGGTTCAATGCAGGCGCCCGAAGTGAATTTTTGTGTTTACCTGTGCATCAACGCGGATGAGTCGAAAAGGTGCTTGAACTTTTCATTTCCACCGGCGTTAAAACATCCGGGTCCATTTCGCAGAAGACAACCTTTGAGCCAAACCGGTAATTCCCCTGTAAAAATATTTCAATTTTAAATAGAGATTTTGTTACATAAGAGCAAAATTTTAGGAATTGTGTGGCATTAATAATACCTGAAAGTGTGCCTTCAACCGGCAGTGGCTCCTCATTCTCGCACGACCTCAACCAAACGTTGACGTCGCAGTTGGGGTAAAAAGAGACACTTTCACCGTCGACGGTTTTTTTCTCCACAGAGGCCGGCATCGCTGAGAGATCCGCGAGATGCAGCACGCAGAGATGGACTGCTCGCACTTCCGACAGGGGTGGCTTTGATATTGGAGAAGGCTACGTGCCAGACGCCAGATGGGGTGGAGCGGGCAGGCGGGCGCACACGCGATACAAACAAACTCGTGCCGGAGAGGACGAGAGTGAGAAACCATACAAGTGTCTCGTGACTTATACAAAACACGTGATTTTTTTTTAAACAGAATTTATAGGACGTCCTTGCTTTACGTTTTTTATTTTGTTGTTTTGGAATATATAATAGTGCATGAAACAATTTTGCTTTGTATTTCATCAGTTTTTTCCTGTAATCAAATTGTAACTAATTTTATTTTTATTGTTTTTTTTTCACAATATATCCTGCTAAAACTATTTTGTTGTAAAATTGTATTTTTAAAAACTCCATTAATTGAAATAATATAACAACTATTGCGAACAAATAGTGTGACAATAACACTATTTTTTTTTAAAGAAATTATTTTTAATTTTTTTTAATGAATAAAAGAAAGCATATAACTTTGACGAAAAATTTATCTGCACAAATTTTCATTTTTACGATGTAATGAAAGTCATCAAAATCAAACAAATTAAGATCACACCAGCTATATATAATCACTACCTTTGGAATCCCAATATTGGCCTAGCAACCAAAAAATATCTCAAACGTTTCTTTCACTGTCCATATCAATATTATTTGTTAGCAATTAATATTTATTCTCTTAAAATAAACGCTGCAAAGAAAAAATTAAATCCTGTTGGTGTTACTAGGCCTTCAATTATTGCTTTAAAAAAAAAAAAATAATTACTATCATTGAGTTTCCAAGTTATCAAAAAGTTTATTAATTAGTAACCAGACAAATCGCCTTTGTGTCTCAAAATAATATATCTCGTGTCTCAGGTCTCCTTGTAAAGTTGCAGTTACTAATTAATTAATTTTTCTCGTTTAGAATTTTTGTTGCTTTAAGCTCTATGATTAAAGTTTATTTATAACAAATTCATGATATAAAGTTTTCATTTAAGAGGTTATTTTCTTGAAAAAGTGACATTTTTTATTGAACGGTTACTTTTTATTCACTCTCCTGCATGTTCCTACACAGTAAAATGGCTATATCATTATATATCTCAGTGTAAATGCTCTCGGTATATAATCCTTACTCTCTAAATGATCCGCTCCCTTTGGACTAATTCATTTCACTAATGTTTATATCAGACATTTTCAATACAAAAGGCAATAACAAAATCTTCTTTGGCTTCTAACTGTCACTGCTATGCGAACGTGCTTTAAAACGTGCGTTGTGCCGCGTTGAATCAATCAATTAAACTATACACGTGTGCGACTAAAAATAAATTCTTATCACAATTAAACGTCCTGCTCAACTTGATCCCAATAATCCTGTAAATTGCTTCCCTATTCTCATGATACACGATAACAAAAATTATCTCCAGCACCACCAGAGGCACTTTTTAAAATATTCAATAAAAATTTCCAATATATTTTCATAATATAAAAAATTGAATTTCTTAAGCCGCGCGTTCAGACACTTTTGCTGTAGCTCTGCGATTTGGCCTTCTTGTGTCCGAGCGCCGAGAAAGGCACGACGAGGTTGAGGAATCCAATGGGACCGTCGAACAAGTGGACCAAGTTGCGCAGGGAGCCGCGCTCGACATCCTCCTGGTCGCAGTAGGGAAGTCTGCCGACGGCCGCCAGGAACAAGTGGTGGATCATGAAGCCGACGATGAGGACGCCGCTGCTCAGTTCCAGGTTGATCACAAACGAGTAGACTAGTTTGGAGAAACTGATGAGGCCGGACAAGTAGTAGCCGAGGGCCACTGGTGCCAGGTACACGGCGGCCTTGGGCATCTTGCAGTCGGAGAGGAAGGTGAGGCCGCTGAAGAAGCAGGCGGCCGAGCCGTACACGCAGACGGCCATGAAGTGCTTCATCGAGTGCCTGGTGATGCACGTGCCCATGAGGAAGCAGTGGTGGCCGCGCTGGGCCACACACGTTTCGCACAGCGGACAGTGTCTGCACTCGTAGGCCGTATCCACGCGGCACCGCGGACAGTAGTAGGCGCGCTGCAAGACGGTGCCGTTCTGCACCACCGTCTTGGTGGCCGCGCGCACGTCAAAGCGGTCGCGCGACATTCGCACGGCCATCCAGTTCATGTACACCTGGACAACGATCGGGAAGTAAAAGGGGAAGAGCCAAGTCGCGCCCGTCGCCCAAAGCACCTGCACTGTCCAGATGACCGTGGCCACCGTGGACAGCAGCATGACGTAGGGCACCATGCGCAGGAACAGAAGCACCCATCGTCGGCCGCGGATGAGGCCCGACCGGTTGTTTGGAAGTGGGGCGGGCAGCATGGTTTCGTTTTTCTTCTTCTCTTGAAATATTTCAATTTGGCTGTTTTTTACGTGTGCGTTCACGTGTTGATCTTGCGGGCCAGAAGTGGCTTTAGTTGGTCCCGAGGGGATCGATCCGAACGCAATTTTATGGCCCGAGTGTGAGCTGCTTTCATTTTGCGAGTGCAATCCAGACACGTAGGGAGTGGTATTAAAATTTAAGGATTGTTTTTGTTAAGAGAAATCAAATTAATTTACGGGGTTTTGTTAATGCATTATGTACGTTTGGTTCTTAGTTTTTTTTTTATGAATATTTTTTGTTAAGTGGGTTTTAAAATTAAAATCCTAGTAGTGAAATTAATTTTAAAAATCAGTCTAATAATCTTTTGTGGGAAATCAATTGTTGAGAATTAACAAGTCTATTTTTGGGATGAAAAGTAAATTCTTTTGACGTTGGAGAATTCAGGTACAAAGGTTGCCTGAATTCTCTCACGTCGACCGATGGGTGGGAATATTCTAGTAGAAGGGCAATCTTTTGTTTATGAAAAGTGGGTGGGTGCTTATGGTATATAAGGAGCTCCCCCGTCGGCCGCAGCACGACTTGCAGATCCGCCTTTTACCGATTAGGTAGGCGACTCTCTTGCCACTGCTGCTGACGGAGGAACTCAAAAGTTAACTCTTTGTTCCCAGGTTCGACCACAAGCAGACCGTTCCGTCCCAGCCGACCGGACGGCCTCCCTTGCCTCCACCCTGGTCAGTTGTGCCCCCGCCAGAGGATCCCGAGCTGCACCTGTCCCGTCCAACCTTGACGGTAAGAGATACGCCCTCTAGTTCCTTTGCGGTCAACTGATGGCCCCAATACTGTTCTAGGGCGGACCCTCTCACCGGACAGCGACGTCGGACAGAAGCGGCGCCTAACCCGGACACTCCACCCCGGCTGCTACAAGTCACCCTCCAAACCCGTGCCTGCAAATAACCCAGGTAAACTGAGTCCGACTGTGTTGTTGCATTAAATACAACAACCATTTTATCAATAACCAGCCCATACTCACTATTCCCCTAATTCCCAGGCCCTCCAGACGGTGACCTGCCTTGCCGTGGCCCTCAGGAGAAGACCTGGTACCGGCCGCTGCCATCCGTCCGACCATCACGTCCTGCTGCGAGTCAACCACCTCCGCAGGTGTCCGGACCGTTGCTGCTGCCAGCTGACCAGCCACCTCTGAGGCAATAGTTCCTGCTGCCTGCCGCCGCCCACAGCTACGACCCCGCTCAAGAGCGCCCTTTCTGCAACCCCTTCCCGAAAAACCAAGACTGTATTCCCAAAAAATTAAATCAAATCTCAAATATTTAGAAGTGTACCATTTATAGGGAATATAACCAAACCCACAGCAGTAACTTATTTTGTTTAATTCCTTTTATTTCCTGAAAATAGTCGAGTTACAAATTGGAAGTTTTCTGAAAAAAATCAGTACTTTATTTAACAAAAGCCTCTTGCCTGCAATCTATTAAAATAGGAATAAATTAATTTTAAATTTTTCCTAACCAAATTGGCGATCCTGGTTCACACAGGCAAAGTACTGACAATAAACAAATAGAACAAATTCACAATGTCTTCCTCGTCCACGACGACAGCAGCATCGACGACAACAACAACGTCGACTGCACCAGTAACTTCTGCAACAAATATAACAGGAAGCATCACACAAAGCACTTGGATAAATCCTCCCTTCGGCCCATCCCTCACAGCTCCTGGTTGGCAACCACCTCCTGGTAACCAACCACCCCCTGGTGGCCAACCACCTCCTGGTGGACCTCTTCCACCTCCTGGTGGGCCTCCTCCACCTCCTGGTGGGCCTCCTCCACCTGGTGGACCACCACCCCCAGGTCTGCAGCCCCCTCCAGGAATAATGGGATTCCAACCTGCAATAGGAATAGCCCAATTATTAAAACCAATGATATCAGTCGACATGATCCCAAGATTCACGGGCCGTTCTGACGGTTCGTCACTTGAGGACTTCTTGTGCTCCGTGGAAGGACTCATAAATTACAATGGCCTCCAACCACACGATACCAAGTGGGTCTTGGAAATGCGAACGTCTGGTCGAGCACGAGAATTTGTCCGTGCTTTAGACGGCACAGTCCTAGCCAACGTCAATTCTCTGAAGGAAGCTTTCCGAGCAGAATTTCGTCCTCCAACTAGTGACAAGCAACTAGAAAGGGAATTTAACGAGTTAAAGCAGGGACAGTACGAAAGCGTAGAAACATACTACCACAACGTTCAGAGCAAGGCTGCTAAACTGCGTCGACGAACAACCATCCCCATGGGCGTCACACCAGAAGGAGATAAAAATATATGGGACCAACGTTGCTTTAAGAAATTCATTGAAGGTCTACGTCCTGAGCTGTACTTCATCGTGGGGCCGCAAACTGTCAAATCAATGGCCCAAGCGCGTCAAGCAGCTCTCACTGCAGAGGAAACCTTAAACATCACAAAGGCAGCACATATGCAAGCAAACACAACTCCTCAACATCCAATAATGACAAACCAAGTGGACATTGCCACACAAATGATGCAAAATTTGTGGCAAACAAATGAATGGGCGCCCCAACCTCCTCCTTCTGCACAACCGCAAATGTATGGGCCACATTATCCAGCCTACAATCAGATGATGCCTCCGTACATGGGCCAAGTACCTCCACAACAAACACAAAGTCCTTATTGGGCTCCTCAACCAAATGCCATGGCCACAGCGTACTGGAACATGACCAACATGGCCAACATGGTGAATGCGAAGCAGCCTGAAAAAGAAGTACGTTTTAGAGAAGCCAAAATTGAGGAAGAGAAACCAAGAAAAAAAATGCTAGCATTACCTGCTCCACCTACAAGACCAGAACGTAGCAGTCGACAAGATTCGAGGCCGAATTCTCCCTACAATGACAGGCGCTACTCAACTCGCTCAAGATCTCGCTCGTCTTCACCAAGTCGACCAAAGATTTGTAATCTTTGCAGAGAGGAAGGTCACTGGGTTGCCGACTGTCCTCAACTCATTTGTGGTTACTGTCGGAAACCGGGACATTGCCCATATGACTGTCCTGCGAAAACAAAAAACATGAATTAGAGGAGCCAGCTAAACAAGCTGCTCCTCGCAATGAGTCTCGGAAAAACACACAAAAACCACTTCATACAGAAACAAATAAACTTCCACCACCTCCGTATAAAATCAGCGTAGGAGTTCAAACCAGTGATGATAATTCATCAGATACAAATTCGTCAGATACAAATTCATCAGGAACAGATTCATCAACAGACTGCGAATCAGCAAATCAGCAAAAACGTAGCAGACTGAAGCCAGCGAAAGAAACTACCCTGCAATGTCAGATAGAGATTAATTTAGTCAGACCATGTGCAAGTTACACTCTTCTCGCCATGCTGAATAATTGTTTACTCACCAGCCTTTTGATTGATTCCGGAGCAAATGTCAGCTTGTTAACAAAAAAGATAGCTGATAGACTCAACCTTCAACTAATTCCGTTTCAACATAGAGTTGGTTCAGCAAATGGAAGCCAAATTAAAGTCTTGGGACAAGCAGACGTTGAAATCAAAATAGACGACCACTATTACGTCCACTCATTTGTAGTCGTTGAAACTGGAAGAGTCAATTTTGAAGCTTTGTTAGGACAAGATTTTCTGGTACGCCATCAAGTGAACTTACTGGTTTCGGAGGACTCATTAGGTTTCCATTGGGGAAAAGTCAAACTCCTACTTCTCACACCTCAAGCAGCAAACTGCATAACAGTTTCTAATGGTGGCAAAATACGAAGAGCTGATAGAGGTTATGCCAGATGGACGAATAAAACTAGTAAAAAGCTCCCATTCCACCGACAGAACTTCAGACCCGACAAACCTGAAAAAAATCCAATTTTAGTACACAGCTTCAAAACAAAAAGGCCAACAATTCCCGCAAACTCAATAGCAGCGTTGCCAGTCAGAACAACATATAAACAATCAGAAGTTCTCACCATTCAGGGCATTGATCTTTTCACAGAAGAAAAACATGAAGAACTTCCAGCAACCCTTTCTGTAGTTCAGAAAGATGGTTACGTCCAGGTTCTGTTTATAAATTCAAGTGATGAACCCATCCAGTTAACCTCCAGCCATCTTAAAAAACTCGAAGTGCTGCAACACGTAGAAAATGAGAAAATAGAAGTTAGAGCAATTGGAAGTTTAATAACAGACCGAAAAGAAAAATGTTTTGATTGTGGAACGGCGGGCATCGCTGACGAAGAGTACATGCTGTGCCAAAACTGTATGCAGAAAACCAAGCCATCTGATGTAAGAGAACCTCCGGTCTGGCCGGACACTCCTGGACCTCCAATGGATGACGATCAATTCCTTGCTCTGTTCAACTTAGAAAGCGTCCCACAAGAGTACCTGAAACAATTCAAGAAAATGCTAATTAAGAACAAAGAAGCATTTGCTTATGGAGAAAATACACTGGGATTAATAAAAGATGAAGAGGTGGAAATAGACACAGGAGACACGCCCCCCATTAGATTAAAGCCCTATAGAGTGCCATACCTCCAAAGACACGAGATTTCAAAAGCAGTAAAAGAAATGCTCGAAATGGGGGTGATACAACCATCCACCAGTGAATACTCATCACCTCTCCTTCTTGTAAAAAAGAAAACAACAGATGGAAAGTTAAAATGGCGTTGCTGCGTGGATTTCCGAGCCCTAAATAAAGTCACAAAAACACTCGTCTACCCCTACCCACATACGCAAGAAATATTAGACGAGTTTGCAGGGAGTAAATATTTTTGCGTACTAGACATGACAAATGGATTTTGGCAACTACCCCTTTCAAAAAGAAGCAGAGAGAAAACAGCATTTACTTGCGACGATGGCCACTTTGAATTTACAAGAATGCCCTATGGAATAAAAAATGGACCACCCCGATTCAGCAAAACGATTTTACAAGGCTATGCAGATAAACGGAAAAAGGGAGTGGTAATCTTCATCGACGACTTTTGTCTCTATGCCCTTACAATTCTTATGCTGATCAGCTTACTGGACGAAACGTTTCAACGAGCAATCCACTTGGGTTTGAAATTTGGCCCAGCCAAATGTCAGCTGATAAAAACTCAAGTAGAATTTTTGGGTTTCATCATCGACGAACACGGTGTGCACCCAAATCCAGACAAAGTGAAAGCCATCAAGGACAGAGGACAGCCAAAAACTGTGAAAGAAATCAAAGGATTAGTGGCGATGGGGAACTTCTACAGACGACACATACCATCATACAGCGAGATAGTCGCTCCTCTCACAGACGTCCTTAAGGGAAAAAAGCCAAAATTCAGGTGGCAAAAAGAGCAACAGGAGTCTTACCAAAACCTGCTTCAGGCACTGGAAAATATGGTGACAACGGCTTTCCCAGACCTCACCAAGCCGTTTCACCTCACAACAGACGCAAGTGCGAAAGCTGTCGCAGCTGTCTTAGAACAGGGGGACACCGACGAAGAGCGACGACCAGTTGCGTTCTTCAGCAAAAAACTGGCAGGCGCACAACAGGCCTACTCAGCCTGCCAACTCGAATGTCTCGCCGTCGTTGCAGCAGTTGAACACTTCAGGGTGTACCTGGAAGGAAACTTATTCCACCTGTGGACAGATCACAGCAGTTTGAAATGGCTCCTACACACAAAACCACTCAAACCTATGCTTGGAAGATGGATTCTCCAACTGCAGCAGTTTGATTTTGTGGTCCACCACGCCCCAGGAAAAACAGTCCAGCGAGTAGATTTTCTCTCCAGGCCAGAAATAGACGTTCTGCAAATAGGAACACAAAAATTAGAACTGGTCTTAGGCCTCAAACATGGATTGAATGTTGAGCAATTAAAACAATCACAAGCGCAAGATCCAGCATGGAAGGATATTATAAACAAAAAGCCCAAAATGTCAGATGAAGGCGAATATTTCCTCGACAGACGAGGCCTTCTCTATAAATGGGGAAAATCAACGGCTCGCTTGTGCATCCCCAATGATCACGTTCTCAAGATAATGCTGCTCCACCACCAAACAGCTTGGGGGGGACATTGGAAGACGACGAAATTACGAGAAGCCCTTACCAAAAGGTACTACTGGCCGAAGATGGATCAGTCGATATCAGACCACCTTCATAACTGCGTCGAATGCCAGTATAGAAAACAGAACCAGCTACTTCATGCCCCTCAGCAGATACAAAAGACGGCAGTCAGAGTTGGAGAACTTTGGTATGCCGATATTGTAGGACCTTTGCCTAGAACAAAGAAAGGGTTCAAATACATTCTCACAATGTATGAGGCACATACCAAATATGTAGAAGCAGCTCCTCTAGAAGATCAAACAGCAGAATCAGTGGCACGAGCTTTTGTCGAGACCGTAGTTTGCCGCTATGGAGCAGTCGAGGGCCTCATCACCGACAATGGAACCAACTTCGTCTCCAGGCTATTTGAGTCAGTCTGCGAAATATTAAAAATCAAGCATATTACAACATCGCCATATAGACCAAATGCAAATTCAGTAGAAGCAGTGCACAAAGGGTTAATTGACTTCATAGCTATTTTTACGGAGCATGAAACAGATGAAGAATGGAGTGATTTCCTCCCATTTGCCCTACTAGCTATAAGAGCAAATGTTCACACAGCTACAGGTTTCTCCCCAAATAAACTAATGTTTGGCTTTGACATGAAACTCCCCTGGGATGAAATTACCCACCCAGACATGAATGTCAATCAGCAGGAAGAGTTTTTCCAACCAACTGAGTACTTGGATTTGTTAAAACTAGATTTACAATTAGCACGGGAAGCAGCTATTTCAAAAGACCTTTTTTCCAAATATAAAACATGGCAAAAGGCTGGTGGTTCAGAACAAGTTTACGACGAATTACGCCTTGGTGACAGGGTGGTAATTAAAAATGAAACCCCACAAAATAAATTTGCCGGCAGATGGAAAGGTCCATTCCGTGTAATTGATAAATTAGGTCCCACAACTTATAAATTAGAAAATGTGGACACGGGAAAACAATTTAAGTACCACTTGGGCAAAATGAGGAGATTGGAAAAACTTCACAAAGCACCAATGGCTGTAATTTTCGCAAAACCAGCGGAAAATACAAATATTCAACAGGGGATATTAAACCCCATTGCCCAACCACCCTCATTAAACCAGCAAATCCCTCCACCCACACCCGCCCCGCGAACCATTTTAACCCTTCCGCCCGTGCCGAGAAGTAGAATACCTTTACCAGCAACTCGTTCTCTTCTGCCTTCGACGGTCGACAACGACGACGACTTGCCGACCTTCGAGCCAGATGATTCGGCAGCCGACGACTTCAGCCGCTCCCGCATTCCGAGAGGCCGTCCATCACGGACGCCAAGCCGTTTCCCGAGTGCCATCCGGGCTCGCCATCCCACGCGGACGGCATCCGACTCGCCGGTACGAACACCTGCAATTCAAAGAGGTCGGTCATCGACGCCAACACGAAGGGGACGACCCCCAGGGCGACCACCAGGGACGCAAAGGACACGAACGGCGAGTGCCGGTTCAACAAACTTACGTCCCGCGGCACCAACTCGCACGCCTTCAAAGGATAGAACATCCTCAGCCGTGGACAAATTCGGCCTCCGTCCGAATCCAGCACTGTCCAGGAAAGCCGCCTGTGCCCTAGGAGACCCGAATTGTTGCGAAAAGCACGCACATTAAGTTAATTCAGTTCAGAACACGGCAAATTATACATGCACCGCCACCATTTTCAAAGAAATCCAAACACCCAAACAAACCGGTGCTGCCACCACACGAGCTACCCACAACCACTTGTTGCTGGTACGCCCCCTCTTGCTCAGACATAAACACACCAAACCTGCAATTTGGCATAAACATACACATTCACAACACACAGATTACACAGTAAGAAATTGTTTTAAATGTTATTTTTTGATCAGAGCACAAAGACTGCTATTTAGAGAACAAAGTACATAATGGGGGGGGAGTTGGTATTAAAATTTAAGGATTGTTTTTGTTAAGAGAAATCAAATTAATTTACGGGGTTTTGTTAATGCATTATGTACGTTTGGTTCTTAGTTTTTTTTTTATGAATATTTTTTGTTAAGTGGGTTTTAAAATTAAAATCCTAGTAGTGAAATTAATTTTAAAAATCAGTCTAATAATCTTTTGTGGGAAATCAATTGTTGAGAATTAACAAGTCTATTTTTGGGATGAAAAGTAAATTCTTTTGACGTTGGAGAATTCAGGTACAAAGGTTGCCTGAATTCTCTCACGTCGACCGATGGGTGGGAATATTCTAGTAGAAGGGCAATCTTTTGTTTATGAAAAGTGGGTGGGTGCTTATGGTATATAAGGAGCTCCCCCGTCGGCCGCAGCACGACTTGCAGATCCGCCTTTTACCGATTAGGTAGGCGACTCTCTTGCCACTGCTGCTGACGGAGGAACTCAAAAGTTAACTCTTTGTTCCCAGGTTCGACCACAAGCAGACCGTTCCGTCCCAGCCGACCGGACGGCCTCCCTTGCCTCCACCCTGGTCAGTTGTGCCCCCGCCAGAGGATCCCGAGCTGCACCTGTCCCGTCCAACCTTGACGGTAAGAGATACGCCCTCTAGTTCCTTTGCGGTCAACTGATGGCCCCAATACTGTTCTAGGGCGGACCCTCTCACCGGACAGCGACGTCGGACAGAAGCGGCGCCTAACCCGGACACTCCACCCCGGCTGCTACAAGTCACCCTCCAAACCCGTGCCTGCAAATAACCCAGGTAAACTGAGTCCGACTGTGTTGTTGCATTAAATACAACAACCATTTTATCAATAACCAGCCCATACTCACTATTCCCCTAATTCCCAGGCCCTCCAGACGGTGACCTGCCTTGCCGTGGCCCTCAGGAGAAGACCTGGTACCGGCCGCTGCCATCCGTCCGACCATCACGTCCTGCTGCGAGTCAACCACCTCCGCAGGTGTCCGGACCGTTGCTGCTGCCAGCTGACCAGCCACCTCTGAGGCAATAGTTCCTGCTGCCTGCCGCCGCCCACAGCTACGACCCCGCTCAAGAGCGCCCTTTCTGCAACCCCTTCCCGAAAAACCAAGACTGTATTCCCAAAAAATTAAATCAAATCTCAAATATTTAGAAGTGTACCATTTATAGGGAATATAACCAAACCCACAGCAGTAACTTATTTTGTTTAATTCCTTTTATTTCCTGAAAATAGTCGAGTTACAAATTGGAAGTTTTCTGAAAAAAATCAGTACTTTATTTAACAAAAGCCTCTTGCCTGCAATCTATTAAAATAGGAATAAATTAATTTTAAATTTTTCCTAACCAGGAGATTGAAAATCCGGCAAAATCACGCCGGCAGATGCGCACCAGGCCGTCGATAGTTTTCTGCGTCATCGCGGTGTTGAATGCCTGAATTCAAAATTTCCGAGTTAATGAGATTGTTAAGTAAAGGGTGGCACGCGATGCTGTTGCTTTTTTAAGTTTTGGTTGTTCGCCCCCGAACGACCCATGGTCGGTTGCTCTGCTCGTCGTCAGGCGATGAGTCTATAATAATTTTCTTGCGACGAGATTAGTCCAAGGTTTGCGATGCCACCTCTTGGCAGATTGCGGAATCATGGCAGAATAATTCCACAACCCTTTCATTGCCCCCATAAAACGATCTTCAGTTACTTTTTATCTAGTTAATTTACGTATTTAATTTAAAAATTGTCTTATTTCTTTTTATGGAAATTTGCAATCAAAATTCCCATTTGAGTATTTTGTGTATTTTTTATTCATCGCATCCACCTTCTACCTGCCTTAAAAATGAATCTTACTTAACACAGACATTTAGATACTTTTAATCAGTGCAGGAATGGAAAGAAACTAAAAAAATTGTTCTTCGATTCTTTAATAATGGAACTTAAAAAATCAATTTTCCAGCTTAATGAATCAAAATGCGATTGGCTTGTTGCAAGCCTCTCTTCAGGGTTGCCGACGTGACAGGATTCAACACAAACTGCTTTCGTAGTCAGGTATACAATTAAAATAGGGAGAAAATTAAGCTGTTTAGCCAGCCTTTCCTTCTAAATTCTTTTCGATGGCAACAGTGTTTAAGGAGCCATTTGGAGAGGAAAAGCAGGAGCAACAGGGTTAGGGCAAGGATCGAAGAAAGAGGAAGGGGAGGCTGGCTGCATCTGAAGCGGACCCTGCTTGAAGGGCGGGGTGCCCTGAAGAGAGGTTGCGGAACCGTCGTTACAAATGTACCCAGGCCCGGAAGAAAAGGTGGTGGCTCCCCCGCTATGCCAAATTTGATGGATGTTGCTGATGTAGGTTTTGTTTGTCGCCGCTGCTTAAACGACAGGACCGTGCCTGGCTTCTCAGCTAGTTATTTCTTCTTCTGGGCCTTCTCGGCGGCCTTGGTGACTTTACCAGCACTCAAGTCCTTGGGGTTCACGCTCTGCAAAAACAAGAGTTGGCAAATTAGCAAATGTTTTTTTGAAATATATTCAAATTGATCAAAAAGGAAAAAACGTCATTTTAATTCAATTTAAGCAATTTTTAAAAAAAACAGTCTCACCTTGATGACACCGACAGCCACGGTTTGCCTCATGTCACGGACAGCGAAACGTCCAAGAGGAGGGAACTCCGAGAAGCTCTCAACGCACATGGGCTTGGTGGGGACCAGGATGACGATGGCGGCATCACCAGACTTGATGGACTTGGGGGCATCCTCAGTGGTCTTGCCGGTACGACGGTCGCACTTCTCCTTGATCTCGGAGAATTTGCAGGCAATGTGAGCAGTGTGGCAATCAAGCACGGGCGTGTATCCGTTGGAGATCTGGCCGGGGTGGTTCAGGACAATGACCTGAGCGGTGAAGTCAGCAGCACCCTTAGGAGGGTTGTTCTTGGAGTCGCCAGCAACGTATCCACGACGCAATTCCTTGACGGAGACGTTCTTAACGTTGAAGCCAACGTTGTCACCGGGCAGAGCCTCGGTCAGGGCCTCGTGGTGCATCTCCACTGACTTGACTTCAGTGGTGATGTTGGCAGGGGCGAAGGTCACCACCATACCGGGCTTCAGGATGCCAGTCTCCACACGACCCACGGGCACTGTTCCAATACCGCCAATTTTGTAGACATCCTGAAGGGGCAGACGCAGGGGCTTTTCGGTGGGCCTGCTGGGGGGCAGGACAGCGTCGAGGGCCTCAATCAGGCACTTGCCGTCAGCATTTCCCTCCTTGCGCTCAATCTTCCATCCCTTGAACCAGGGCATCTTCTCGGAGGGCTCAAGCATGTTGTCGCCGTGCCAGCCGGAGATGGGCACAAAGGCCACGGTGGCGGGGTTGTAACCAATCTTCTTGATGTAGTTGGCGACCTCCTTCTTGATTTCCTCGAAACGAGACTAGGAGAGGACAAGAACAATAAGTAAAACTGTACTAAAGATTGAAACAAAAAAAGCTAATTTGTAAATTAGTTTGATTCCACTCCCAAAACTCCAATTTAACTAAGAATATTATTTGTATTTAAGCTTCTTTTAATTAAGCAATAAATTTTATGTTTAATTGAAAAACGAAAATTATAATTACCTCGCTGTAAGGAGGCTCGGTGGAGTCCATCTTGTTGACACCAACAATGAGCTGCTTCACTCCAAGGGTGAAGGCGAGCAGAGCGTGCTCGCGGGTCTGTCCGTTCTTGGAAATACCGGCTTCGAATTCACCAGTACCAGCGGCAACGATCAGCACAGCGCAGTCAGCCTGAATAGAGAATTATACGATTTAGACGGGATTTTTTTTTTTTAAATAAAATATAATTTAGTGATTTCTTTGAAAGAGATTAATTACCTGAGAAGTTCCAGTGATCATGTTCTTGATGAAATCACGATGTCCAGGGGCGTCAATGATGGTGATGTAGAACTTGGCAGTCTCGAACTTCCACAGGGCAATGTCGATGGTGATACCACGTTCGCGCTCAGCCTTGAGCTTGTCAAGTACCCAGGCGTACTTGAAGGAACCCTTGCCCATTTCCTGGGCCTCCTTCTCGAACTTCTCAATGGTACGCTTGTCAATACCACCGCACTTGTAGATCAAGTGGCCGGTGGTGGTCGACTTGCCGGAGTCGACGTGGCCGATGACCACGATGTTGATGTGAACCTTTTCCTTTCCCATTTTGGAGAGAGTTTGAGTCTTGGTTTGCTCGGGTCCTTAAACTGCAAAAAGAAAAGACGCCAGTCAGTTTTTCCGTGCGAAGAGCAAAAATGATTAGCGCGAAATGCAATTATACTCGGCTAACGGTATGAGCACGAAAGGAGCCGCTGCGAGAGCCATCGTGGGCTTCTTTAGGGGCGACGCCATCTTGAATGGCAACGTCACTGCTACATCATCGATTGCTTTCCGCAGCAATGTTTCCTTTAATTGCGTTCACGGCGCACGCCGGATTTGCAAGTGACATTTACCGAATAACCAAATAGGGAACACGCAAGTTAGGGCGGGGGCGTACAGGGGTGCTCAGGGTTAGAAACACACAAGTCCCGGCTTAGGCTGACCGCCTTGTAAAAGAGGCCGAAGGTTCAAGAAATTGGAAATTTCCCGAAGAAAAACGGATTAAAAAAATGATGCAATTATAAGAAAGAACGGGAATATAATGAATGTTTTTATGAACATTTCGACCGGTTTGAAATTTGTAAAGGTTTTGAAATTCTCGCCGGCGCAAAAGAGCCATGTGGCTTTATTGAATTTTATTCATTTAAAATTCATGGCTTTTCTTAAGTTTCGCTTAGAAATAATGCGACAGGTTTGAAAAGAGGCTCAAGTTTGTTAAAAATTGTTTAAAAGAAAAAAATATTGGCCGGCAAAAAAATTTAATTCACGTTTTCTGCAAGGTGGAAGAAGGCGTAATGTGGTCGAGACACCTACGCTCGCAGATGCCCAGGTAAAATTCCCAGACCACACCGCTCAATGTAATTCAAATTAAGTTCAACTTTTCAAAAGTATGAAAATTAAAAGAAGTAAATAGAGATGAAGTTCGTAATCAAGGCGCCCATAGGAATTCACGACGGCAACAAACAAAAAGTAGTTGCCAAAGTTCCCACACCGGTGCAACTTTCACCAGGAATTTTATGCGAAAACGGAACGAAAACCGGGCGAACAAGTTGAAATTCGGAAAATTATTATTTAGGGCAGTACACGATTGTAGAGGCAATTAAGGGGCCCACAGGGAAGTAGCTGTCAGAAAAGTTTAAAAGTGTCGGCAACAGCCATGCGGCCACGCCGGTCGGCGACTAAGTTTCAGATTTCAAACGCAGATTTCGCCGCATCGGCCGAAAAATCGGCTCAGCGATGACGCAAATCGCGTAAAAGGAATCGCCAAAAACGTATTGAAATGATTACCGAGACCTGATGGCTTGTAAAATCAATGGGAAAAGGTGGATTTGCAAAGAGTTAGAGACACCAGAAACACTCACCTTCCGCTGCCACGGCAAAAAGAGATAGAGCAATAGCGGGGTACGTCAGAGGAGGCGATCGGCTTCGGGGTTCACACGAGTCAATGCAAGGCGCTCCCACCTCCTAACACGAACTATCCCGAATCAACGCCTACGGTTCTTTTTTCAAAAATTCTCGAAATTTTCCTCTGGTTGATGAGACGAATCTTTCTGGAATTCGTCACCAGATGTTTCTTTTCACTTGAGTGAGGAAATTGCGACCCTAGGCAGGTTTTTAGGCCAGGAATTTAGCAAAAATTTCTAATTTCCTCAGAGAGGCGGGAAATTTTGAATCTTTTGAATGTTTTCTAGAACACGTGGCCCAAAATTTACATTGATTAAATTAGAAAGGCCCAGACAAACCGTGAATTTACGCTCAAAAGCTATATCCTTGGAACTTAAGAACTATGTATTGGTTCTATCACTATCCAGAAATAAAAGTCACTTTTTTAATTCTTCAGTTCAATTGATAAAATTGGAAAAATTGCCCCATAATTCCTCAACTAAAAAATAATTAAATTAATTAAATATCAATTTGCATAATTCTTGTTTGAAATTTTTCCTGAAATAATTGAAATAGAATAATCGATTGTATTTTATTTTATTAATTTTATTTTAATTCCATCCAATTTAATCTTCACTTCCATCGGTTGGAAGGTCTTCCATATCTGGCCGAGCCATGGCTGGAGGAGGACGATGGTCCCGCGTCGTCCTGGGCGGCCAAATCCTCGTCTAACAAAAGCTCAAAATTCCCGAGCGCCTCGGGCGAGGGTGTTTTGTTCCATCTCACGCTGAAAATTTCAACAATATTTATTTTATCAAAAACTGCTCGCGGTTTTGCGGTGGAGTTTTCGCGAGCGTTGTATTTCCCTTACTCAGGCATTCCGTCCGGAGGCAACACAATACTCAAAATATTGCTGATGAGCTTGTATTTCAGGATCCGGTCGCTCACGGTTGTCGACGTGAGAGAGGGCGAGGCGTTCACCTAAAAAAAGTGTGCACTTTACCACGCGGGATTAAATGTCCTGCCCGGTTTGATCCGCCATGATCCCGTTTCATGTCGGAACACCCTACTCTGTACGCTTTTTTCTTTTGTCGTTTTGAGCAGAAATTTATAAAAAGTGCATCAAGAGGATCGCGTGTCTAAAATGATTCATTTAATTATTCAACTTTTTATATAGAACACGTTAATTATTAATTATGAAAAATTTATTAAATTAAATAAAAAAATTTTTTAAATAAATTTAAATTTAATATTATTGATAACATTAAAAAAATTGATCTATTTAATATTTATTAATCATATTTTGTACTTTTTAGAGCTGAAGATCAAAGTTAAAATTATACTCTTAACTAAAAATTAAATATTAAGCAAAACCCGGCACAATCTATATGTACAAACCCTTTGTAGCTTTAAAAAATGAACTGACTTTGTCATTTTTCTTTTCAAATTTGTTTAAAAAGTAATTTTAAATTTTCAGTTCACTAATTTTTTTATTCAAAACTACATGATTTTGATTTTAAATTTATGCCCTTTTAGTCACATTGCGATTGTTCAATGTAATTTTGTTCCTTTTAATTTTCAAAATTTATTTCCATCTTTATAATTATATCAAAACTACTTATGATTTTTGATTTCAGATTCATTAAATTAAAATTCGATTTATTTCCACCAAGCTTAAGGTTATATTTGTTTTGCTTAAAATATATTCATAAATATTAATTAGTGAAACTACATTATATTATGTTTTTGAACGTTTAAAATCGGCTAAGAATAAAAAAATTCTCAGCGTTTTTCACGTATATTTGTATATTATAATTAAAAAAATATATTATATAAAATATAAATCAAAAACGAAAATAGTATTCATAGTCATTTTGGACAAATTAAACATCAACTTAATAAAAGATCTTTAAAATGATAGAGGAAACGTTGCAAATATTTGTCAATTTTGCACTTTGAGTTGAGCTAATTTATCACGATGAAGCGACTCGTGGCTTTGCCTGAAATCTCAAATCAAGATAGGGCGCGAGTATTGGTGCGGTTGCTCTTTGGATGAATTATTCATACTTCGATAAGCCACGGTTTGAGTTTGCTGTCGATGATGATGTCGTAGCCATAGCACTCAAAGCAGTGGCGGTCGCTGGCCATCACGGAGGCCACGGCGCGCAACGAGTGCACGATGAGCCACGAAATGTTGGCGAAAAGCCGCTCGGTCACACTTTTGCCCCTCGTGCTCTCCAGGTACAGCCGCAGGTTTTGCACGCTCAGCTTGCCGCCGTGCATGCTGTTGTACTCGCCCTGCCATCAAATTTAAAATTGAATAAAATAAAATAAAAAGGATGAAAATAATTAAAAATTGAAACTTTCTCAAGTAAAAAACCCAAATTTCCTTTAGCAAGGTATAATAATCGGATTTAATTTTTTTTCATCAAATCTAAAAATTCAATGAAAATAATATATCATTACTCCTTGCCGTTGGATGGACACGTTGGTCAGGTGGGCAAACGTGTTGTCCAGCTCTTGCACGGCCGCGTCATATTTGACCGTGCAAAATCGACAAAAGCCCTGCTTGAACAAATACGCCTTCAAAGGTCGGAACGAGGTCACCAGCACGTACAGTCGCAGGTCAAATTTCTTTCCTCCGATCAGGAGGGGATTGTCAATATATCTATAAAAAATGTAAAAGTAAGTTTGCTGAAAATTTCGCCTCAACCCTTTAAAAAACAAATTTTAGTAGAAAATTTCCAGGTTTTTTTAGCACAAAAGCTTCATAGATTGAGAAAAGAAAAACAGTAAAAAAAATTCGTTCTATTTTATTTGCTTCAGAAGTTGCAATATTTTTAAAATTTTAAATTCAGGTCTGAAAATAAGTCCTGAAATTTTTCCACTCGTTTTTCATCATTTTTTTAAATGCAATTATAGCATTTTTATTTATTATTTGTGTTTTATTATTATTTTTTTTTTACATTTTGTCACGGAAGTTTTAATATAAATTTTTTTTAACTCTTTTTATTAAGTAACCAAAATTGTGTCTTTTGATCCTGATTACAATCTTAATCTTCACTACCGATTTTTTTTTAAATAGCAAAAATATATAAATATTTTTCTTACCTGGAGATGACGTACGATTCTTTGGCAATGGCTGGATTAAAAGGCGTCTTGCTCTCCCTGGACCACTTTTTCAGTTTTGAGAGGCGGTTGATGAGAAAAATGCCGGCGCCCTGCGATTTACCACACGGCTTCATGATCCACGTGCTCAAGGGACTTTTCCTGTACTCCTCGACGAACATGTTGTAATCGGCGGGCAGGATGAAAGTGATGGGAACAAAATCCAAGTGCAGATATCTTCCTGTTTCAGAGCGTTCGGCCAAAGGACTGCCCTCGCGCTCCAACTCCTTCCTGTACCTTTTGATGTTCTTTATCAGAAGGTCCTTTCTGGTCAGCTCATAATGATTTGGAAAGTGATTTATGGCCCTGATTACATTATTAATTTTTTTAATTAAAATATAGAATTAAATTTACTGAAAGTCGTTCATGCGGTATCCACTATCCACGCTGAATATGTTTCTGCACGTGAGCGTTCCTGCCCTTGAAAGTCATATTTAAAATGTTCAAATTTACTTCTTGGGAAAATATTTAAACTAAATTACAAATACCAATAGAAGTTCCAGTCCTCGTCTGGGCTGACCTGAATCCATCCTCTTTTTTCAAAATTGCTTACGAGTACGGACTTCTCCAAATCTGTACAGAAAGCAATTCGCATTTTCACGTCTTTGACCAAAATTATCCACAGAACTTATATTGATCTGTGCCCCAAAAAAGATTTTAATTCCATGTCAACGTTGCCTTGGCAACTGCGAATTTCACGTTAGAATGCTTTTCCCCCTGAGCTTTTCTGCGAATCCATTTTGCTCCAGGCTTAAAAATGTTTATTTTAGAATTTCATATTTTCTCTTTTGTTATTTTAGGAATTTAGAAAAATAAAAGAAATAATAAATTCTGTTTCCAAATTTTAATTGCCTATTTAAAATTTTACAGTTTCACAAATACCGCAAGCTGGTGGATTAATTTATCGTCATATTCATTATCTGCATTATCATATTCTGTTGATCCAACACAAGTTAACGTGTGGTCTTACTTAAAATTCCCAATGAAATACTTTCCACTTTTTTTTTACCTCAAACTCTCCATTCATAATTTTAGTCCACTCAACTGACAATAAAATTAATTCACTTTCGGTGGTGACTTGGTGATACAATATCTTAATTTGAGTGTTTTTTCTTGCATACAACATTACAGTTTTGAGATGAAATCGAGTAAACAGCGGTGTCTTTGAGATTTGTCGTAAAAGAATCAACACTTGGGTTCCTTTTCGCCCCGCGCGCAAGGTGAAACATTCCCCTCTGCGGCAAGTGTGACCCACGCACTTTTATCATACAAAAATAATGAATCATTATGCACGTCCCAAAATGGATCAATCAATAAAATGGCTAGACGATGAAGAAGAAAGTGCATCAGCAGTCACACTCGACTTCTTGCATTTTGCTATAGCGTCATTTTATTATGCTCTATACAAAAATCTCCACTCACGCAATTAAGTTTTTTCCGTTTGTTTTGTTACTTTTTTCATTTCAGCAGTTTTACTACTTTTTCAAGCTTTGGTAGTGAAATAAACAGCGCTTGTTTTGCGTTTTACTTTTCTCAATCAACAGGCAAGATCACAATGAAGTAATTTATTTTTTATTATTTTGTAAGAACTTTTTTCGCATACTCAATAGTACTTGCTGTAAAATAATTGTGATCAAGTATTATACACTAGCATTTTTTTTTCAAAGATTTTATTTTGGTGCATCTTAAAAATAATCATCATTTAGCGAATGACTACACAACCATGTCAATATGTTACTCTTAAACCGACGACTTTTTTAAGCTGTAGAGCAGTCAACTGAATAATTATCATTTTAGTAATATCATTTTGTCGTACACTTCTTCTTCTTCTCTGCATACAAAATATAAAATGAGTGCTATTCAGGCTAAACAGTCTATGCTAAAATAACAAAGGTCTCTTCTTTTTGAATAGCACTCAATCTTGTTTTGTTATACATCCAGAATTATTAGTTAGACACAAGGAAAGGCAAATATCCACATGTAATTTCTTCCATTTACTGATATTTTGTGTTGGATTAGATTCAGGTGTCCATCGATCCACTTCTTCTTATACATTTTTTCTTTTAAACAGCACACACCTCTTCTTTTACAAGATATTTTTTTGCTGCTACATTTTACAACCGGCGATGATCATCCGATTGAAACGAACAAAATTATATATTCAAATCAACCATTCACTCAAAAATACTCAAGCAACAAAACCAACCGTATTTATTCGTCCATCGATCTGCTTTGATTTTAATTGCTGTCGAAAGCTCAGCAATCAAGCAGAATTGTACATTCAAGCTTGCGTTTTTCTTGTCGTGTCTTCGTATGACTTTTCGGAGAACCTCCTAAAGGTTAAGTTTTTATTGCAATTTACATGTATTTATTAAAGCGCGCGGCGACAGTAGTGGTCATATCTGGTATTATAATTGAATCAATCTCAACTGCCTTTTTCCGTCCGATAAGTTCGGAACTGTTTTCTACTATTTTTCGGTTCTTAGGCCAAAACTGAATTCTGCTTGACGAAATTAATCAAGTTGAAAAGAAATACTGCATATTATTCACGACCTAAGATCTCGTTCCCATTCTCGACACTCTCCAGCAAATTCAACAGAGGAATGTACAGCGAAATGCCCGCTCGTCAGAGCTCTTGCCTCGATTTGGACATTGCGGGACACTATTATGCTCCAACATGTTTTGGCAGTTCTAAGAGAGCCTGGCTCATCATTTTTTTTTTCATTAATTTTACTCTTCTTTAGGGGAATTAAAATCCGCCTATACCTACTAAAGCAGACTCAAAATATGAAATTAAAAAACGCTCTCCTTTTGGGCTGGGAGTGTATAAAAAATTAAGAATAAACGACGGAATGAAATTAAAACAAAAGCTAATTTCCGCCCGGAAATCTGCAGTATTTCATCATAAGCGATACATCAATCGCCAGCCCAAAGTGATTTCAAATCACAAATCTCAAGTCTGCTCGACAAGAAACCAACTAAAAATAAATACACTAAACATATCATTTAGTTGAGGTGAAAGAGAGTGTATGTGTGTGTGCTGACTACTAGAGAAACCAGGTTGATAATATTCCCGTAGCTTTTACTCTAGGCCAGGGGTCAGAAATGAAATTTTAAGTAGCAGCAGCAGCAACATTCAACAATCAAAAGTTTGAGACTCAAAAGTTGTTTGGCTGGCGGGTGAAATTCTTAGAAGGCAAGGGTGGCTGCTACCAGAAGGGTGAGCACAGACATGAGTGGAGCCAGACCGTCCACTCCTCCGGTCACTCGGACGTCCGCGTCTCGCAGCAGAGGCGTGTCGATAACGTGGATGATGCCGTTAGTGCACTCGACGTCAGGTCGGGAGACAAGGATGCGCTCGCCTTGCCATTCGAGGTAGTAGCCTAGAAATCACAGAGTGGTCCGGGTTAGTCTGGCTGGTGCAAATATTTGCCCTTTTGTGTTGGGGGATTTGCAGAGAGAGTTGCAACGTTCTACTCGTAATTCAATACCAATTTGTGAATAAAAATAATAAATAATGTGGTGATGCAAGTTAAGTTTTGCAAAATAATTAGCAGAAAAAATATTAGGAAGAGGAGAAGGGTTGCAATAATTGCAACGGTGTAAGAAATAGTTAAAAAGCCAGTGCAGAAAAGTGTCAAAACTCAAGCGCTTAAATGTATATTATATAAATCAAAGAGAAGCACAGAGATTTGTGTCTATGGTCTAGTTATAAAAGAAAACCAAAAATATGCGAAGCCTGGTGATTTTGTTCTCCACATGTGAAAACAAAAGGTACTTTGCGGTTGCCTGCCTCAGCAAAAACCAAAGGCTGCTTAAATTTTCTGTGAGAATGTGATGTTATGAGGTTATGAACTCACCGGCTTCCCCTGCCTCGGCATCAGCTGTGTTATAATAAAAAAATATATTTTGTCAAAAACGCAATTTATATCAAAAGTAGTCAAAAATCATACAAAAACAAGGGACAGAGGACCAGAAATGTAGAAAAATTCTTATATATCGAAAGCGACATCAAAAACTAAAGACAGTGCACAAATTCATGCTTCGGGACAGAAGAAGTTGAAGGGTCTGATATATTTTTTCTGTTTGGCAAAATCATGCGGATGAAATGAGAATATGAAAATGGCTAGTTGAAGATATAATGGTCCATGCCTATTATCACTCGGTCGACTCTGTGGTAATAGATTATGGAAAAAGTGAAAATGAAAGTTGGGGAAAGAACACGTACGGGTTTCGCTACGGACGAGATACACAAATACACATACACACCACAGCCTGATACTCACTTTTGTCAATCTCCTTGACCTTAATGTGCAAGATGTCGCGCACGGTGTGAGGGATGGCAGACTCGTTATGCTGGAAAAGGTCCTTGAGCTCGGCCATGGTGTAAGCCTGGTCCACAATCAGGTGACGCTCCAGAATCGATCGGGCCTGTTGGTAGAAGAAAATTTTAACAAAAATTGAATAATACCATTTAATAAAAATAATTACGTGGTACTGGAAGTCCCTCATGAAGAGTTTTTTGTGGGTCGAAGGGTAGTGCAGCTCTGCCTTCTCCCAGGCTGAATCGCGGGGCACAAAGTAGGTGTAGCGCTTGAAGGGGTTGCTCAATTGCTCGTTGAACCGCTCACCTTGGCCCAACCAGAAGGTTTTGCTGAGGGAAAAAATTTGGTCAATTTCGGAAATTTATCGATTTTATAATTAATTTAGAAATGAACAAGAAGTTCATCACTAAAGTTGCATTTTTAAACCGGATATTTATTTAATTAACAGTATGTCTCTTTTAAAATGTATTTTCAGCTTTTTCTGTATAGTTTTTTTTTGCTGTATTCATGACATGACTGTATCGAGTGGAGAATAAATAAATAAATAAATAAATTGATAAAAAATTTGAGATATACAAAACATTTAATAATCCTTGGGTTGGTATCAGAAAAAAAGCATTTATTTATTGAAGAAAATTTTGCACTTCATGATAATTTTTATAGGTTTCATTAACAAATATGCTCTCAACATAAATTCCTCTTTTACAGCTGCTCTTTTAAGTACATGTTAGTAAACATCATAATAACAATATTTAACAAATTTATTATTAAAACTAAAAAAAAATATATATATTTTTACACTGTAATATATTTAAAAACATAATTCTTAACTTAATATTTTGATTAAATTTAAAGGAATAGTAATTTGAGGGGAAAAATTATTATAAAATAAATAGTTATCAGCGAGGGTAGAATTAAATTATAGTTACTTGAGAGCAGGGTCGGTGGCCAATTTTTCTCCAACAGTCGAATAAGGAATGCCGAGAACACGGTCGATAATGTGCACTATGCCGTTGGTGGCCGCAATGTTGGGCTGGATCACGGTGGCGTTGACCCCGCCACCCTCGACGGTCAGCGTCTCGTTGTGTCCCTGGCGGATCACGTTGAAGTACAAATTCTTGCGCGACGCCGCCGACTCGACCTAATAACACGAAAAGTATTTTAATCGCGTAAAACTAAAAAAAATCAATTTGCATTTGGGAAATCGCGGCGCTTTGTTTACTGCAGGAGGACACGCGTAACGGTGGCCGCAGAGTAATCCTGTCACTTTCGCAGAGCCGCCGCTAAGCAGCCTTCTTACGCAACAACCCCCGTAACAAGGGACTTTTTGGTTGCAAACAAAGAAAGGCCGAAACTTGCACGGCTGCCCGAGTGGACAGATCGGAGGGCGAAGACCCACACCACACGAAGAGAGGGAAGCCTTTCGTGTGTTCGTTCCGCAATAAGTCTGACAATTGTTTGGGGATAATTTCACAAGGGACGATTTGCCGATGTGCAAAACAGCGATAGATCATAATTAAGAATTTTTTCTAGCCTCATAAGTCATTTTTTTATCCAAAAATTTGATTTCGTTTTAGTGCTTATAGTTAAAAAAAGTCTATTTCATTCAATCAAAAGCATATTTTGATAATCAATCCTACTGTTAGAGAATCATTTCATTGTGAAATAATAAAATTGAGACTGCGAATAATTTGTAATTAATTTTTTTACAACACTTTTGCAGAATTATCATCATAAATATTTAGGCTGTTTTAAGATATTCATAATTTTCTATTGGAATTTTTAACTTTTATAATATTTAATACATAGTTTTTTAATAAAATAATTTTATTTAAAAAATTTTTCTTTAAAAAAGTCTTGCATTTTTTGAAAACCATAATTCTCTACCAGATCTATTTTTGTAGTATTCAAAAGATATGTTAATAAAATGACTTTCTAAAATCTTATTGAAACTATTTACTTAAAAATCAGTAAACCTCATATTAAAATTGTATTCCTGTAATAATTTATAATGTCTATTAATTAATTTGTGGATTATAGTTTCTTTTTTATGTTTGAAACGTGTTCGTAATTTGTTTAACCCTATCAACATACCTGAATGATGTTCTGGCTGAGGATGTATTCGAGGGGCAGTTTGTCGGCGACCAAGTGCATCCGAAGAATCTCCTTGACCTTGTCCTTTGTCTGCAGGATATTGTTCAGGTTGGCGTTCTCCCAGGCGGCGTTCGAAGGAGCGAACAGGGTCAACGACTTCATGTTGGTGATCTGGGTCATGAATTCGCCTCCGTGATCCATGATCACTTCGTACAATTTGTTCAGCGGGCCATCTTCCTTTTCCTGCGCGGGACCAATCGTTTTGTTAAAAACCAGCGTGGAAACGGAAGAAAGCGAAAATATTGACACTACAGCACCAGAATTCGGCCAATTGGTCAATAGTAATGTGCTTGTATGATGGAGTGCATTTGTTATTTTGAATAATTTTGTAGAGATTTTGAGGGTGAAAGTGCCAATATTTTTTTGAAACTCGTCGGCTACACATTTGAGTCAAATTATACTGCAGCTTGAGATTTTTCAAGTCTTTTGTTGTGGTTTTTTTACACTATATACTGACAGCAGTGAGAAAAGCCAGTCGTGGATGGCATTGTTCTTAATTTTTTTTTCGTTAGAATACACGGTTAATGTCCAATTTTTGACGAGTTCATGCGTCAGTCATGCGCCTACAGATTTGAAATTTGAAAGAACGGGGTTTGAGATTTTCACAGGCGAGCTATTTGAAAATAGTTTAAACTGGAAAACAGGTACACTTTTTTTTTGTCTGGATACAAAGCTTACAAAGCTCACACTGAAAATGCTTTTCTCTGTTTTTCAAATTTCCATCGCCTGCCAATTCGGTGCCCAAACATTTTCAGGTGAAACTACCACAAAAAATTCGGCCATAAAAATACTTTTCAAAAAACATCATTTGCATTTGATGGGTGGATTTCTTATATACTTTTGTGGTGCACTAACTAAATTAATCTTCCCCAGAAAGGGTCCAGATTTCCTTGTTTTCAACGCGTGGTTTTGCTTCGCAACAGAGGAAATCTGAATTTGGAACTTTCATCACTCGGTGGTCGATTTGTTTCAAAATCAACGGTAAATTAATTGGAACGTTATTTTTACAATAGAAGGAAAATGGAGGGATTTCTGGACCCACTCTGGCACATCAACAGACACTTACGACATACAGAGAAAATAACTTTGGTACTTACACTCACAATACCCTAGCATGCAGTAGATTTTATCAAAAATTGTTTGTTTTAGTTTGTTTTGTTATATTATCCCAAATTTGCATGCAAAGTGAGAAGAAAAACTGGGTATGAGAAAAATCCAGATGATACAAATTTTTTTGTATTTTTCTTGTAAAAATGTGTAAAGTTCATAACTGCATCAAAAAAACAATTGGCCTGATTTCGTATGAAAATTTAGGTCGCAGATTATAAACTTTACTTAAATATATATATTTTTTTTGTGATAATGAGGTGAATGATCTACTCGAACATTGACTACCTCTATTCTATTCAGGCGCACTCAAGATCTTTTCTTGCCTAGTGATGATCGTGACTAAAAAAACTTTCATTGATAAATGCTGGGTACATGCGTTTAATCAATGCTCTTTTTGTATTATCCAGGGGCATGCACCAATAGACAAGTCCAGAAATCCTATTTATATATAATTGAAAAGTATGTTCTCATGAGCTAATGAGTGGGATATGAAAGAGGAAGTTTCCTTTTCTAAAATATGCCAGACTCTATATTAAGTACGAAAACTGTTTGCAACTCATATTATACTATAACAGGGGGTCTTCTTTTCTAGAAGAAGTTACATCATAACAATCACCGAGTGATATTGAATAATGGAGGGATTAAAAATGCTTCCCTCGTGTTTGAACTTCTGATTCTCATATTTACTCGTGGCATGCTGTGGTTACTATAACGTCTACCATAAATTATATTTACAACATCTCGCGAATACTGTTTGCGTAACCTTGCGTGTTTTATATTATCACGACTCGAGTGGCATTAGCATCTTATGAAAATTTTGGAAAACGAGTGTTTGGATCGCAGTTTACTATTTGTAAATATCTAAAGTAAGGCTATAAACGTGTTTGAATAAATAGAAATATAAATTAATGGCACTTGATAATGTGAATCGTGTTTTCTTTGTTGTTGGAATTTTGAAATGTTTTAAAGGATTTCAGAAAGATTTTTTTAGAGAAAATCATGCATTTGCAGGAAAATTGTGCCGTGGATAAAAATACAAATGAAAAACTTGTCGGAATTATTAAAAATGTGCTCGAAAGAGGAAAATGTGCTCATAAATGTTGTAAATGAAAATTAATAACCTTGACGATTTGTATAATTTTTGGACCATTTGTTATAAAAAATATCTATAATTACGCATTCCATTCATGCAAAAGGGACAAATATTGTCATAAAAACGGATGCACCAATTATCCAAGACTACATCGTGCACTTTGGTCGGATGCAATTATGATTAGATGAGAGAATGATCGAAAATTCTTTATCAGAAATTTAAATATATTTTTAAAATTACCTTGAACGACTGTGACACCAACATTGAAAGTCCGTAATGAAAATGGAAGCAAAATAAAACGTAATTAATAATAAAGTTTGTGAGACAACAACTGAGACAAAATTGGAAAATAAAAATCAAGTCACGTGATTGGAAAAGTTGACAGTCAGTGACAATCAAAGTGGATTTAGAGAGATTTTTTATATGAGATACACAAAATTAATAAAAACAAAAAGTTATTAGCAGCCCTCTATTTTTCGACACTCATTTAGCTTCTAAGTAAGTTTAGAGCAGAAAATAAATCATAATATTTAAAAATTTAAAGAGGAGAGAGAAATTTAGGCTCTGTTTGCATGATTTTGGGATCCTTTTCTTGAATTGTGGTTCTGTGGAAAAATGTACAAATGCTGAGATGGGAGGTATAAGTATAACAGATGGGACCCTGATATATTTTTAATCAACTTGCATACCGCAGCGTCGAACACAACTTACATTCAGATTGTCTAAACCCTGCGTGATTTGATTAAAATTCATTTTGTTGGTATATAAAAGCAGCGTCAACGCAGCTACACGGAGAAAATCGACTCACCTGAAGAAACTGCGTGACGGTGGTGTCGACCACCATCAGAGGACGGTGGATCAGGTGCACGACGCCGTTCTTCACAGGGATGTTGGCGTGCACGATTTCGGCCATCACCACACCGGTCGGGTGACTGTTGTCGCCCACAATTGTATTGCTGCTCACGTACGCTACAAGGAAAAGATAACACTTCCGTTGACCAAATGTGGATCTCGACTATCTCCAGTAATAAAGAAAGGGTAAAAAACGAGGAGAGAGAATGAAAGACAGTAAAAGCATTGTTTTTTAACCCGTTAAAATTCTATTCATGAATAAAATAGAATTGACAAACCTTTAAGGGAGTAAAGATGACAATAAATTTAATTTAGAAATCAATTTTGAAAGTTAATTTTCTTCTTAAATAAATACTAAAAAAAAAAAATAATAATAATAATAATGATATTTTGCTGCAAAATTAAGATGGAAGGATGCGATGCCCCAATTTTATAGTGTGACAGGCGATTTTCTAAAAATAAATTCAATCTAGAGGTAAATAAGAGTATGACAAAGGATTTTCCATTTGCCATATAGGCCAAGCAGTGACGCGCTTACCTCTGTGTGATTTATCGTCCGGCTGAGTGGAGAAGGAAACCTGCACTCGAATGTTGTCGGTGAAAGCCATGGTGTCAAATTCCTCTCCCACAGGGGTAGAACGGATGAAAAGCACCCTGTTGGGGATGACGTGACCGTCGATTACTTTCATGTCAATCTTCTCGGGCCTCGGGGGTGGCTGCAAATAAAAATATTAGCACAGCAAATAATTTGATTTGTCCTCTGAGGGACAAATTGATTTTTTTCCTCACCTTGAACCCTTCGTCGACAGGGATGAAGAAGGTGTTTCCGCCTCCCATTTTAAAGACAGATTCCTTCTGGTTCTGGTTCACTCTCTGACGGAAAGATCTGTTCCGAGGAAAAGAAATGTTTAAGTTTTCTGGTTTAACGGGGGAATGATTTTGAAATTAAGCACCTGACTCGGTGTGATCCTAACTGGACGCTTTCTGACTGGGCGAGGAAAGTGGCAGCGTCGGGATTGTCGACTGAAGTGTCAGGCGAAACTGACATCAAAGGCACGAGCACTTCGTCAATCACATGGAGAACCTATGTGAAATTCAAGGTGGAATTAGTGAGAAACATGATATATACAAAGATGGCTGCTCCAGAGGGTTCATGTTTTGCACGCATACAAAATATTCCATTTTCCTTCAAAATTCCTACCAAAGTTGGTTCCCAGGATAAAAAATCATTAATAAAAAATTTATCATTTATATTTTAAATCCTACATAATAAATTTCAATACTTAAAGGGAATTTAAATTTCTGGGCGTATTTAATTTCAATATTCCCGAGTGCAAAATGAAAATTTCTATTTTCATTCATAGCATCTTTCTCATACTCTGACTGTCCGATTTTTTTTTTTAAATTTCCAAATAAAAAAATATAAAATTGATCAGTCTGAATTTAAATTTTTACAAAAAAAAAAAAAAAAAAAAAAACAGATGCAATATGAATTTCTTGATAGGTCTGTTTGAAAAAAATGTAAATTAATCTATTTTGAAAATTTTGAAAGAGTATTAATTTAAATATTGAAGAATTGTACTCTGATGAGGTATTTTCAACAAACTATATTTTGAAAATCTGACCAGATCATCCAAAATTATCGGACTTCATTCAAAATTTGTACAAGTTTGTGCACCGAAATTGAGTGGGACTAAATCAATCTAAAATATAATAGGGATGGCCACCCTTTAGTTTGGTAGCCATCACTACATAATTGAAAAACACTCAATCGATCGCTCCTTCTTAAAAAATTAATTTAATTTAGACAAAGGCGCTGTCAGTAACATGGTCGGTTCATGCACTGGAAATTGAAAACAAAAGGGCTTTTGTCGAGCGGCTCATTACTACATGCTGCTAATTATTTGTGCCGATTGGCCGGCTCGTCAATGCATGAATGGTTTGCAATGTGAAGAGTATATCTCGCGCGAGGCACAATTGCGACGTGCACAAGTGCTCCCACTCGGCAGAGCAGACTTATCAATTGAATGACAGCATTACTTTCAATATACGCGAGTCTGGATGGGGTAGGCTATACACCCACCCGTGCATGTCTCGCGCAGATAAACCGCCCTGTTCACGATCGAGAGGGTAAAAAGTAGGCCTTTCTTTTGGGACTTGCGATCGGCAGGATCAGTTCTACAGCCGTAAAAATGAGGGCACGACAAAAGTGAGATCTAATTTATTTTCTAACCAATGCTAAACAAGCAACTTCAATAAGTATGAGCTAGTTCTAATAGAATTATCATTAAATTGAATATAATTGCAAATATTTAACTAGTATAAAAAAATTTAAAATATTGACTACTAACCTGAGCAGAGTTCTGCGAATTGACACCCTGGAAGTTGGACCTTTTCTCCAGCACTCTCGCATTGTTGATGAAGAGCTCTTTCTTGTTGCCACTACCCTTTGGCATTCTGGTGACCCAGAGGGGCGGCGAACCGTCGTACGAGGTGGTCACCGTGTCACTCAGCTTTTCCAGGTTCTGTGCCACTCCAGAGGCTGTGCGACAAAAACTTGAGACAGGGAAAGCAAAAGTGGGCGGAAAAGGGAAGGTTACTCACCGATGTGATAGAGGATGAGGTTGTCGTTGACTGGTCCCTTGAACCTTTGGAAAGCCTCATTTGTGGGAGCAAAGAAAGTCGCTTTGTGGAAATTGAGCGTGAAGTTGGCCAGCACATTCTGTTCTAGTAACAGATAGAACTGAAACAGACAAAAATTGGAAAATAAGTCTTCATTAATTGTTGTAAAATAATAAAATTTTGACAAAATTCAAAGAAAACTGTGGGGTAATCGACTTCACCATCAATGACCAAACATAAAACTTAGACCTATTTTAATAATCGACGCAGATAAGGTTATTTTTAAGCATACAAATTTGTTAGAAAGTTAAAAATCGAGGGTCATATTTATTAAAAATAAAATAATAATAATAAATAAAAATCAGAATCAGAACCCAATGAAATAATTTATAAAAATAACCCATGGATGGAATGGCACGAGGAAAAACTTTTCAAAACAGCTTTGAGAACAGCCCTTCTCTCGTTCAGCTTTAGGCCAGTGACAAAGTAAAGATTGTGACAAAAGTTTTCCCCGGATCTCCTTTATCGTTTTTCCGCCGCAGGGGCCGAAATGAGTGTGGTGTCGGCGCTCCTCTTTCTTTTTTTTTCTATATTGGCGCGTCAATTTCGACGTATAGGCCGTAAAACGCTCGCTCAAACTCGCATTACATCGCACCCCGCGAGAATAAAAGCGGCAATTTGGGGCCAACTAAAGTACAAACACAGGCGTGCATGTACACGTGGAAATTCCCCGACGGCAAAAAAGACACGCGGTTTAATTCACCGGGCGCGCAGTAAATATATTTGCACCGTAAACGGCGGGCGGCGCATAAAATTTGGGGTAATGGTTGGCGTGACGGGTGGGCAGCGAGCCGGAGAGTCACCCCCGGCCCTCCGCCGCTCGCGCCGATCGATGTTATTGGCCCACTTTCGTCGACCGACTACACTCGGCTACTGCGAAACACCCAAGCGCCTCTGATATTAGAACACTCGTACATATATACAGTATAATAAAAATTGACATTTGTAGGTACGCTTTGTGCTATTGGTGCAGCAAGTCGGACAATTGGATAGGGGGCTGTGACGCAGGGGGCGGCAGGCGTGCGTGCTCGCAGCAACCTTTGCCGCCTTTGACCTTTAAAGCTCTTGCTGATGCTTTTGAATAACACCGGGCATCGCTGAAATCCACGAAAACTCACGAAAAACTCGCATTAACCGAACGGGAGATTAAAAATGTATATGTTCGACAGCACAGGGGTGGAATCCTCTTTAATGATTTTTTTTTTATAACAAAATTTCGTTGGTCGTTAAAATTATGTAATGATAAAATGACGAGGTAGAGACTCGTAAATAATTTAATTTCATAAATTTTGCATTAAAAACCCTCCAGCACTAATTGGATTTTGAAATTTTGGGCATTTCCCTATTTAATCAGCCCTCGCGTAATTTTCAACATCATCCCCGTCCACCCTTAATCCTCACGTCTAATTCTCCGACTCTTTCAACGGAACGGATTTAAAGAAGAGAACGTGCATGCGCCGACTTATCTCTCAGGGCTGCTGTGCCGTGAATTTTTATTTTTCCGCAATAAAGCCGCGAGAGCAAATCGCGTTTGTGGCAGAAATATTATCCGCCGCGGTGCACAAAGAAATTAAGCGCGGGTGTGCGGAGCGAAAAGCTCCACACAATCCTGTTTCATATTCTGTTTCGCATGCAATGCCGCTCGTTTCTCTCTCTACCATCTCCCAATGCAGAGATTTAGATAAGGCGTATATTTCCCATTCACATGCGAGTGGCCGACCAAAAATAACGTTTTTGTGGCTCGATATTGATCAAAGTTGCCGCGATTGATTTGAATGAATGTAATAATATTCAGGTATTTTCATCCTTGACTTTATGATCAATTATTGACTCACATTGAATTCAATACAGAATAATAGTACAAGATTTTATGAGAAGAATAAAACTTATTGTATCATAATCTTTTTTTTTATCAAAATCCTAGATGAAACTGAAATTGTATACTTTTATAATAAAATATTATTAAATATGTATAATGTTACATGCGATTAAACATTAAAAATTCAAATTTAATTGTTAAATTTTCCAAATTTTCATCTTGTTGTTGCAACTTGACTACTTCGCAAAAAAAATTATTTTCTGATTTGAATCAATTTGAACAAAAAAGGGCACCAAGTTTTTGTCTTCAATCAACACAATCTCTACAATAAGTTAAAGAAAAAAAATTCAAAATTTTTGTTTTCAATATGAAAAAATAGTTTGTTTTGTTTGCTTATCCGTTACATTTTAGCTCGTATTTGACCAGAAAAGTAGAGTTTCCTGGGTGAAAAGCAGTGCAAATAAACTGGGCGGTCAAATATGAGAGCGGCGGCGGTGCGAGGCCGCGATCGGGAACAAGAGCGCCCCTTTGTCTGCAGCGCAGCCACGGCGGGTGAATCACTGAAAGTGCCCGCTTTTCGTCGTCGTCGGCTTGGTGAGGTCACGGATCGATCCAACCCTTCACTGCAGCTGTGACGTCATCGGTGCCTAGGTCAGCTGACTAACAGACACACATTACCGGCGCCTCGCTCGCTGAAGCCGCGCACCAAATTGATCAATTGACGAACTTTGACGAAGGGACGAAAAATCAATCTCGGGGCCGCTTCCTCTCCAATTTCCCCCGACTAATCTGAATTCAGCCTTTATTTCAAAGCTTGATTGCCTGGCCTGATTTTCCTTCTTCATTTGCCACAACACCGCGGCATGCGAGGCACCGCGCGATCGATTCTACCCATTCCCAAAATAAATACTCACCCCCTGACCATAGTGACTGCGAATTTTTTTCACTTCTGTTGGTTTGATATTGATTATAACTTGACCATCTGCACCACCAACTTTTTTATTCTTTTTGTTTGCTCTTCCTCGTAGCATCTTGCGCTGCGAGGGGGGAATTTTTTGGGAAAAAAGTTGCTGTTAGTTTGTTTCTCGAGGGCTGTTCCTTTTCGGGGAAAATGTTTCCCTTTTGAATATTTTTATTTACACCAACCGCACGCCATAAACGGGTGTGATCATAAAGCGACGCGGCCGGCTGGCTTTTGTTAAACAAATAAATAAACGTAAACCCTCGCGACTACACATAAGTTAAGCCCTTTTATAGAAGCTGAAAAACGACGCTCACCCCCTTTTGTGCGTATACTTTCGTTTCGGCGCTCATAAATTATTTATCCAATTTGCGTTTATTAAAATCGAGCTGTCGCGGGAGAAACAAGAAAGGCGTGGTCGGAGGGGGTGCAGCTCTGAGAAATTACTTTCTCAAAATTAAAAAACGGAAAAGGAAGCCCCTAAAAGAGAAGAAGTACATAAAACAGACAAGAAAAATAAATGTTCATCCCTAAAAATACCGTGAAAATATGAGGCAGGCTGATGCAGGACTATACGGAACTAGGCCACTCTTCCTCTAACAAGAGCAGGGTCATTCGGAAGGATCCTTTGTCCGAAAGATCAAAGGGACTACAGGACAGGGCCAGTTGGGCATGGCATACTTCACTTTCATCTACATTCTGCACTTCTCTTTAAAAGCTACATGGAGATAATGTCGCGAATCAGCGTTTGAAATGATATAACATACCACCCTATCCTGTCTCAACTAAATGATGATTGATGCAGTTTATCACAAAGAGAGAGAGACGCCGCAGAGAAGACACAAGATAAATTATAAATGGAGTACAAAAAGAACAAAGAATTTATAAAGAGAAATATAATTATTATAAATTTTAATACCGTTTTCAGCCATTATCTTTCTTTATTTAGTAGATTGATATTGTTTGGAAAATTTCAATTTATTTTTTTGCTTTGAAAATTTTACAATAAATCTCAATAAATAATTTTCTTTAAATAAGTTTACATTTTAAAGGTTGGCGTTGCCTTAATAAGTACTGCTAAATATTTCAAAATATTTCTTATTGTTAACTGGGCAAAATAATTCTCTACTGAAATTTAGTATGATATCTGAACTCAGTAAAAAATTGCAGTGCAAAATTTGGTAAATAACATTTCTCAATTTGAAATTTTTTAACCAATTCTCAATCTTGTTTTACTTGTAGAAATTCAAATAAAATATGCCAACGTTAGATAATTTTATTCACAATTTCTCTTGTACGCGTGCGTTTTCTCCCTGTTTACCGGGAGTCGCGACGACGTTCTCACAATCATAAATTATTCATGGTCGTGGAGACATTTTTTTTTCACGGAGCACTCTACGAATGTGCTCGATTAATATTTCACGAGATGCTCGGCGGAACAAAAGTCCAGCAGTAGAGACGGACGAAACGAATTTATAATAATCCTCCTTTTTATATGCATACAATTGAGAAAAGCATTGCACGCCAACGGCACGAATATATTGATCGAATTTCTTCTTTCGCCGGTGAACGAACGAACGAAAGAAAGGGGCTAAGGATTAACATATTCCGACTTGCTCGGCAGCACGTGGTGTTGGTATATGGAGGTGGAAAAGCGCCGAGTTCAAAGGAAGCTCTCTTCTTGACATTTCCACCCTCTCAAGGGTTGGTAGGGGCGTCCTAAATGGCATTCTTACGCGGGGGTTCGTGCAGTGTCTGCTTGATTAGCGAGTATGTAACCTTTGGAATCGCCTGGAAATTCGCGCCGACGGAGGGGTCGCGGCGGGGGATGAGGCGCCGCCGCCGCTGCCGACTTGGGCCACGCAGCCAAATCAATAAACCGCCACACGGCACCAAGGAGACATGCACACATTTCTTTCCCTCTTTCGCCCCGACCCAAGACGCTTACTTAACTTTCTTTCGAGCACACACGCTGGGATAAATCAGGGAAGCAATGATAGAGCCTATCAAATAGAGAGAGGGGTGGCGCATGAATGAGTGCGGCCTCAATCTTTTTCGGGGTGCGTTCTTCTTCGCAGCAACTTTTCGGTCCCCCGCCGTCGCCACCGCTGTTGCTGCCGCAAGGTGCCGGCAAGAAATACGACGGGAAGAGACCCATTATGATTATCTGTCATGACGAATTGCTGTGGCTCGCCTGCGTTTAAATGAAATACGTACACGCGCGCGGTTTTTGGACAAATTGCCGCAATCGGGGGTGCGCGACAAGTAGAGGGTCGGATGC